TTTTAAGCTGCCCGTCATTTAGAGTTCCATACATTTCGAGTGTGGCATTTTACAGGTGCTCAAGGGCCATGATATTTATTTAACTTATGGTTACTTTGGCCAGTATTACTAAAATATAACCCAGCAAAGCCGCTAGCCTGGTAGTACACTAGTACTAATTCAAGTTAGTACTATGTGTTATCTTCAACATCTGAAATATGCCTTCTTTTTCATTTTTATTTCTTTTTTTGCTAAGCATTCTACTGCAAGGTTGCAATTCTTATCTGTTAAAGCCCTGTTTGGTAGTGAGTTTAGGGGGTGGCAACTTCCGGGTTTTCCATTAGCACTTTCTCAAACTGCTAAAGGGTGTGCTTTTTGCAAAAAAACAACTTTTTATATAAAAGTTTCTTTAAAAAAAAAATCAAATAACCTATTTTTCAAGTTTGTAATAATTAATACTCAATTAAACGTGCGCTAATGACTTGTCTTGTTTTGCGTGCCATGAAAAACCCCATTCCGACATCACTACTGAACTCAGTCAGCCACATGTGAATAAGTGAACATAACTTTAACAAAAGGCAAAGCTAACTAAACAGTGTTCTGTTACCAGGTTTTTGGAAATGACAAGAGGTATTGGTTCATCCCTGCGTACTCAGAAGAGGATTTGAGAAGAATGCCAGTTCTACAGGGCCTTGATTACCCTGTCAGGACAGATTTGGATGGGCAAGAATTGTGATGGGACAATTTCGCCTGTGCCCTCACTTCCCATATGCACCAAATATGTTCCATGTAAATTTTACGGTTTCCTTCCGATATCGTAGAGTTAAATATTTTTAAAGGTACACCTTAGTACTGACAGCATTGCTGGTTGGGTACTACATGGCCTCCGAAGAGAGTGTTCCCAGAATTACTTTTCAAACCCTGTGTAATTCACTTGTGCTGTCTGATTGGGCAAAGAACGTAGAGGTCTTGCTATTGTGGCTAAAAGAGGCATGTGATGTAAATTCTTTTTAGTGTGTTTCAGATGGGTTTCCAGATGTATGATGTACAATGATTTGAGCTGTGCAATAGACGTACAGTTATTAGAGCATGACATGTTGATAAGATAACCTGTGTTAATTAGAGAACTGGATGTTTAAGTGTTATTTTATTAGTTTGTCATTTTAAAATAGTGCACCCGTTTTCAAAAGGAATATATGATGTATTTTGTTTCGTTACGACAAGGCTTTGGCTAACAATTGCTCTATTAGGGTATAATCTTTATGACGTAAAATTGAATTTATTAGATTTATATTTAAAAGTACTTATTTAAGATTATAATTTTGGATCACATAAATGTTGTTTTAATAGAGCCAAGCCAGTGTAGGTTAAAGTCTAGTACTATAACGCAACAAAATAAAACAGATGGAGTTCATCGGAGTAGAAGATGAACTTGATCGGTACTTGTTTCACTCTAGAATAGAAATATTTACAATTGATCTGTGACTAATGTCCCATCCGACTAACATGTTTTTTTTTCCTTGCTCTTCTAATGTGAAAATCTCTTCCAGTTATGATCATTCCGTGATTGTTTTTCTTCTTTGATTGATGGTGTTGCTCTCACCACGCAAGTCACCAATTTCTTCTGTATGTAAAAAATGCTCCAAATTTCGTCTCATACTGTGCTCATAAACTTCTATGGCTTGTAAATTTTTGTGGAGTTTTCTGCTTATGTGTGAAATAATTTGTCCAATCATGCCACCAACTTGGCTGTTTCCTCTTTGAAAAAGTCCACTTTGACTTTCTTACTTGTGCGCCGAATCTAATTCATATCCCTCAACCAGAAAACCGGATATGACGACTCCCAAAACTATTGAAACCAGTGTAATTTGACTCCCTCAGTGGTTTTAGAGGGTGATTTTGCTGATGTGTCGCTGACGTGGCGGTATTGACCCGGTCTTCGTCCCACGTGATGCTTACGTGACATTAGAATTTAAAAAATATATGTGAGACACATCTATCATTCACATACAAAAATATATTGTGGAACCCACTGACATGTGGGGCCCACCTCCCTCTCCAACCCTTCTTCCTCCTCCTTCTCCCTCCCTTCTCTCTCTTCCTTCGAGCCGCAGGTCATGCAGCGACGCGTCTCCGCGCGACCGGATCTCCTATCTCTCTTTCTCTCCCCTTTCTCTCCCCCTTCGCCGTCTGCGGGGAGAGCTGGAGCGACGGCGGCGGCGGGCGAGGGCCAGAACTGCGGCGGTGCGTCCCATGGCTGGTGGCGGCCGCCGCGGCCGAGGAGGCCGGAGACGAGAGCGGCGGCAGCGGGCGGGCGAGGGCCGGTTGCAACGCCGCCACCCCCGCCGGCTTCCGCGACCTCCACTGCCTGTCCACCCCTATCAATCTCGACTCAGCAGGAGAAAGAGCGCCTCCTAGATCTCTCCTCTAGGCCGACCCTGTCCCCGTCCGCCGGTCTGGGCTACCGCGGACCAGCTCCTCTTCGTGCCGCCGGGCCACCCCTCCGTCTCCGTCACTCGAGAGGGAGGAGTCGGCCTCTCCATCTCGGGATGTCGGCGCTGCCTCCCCCGACGACAGAGACGGACTCAGGTCAGCGACGCACGCACGCGCGCTTTCTTGCCATAAAAGGAGCAAGCAAGACGTCATCTCCTCGGACATCACGATTCACGAAGCCAAACCCTTCTTTATCCGATCATCGAGCATGCCAACCAGAGTCCAAGACTGTCAATTCTCGGCACCAGCGGTCGAGCTTTCTGATCCATCGACGTCGACGGTGGTGGCCTCGGCGAGCATGGAGATGGAGCAGCTCACAGCCCGCTTCAACGATGCCGTCGCTGTGCACGGCAACAACTAGCTGCTGCTGGACGCTGCCGCCACGGCGCCACACGCGGCGGTGGGCATGGAGATGGCGGCGCCGGGGCGCGGTGATGATTTGGAGGAGCTCATCACCCGGCTCGTCGACGTCACCGTTGTTGCGCTGATGATTTGGCGGCGCTGTTCCACTACTGCGGCTCGGCGGTCGCCGCGTGCGGCATGGCGGGGGCAGGCGTTCCGGCTGGTGCGGTTCGCCAGCTGGTGCAGTATCACCCAGTTTTTTTTAATGACAAATAGGTTCCACAGATTTTTTTTTAATTCTAATGCCACATAGACGCCACGTGGGACGAAGATCGGGTCAACACCGTCACGTCAGCACCACATTAGCAAAACCGCCGAGGGAGTCAAATTGCACTGGTTTCAATAGTTCATAGAGTCGTCCTATCCGGTTTTCTGGTTGAGGCCTGAGGGGTACGACTTAAGATTCGGCGTATAATTAAGGGAGTCCAAATGGACTTTTTCCTTTCCTCTTTCCTGTGGCGCGAGGCAGAGCGTGAGGCATACTTGGACGTGGTGGGCCGGGCGACTAGGCCCGTGTCCTAGTTTGTGCATAAGGCCTTGGTCCATTGCATTAAGAGAAAACAAAATATAGAAATACACGTGTAAAACAAATGTTGATTAATTAATAAATAATAAAACTTTGGGGGCTGCCTACGGCTCGGGCGCCCGATGATTTGGAGAAAAATCGGGCACTGACGTCATGCTGACGTCAGCGCCCGATTTACGTGTAAAAACTAATTTAAACTGATTTTTCTCTTAAATTACTTATCCAAATTATGATCCGATTGCACCATTAAATTCGTTGCAATTAAATCTTCAAAACAAGACCACACGTGGATATATTCCGACGACAATTTTTTTAAGCTTATTATTGAATTATTTTTAAATGTTGCACGATGTTCCACCAAGTATATCGGAATTGTTTCACTAAGTAGATCGAAAATGTTTCACTCATTTAAATTGGGTATTGTTTCACCTTATATAAAAACAATGTTTCAGCAAATAGCGAAAGATTGTTTCAGTTCACTGCAACATTTGATCCATACACAGTGAAACATTATAAGTGCACTAGGTGAAACATTTTTGGGTGGAACAAAAAATAAAACGAATTCCCTTAATAGGGGGTTTCCAAAATATGTGGATTTTTTGTTGCAATGGAATATTTCAGTTCACTGCAACATTAGATATATACATAGTGAAACCTTGTAAGTACACTAGGTGAAATATTTTTTATGGAACAAAAAATAAACCAAAATTCCTTAATAGAGGGTTTTCAAAATATGTGGTTGATTTGTTACAGGTGGGGACAGGTATTGTGGTGGGGCCAGCGACATCAGCGTGCGCAGGGGCGGGGGAGGGGGGAGCGACCGATTTTTCCTCCCGCCGCCCAGTCACCCGACGGCCATCATTATCCAAAACTTTGGCCTGACTTCGGCTGTGTTCTTCTCAATGAGTTGGGAACTCATCTCCCAAACACGTAAAACAAAACGACTCATTAGCATATAGTTAATTAAGTATTAATAGAAAAATGGATTATTGTGATATTTTAAAATAACTTTTCTATAGATTTTTTTTAAAAAATATATCATTTAACAGTTTGGAAAACGTAAACACGAAAAACGTTTGAGGAAAAAACGACTGTTCTTCGCTCCATGCTCGCCTGAGCACACCAACTCATGGTTTCTCAGTTTCTCACATATGCTGAAGAGTTTATCCCTCCAGCATCTATTTTTTTTCTCTCTTTTTAATCGTATTGTTGATGTGAATTATTTGCTCCACACGCCTCTGAAAATGTGGCTTCTTTAACAAAAACATTTCTTTCATTGAATTACTTAGGCTCATTTGTTTAAAGGTAGTATTTGTTAAGTTTGTTTCTAAAATGTTTAATTCATTTATATAATTAAGTAGTCAATCTATGATAATAATTTAGCGCTTGTTCACTTTGCTATCATTTTCAACCTTACCAAGTTTTGGCATTGTCAAATTTTGGTAAGGTTATCAAAATTTGGTAAGATTATCAAATTTTAGCAAGATTTCATATGTACTTACTAAAATTTAGCAACAAACTAAATGTAGCAATTTTTTTAACTTTACAAAAAAAATGATAAGATTGAAAATGGTAACAAAGTGAACAAGCCCTTAACGAATGGTCTGCTTCAAACGCTACTAGAATTTCTTCAAACGCTTAACATGTTACCATCAAAGAGAAGTTCTCAAAAAGGACACACGATCAACTTCTATTACACACCCTTCCAATCTCTTGAACATAACCCACGACAAACTGACAAAAGTTCTTTTAAAAAAATGAAACTGACAGTACAAACTCGACGGTCGACGCCAAGCTAAGCTTCCAGCATCGATTAAATATAAGATGAGACAGGCAACTAAACAAACAATCAATAATAATCTCTGCTTGGTCACATTTAAAGAGCCCCCAGCCTGGAAAGGAAAGCCCTCCAACACCTGGGTCGTCCTGGCCTTGCCGGCGGTTGTGGTGCACGGTCGTCACTCGTCAGCACGGATCTCAAAGCAAGACGTACGGTCGGATCGATCTATCCCCCCCCCCCCCCCCCCCCCTCCTCCGTCTCTTGCTGATCCGTCAAATCTTCCCCCGGGGGTTGGGTCAGGCGACGGTGAGGCCGAATACGGCGGCGAGCACCGCCGCGGCCACGGCACGCGCGGCGAGCGAGCTGCGTTGCCGCCGCCCCACGCCGGCGTCGCCGGTCGCCGCCGTCGCCTTGCCAGCGCTACCTGCAACAAACATCGCACAAACACGTAAGAGGATCAGCGAATGCAATTACCAGTCTTTCAGATTAGTAAAACGAAATGGAGGAATTCATCTTAAGAAACTTTTAGGAGGAAATGAACAGTTCCTGTGAAATTCATATGTTCCTAAGAAGTCCTAAGCTGTCCAATATAAGATTGAAAAGATATATAAAATGAAATGAACAATTAACGTATGATTGATTGGATATTAATTATTTTAAACTTAAAAAATAATTAATATAATTTTTTAAAACATTTTATATATTGTTATTAGAAAAAACACACCGTTTAGTAGTATGTTAAATGTGCGCGTGAAAAACTAGGGATCTTCTCCACGTTTTTAGTCATGAAGCCAAACATGCCGCAGCTGCATGGTCCGGTATTCTGGACTTCTGGTCTACTGCTGCTGCAAGTTTTGGGTACAGTCTCCAGCGTACAGTACAGTACAGGCAGCAGTTTCGGTTGGATGGACGGGTTGGCCATGCGTGGCGGTTACTACGGAGGAGTGTGGCATTGATTTCTCATGGCACTACGCTTTCTACATCGAAGCTTCAATGCAGCAGCTAGTGTAGCGTTTGCTGTAGCTTTCTCGACATAACTCTTGCTATCATGCACGGCATGGCACTTCACCGTGCTACATGTCGTTAGCTCGCACATGCAAGCAGAAAGCTCAGAATTCTCTCTCTCTCTCTCGATTTAGCATCATTATTATTTATAGTACTACTGATTAATTAACTCAAGATTTAGACAGATGCATTATCTGTCATCTGATTACTATTATTTCTTCTTGGTAGTGTAATTAAGAGGATTATTGTTTGATCGATCAGAGATTGATTAATGATTATTACCGGTGGCAGCAGCAGCGGCAGCAGGAGCAGGCTTGGTGGCGTTGTTGGACTCGTGCTCCCTCGCGTACTGCTTGAAGATCTCTGCCTCCTTGGAGTCAGGCGACATGTTCAGCATCTCTGCATATATACATGGCCATCGATCCAAATTAGTAACAAGCAGTTAGTTCAGTCATGCTAATTACCGACGAATTAATCACGAACAGATCAACAGAAGCAAAAAAAGGCATGGCAATGATGATATCAAATGAAGAAAGTATTGATTCCTGAAGCAGAGGTGGTCTGATTTCTGTAGCAAATTGCTCTAGAAAGTACTTAATTATTTGGTCGATCGACCGGACCCTGCTTGCACCGTGCAATTAACGTACGTGTTACTGTACGGTGTGCAAGCACGACAAAAAGCTAATCATAGTAGTGTACAGTTCTAACAAGCAAGCATGGTCCAGCACCACTCCAGGTTAGTGTTTCATTCAATTCGCCAGATCGAGATCGATGTAGTTGTACTCCTACTGTACAGGAACAACATCCAAAACTAAATTATACCATCCATACCCATTTTGGTTGTATATGTTCGCTTGTGGATATAGAAACCGGATATCTATCCATTGTTTTAAAAAAAATTAAACCGATTAATTTGCAGCATGCACGAAGCAAACTTGATTGAGCACGTCCATGCAATGCAAAGCTATGAAGTTGAACTACAGCCGACGATCATAGTAAAAAAATAGACAGAGCAATCACAATATTTTATAAGTAAAAGAAATTTCTAAATAGTGAAGTGGTAAGAGATAGTGATTTTAATCCGATATCTTATGTTTAATTCTTAACACGCCCATAATTTTCTCTTAAAAAAATATTTGGAGGGATATCCTTCCCTTCAAATATCTGCATCGTTAGCCGTTTCAAAGGCAAGGCTAGAAAATAGAATACGATTAAAAACCATTTAAATTTTGTCTAAGACGGATAGTAAGCAAACAAAGCGGCCGGCATGGCATCAACCAAACTAGCTAACAAACTAATTAAGGCGGTGTTAGTTAACTAATTAATAAATCAATCAATTGATGATGATTAAATAAAGTGTAAAATGTGATGTACTTGGGCAGTCGGAGAAGGTGGCGGCGATGGAGCAGCCGGAGGGGAGGTCCATGGCGCGGGTGACGTTGATGCGGAAGCCCAGCGCCGGCTCGTCGCGGTCCTTGACGAGCACGCACAGGCACTTCTTGCTGCCGGCGACCACCTGCCCAAGCCCGGCGCAGCAATCCCTCGTCGGCGCCCTCGCCGTCGCCTTCTCCTCCACGTACGTCAGGCACGTCGCCAGCGCCATCAGCTTGTCCGCGCACTCCGCCTTGTCCGCCGCGAAGTCCCCCTTCGCCGCCCCCGCCATCGCCGCCACCGCCACCACCACCGCCGCCACCCACCATCTCGCCGCCGCCGCCATTGCTATCGCTAGGTAGCTTGCGTGTGTACTGTGTGTGTTTGCGACGTGATCGATCGATGGAATATCGGAATGGATGCTTCTTGCGTGTGGTTATATGCGTCTATATATAGATACTAGCTAGGCTAGGAGAGTGGGTGTGAGCACTGGCGATTGGTCAGCTTAATTAGTGAAGAAACATAATTACTCCATTCGTCTCATTCTAAGTATAATAATGTGTTTTTATGTTCAATTTTAATCATTTATTTTATTTAAAAAATTTAAAACATAAGTTACGTATAAAGTATTATTTATATTTTATCATCTAATAATAATAAAAATACTAACCATAAAAAGTTTAAAATAAGATATACGATCAAAATTCGACACGGAAACTCGTAAATTTAAAATAAGATAGTAAAAAGTTACTCGCTTAGAATTGGATGGATTGAGTAACATTTTTGTCGAGGAAAATTAATTAATGATGAAGGGTGATTAATGGTGGTACAATCTTTGGAGGGATCAGTCGACGGGTGATCAGTTAATGGGGTTAGTTGGGGAGATCGCTAGATTGCGTGCGTGTGTGTTGCTGGTCGTGCAGTTTGTGGTGTTTTTGGGGTGCGTGGGTTTTTTTTTTGGGGGGGGGGGGGGGGGGGGGCAAATTTTAGTATTTGCCACTGTATCAAAATACCATTGCTCAAATGCCACTTTTCTAAATTCTTATTTCTAAATACCACCGGACCTATAGAGTACCAAATAGTAAGGGTCTATTTAGATTGTAGTCAAAATAAACCTTACCAAGTTTTAGCAAGATGGTAATATATTGCTAAAATTTTGGTAGGATTTATTATTGTATTGATTAAATTTGGCAACAAACTAAACGTATATATTTTCTTGATAACTTTAAGGAAAATAGTATGGTTGAAAATGTCATAAAAGTGATCAGGTCCTAAATTCTCAGGCAGTTTGATAGAGTGGCAAATATTAAATTCTCACGCAGTTTGTGGGGGGCATTTCACACTGGGCGCCGTACTCGTACTCATCATGGAAGAAAGAAGGTTCAAGGAGAGCGGAGAAGAGAGGAGATCGATCGAGCGAGACGACGTGGAGGTCTGGAGGCCAGTGGATGAAGCGGCACGTAATCCATGTGCCAATGTACGGTCGTGGCAGGCTAGGTAGCCGTGCTCGTGTGACGCGTGCGTGCAACGAGAAGCAACGGAAAATACGGAATGGCAGAAGATAGTTAATTTCTTCACCGGACAATCGTTAGGAGCTCCGCGCGCGCGTGTGGCTGTGGTATTGCCGTATTGGCTTACCTGGGCAATAGTCTCTCAACATGGTGATCAATGGATGGATTGTACTCCAGCTTACTACTTAATTTAATTATGGAGTGGTTTTAATTGGTTGTTCGGGCCTGTTTCTGTCTTTCTCTTCATCTTCTACTCCTAGCTAGCAGGATCAGGATCTATCCTGTGAGTATGGTATGGAAATGTCGGAAATGATAATTACGAAAACGGTTCTTGATTGGTTAGAACTTTTTTATATTTGGTAATTCAATTATATGAAATTGATCGAAATTAGAAACATTAAATTTTATATACAACTAAATCAGAATCATTACCATCCTCATGGAAACAATACTCTGTCAAAAATTTCTTACACCATAGTAAAAAACCCACAAGAATCATTTATTTATAGAAAAGAATATATATAGCGGCGGAGATAGCTCCCGGGTAGATTAGGTGGCCGCCTGAGCTCTGCCGCTATCGTTTCCATTACCATTAGCTGTCGATGCGTATAAAAATTAGTCGGCCACCAGAAAATGTTACTAGTCACCCGAGTTTTACGACGGTGCTGGCTCTGCAGTACTGCATACATACACATCGCATTAACAAATATATTTCAAGCCATGGGATCCTTCCTCTGTATCTTGTTCTAACTAGACCCCTTTGAGAATTGAATCCGTGTTCGGTTGTTGAAACTATAGCTGAACAGTTGATCTGATGCTGATCAGGTTTGTCGCGTTTGCAGTACATAAATGGCCGGTGCACTAGCAACCGAACATATAAGGCCGGTTACTATATCCGCACTGCTGGATTTGACCTAAACCATACTCCAACACGCGTGCATTGCATTGCATATATTGCATATATCTACTGGTGATTTGATTTGGATACTGTCGACGCCAACGGAGAGATGCATGAGCTTACTTTCATTTTGGGTTGATGGCTTGATGCATGAACCCTGCCATCAAGAACATTACTGTACACAGCAACTCGTGTCCAACTGAAGCAGAAACCGGAACAGGACATCACCGAAGCATAAGTATTATTCATCTTCTTCTACCCTTTTGTACTACTTGCCATTGCCAAATCTAGTACTAGTTTCTAATCTCCATAAGTACTCCATTGGTCTCATAAAAAAAGAACGAATTGGATATAACACATTCTAGCACAAATAAATCTAGACATATATATCTTTATATTCGTAATAGTAGGATGTGTCATATTTAGTACTATGTTGGTTTTTAGGGAACGGAGAAAATAGTTATTACACCATATGCCTATATACTTTCTCTGGTTGGAAAACAATGTTGTATAGGTTTTGTTTTTGAAGTTAATAATGTTGTGTTATTTCCCATGGGTTCCCAACCCATCTCCCTCGTTTTGCATGTGCACACTTTTCAAACTGCTAAACGGTACACATTTTACAAAAAGTTTATATAGGAAAGTTGCTTTAAGAAATCATATTAATCCATTTTAAATTTTTTTATAGCTAATATTTAATTAATCACGTGTTAATCTATCGCTCCGTTTTCTGTGTGGAGGGGAGGGGTTCCCAATCCCTCCGTTTTTAAGACATGATATCGACCACCCAATTTTTTTACACAAATAAAAAGGATAAAATAAAAATGTTATGAACATTTTCGTCTGAAGCTTGCTATTAACACTATGCCAGCTACTCCCTCCATCTAGAAATATATGGCTTATTTTGACCGCCAAAATCAAGCTTTGACTGTTAGTTTACTTTACATCATTTCGCTTAATGCTATGTATTGATTCAGTAAATTAAGATTATTTTAGTATAGCTCTATATTCAAGATTTCTTATAATTGAACATTCATAACTACAAAAATTCATGGATCTAAATTTGTGATTAGATTGATAGTATTTTAATAATGATCATTTTATTCATACTTTATAGAAAGTATAAAATTTCAAACCGTTATAAATTAATTTACAATATAATCTAGCAAAGAATATAAGATTTGGAGCTATGTCAAACAGGATATTAAGCGTATATTGTATAATATTAGGGATATTAAAACGTGATTGCAAATTTTTAGTCGTTAATGGCACTGCTCCTCCCACCCGTTCGTCCGGCTAAGCTTTTAATTAGCAGATGGTCTTATGTTTCAGACTCGCACGAATGTGTGCATCGTGCAACTCGTGATGTATCCTATCTTACTATAAAATTATCCCCCACTAACTCCTTAAGCTTAACATGCAAAGATGCTACATCATCATCCACTAACAAAATGCCACATCATCATCCACCAATCCACTAATTAACAAGATGCCACATCATCATCCACTAACAATCGTCACCATTTAAACATCATGCAAACATGCTATATCTTTATAGTTTTTATAATGTAAGAGCTTTTCAAATACAAACATGTTAAATTATCATCTAATATAATTCACATAATGTTTCAATGTATATTTTTATTATGTTTTATGATATCCTATATACCTATGTAGTTCATCCTTACTTAGTGCTTAAATGATTAATCTATGGTCCAAATTATATTTCTCCTTTTTCCCTCTAATTAAGTCATATTACATCAATTGTTTTTAGCCTTTAGATGATTAATCTATGGTCCAAACCATTTCCCTACTTTTCTTTTTCTATAAAGTCATACCACCTTACTTTTTACGTTTGAATCACTATTCTACATACTGTTTAAATTTAAATTATCATAAACTACATTAATTTACTTAATTTGATGTTAACTAGCTATCTTACACGTTATTTTTTTATTGTTATCATACCAAATTCCCGCAGCAATGCGCGGGGTTTCACCTAATATTATATATATGCAGCAGCAAAACGGGCAAAGCCAGCTAGCTATGTTCAAATTAGCCTCAAAACAATGGATCCCTGCCTTTCACCGATCAATCCACTGGCTTCAATTCGATCGTGATGGGCTGCAAACTAGTAATTAATAATCTGGTCTATCTAATTTCTGGTTGAACTTTGGTGCAATACTGCAACTTGAGAGTTTATTGCTAGAACCATTGATTAATTCTCCCAACATGAAAGTTAATTTATAGTTTGTTGCTTGGAGAAGGATGCTCTAACCTCTGTCCTATCACTGTACTAACGGTGCTTCAAAAGCTGATCTTGACGCATCATGGTTATGTCCATGGTCGGTCTTACATTTGATTTTGACACCATGCCACACACCATGGGACATTGCAGCTGTGGCGTTAATACGAGATGTATTTACTATCCCTCCATCACAAAATACATGTATTATAAAGCTTTTCGCAGGGAGCATAGAGAAGAACAGGATTATATTTGAATGATTGTGATTACTTCAAATGAGGTAGCATGTAAAGAGAGTAAATGAGAATTATCGTGATTGGTTGAGGTAAGAAAATACAGTGAGAAAATACTATGTTCTAGAACAAAATTTAGACGATAGAAATTGTAATAGTGGGCATGTTCAGCTGTCGGGCGCGCGCACTCACTGTTCGCAGCCGCAGCCTCACCTGTTTGCAGCCGGTATGCTGAACAGGCCCATTTTGAGTTGAAGGGAGTACTAGTTTATAAGAGCAGGTACAATAGCACACTATTAGCCAGCTATAAACATATTTTAATGAGATAGAAGATGAGAGAGAAGAGCAGCAAGCTACAGATCTGTAACCAGCTGTAGCACGGACTCCAAGACACAGTGTGTGTATGACAGATGGGACCATATATGAATAGTATAGTAAGCAACTATTGTATGAATTGGCTATTAGATTGGCTATAGCTGAATTGGAGCTAGCAGTGGGATATACTATTGAACTTGCTATAAGGTATATCTGTAGTTTCAAGCCAACATTTTAAACTGGATAGTATAAGGCGCTACTGCCTACTAGGGCTTGTGGACGCTAATTAACATTAATAAGGGTAAAAAAAATAACATTTCTTTTTTTGGAATAAATTAAAACAGGACTTGAATGCAAGAGATCAGAAACAATTGATTCAGTGCTATCCTGGAACAAGCAAGCTAGTGGTTACAGGCTGTTTTCATAACACACACACATCAACAATATTCAGCATGGAGGATTGGATGGTTTTTCTTGACGTTGATAAATGGATTTCCAGCGATGAACGCTACTATCCAGAGGTGTGATATTGACCAACCCAATACACCATCACGTGGACATGTATAGTGATGTACTCCCTTCGTCCCAATTATAAAGTATTTTGGGTGAATATGACACGTTTACTACAAATCTAGATAGAGAGTATGATCAAATTCGTAGTAATAGGATGTGTCGTATCCATCCAAAATACATTATAATATGGAACGGAGGGAGTATGTGCACATGTGCCTCGGGAACAAGGCTGGAACATTTGCAAGAGAAAATAAACTCCATCAATATTATCTTGGATATATATATATATATATATATATATATATATATATATATATATCAGTTATTAACTTCAAAAGCTAGGATCTTTTTAGCTACTCCCTCCTTTTAAAATTACTTATCATTTTAAATTTATTCTAAATCCAAAATTTTAATCTTTGACTATCAGTTCTTGTAAGCTCATAAAACTCAACAATCACAAGAATTATATTTTTAGACTCACCACAATAAATACTTTCAAACTTACATTTTATTAAACCATACGAAATTTTAAAAATTAATGGTTAAATGTATTTATAACTTTGTAATATTTACGGAGACAGTATGTATAGTTATTACTAGTAACTGTTAACCGAATATACGGAGGTGATGTGTTGGTTACACGTAGATATCAATCAAATCCGTCGAACATTCCAAACACAGGGTTTCCAACTGTCCATCTATTTTTCGGAAACAGAAAGATGTGTACGCATATGCAGCTTTAATTGTGGAAGTGGTAGCATAGTACTGTAGTACTCAAAACACATGCTGATTAAAATATATAAATATAAATAAACTCAGACCAAGGTGTGGTTACACGGCTCGATCAGACGTTAATGACGACATGACAGAGAGCCCTGGCTGGCCGTAACTGTGTGTATCAATGGCAAACTGCACCGAAAGCGACGGAGAATTGAGCAGGCGAGTCGCCAGGAAGATGCTTGCTTGGCTGATGGTCATCTCCAACATAGTAGTAGATGTTTAATGATGTGCTTATCAAAAGTATTTTTCTTAATGTGTTTCTCACAATATTTAATAATCTTGCCATCTACTAGGAGAAGAGGATGCTTACCGATGTTTAGTAGAAGAGGATCTTTAACAAATGTTTATGCATAAATCTTAATCTAAACGCCAAGAAGGAGATGAGGACTGTACACATACTTAGCTTGAACGCTTCTCTACATATTCACCTTTTCATTTAACATCCTTTGAAATTAGTCTCTTTATGGCTTGTTATCATTTAAGACTATTTTTTGTCAATGAACTAACTAGCCGAGCTAATCCGAGTCGAGCAAGTGCAACTTACTTTCTTTCAAAGTTATATATTTTTTACTTCCTCTATTTTAAACTATAACAACCAAATACTAGATAGAACACAACCTCACGGTTACACGCGGGGACACACCACGTCATTGTAAGGGTGGTTTGCAGTTGGCGGATGCCGTGCCGGAATGAAAACTTTGATGTGGTTCAAGTTCCAGTCTCATATATTTTAGTGCTTCGCGTCAGGAGCTCACGGAGAACGGGAGATAGATCCTCCAATGTTTTTCGTGGCCTTCCCTCTCACCTCTGAGAGTCTCAGGTCAGACGATGTTCCTTTTCTCGTTTTAGTGCTACACTGTAGCTTGTAAGTGTGCTGGCAATAATTCAGTTGTCTCTTCTTTGATGTCGTTGTAAGAAACGTTGGCATCAATGCTTTAAAAGGAGTCTTCCAATCTGTCCTTGTTTTGATCACCTGAAAACTCAGTATCTCTTGTGGGTATCATATCAGTATGCTGATATAAATTCGCTACTGTTTGTTCCACAGAATATGTTTTTATTGTCCGGTCAACAAGCACATTCGAGAAAACGGCATAAAACTGTCCTTTTAGCAGTTCATTCAGTTGGAGAAAACAAGTAATCATCTCAACCATTTGATTTAGATAGGTGAAAGTTATAAAAAATAAATAAATCTAAATACACTCGTAACATGACACATCGGCGCTACTAAGAATTTAGAGAGAAAAAGTTAGTATGTATAGCCTTTTCCGGGAAAAAACAAAGTAAACTAGAGCCCATCACGGAACCAATCTTACAAGATCGAAATGAATGAATCTACCATTGTATTGCAAGGTACAGTAAATACTTGTACACAGCTGCATCTGATGGAAAGGAAAAAAGAGCTAGGTGCCTGTACAATAGCCTACTCTGCAAAATGAAACATTTCTATCATTCAGCACACTTCCATCTATCATGAGAGCTTAGCCGCAAAGTCATCACTCAGTTCTGTGGCTTCGTAGTTAAGTAGCTTGTGCAGAGGGAGAAAATAGGGAGCCACAGATGCCAGCGCAATACAGAACAGAGATCCAATTCCAACCCACCAGGCAAAATGTGGGATCCCAAGCATAAGTTCGTCGCAAACTGCACAAAAGAAATAATTACAAACAAAACACCGCTCTGATCAAAGGTGTTATTTCAATGCTTGAACCGGATGAAAGGTTAAGGAGCATAGGCGATAATATCCAGAAGCAAGGAAGGGCAGCAAAACTACCTAATCAGACATATTTCTTAGAGCATACAGTTTCCAAAGTAAATTATACATAAAATGTGAAGTAAATAATTTATCAACAGAAATCAATGGTCATGCAGTTAACTGGCCAACCAGAGACTAAAGTTTTACAGATTGATATTAATCTCATGACCTTGGATGGGCGAGAATAACATTTTCAGTTTCGGCATTAGACACTGAAAGTTCAGTAGAAACCTACAACCAAGGTCTTGGTGTACGACCAGAAGATGTTCTAGATATTTCTGATTGACTAGGTGCTTTGTCAAAGCATAAACACAAATCCTTGAAGCAGAATCAAATCAAAGTAATATTTAAAAGCTTTAGGTCAGTCAGATAGAAATAACACAAAATGACTGTAAAACAAAAGTAGATGCAATCCAAATACTAAAGGACAAGTAACTAAAAAAGCATCAATGATAAATAAGTATTTTATCTTAGATCAAGCTTTCTCAAGGTTCCTTCTCAACCGTAGTTATGGATTTCAAATCCACAAAAAAAATGCTCTACAGTAGACAAAATACCATTCTCCAACTGAAGTTCAGGCATCTTTGTCACAAGATGAAAAAAAAGGGGTACAAATGCTTATCAATGAGGCAGAAATTTGGATAACTACATATGCAATTAGGACGTGACAAGAGTTATAGATTAGGTAATATGTCTAAACTCCAAACCATAATCACAACATTGGACTCTAGTCCCAACTCCAAGGAATGACTCTAACGAATTTCTTATAATTGCTGAACATAAGAACAAGTTGGTTCTTACTTCCCCCTTTCTTAAATGACAGTAGCTATTAGCAGAAAAGCAACAAACTAACTAGAAAAGCCAAAATTCCACACACCAATTTCATTAAAAAAGTGTACACTAGCATCAAATAAGTCTATGCAAACAGCATAAGGACACAGAGGTTTCATGTCAAAATTCAAAAGGTGAAAACTAAAAACAAAACTAAGGAGCTGAAGGCAACTGCTAGGTTAGTGAATGAAGCCTTGCCTTTGGTTAGCCATGGCTACTACAAGTGCCTTAATTTCTTTCATTTATATATCCTGGCTGCATATCATCTACTTTCTCCACACCAATGAGATATTTGGCTATTGTGAAGTTTGCAAAATTATTGTAAAAAGAAGGTGAAATTACAACTGTTGCATCAAGCCTATTAGAATTGATCATTTGATCTTCACACCCTCAGGCTATCCTCTACTTCCTAGACGAACAGGGAAGTGACAAAAATTGAGCACTACATCAAAGGTTGAAATGCATGAGGTTGCTTAAGCCTCTATTCAAAATTCATCCTATGGGATCACGATATTCACAGGACTAACCAACTCTGAGAATATACACCTAATGCTACCATAACCCAACAACAAAAGTACTTCATTAGAGTTTCTAAAATTTCTGTCTTGCTTCGATCGATCTGATTTCATTATCATTGAAGGAAAAAACATAACATAAAGAACCATACTATCGTACCAATGTTGAACATCGCAAGCTCTCTCTCCGGCACATTTGGCTTTGCAACTACCCCTTCAGGCTCCACCGTGACAAGAACATAAACCTAAAATCAATATCACACAGCCACTATAAATTATGTATGCCAGTCCAATTCTGCGGGCAAGCAACAAATATAGCTGAAGAATTATGAACACATACTGGCCTGCTGCTCTGAGCCTTGAAAATTATCTTCTCCGTGTTGAGCAACCTCCTGTTCATGCTCCCCAAATCCTCCACAGAGTGAGGATCGTCCACAAGCCGGATCGAGAAGCTCGACGGTATCTAAAAGCACAAAAATGCCTTCAAGAACAAGAAGAAGCATCAATGGTGAAACAAGGAGGCCTCATTTCCCTAGTTTTCTGAACCAATGGGGGTCAGTCAGTTCGTACGGAGGCCGGGTAGGAGATCTTGACTTCGTACCACGCGGACGGCCGCGTCCCGTCGAGCCTGTACAGCCGGCTTCCGTGGCGCAGCGGCATCGTCTCACCCATCAGCTCCTCGCCGACGGTGAGGACCCTCCCCTCCTCCAAGCTGCAGGGCAAAACACACACACACGGGGAGGTTGAGAAACAGCACGGTGAGGCAGCGTGGATCGTGGCAGAGGAAGGGGACCGACCTGCTTGCTGAAGAGAGCAGCAGCCTGGAGAGCAGGAGGAGCAGGAGGCAGCGGCGTCGGCGGCATGGTGAGGGGAGGGGATGCGGCGGCGGCGGCGGCGGCATGGCCGCGGGATCTCCTGGTCGCCGGCGTCGTCGATGCGTCGAGGCGGCCGGGAGGCGAAGGGCTCTACTGCCTTTGGATAGTTCGTGGGCTATTCGTGGGCTGGTACGGACAGATTATTTTACTTGGGCCTTATTTGGATAGGCTGAGATCATGGCCCATAGCATATGGATGGGCTGGGTTATGGCGCCTTTCGTGGATCTGCAATTCGGCCTTTTCTGGGCTTAGGGTGCTAACGTCAACTTTTTTTTCTCTCTTTTCATTTTGTCCCATCTCATCTGGACACTCCATTTTCACCCACGGACTTTACTTGTAAATTAGTTTTTCGTTGATGAAAATTCTTTTATCAGGCAAGTTTTGATGTGGCTGCATTTTTTATGGTTCTTTGTCGAATTGAATGCTATAAGACGACAAACAATTCTGAGCCTTTTTCCCCTTAGACCGGACCCCCTGTGCAAATATAAGACTAGCTTATTTAGAAAAATATGTGTTGTAAACCACATGTAATGAAAACCTAAAAACTATCATTTGATTAAAATATATGGATGTATAAGATTTGTCCACGGTATAAAAGTAAAAATTTTACTTTCATATTGCAGTAATATTTTTACTCTTGGTGACGTGGGGAAATCTCAAACGTTTATTTTTATCTAACAGTAGTTTTCAATTTTTTATTACAGACGTGGTTTATAGTACGTAATTTTCCATGCCTATTATTCTTCGTCGCGTTACAGTATCATGTTACGAACTTTATTCCACGCTCTCTCTTGTGTGTCATGGTGAGCAGCAGCGCTAGTTTTGGCGGCAGTTTGCTGTCTTTAGAAGGCTAAAGTTGCCACTAATTATTCAGACATGAACCGAACGAAGCTCGGCACACAAGAAGTGGAGTGGAGAAGATTTGGCAGGGAGATGGGCTTCACGCGCGGCGAAAAAGAGATCGAGATCGCCTTTACTGCGGTTGCAATAGGGTGCAGCTGGTGCTCTCCCCGTTGGCCACCATATGCCACTCGCTTTCAGCGTATCGAATGCCCATCACCGTCACCATCTCGCTCCCCACAAAATTGAGAGACCGACCATGGCCAGATGAGAGAAGACCAATGCTGTCTACGAACGAGTCAAGATGACAAGAAAACAAGAAACGTACTAGTAGCACACAGTTGTCCCGTTCGATTCTCCAACGAGGAGGAATATCAAGTGCGCACCAAAAGGAGACAAATAATTAGCACATAATTAATTAAATTTTAATTATCAAAAAAAATTTAAAATAAATTTATTTAATTTCTATAGCAATTTTTATTGTAAAAAATTTTTGCATGAAAATCGTGCTAACCAAATGCAAGGAAAAATCTGTATCACTGGCGTTTTTTACGGAGCTCAAAGGCGAACTTGCAGGAGACAAATGCTGTCTACTACGAACCAGTCAAGATGACAAGGAACAAGTGGCGCAAACTGTCATTGTTTCACAACCATGGGAAAAAGGGATAATCTGGGTTGCTACTCTGTATTAGTATTACTGGCATTTTGACAGTAGTACTAGCTCAAAAGGTGAATTTGCAGATGGATCTTGCGGTTTGGAAACAGAATCGCTGTAGCTTTTGCTTCTATTCTTTGGCATCGTCTGGGAGCCTGAACTCGATGGACCCCCCCCCCCCCCCCCCAAAAAAAAAAGAAATCGTGATGAACTCCACGGAACCGAAACCAAGCTGTTCCGGGCCGATCTGCCCGTCGGCACATTACGAGCTCTGGACCAGTTGAAGTCCACTGGACCACTGCCAGCGTCCTCTCTGCTCCTCTGGCAGGCCATTTTAAGATTTGTCAGTAGTAAACAACTGTGCTAAGGCTGTTTTTAGGGAAACTCCAGTTCGCTGTACCAAAGACGGAATGCGTGATTAATTAAGTTTATTCTTTTTTAAAAAATAGATCAATATAATTTTTTAAAGCAACTTGTATATAAAAGTTATAAAAAATATACTATTTAATAGCTTGAAAAGTGTGTACGTGATGAGTTGGAAGCTCTAACACACGAAAACAACCGAAGTTCCCTCAATTCTTTTTTCTTGACTTGATTTTTCTTACTCCAGTTGGGAGCAAGCACAAACTCGAACAAAACAATGCAAAATACGGTCAGCCACCCAGGTCAGTGAACATTCCTTCCTCTTCACATGCATCTTGGATTAGTGATAATTTAGTGATAGTTTTTTAATTAGTTTTATTCTAAACCGCAGCATCAGGTGTTGCTAGGTCAACAGAGCGCCCCCACCCGCACGGAATCCCGCCCACATCGAAATAGCGGTCACGGCCGCCACGCGCCACTTTTCTCCACGTGTGCTCCCGTCCACACGTCATCCTTCGTGCACGCGGTCCATGCACCAGCCACCATTCCCTTCGCCTCGAAGGAAGCGTAGCGCATACACCGCGTCCACGCGACCCTACCCACGTCGCCCCCCACAATTCCTCCACTAAATATTTTATTATACTCTTTTCGAATCGCAATTAAACTAACCGAAAATTTGAGTGAATTTTTAACGAAACCGTCATTAATAAACTAACACGTCCTTCCCCTTCGCTGTGTGTTGGGTTCGGTTCGCTTGGCCGCCTCCGCCTCCGCCTCCGCCGCCGCCTCGCCCCCTCCTCGCGCGCGGCGGAAGCCGGCGGCCATCCACCACACGGCTCCGGCTGCGGCTGCGCCCGACCATCCTCCTCCTCGTACTCTAGGGTTAGGGTTTCCAGCGCCGGGCCGGAGGGGACCGTCCGTCGAGGTTTGCCGAGGCGGGCGCGCGTCGAAATGCGGAGGCCACCGGCTGCCGGCGCGACGTGCCGGCGTTTCGCGATCCGGGGGTTCGTGGCGGTGTTCCTCGTGTACGTGCTCGCGGCGCTCGCGCTCGAGTCGCCGCTGCTGGTGGTGCCCACGCCCGTGCCGGGAGCCGGGGCGGCCACCGCGGCGTCGCGGCCGCTTCACCTCGATGGCTCGGGCGAGCGCGGGCGCGGCAGCGCGCCGGCCCGGCCGTTGAAGCGTCCCCACCGGGAGACGCTCTCGGCGGCGGGGAGGTCGTCGAGGCGGCTGCCCGGGATCGTCTCCGGGCTCGACCTCCGCCGCCTCAACGCGACCCGCTCCGGCTCGCTCCGCAAGGTCGCCGCGGAGGCCGCTGCGGCCGGGGCTCGCGTCTTCTCCGAGCTGCAAACCCTCGCGGGCACCGTGACTGAGCTGGATGCGACCGGGGAGGAGGAGAGGAGCAGGTGCCCTCACTCGATCGTCCTCACCGGCGACGAGTTCCGGGTGAAGGGGCGGACCGTGGAGCTGCCGTGCGGGCTGACGCTCGGGTCGTACATCACGGTGGCCGCCACGCCGCGCGCGGCGCATGCCGACCGAGATCCTAAAATCACGCTGGTGCGGGAGGGGGACGAGCCGATCATGGTGTCGCAGTTCATGATGGAGTTGCAGGGGCTCAAGACGGTGGACGGTGAGGACCCGCCAAGAATCCTCCACTTCAATCCTCGCCTCCGCGGCGACTGGAGTGGCAAGCCTGTGATCGAGCAGAACACATGTTACCGAATGCAGTGGGGAACTTCTCTCCGCTGCGAGGGCTGGAGGTCCCGTGCTGATGAGGAGACCGGTATGCACCACCTTGCCATCAGATGAAACACGATGAACTTATACAATGTTTTGTCCAAACATTAGATTTAGTTTGCAATGCCTGAAGATTAATGATTTTGTTTACAATGTTGTACAGTGGATGGGATGGTGAAGTGTGAGAAATGGATTCGAGATGACGAGGAGAGGTCAGAACAATCAAAGACGTCATGGTGGCTCAACCGCCTCATTGGCCGAACAAAGAAGGTCTCTGTTGATTGGCCATACCCGTTTGTGGAGGACTGCATGTTCGTTCTTACTCTTACCGCCGGGTTGGAGGGTTACCACGTGAACGTTGATGGACGACACGTCACATCATTTCCGTACCGCACTGTAAGTGGATGTTCCACATTCATCAGAGATAAGTGCAATATTGATAGTGTTGTATTGCTGTGTAAGTGGGCAATCATGTTTAGCTTTTGTCTTTGGTTGTTGTGATGGCAGGGATTTGTGCTTGAAGATGCCACTGGCTTATCATTGAATGGGGATCTTGATGTGCAATCGGTGTTTGCAGGGACTTTGCCCACTGCACACCCTAGCTTTTCACCTCAGAAACACCTAGAGATGTTGCCTATTTGGCAGGCCCCTCCCCTTCCAGACGAACCAATTGAGATTTTCATTGGCATCCTGTCAGCAGGCAACCATTTTGCTGAACGTATGGCTGTGAGGAAGACATGGATGTCTGCTGCCCAGAAGTCCTCGAATGTCGTGGCCCGTTTTTTTGTTGCCCTGGTAAAATCTTGAAGATCAAATTTGATGGCCTGTATGTCCAAGTTGCATGCTTATGTTTGTGGACTTGAGCTGATGAATTATCTTTTCTGCAGAACAGCAGAAAAGAAGTCAATGCAGAATTGAAGAAAGAGGCAGAGTTTTTTGGGGACATTGTTATTGTGCCATTCATGGACAGCTATGACTTAGTTGTTCTAAAGACTGTGGCAATATGTGAATATGGGGTATGTCTAAGATTGGTACATATTTTCGAACTTGCTACTTTCAAGCTGCTCTATTAACATCTAATGAACTGTTTGTCAGGTGCGTGTTGTTTCCGCTCGATATATAATGAAGTGTGATGACGATAATTTTGTTAGACTTGAATCAGTGAAGGATGAACTTAAGAAAATACCAAGAGGTAAAAGTCTCTATGTGGGAAACATGAATTATCACCACAAGCCATTGCGCACTGGGAAGTGGGCTGTCACTTATGAGGTAAGCATGTTTTTATTTTACAATGACCTTATATGTCTTATCATTGATTGAAGTGCTGTAGAGAACATTTCAATAAAAGTTATTTGGCCTGCCTGACGCGGTTTTTGCTGATTCATTGAAATCTTAACAGAAGAATATAGTATTCATGGCAATATGGCATGCTAATGTACTTTACTCAATCTTTCACCCTTTTGAGGCATCTAACAAATAATCACTTACTGTAAACCATACAGCGAAACTTAGCATAACAATGGTATAGAACTTATGTTGCTGATACCCATTGCTGACTGTAGTTGCATTAACTTGTAGCCATATGCACAAGCTTATTGATCCTTCTCTGAGAAAACAGCAATGCTGTCAACCGTTCATTCTTTATGCTGCTATTTTCAAATTTTTCTGTCGTTTTGTCTAACTGTTTATGTAGATGCTTAGTATTTTTGGTATAATAATGATTATAACTTTGAATCCTTTTTGATGAATCAATTATCAGGGCCTACAATTTGTGAAGCTGTTTCAATACATTGTTGTAGTTAAAATTAAGAAATATTTTCTACATGTTGACTAAATTTTCCGCCATTTTAACTAGATCTTGTTAACTAGGTGCATGTGTTCCATCTTTGAAAAATATATTTGGAAGTTGGATCTAACATGATATTTTTTGTAACTGGGCATTCAACATATTAGTGGTGCAGTCTTTGGTTATGGTTGGTATTGTTCTGGGCCAGTTAACTTTGTTTCTCTATAGTGTCAATCTACGGAAAAAAATGTACACTTAATCTCACTGTTCTTTTCTAGTGCCAAGGACCACTTATGAATAGTAGCCTTTGTCATATAGCCTTTTTAGTTTAAAATCATCTGAATTTGTTTAAAATTCAAAGCCTAGGAAAGTTCTGTACCAACTTTGTACATGTACAATGTATTTCTAGGTGGTAATCTACATTCCTTGCATCCTTGGGCTTACACAGTTATGTATGAACCTACATAGGAGAATGGAAATAATTGACGTCCTACAAATTGTGAGAATGGAAATAATTGACGTCCTACAAATTCTGTGTCCTTTTGTACTCTATCCAATTTCGTTTTCTCTTTTGCTGCTTCACCTATACCAACATAGGTTTGGGTGCCTAAAGTCTGCCATGAATTCATTGCACTTATCTTTTTAATTTACAGGAGTGGCCAGAAGAGGATTACCCAACATATGCAAATGGTCCTGGCTACGTTATATCTTCTGATATTGCTGCTTCCATTGTGTCAGAATTTACAGCTCATAAATTAAGGGTAAGCTCAGAAGATTTGCTTCTGGTTGTTTTTTGTGGTGCTAAAAGCGACACATAGGGGTAACTTGGATTCAACAATGGGATATTCATCATATAATATTCTATTGAATTCCTTGTACATAACACATAAGCAAACTACTGTGGATTTTGATGTCATGTTTCGGAATAATCTGAGCGTAGGTTGAGAAGAAAACAACCTGGACATACTAATGAAGTAATGATGGCAGATGTCTAATTCACTCAATTCACATTTGCTTGTTTTGCAGCTCTTCAAGATGGAAGATGTGAGCATGGGCATGTGGGTTGAGCGGTTCAATAACACCAGACATGTTCAATATGTTCACAGTATCAAGTTCTGCCAATTTGGATGCATAGATGATTACTACACTGCACATTACCAGTCACCGAGGCAAATGCTATGTTTGTGGGATAAGCTGCAGTCTGGGAAAGCACAATGTTGCAATATGAGATAGCGACAATGAAACTGGCAGCATCGATCCCCTTCGATTGTGTTAGTGGTCATTCTTCTTTGCTACATGATGATCCTGAGCCCAAGATCGAAGGACTGTTTTGCGATGATAAATTAAGTCCTCAGATGACTAACAAATGGCCATAGTTTCTTGCTTTTCATGTAGAGATGACCGTCGAAACTTTCAGCTAGAAACCAACTCAGGGAATGAATACGAAGTTCAGTGGGCACTAATAGAACTGCTCAAGGACTTCATCTGTACATGTGAAGGGTAGAAAGCTTAGTTGAAATTGTTGCTACTCTTGATATGCCTGATTGTGGTTGAAAGTCATGAACAACCCATCAGGTACGTAGAACATCTTGGCGTTTTACTCAATTTGTCGCAGAATTTTTGATTTGACATGGTCATAAGTTATGACATGTATTTAGTTCTGGCTGCAAACATCTTGCATGAGTTCATGGAGTATCAGATTTTTCTTTTCCTTCTTGTTTTTAGATTCAGGTTGTATCGCTGCAGCTCGAGTGTTCATACGTATTAATTTGAAATGTACGTACATATAATATTTTTGTCGAGAAATACAGTATAAATACATGTGCGCCACCCCTATATACGCATACAAGTATCATGTTTCCTTGAATGTTGTGGATAAATATACTCCAGTTGCTAGATTAGTATAGAGTATTGGTGTTGTGTAAAGTTGTAACAACAGATTCAATAATTAATACAACCATTTCAGTTTCAAATTTAAATTAATCCATATTGTTTTATATTTTAACTGAAGATGATCGAATCTTTCAGTTGAAGGTAATTGTTTGTTACCGAATTAACTGACTGAATTTTAATTTGGTTTGAGTTGATGGAAAGTAAAAAAGCTCTAGGAAAACAGACCAAACTATTCTATCTGTCCTATAAATTACGAAGCTAGTACATACTAGTACTAATCAGATTCGTACTATTAAAAACTCACATTCGATACTTGGTTGGTTTTATGGGAGGAAGAGGGTACTAAAACTCACATTCGATACTTGGTTGGTTTTATGGGAGCTTGGTTGGTTTTATGGGAGGGAGAGGGTAGGATCGAGTCAGAAAGACACCTGAACCTGTACAAAGAAGGCCCAACTTAACTAGGAATAAGTTCACTCCATGACCCTCAAATTTGATCGAAATCTAAACCATGACCCTAAACTACAAAACCAGATATCTCGACCTCCAAACTTCAAAAACCGGTGCAATTTGACTCCCTGAGCGGTTTTGGGAGGTGGTTTTGCTGACGTGGCTTCTACGTGGCAATATTGACCGAGTCTTTGTTACACGTGGCATTGACGTGGCACCAACGTGGCGGTAGAAATAAAAAAATATGCATGGGACCCATTAGGCATTCACACAAAAAGAAATGTGGGCCCACTGACATGTGGGGCCCATATGTCAGTCCTTCTTCCTCCTCCCTCACTCCCTTCTCTCTCTTTCTCTTCCCTTCTTCCCCTTCGCCGCCGCTCCCACCGCCACCGCCGCCGCTCCCTACCACCGACGAGCTCCAGCCCCTCCCCCGCGTGCAGACGGCTGGCGAGCCCCTCCCCCGCGAGCGGACGGCCAGTGAACCTCTCCCCCACGCGCTGACGGCCGGCGAGCCCCTCCCCCGCGGGCGGACGGCCAGCGAGCCGGTGAGCCTCCCCCCCGCGAGTTCCTCTACTGGGCCGCCTCCTCGTCGCCGTCGTTGTCGACCCCCCACTCCCTCCGCACCTACTGCCTCCTCGTCCACCTCCTCTCCCGCATCGCCGCCGCCGCGGGATGGCGACGCCGCTCGCTCTCGCTGTCCCCGCACGCTACCGCCCGAAGGGGAAGAAGGGGAGAGAAAGAGAGAGAAGGGAGAGAGGGAGGAGAAAGGAGGTCTGACATGTGGGCCCCACATGTCAGTGGGCCCATATTTATGACTAATGGGTCCCACGCATATTTTTTATTTCTATCGCTACGTTGGTGCCACGTGTAAGAAAGACTCGGTCAATATTGCCACGTAGGTGCCATGTGGCACCACGTCAGCAAAATTGCCTCCCAAAACCGCTCAGGGAGTTAAATTGTACCGGTTTTAGGAGTTTGGGGGTCGAGATATCTGGTTTTGTAGTTTAGGGTTATGGTTTAGATTTCGATCACATTTGAGGGTCATGAAGTGAACTTATTCCACTTAACTACTAGCTCAGCCCAAGATCAAGAACCCAAACACTATCCGGCCCAATTGTAGTACTTCTCGGCCCAATATGAAGAGCCCAAACAGCATCCGACTTTGGCACCTGTACTACGCAAGGAATTCCCCTACGCAACGCAAAGAGGTACTAGTATCCCAATAAAACCCGCGACCGCAAGGCGCCCCCGGTGTCACCGCCACGCGTGTCCGCGAAACCCGCCGCCTCCCGTCGGCGTGCCGCGTGCCTACCCCTCCCCCTCCCCCGCCGCCGCCGCCGCCCCAAGCGAGTTGCTGGCTCCTTCTTCCGCCGCACGCTACCCCTCCTCCCCGACCCCGCCGCCCCGATGAGCGGCCGCGACAACCACCAATGGCCGCCGCCGCACCGAGGCTACGACCCCCGGGACCCCGCCGCCGCGTGGCAGGGCGACGCCTCGACCTCCGCCGCCGCCGCGGCGGCGGCCGCGGGGGTAAACCCCTACATCTACGTCCCCAACCCCCAGTACGCCCCCAACCCTCTCAATCTCGTCCTCAATCATGTGCTCCACAACCCCGCCGCCCTCGCCGCCTACCATCACCAGCAGCAGCAACAGTACCACCACCACCAGCAACTCCTCCATTCATCTGCGTACCACCAAAACCCTACCCATAATCTCCAGCACCGCGCTGCCGTCCCTGCACCAGCAGCACCGGCGGCCGCCCCTAGCATCCAGCACCGCCCTGTCGCCCCCGCGACAGCCGCGGCCGCGCCGGGGCAGCCTCAGCCGAAGAAGAAGAAGAAACAGAAGGAGCCGGCTCCGCAGGCGCATCCCCCGCCACCCCTGCCCCCACCGCAGCAGCAGCAGCAGCAGCAGCCAAAGCCGCAGCAGCAGCCGGGGGCTCTTGAGAGGGCGCAGGCGGCGGCGAGGAAGGTGCGGGACGAGATCATTAAGGCTGGTGAGGGCGTTACAGGGTGGAAGATAGCGCAGGCGGTGCTGGTGGCGCTCAAAGTGGATTCCTGGGGCTCTCTTGGTGTCCAGCTCCATGAAGTACCCCTCCTGCGCGACCTCTTCCTCGTCGAGGGCAAGGTCAGTTTTGCTTGATTAGCTGCAGGGACAACAATAGTTTGCAATTAATTGTTGCTACTATGTATCCCTGCAAAATTTGTATATGTTCTGTTCAGTCTTAATTTGCGTGCAATTGCTAAATTCTAAAGCTGAAGTTTCATGAGAAAATTGTAGCATAGGTATGAAATTCTGCACTGTGCTGGGTGCGTTGCTGTCGACATATGCAAATTTCACGTTTCTCCTTTAGTATTAACTTGCCATCTTTGTTTATTTCTTTACATTGTTTCTTTTGTTATATAATTGTATCACTTGCTGAATTTCCATTTCTTTTATGTTTTTGCTATAATGTTGTCCCTTTACGTTGGAATGGAACGAGACTACAAGTGGTACAAGTTCTATTCTTCTTCTGAAACAGAAGAAAGGAAAACAAATATCAAACGGTTGAAACTTTCTTAGCCTGAAATTACAAATTGTTTCAGCTCTTGGTGAAAGAATTAAGCAGTTAAATAAATTACCAAAGTCAATGTTGCATAGCATGCCTTGGCAGAAGATAGATAATCAGTTACTTATATATAGTACTGCGATTAGGTGACGCCGTGATAGGTATTTGATGCAAAGGACCCAAAAAGGTGGAATGATGTATGATATGGGAGATAACATAATTCTAAAAGTAGCAAACTACTTCTGATATAAAACAAGCTGAATATTAAGAACCTTTCCATGCAAACATCATTATTGTGAAACTGTGATATTGAATTAGTTTGATGTCGCTTATTTACAATATGTATCGAATTTATTTGCTTTTCCTTTGCACTTTTGAGTGAGCATAAAGCTGCTGAACTTTTGTTGTTAATATCAAATCATCAGTATTTGGTTCAATTTTACTTCGTGATGCTGCTTATTTATTTCACATGGGCATGGCCTTTTTTTTGTCAGGTGAATACATTCATCCATTGCTATGTTGCAGCAAGGAAAATTGTTTCAGTTTATGATTTAGAGTCTGAGATATGCAAAAATGAGAGCATTGGACAGTTTGAAGAGTTGGGGTTGGGGCCTTTTCTTCAGCATCCACTTGTTGCACATTATTTTTCAGTACCTGCCGATTTGTCCTTGGTACCTAAGCTTAGTAGTGACGAGATTATAAATTGGCTTCAGAAGTTTATGGACAACTCTAAAAAGAAAATTACAGTGGAAAACTTCTTGGATTATCTTGCGGAGCAAAAGTCAGTCTCTGGAAAGGAAAACCTTGGTGTACGAATACAAAGCTTGAGGTATGAATGTTAGAATTGAGCACGTACTTATTTATTGACTTCCCCCATGCGTCCAACATTTTTAGTGGTGCATACTTCAAGGTTGAAATAGAAATAACTAGTTTCCTTTGGTCTTTCTTCAGAATTTTCTTCTTTTTCTAATTTGGGAGATTTTGTAGGTTGCATATTTCCTTTCTCCGGCAGGCCAGGAGAACTGAAGTGTCTGCTGTTAAAGTTCAAGGCAACACCAGTGGCTCAGGTGATGGTAGTTGTGAGAAGGATTTGGTGAAAAATAGAAAATTTCATTTGAGCAAACAGGCATTGGATGAGAGGTTCAGTGCTATAACTAGTCGTATAAAGAAATTACCAGGTATCAATAAGCACATCCATTTTGATTCAACCGATGATGAAACTGATGGTGATTCTAGTTCTGAGGGTGATGCAGTTGATAACAGTGAGAGTAAAACTGGTTCTGCTGCTATTGATAACAAGGATGTTGATAAGCGTGTTAGTAGCTGTCCATATCCTTCAAAAACAGAAGAAATGGAGCGTCTTGGCTTAAAGTCTGAAACGAGTAAAAAACCACCTTTGGATAGTAGCAAGGTAAAAGAGAGTAGTAAAAAGGGTTATACGAGAGAAAAAAGGAAATCTGAAGAGAATGGGAGCCCCACCTCTTCATGCAAACGGCCCAAGAAGAAGCAAAAGGTTCAAATGCAAAAGCATGAGTTATCACCTAATTGTTTCTTGAGTATAGGTAAGTTGGAGAAATTCATAACGACCTGGAAGGAAGCATGCCGTGAACATCCAGTTCAACAGGTATGCTAATTCATGATCATATTTGTTTTCTTTCTGTAATTGTTAACCTGAATGATGCCAATATTTGTTTGAAACAAACAGGCACCATAATTATGTAGCTCTATGTACTGATATACAAGTTTCTTTCGATTTATTTGTGATATTTGTCATACTTGTTTGATGGTTTGGTCGTACAATGTACTTCATTTCATTACTTATTTGAAAACACATCATTGATTGTTTAGAAAGAGGTAAGTGTGTTTAGTCTAGACATTTCCAATTTCTAAACTAAATTGTCTTGCATTTCACCATGAAGGTTTTAGAGTTGCTAGCAAATTACTATGCGGAAACACCAAAGGAGAAGAAGAAAATAATAAAGTTTTTCTCCGAGTACCCTGGCATTGGCTTCCTAAATGTTGCCGTGAGTTGATTTCTTCTCCTTTACTCATCCCCCTTATTCGTTTTACTTGTATCTATTATCTACTATCCATACTATCCAAATATGTTGCACAAAATGGCTTTAACCTTTTAGTTGCTACCTAATTCATTTTAAGACAGCGGGTTAATGAACTCATAGGATTTATAGATGCGACTTGCAAGTTATATCCTCTGTTGAGTGGGCCATTCTATGTCTGCGTGTGTTCGAGACTGTCATTATTTGTGTTTGACAAGCAGATTTGTTTGTCTTTGATCAATCCTATGTGTGTGCTCATCTGTACTATTTTATCTCCTGTCCTCCCATATTTGTCCATTTCATCCTGGAGAAAATTCAAATTCGGCTTTTGGAATGCAGTATTCCAGTACCTGCCCATTTCAATTTAGCGTTTGGGGTTGTAACTCCGTTTTCAAATAACTAATAACCTAGACTCTTGATTTGAACTTTGACCACTAATTACTCTTAAATGATTGGGCTAAAGTGCAGAAAAAGTTTCATGCTTGTATTGAGGACATAATACACTTTAATAACATGGCAACCTTTTTAATGTTTTTAGATATTTTGCAAAAAAGGACTAGTGGTCAAAGGTTAAAAAAGATTAGTTCCCATTATCAGTTATTTGAAAACGGAGTAATAAATAAAATTTAGGAGTATATATGATACTACCTCCGTCTCATATTACTTGTCGCTTTAAGTTTCTGTTTGTAATGTTTGATCATTCGTCTTATTCAAAAAATTTTGGAATTATTATTTATTTTGTTTGTGACTTGTTTTATTATCAAAAGTACTTTAAGCTTGACTTATTATTTTTTATATTTGCACTAATTTTTAAATAAAACGAATGGTCAAACGTTTCAAGAAAAAAGTCAAAGCGACAAGTAATATGGGACGGAGGCAATACTTATGATAGTTATGTGTTTAATTCTTGTCATTTTAGCTTGATTATTTCATTTGGGCTTGGAATGGAGAAAACATTATTCAGATTTTGGCTGGTATTTGAATGAGTGGAAAGGCTGATTCTGCCCGGAACAGGATGGAATAACCAGCATAGTAGCTGCTAGTACACAGCCTCCTCTGCTGGTTTGGGTGGTGGTACTGCACATTCCAGCCAGTTCCAGATTCCAGAATGGAATTGATAAGATCTCTTCTTTGCCACTTCTGAATAATGGAATAAGAAGAATTCTTCCATTCTTTTTCTCGAGGGAGAAAAACCAAACTAAAGCAGAATTCCTAGTAAAAATAAATCCAGGATTCTTCCACTTAGATGAAACAGCTTAGATGAAATAGTAAGTAATAGTCCCGCTCGCATCCATGGTAAATGTTAAAGGAATTATACTTGCAGGGATACGGAAATACGCTAGTCACTCAGTTTCTGAAGACTCAAGCTGTTGATTTCAGCTTTCGTAGGGGTCATTTGGGGATTGTTTAAGCATAGGGATGGGCGAGGTATGGTTCAATTGACAGGTGGTTGTTATGTGAATTGAATTTTCATTTTACAATCAAGTGACTGTTAAAAAAATACAATAAAGTGGCTGAAAATAGGTTGTGGTAGAAACAAGGTACCTGGTGACTATGTCCCTTTTTTTAGCATAGGCCTTAGAGATAGTTTACCACAGCACACAAGAGCATCACTTCATCAGTTCGTGGACCTCTACCAACGATGTCCATAACAAATGAGGTGTTGATTTTTTTTATTTTCTTGTAGTTATCTGTCTAGTATTCATATGGTAGTGCACTAAATAAATAAATTCCAATATATATTGTCCTGAAGCATCCATGACTAGCCAGATTTTGCATGCAGTTACACATGTTTTCTCCCTGGAGATATTTGCTTTACCTTTCTTGGTGGAGGTATTATTTCTATGGAGAGCCAATAAAGGATTGAATTGTGTTTTAACAGCTTGCATTATTTAAGTAAATAGACTTTTTTTTAAAGGACTAACAGTGTCCAACCAGCAAAATCTGGCCCAGCCATAAACTATGGTTGGGACACATTGAACAGGACAAACCGACTTTACTTGCCTAAGAGCATTTCTTCCCTTTCTCCATTTGCTATAATAGTTTGGTACCATTTTGGGGTGTTTGTTTTATGTACTGCAACATGGATATGCAGGTTAGAGCGATGGGATGTGGTCTGCTGGATAGTCTTTATGATGCGATCAATGTCTTTAATGAGAATAAATCATCATCAAATATTCCTGATACCACCACTGAGCTTATGGAAGTGGAGCCACCACCAAGTAAAAGAAAATCAAAATGTGTCGCGAAAGGAGACAATGATACCAATGTTGGCAGCAAGGATCCTGGATGCAGTACTCTCTCTCTCTCTCTCTCTCCCCCTGTGGCACACACACACAACACTATTTGTTTTGTTTGATCTTCACACAGAATTCTGTGCCATGCCATGGAACTGAAAGAAATTGAAATTCCCTTTATGTTGCTTTTCGAAACTTGCAACACCTAAGTCAAAGAAATACCACCTTTTTCACGTTTATCATATATTCCTGCAGGTGTCACAGCTGATGATGTAATCAGGAGAATTACTGAATTTTTTGAGTCCAATCGTGGAGTGTCCAGAACCGATGCTTCGCAAGTGAGAAAATCTACATTCTTGAGAACACTTCTCGATTGTGAAACATGCATAACTGCTAAATTTTCAGCCAACCAATTTAGCGCTCTTGGCCATGGTACTTTCCTCGAGTTCTTGGGGAAACATGAGCAACATTTACCCCCTAAGTTGAGCAGTTTCTTGAAAGTCGGAAAGTTAACACATTCTTCAGTGGAAGTTTCTGTACTGCAGCAACAGATTGAGGTTTTACTCTGCCAAGCTGGGGGTAATTGGCTTGAAGATGGTGAGTTTTCGGAGGATAGTTTCTCTAAGCTTCTCAAAAGGCAATTTCCAACTATTAGCTTTGATATTGTGCAAGATAAATCTGGAGAAGGACTTCTTGATTCTATTGAGAGACAAAGGAAAAACATAGAAATAAATAATATCATGTTTTCTATGTCTTTGTTGGAGAAACGGTGGTCTGGTATTGTTCCAGGTAACCATGATACCGTTGATGGGCTAATGAATGATATTCAACAATCTTGTTCTGTAACAGTCTCCTCACAAGAAGCAATTAAATGTTTGCTTAAGGCTCCAATGCTGTCAGATCTACTTACTTGGTCGCATTGGGATTTGTTGTTTGCTCCCTCTCTGGGTTCCTTCATGCACTGGTTGCTGAATACAGGCCCAGTTCAAGATCTAGCTTGCATCGTGACCACAGATGGTAGGTTTATTAGAGTTGATCCATCTGCTACTGTTGACCAATTTTTAGAAGGCATTATTCAATGTTCACCATTCCAAGTGGCAGTGAAGCTGCTTTCCTTGCTACATGTTTATAATGGTTCTACCAACACTCCAATTTCCTTGTTGAAGTGTTATGCACAACGAGCAATAGGCATCATAATGGACAACGGTAATGATTTGCTGAACACTAAATCTGAAGGCAAATCCTTTAGTGCAAGGAACATTTGGTCTGATATGTCAAAAGACATTGACGACATAGTTCATCTGGTTGCCAAATTTGTACTTGACTGTCTTGGTCATCTACCTTCCGAATTCCGGAGTCTTGCAGCAGATGTTTTATTGGCAGGACTTCGAACTATCACGAAGAATTGCTATTCAGCCATCTTGCTTGAAGCCACTGAAACCGGGCAGCTGTGCATGCTTCATGATATTGGGTTATCACTTGGAGTAGCAGAATGGGCTGAAGATTGTCGCAGATTATGTTTAACTGACGAAATTCATGCAAATATAGAAATGCATGCTTCTTCTAGGCATCCATCAACTGCATCTGGAGTTGCTATATGCGAAAACTCTAACTTGCTTAATGCTACTGATGTTGATATAATGAAGAGGAGCAAGTCATTGCCTGGCAAGGATAATCAAATTGTTGCTGTAAGTAAAAACCAAAATGTATTAAATATCGTCACAGCAAAGCTTGATACTGCAGAATTCATTACTAACAAATCTCCCACCTTGGGAGAAGTGAATCCTGAGGAAGCAACTCTAGTTATTGAGACCATACGCCGTGAAGAATTTGGTTTGGATCAGTCCTTAAGTTGCACTGAAAATAGTTTGTTGAAAAAGCAGCATGCTCGACTTGGCAGAGCACTTCATTGTCTCTCACAAGAACTATACTCCCAGGATTCTCACCTACTTCTTGAGCTGGTAAACTTCTCCCTGCATGTTTTTACTGCCTTGTTTTCTTCGCTTGCTCTGGAGGCGATAGCATGAACATCTGGATTTCTTTTTTGCTGACATTAATGTACTCTAATCAGGTACAGAATGCTGATGATAATACTTATGTTGAGGATGTTGAACCCACATTAGCATTTATTCTTCAAGACAATGGTATTGTTGTTCTCAACAACGAGAGTGGCTTCTCCGCTGAAAATATTCGAGCACTTTGTGATATTGGTAGCTCAACAAAGAAAGGATCCAACCAGGGTTATATTGGAAATAAGGGCATTGGATTCAAATCAGTATTTCGGGTAGGGTAAAATCATGTTCTAACTATATTTACCTTAGTGCTGTGTAAATTCTGTGGTTGCATGCCTTCTTATATGTAGTTACATGATCTTATCGTAACAGTTAATTGCTTCATTGTTTATACTTTTACACCTTGTAGGACCTTTGAGTTATGTAGGAATGGTTCCATTTTCATTTCATTATTATATCTTTTTCAGGTAACTGATGCTCCCGAGATCCATTCAAATGGTTTCCACGTGAAATTTGATATTACAGAAGGCCAAATTGGTTTTGTATTGCCAACTGCAGTTGCACCTTACAATACTGATTCTGTAAGTAGAATGTTATCTGTTGAAGATGTCAAGGACTCTTCTTCCTTCTGGAATACTTGCATTGTGCTTCCATTCAGATCAAAATTCAAGGAGGGTACCGGCATGCACTCCATTGCATCCATGTTTTCAGATCTCCACCCATCTCTGCTCCTGTTCCTTCATCGGCTAAAATGCATCAAGTTTAAGAACATGATGAATGATACGCTATTGGTTATGAGAAGGAAGGCCCTTGGTAACGGCATTGTGAGAATTTCAAATGGGAATGATATGATGAGTTGGTTGGTAGTTAGCAAGAAGTTACAGGGCACAATTGTACGCAATGATGTGTGCTCTACAGAGATAGCTGTGGCATTTACTTTGCAGGAGACTCAGATGGGGGAGTATGAGCCTTACTTGAAGCAACAACCCGTATTTGCTTTTCTACCTCTAAGGAATTATGGTCTTAAATTCATTCTTCAAGGGGATTTTGTCTTACCTTCTTCCAGAGAGGAGGTGGATGCTGATAATGCATGGAACCAGTGGTTGCTGTCTGAATTTCCTTCTTTGTTTGTCAGTGCACAAGAATCCTTTTGTGCTCTTCCTTGCTTCCAGGGTTGCCCTGGAAAGGCTGTTACAACCTTCATGAGTTTTGTTCCTCTAGTGGGAGAAGTTCATGGATTCTTTTGTCAGCTACCTCACTTGATCCTTTCAAAGTTACGTCTCACCCGTTGCATGGTTTTAGAGGGCTCTAGTTCGCGATGGGTCTACCCATGCAACACTCTTCGAGGTTGGGATGAACAGACTAGAATATTAATTTCTGATAGCTTACTTCTGGAGCATCTTGGTCTTGGGTACCTATCAAAAGATATAATCATATCTGATACATTATCAAGGGCCCTAGGTATTCATGAGTATGGACCAAAAGTTTTGATTGACATCATATCATCTATTTGTCGAGTTGATGGTTGTATTGAGTCACTGGGGCTGGAATGGCTATGTGCTTGGTTCATTTCTCTTCATTTATCATTGATGCACCATTCTTCCAAAAATCTTCCATTAACCACAAGCCCTGAAGATCTTTTGTGTGCTCTCAGAAAAATACCATGTATTCCACTTTCAGATGGTTCATTTAGCTCTATAGCAGATGGACCCATATGGTTGCCTTATGATGTTCTCAATTCAAAACCTGATTCCAGAAGTAGTATGCTGAACTTTCCTGTTCTATATAGTAACCTTCGGACAATAAAACCCCGCCTTCTATCTGTGTCTTGTCAAAACAAGTATCTCACAGAAGAAATGCGAGCAAACGACCTGATGGACATTCTGCTGAAGATGGGAGTGCGGAAGTTGTCTGGACATGATATTATAAAAAATCACATCCTGGTGTCTTTGTCTAACAGTACAGAAGCTAATGTGGCCAATACAATGATGATAGAGTATGTGAGCTTTATAATGCTTCATCTTCAGTCTCCTTGTGCAAGCTGTAACTTTGAAAAAGAAGAGATAATGTCAGAACTACGGAGGAGGCCTATCTTACTTACGAACCATGGCTACAAGTGCCCATATGATGAACCAATTCACTTCAGTAAAGAATATGGAAATTCTGTGGACTTATGCAAGTTACTTCTGAATGTAGAAATAAAATGGATTGAACTTGATAGTTGCTATTTGATGAATCGTGGTTCAGATTCATTACCACCATTTGAACTTAAAAAATGGAGGCAATTTTTTGAGGAGATGGGCGTGACTGACTTTGTTCAGGTAGTGAAAGTTGAGAAAAATATTTCCCAGGCTGATTCTTCTCTTGCAGGAAGACTTTCTCAAGGTCATCATTCTGGAACACCCTGCATTGTGTATGACTGGGAGTCGCCAGAATTGGTTAGCATTTTGTCAACATTTTCTTCCAAAAAATGTCGAGAAAATTGTGTGTATCTTCTGGAGGTGCTTGACAAATTCTGGGATGCTCACTATAGTGCAAAAGCTAGAATCCATGCAGATGCGACACATTCTGGTGAAAACATAGCAGTTGAATCGTCCTTTATGAATTCTATTCGTACCTTCAAATGGATAGCATCAGCTATGGATGAGGACCTTCATTATGCAACAGATTTATTTTATAATACTGAAGATGTGCGTTCCATTCTTGGTAGTGTGGCACCATATGCTGTACCTCAGGTTAGTATTTGTATTTGTCAATCTTCATGTCCGAGTACTCATGAAAAATATCATCACCAACTTTCTGCTGCCGTAAGAAAGAAAGAAACTGCTATTCACCTTAGGAACATAAACTCATTCCTATATATGGAACAGGTATGCAGCAGATCACTTGGGAAAGATATTGGATTCAAAATAAAGGTATCACATAGTGATGCTTTGATGATCCTCAAATCCTGGATTGCTTCACAGACTTCTTTTAGTGCAAGGTACTTGATTTCAATGTCTGTATTTTAATCATAGCATTTTGTGATCTGCAATTTTAGAGCGTATCAGTCATGTAAGGAGTACTAATCTAAATATTCCCAGTCCCCATCTATATCATGTATGTACTGCAGTTTAAGAATGGGATATCTTTGTTCTAAACTTGGTAATGCTTTGACCTTCTTTTTTCAGTATGGACCAGATGTGCAAATTCTACACCTTTGTGTCAGAAGGTTTTGCCACTGCAACGATTGACATTAAACGGGAGTTTTTGTCTTGCTCCTCTATATTTACACCATTAAACCGTGCTCGATCTAATGATTTTGTTCCTGGAAAATTCTTGTCCCCAAAAGATCTGTATTGGCATGACCCAACAGGCTGTTCTGAAATAATAACAGAGAAAGTCATTTCAATGAAGAATAAGATTAGTATGTTCCCAAGAAAGATGCTATCTTCAGCCTATCCCAGCCTTTGCGAATTCTTTACTGAGGCATGTGGTGTACCAAAGGTTCCCAAGACATCTGACTATGTTGATATACTTTTAGGGCTGTCGAATGCTGCATTACCTTCAGAAGTAGCCAATCAGGTAAGTTGATTTTGTGCATGAATTACCGAAGATTATATTTTGTAATAGCTCATCAGTATAAAGCTTTTATATATTTGAATGTTGTCTGTAGCTATTTCCAGCTAATTATTGTTTTTACAACAAAACACCATTCTACATGATTTTGTCTTGTAAGGTATCTCCTTTAAATTTCCATCTCTCTTTACACTCTCTATGTAGGTCTTTCATGTGTTTGCGAGGTGGGCTAATGATCTCCATTCTGCAAATGACAATATGAATGATATATTGTTCTTGGAAGGATCTCTTCAAAAGTTGGAGACAACAATACTGCCAACCTTGGGTGATAAATGGGTCTCTCTCCATCCTTCTTTTGGCCTTGTTTGCTGGGTAGATGATAATGAGTTGATGCAACACTTTGAGGACTACAATGGTGTTAACTTCATACAATTTGGAGAACTTTCTTATGAAGACAAGCAACTGCTGTATGGAAGAATTGCTGCATTGCTAAAAAGCCTAGGCATCCCTGCACTTTCTAAGGTAATTAAAATCCTGTTTTGGGAACGGTCATTGACCTTTTTTATCTACTTTTACCTGGAAGACCATTCATTTTTGTCACTGAGAGAAATTTTAATAATTTCAGTGTTCTTTATTTATGAAAAATATTCTCCAAATTAATCTCTATTAAGAGAACAAATTTTATCATTGAGAGAAAATTTAATAACTTCTGAGTGTTCTTTACTTATGGAAAACATGTTCCAAATTAATCTCTATTAATAGAACAAAAAAAGGGCACAAAATAGAATGATTACTGAACTGGCTGTGGCACCAGTGTGTTTTTCATGCACTTCTCAGATACCTATTTTCTACGATCCACCACTGCTCATCCTGAGTGGGTAGTAGCAAATCGGAGAAACTTCAAGGTGGATGAATCTTGATTATTTTATTTTATGTATTTATTTATTTTGCAAAATATGTTTGGATGATGCTGACTTTACACAGCTTTTCTTTTGCGGGGAACTTTAGCCAGCTGTCAAAATTGACTGCCTTTGATGAGACGCTCAGTTCAGTTGATAGCAGCTGAAAATATGCGTTCTGTCTGAATGCTGCACATGCTTTGATATTTAATTCTTACACATCTTTTACTGATTATGTAAATAAATAAATGCATATTTAACAATTGCATATATACATCAAATTGCTCAAGCATACGAGTAGGAACTTACATATTGAATATTCTTAGCAGCAACTATTGTCCATTTTCTGTATGTTTCTCATCCAGGATTGTTGCCCTTCTCATAGGTTATTTATCGTGAAGCAATATTTTACGGTACAGTGGATAACAGAGAAAAGGTTACAGTAATTTCTTGGCTATTACCATATATGCAACGCTACATCTATAAGATGCATAGAGATACATATGTAAACTTTCAACAAAATGAAATCACGAAGCTTAGCAATCTCCAAGTTATTGTTGTTGAGAAGTTATTCCACAAGTATAAGCTGAAAGAACGTGAGAGTTCTTGTAAGAGAAGATTCAAATGCAATTGCCTATTGCAGGTTAGTATCTACCTTTCTATTAACTACCTGCTCTTCATTTGTTTCTTATTCTTATAAGAAAGAGAACTTCTGGAGAAGCCCTTTTTGCTAGAATTCCACCCACAAACAATTGTATTTCAAGTTCTGATTATTTTGATTTATTTTTTTCCACATGTGGAGGCCTGTAGGGTAGCATTATTTATCGACCTCCTTACCTTCTAAGCTTCATGCCTTTTGAACTTTATGCTATGCAAATGCATGCATAATGTACTCATTACTCAACAGTAAAATTTTACTCTGATAAAGTCAGCTCTGATTTCCCAAATCCATTTGTTATGTTCCTTATTTCCAGGGAAATAATCTATATGCTACGCAAGAAGCTGATTCACATTCACTGTTTCTGGAACTGTCTAGACTTTTCTTTGATGGATCCCCTGATCTGCACTTTGCGAACTTTCTGCACATGGTCAAAACCATGGCAGATTCTGGCACCACAGCTGAACAAATAGAGTCTTTTATCGTTAATAATCAGAATGTGCCTGATTTGCCTGAGCATGAAGCTGTTTGGTCCTTTTCTTCCTTGATCATAGCAGACCAAGATGTTGATTGCCAAAGAACTGAATTCCAATCTATATGTGACAGTCAGAAAACTGAAATCCGATCTACATGTGAACTCAATATTTCCAAGCATCAGAGAACGTCTGGAGTTGCTTCAAGTTGGCCACCAAACGACTGGAAAACAGCCCCAGATTTCATAACATCTCACAATAGCCAGTTTACACCCAATCAAGAGACAAACTTGAACAATGTTGTACCTTCGTTAGACTTAACCAAGACTCAGTGTGAAAACTCAGAAGATATTGTGGGTCCTGTTGATCTTGAAGGGGATTGGATTACAGAAGATGATTTTGGATCAGAAAATACAGTACTTGCAGAACGTATAGGGGCAACTGGCGATGAGCCTCATATGGTGATGTCGATTAACTCTGCCAATTTGCCGGCTTATTTGGATTTAGAAACCGGAAGCTCAGCAAACTCAGTGGTGGATATTGAGCTAACAGAATTCAATGATAAACTGGCAAATGTTTCGGAGAAGAGGGATAGGCTCTGCATAAAGGCTCCAGACAGAGACAAATTATTGAGAATTGGCAAGCAAGGGGAAGCTGCAGCCCACCAACATTTTGTTGATCATTTTGGATCCAATAATGTCAGGTGGGTGAATCAAGAAAATGAAACGGGGTTGCCTTATGACATTGTTGTCACACACAAATCGGGTTTCACAGAATATGTGGAGGTGAAGGCAACAACAAATTCATACAAAAATTGGTTCTACATTACATTGAGGGAATGGCAGTTTGCATTAGAAAAAGGCAATGCCTTTACCATTGCTCGTGTTGTTCTGAAGGATTCAAAGAAAGCAAATGACAAATCAAATGTTCTCATTTTGAAGAATCCATACAAACTTTGCCTGAACAAATCAGTGTATCTTGCCCTCATAATACCACAGCAATATCAAACAAAACGCCGTTACTTTGAAGGTAACTCGGATTTGCAAAGTGAGGTAAACCATTGAGATCTGCAACTTTGGCTAAGCCTTTACTCAATAGGAAGGGAGGTTGTGGGGATTTTGCCACTGCACCTTTACTTCAATAGGTACAATCTGACATACGCTATATCAGTTTTGTTTGGCTCCATATTTACCAACATAGGGTTTTCCATAGTAAGCTCATTCTATGCTTTCTGGATATACTACTTGTCGCGATGGTTCTCGGCCATGTCATAGGACATCACCTCGTCTAACTTGTAATTTTAGCTGTTGTAACTATTCATCCAACTTTGTGGCCTCGGTTTTCAGTTCGAGGTTCTTGATACATGAACGTGCCTGATCATAATGAAAAGTCCCATTGCAATTGTACAAATATCTCAATTTTAATTACCATGTGTTATTTACTTTCCAGTAATACGTTACCAGAATCCTCCAATTTCACATATACAAAGAGGTGTGTGCCAATTCCATACTGGAGTACTCCTATATTTTTAAGTCACATACTAAGGGTGTGTTTAGATTCCAAAATAAATTTTGGTCAAAAATGTCGCATCAAATATTTGGACATATGCATGGAGCATTAAACATGGGAAAAAAAATCAATTGCACAGTTTGCATGTAAATTGCGAGACTAATCTTTTTGAGCCTAATTGTGCTATGATTTGGCAATGTGATGCTAAGTAAACATTTACTAATGGTGGATTAATTAGGCTTAAATAATAAATTTGTCTCGCAGTTTAAAGACAGAATATGTAATTTGTTTTTGTTATTAGTCTATGTTTAATACTTTAAATGTGTGTCTGTATACTTAAAAAAAAAATTTGGACGATGAACTAAACACGGCCTAACATGAGGAGTATGTGTAGCGAGCTTTCGAATGCCAACATGAGGAGTATGTGTAGCGAGCTTTCGAATGCACAAGGTCATTCATACCTGTTGTTCAGATGAAGTTTTTATGTGACCGGATGAGCAGTGGGGACGTGTGGTCCTTTGCCCAGTCGCACCAACATCTATTACTAGGGACACGGGCACCAACTGACGACATTACGAACAATGGCCCGGTTTCTCGAGGAGTACCAGAAATCTAACTTGCGAGACAACTGCCACGAACTAAACTGACGAACTAGATGGAACGAACAATCCCGTGCAATAGTCCCTGCCTAAACTGCCGTCCTCATACCCGTCGTTCGTGTCCCATACGTGGAACCGATCATTGCACCGTGCTATGTACTTTGGTCGGGTCTAGTCCAGCCAGAATATGGTGGTGGTGTCGGCGCAGCCGCACTAACGCGGCACGTCGACTCGTCGTACCTGCTGCTTGTTTTTTTGAGTGGAAACGGACTCGCGCACCGGCAGCAGGCGAGCGGGAGAATTCCGTTGCATTCAAACCAAACCAACCTAACCAGCACCAAAGCTGTGGCCAGCCACTTTACCCCCTCCCGCATCGCACGCGCCCCGACCTAACGCAACGACCCGACGCGTCTCTTCTCCTCGTCGTCGGTGCCGTGCCGCTCCGGTTGGACTCTCTCCTCGACGGCGCCGGTCTCGGCCTCTCGGGTTATCTCCGCGTCGTCCAAACGCTCGCCCACACGCGAAAGAAAAACGCACACAAAAACACACGCAAAACGAGCCGTTGCGACCTGTCTCTCTCTCTCTCTCTCCGCTAATCCGGTGAGTCCCCCACCACCGCAACGGTCCGGTCTTTAATAAACACCCAGCCTCCCACTTCACCTCTCGCTTCGCTTGTCGCTTCCGCCTCGCCACGCCTCGCTTTTCCAATGCCGCCGCCGAAGCGCGCGTGCCGCCTCGCGCTGCTCGCCGCCGGGGGAGCCTACCTCCTCTTCCTGCTCCTCTTCGAGCTCCCCTCCGTCTCCATCTCCGTCTCCACTGCCTCGCCGGCGGCGGCGGCAGCGGCCACCACGCACCGCCCGCGCCGCCGCGAGCTCGAGGCGGCCTCCTCCTCCTCCTCCTCCTCCTCCTCGCCTCTCCGCCCGCTCAAGACCGCCTTCCCTTCCCGCCGCTCCCCGCTCGCCGTCTCGTCGATCCGCTTCCGCCGCCGCAACTCGTCTTCCATCGATGCTTCCGCCGCCTCCGCCTTCGCCGCCGCGCGCCCGCTCATGCACCACCTCCTCTCCTCCTTCTCTTCCCCTTCCCCGTCGTCCTCGCCGTCCCCATCTCCGTCCACGTCCGATTCATGCCCGTCCACGATCTCGGTGCCTACCCACCGCCTCACAAGCGGCGGCGGCGGTGGCAATGGCGGGGGTGTGACGGTGGAGCTGCCGTGCGGGATGGGGGTGGGATCGCACGTCACGGTGGTGGCCCGGCCGCGGCCGGCGCGGCCGGAGAGCGAGCCGAGGATCGCGGAGAGGAGGGGAGGGGAGGCGGCGGTGATGGTGTCGCAGTTCATGGTGGAGCTGCTCGGGACCAAGGCGGTGCAGGGCGAGGAGCCGCCGCGGATACTGCACTTCAATCCCAGGATCCGCGGCGATTTCAGCGGCCGCCCCGTGATCGAGCTCAACACTTGCTACCGGATGCAGTGGGCGCAGCCGCAGCGGTGCGAGGGCTGGGCGTCACAGCCGCACGAGGAGACAGGTAAACTCTCATACTACTATATCTTATCACTTGGTATCTAAATTCCCTTCAAAAATGTATATTTAAATGTTAAATTAGCCTCAAACTGATGTGAACTTTAACATTTTGGCGAATGGTTTTGGCCATTCAGTTGACGGGCAACTGAAATGTGAGAGATGGATTCGGGATGATAACAGCAAGTCAGAGGAATCAAATGCGCAATTGTGGTTAAACCGTTTGATTGGTAGGGGAAATGAGGTGGCCGCCGATAGGCCATACCCGTTTGAGGAGGGCAAGCTGTTTGCTTTAACTGTAACAGCTGGTTTGGATGGCTACCATGTCAATGTTGATGGGAGACATGTTGCGTCGTTCCCTTACCGCACTGTAAGTTTGTTAATTATGCTCCTATAGATTGCTGGTCAGTTTTTTTATGCCATCATAAGATTTGATTATTTGATTGTGGTTTAATTGTTGGTGCAACAGGGTTACAGTCTCGAGGATGCAACAGGCTTGTCTTTGAAGGGAGACCTTGATATCGAGTCGATTTTAGCGGGACATTTGCCCAATTCACATCCTAGTTTCGCTCCTCAGAGATACCTGGAAATGTCTGAACAGTGGAAGGCACCACCACTGCCAACTGAACCTGTTGAGCTTTTCATTGGCATTCTTTCAGCAGCCAATCATTTTGCTGAGCGTATGGCTGTTCGGAAGTCATGGATGATTGACACGAGAAAATCATCTAATGTCGTTGCCAGGTTCTTTGTCGCTCTGGTAGGTACTTATGTTCATGACTGGGTTTTTCGAATATGTTATTTGCCTGATGCAAACTCTAACCAAAAAAGCACCTTCACAGAATGGGGAAAAAGAGATCAATGAAGAGCTGAAAAAGGAGGCAGAATTCTTTAGTGACATTGTTATAGTGCCTTTCATGGATAGCTATGACCTTGTTGTTTTGAAGACCATAGCCATTGCTGAGTATGGGGTAGGCAATTGGACTTTACTGGACAAATACATCATTCATTTTTTACCATGCTTCTATTTGATTGACCTTCATCCTCATGTTAACCTTGTAGGTGCGAATTGTTCCTGCAAAATACATAATGAAGTGTGATGACGATACATTTGTTAGAATTGACTCAGTGCTGGATCAAGTGAAGAAAGTAGAGAGGGAAGGAAGCATGTATATTGGTAATATAAACTACTATCACAGACCTTTACGATCTGGAAAGTGGTCTGTATCATATGAGGTAAGAATCACAAGATGCCATTTGCTTTGCGATTAAAGGAGTCACACTATGTATGATGCTGACCCTTGATTACAAAAATGAATAGTCTTTGTTTTGTATTTCCTTCATAAGTGGAACTTAGTTGTTCAGCATAATGCTGCTTTATAGAGCTGGCACATATATTCTGCTTTTTATTTTTATATCAATTTATGGTTCAGTGCATTCATGTTGATCCTCTTTCAAACATAACTATTTCCGAGTTACCATCATTTGTCCTTTAAAACCTGACATTGGCATCTGTTAGTTTGTTATCATATTTCTCATGGTAGCAGTGAACTAGTGATGAGTTTTACGCGGCAGGAGTTTGATGTGGTTTCATGCTTCTTTCAGGAATGGCAAGAGGAAGTATACCCACCTTATGCTAATGGGCCAGGCTACGTAATTTCTTCAGACATTGCCCAGTACATTGTATCTGAATTCGATAATCAGACGCTAAGAGTACGTTTATCTACCCTATCCCTGGTCACTGAACATAGAAATGGAGTATTATGTTTAGAACGTGATAAATGGATGTATCATTTTTGTGATGCAGCTCTTCAAGATGGAAGACGTGAGTATGGGAATGTGGGTTGAGAAGTTCAACAGCACCCGTCAGCCAGTGAAGTATTCGCACGATGTCAAGTTCTTCCAGTCCGGTTGCTTTGATGGCTACTACACCGCACACTACCAATCCCCGCAGCAGATGATTTGCCTGTGGAGAAAATTGCAATTCGGCAGCGCTCAATGTTGCAACATGAGGTAGTATGGACGCTGACAAGAGAAAGCTCGTTTTAACCACTAACTAACGGCCATCAACAAGGATGTGTTTGGAGGTTCACCATTCTATGTACCTTGTGGCCATTCGTTCATTCTTTTGGTCAGTGGCCGATTGAGCTACTGATGCTGACCAGATGTTCCTTGTGTTTGTCTATATACACGTTCAGGAACGAAAAATTCTGCCACTAGCAGGAAGTATGCTGATTCCATCCAGATAATTGTCTCATCCCAATTTTAGATTGAATTTTATGGGATAGAGCGAGTATAATGTAGAGTTGTAGCCTCCATCTAAATTTATTGTAATAGATTAGATTTTGTTTTATCCTAATTTTAGATTTAATTTAGATTCTGTTTTATCCTAATTTTAGATTTATTTTTATGGGATGGAACGAGTATGAGCCTGTTCAGCTGCCAGGGCTGCGGCCGCAGCATGAACAGTGTCGCACTCACTATACGTAGCCGCAGCCGCAGCCCTCTCGGGAAGGGGCTCGATAATGTAGAGTTGTAGGCACTATTTACAATGTCATATCTAAGATGGTGTTCTTTTCTCTTGAAGATGAAGATTAAGTTTTTTACGCAAAACGATGTGTTATTAATATATAATTGATTGAGTTTTAATTATTACAAACTTAAAAAATAGATTAACAATGATATTTTAGAGCAACTTTTATATAGAAAGTTTTCGTACAAAACGTACTGTTTAGCCGTTTGAAAACGTACCACGAAAATTTTTATCTTCATCCAACTTTTGTTGGAAAAATGAACAGGTATATTTTGATATATTTTCGGGATTAAGATAGTTTTACTAATTTAGAGAGGGAGCACAAGTTCCAAACTTCCGGTACAAAGTGCCGCGTGTCCACCCTGACTGTTCGTGGCAGACTACTGCACCTTTGGGTGGGTCACTCCCAAGTCAAGCATGACCCAGCACGCAGCAGTGCCGCACCGCACCGCACCGCACCACCGCTCATCCGAGCAAACGTGGAGAGGAAATGGCAGAATCCGATTCCCCCGCACCAGCACCGGCTCGCATTGCACCCTTGCACCGTTGCACGCACGCAGAAAAGAAAAGAAAACGTCGCGCACCGACGCGGCCCTCGTGACGGACGGGGTCAAAACCGTCGACGAGACGGCCGCGCGCCCACGGAACACAGGCGATCCCGCCTCTTGTCTTTCCAGTGGGCGCCGCGCCGGAATTCCAACTCCACAGACCGCGCTACCTTTCCCACTCCTCTGCCTCTGCTCTGCTTCACCTTCCTTCCACCATAGCAGCGGTTAAATATTTATATAAGCGAGAAACCGCTCACCCAAGCGGCCATGAACCCGCTCCCATGGCGCCCCTCCGAACACTCGTTATCTTCCTCCTCCTCCTCCTCGCGCTCGTCCCGGCACTCTCGCGCCCGGATGGCGGCGGCGGCGGCTTCTATGACCCGGCGCGCGTCACCCAGCTATCCTGGCGCCCCAGGTCGGTCTGCCTTTGAGCTCTTTCTTGGTTGGGTACTTGGGTCTGCAGTGCTTGGCTGCGCGCCACCTGTTTGGCGATTTGCGTCTGACAGCGCGAGGCTCCTCCTCTTGCAGGGCGTTCCTGTACAGCGGCTTCCTCTCGCACGACGAGTGCGACCACCTCGTCAATCTGGTGAGTTGCTGCTGCTGTGATTCCCTCTTGGTGATGCGAATGGGAGATTGTTGTGAGTTGCGATCTTGATGCTTTTTGTTTTGGGGAATTTGGGGTTGTGACGTTAGGCGAAGGGGAGGATGGAGAAGTCGATGGTTGCAGACAATGATTCCGGCAAGAGTATCATGAGCCAGGTGCGCACCAGCTCCGGCACCTTCTTATCGAAGCACGAGGTAAGCAAAATGTGCATGTTATGCTGCGCAATACCGCTTCTTCAATTTGTTCCTGTATGCTGTTCGGTGCTGCTAATTATATAGCCATAAATTGATCGTATATTCATATATGCGTGGGAGAAAAGAATTTGTCTCTGTGGTTAGTGCATTGGATTAGCTCGATATTGTGTTCGATCATTAGAAATTTCGCCGGATCTGGCTTTATGGTAATGCAAAAGAGATTGATTTGTTCTTCGATTTTAGTTTCTAGAACCTTAGTGTCTTGACTTTGATACGGTACTCTCAAGAGTCAGCATTGCTAACCTACTCCTTTTTATTTTGACCCATTCAAGGACGACATTGTTTCTGGAATTGAAAAGCGTGTAGCTGCTTGGACATTTCTTCCTGAAGGTAATTTCGCGCGACTTTATCTAGTTTGTCTTTTGGAGTTTGGAGCTAGATTACCATTCTCTGGCTGGTCTCTTTCTTGATCAGAAAACGCCGAGTCAATTCAGATTCTGCATTATGAGCTTGGTCAGAAGTATGATGCCCACTTCGATTATTTCCATGACAAGAACAACCTTAAGCGTGGGGGTCATCGAGTCGCCACTGTGCTTATGTACTTGACCGATGTCAAAAAGGGTGGAGAGACTGTATTTCCAAATGCTGCGGTATGCAATTAGCTTTGACATTACCCCCTTGTAATTTCCCAAGACATCTAGTTTAGAAGTTCTTTGCCATTGCTTGCAGGGAAGGCATTTACAACTCAAGGATGAAACTTGGTCTGATTGTGCAAGATCTGGCCTGGCAGGTAGCCTTCACCCCCTATACATTTCTGAACGAAATGGACAATATGAATTGCCTTTCTGCACAAAGTTAATTAACCTCAGTAGTAGGAACTAACGAGACCAATTTATCTTCATCTCCTCTCTCAGTGAAGCCAAAGAAAGGCGATGCGCTACTGTTCTTCAGTCTCCATGTTAACGCGACAACGGATCCAGCCAGTCTTCATGGAAGCTGTCCGGTGATCGAAGGCGAGAAATGGTCTGCAACGAAATGGATCCATGTCAGATCATTTGATAATCCTCCGGATGTAAGCCTGGATTTGCCGTGTTCCGATGAAAACGAGCGCTGCACGAGATGGGCTGCTGTTGGAGAGTGTTACAGGAACCCAAAATACATGGTTGGCACCAAGGATTCGCTCGGATTCTGCCGCAAGAGCTGCGGGGTTTGCGATGCTTAAACCCTGCACCCGCCAAACTGAAGATCTGAAAATCAAAGTGTCATGTTAGGCTGTTAGCTATTTTCGCCCACTTTACTTACACAGTTACACTACTTGAGAAGTTGAGATGTACATAACAGACAAAGCAGGTTTATTAGTATGTGTTTCTGTGTAGTTTAACCTTGAACGATATTGATTGAAAGTAATTGGAACTTTTTTTCAGGTCTAAAGTGCTACTGAAATTTTTCGCAAAAAAGTTGGGAGTATTTCTTTTAGAGGAAAACTGCTTCAATTTGCTCTGGTTTCTGTACGCTGCATCCGCTTCGGATTAAAGGTCACTCGTGGGCCTCACGTTTTACCCCAGCCCAGAACACGCGTTGTACCGTTCCGGCCGAATCAGTATGGGCCTCACGTGTGTCACAATCTCGATCCGGCCTTCCGGCCCATCTATCACGGTCCACACCTTCGCCGCATTCCCGTTTCGGCCCAACTAGTACGGGCCCGCACGTGCGAAGAAGCCTAAGCCTATGGGCGAAAAGGCCCACACAACGTGGGCGCCACTTCACGACGTGGTGGGCAGCCGGAACGGCGGTTCGTCCGCCGCCAGTTCGCCGGAGCACCGCCGCGGTCCTACCATCCTTCCTTCCGTCGGATCCATCTACTACGGCCGGAGATCTCAACCAGCCACCTACCTGTATGGATGCTTCTAGTAGAGTCTCTCCTACCGATCTGCCCGCCCCTGCCCCCCCACGGCCACCGCCGCCGCCGGCGGCCGGCAATCAGGGAGGCAACGCGTCGGCGAATGCGAGCGCTACTCAAGGTATTCACCTATGCAGGTGGAATTCTGGCTCGAATTTGATATTGCGTCAAGCTCGCCCAAGTCAAAAGCCCCTCTCCCCAACTTGCAGTTGTTTTACTGCGGCCTCCAGCGGTCGCCGCTCCTGCGGTTTTCCGCCATCCCGGGCGCGCGATGCCGTGGGCCGGCGAGGGCGGCGACACGTTGTTTCGAGAAATCGATGCTGTATATAAACGATTCTTCAGAGATTGGCTGTGGAAACAAGAGCCATTTGATCTTGGATTGGGAAGGTCAGGTTGCAAGTTCAGTTCCATTACCAGAATCGCTGCTACTAGTTGCTAGACCATGGAGATGCGTCGCCTTCTTGTCTTGTTCGCTCTCCTCTCCGTCACCGCCGTCGTCCCGGTGTTCTTATGGCCCGACAAGAAGGGCGGTGCTAGTGACGTCGCCGTCGTCGTCGCGGCGCCTCCGTTCAATGCGTCCAGCGTCACCATTATCTCCTGGAAACCGAGGTATAGTGGTGTGATAGTGATACCGGAGGAAGTAGTAGTGCAGGGCGGATATGATGTTTTTGCTAAGTTCTTTGTGTTGGTATTGTGCAGGATATTTTTTTACAAGGGCTTCCTTTCAGATGATGAGTGCGACCACCTTGTCAAGTTGGTACGAATTAAACATTATCAGGCTATTTATCGTTCTTAACATGCTAAAATGGGAAGTAGTGGATAAGTTTGGAATGTTTCTGATCCCAGGGGAAGGAGAAGCTGAAGAGGTCCATGGTGGCAGACAATGAGTCGGGAAAGAGTGTTATGAGCGAAGTGCGCACCAGCTCTGGCATGTTCTTGGACAAACAACAGGTAGCAGAAATATGCAGCTTTGCATACGTAACATTGTTAGTCTAAATCTTCTGATGTTTACATTTATACAAGTTATGTGCTTCTCAATTGATTGTAATTATCATAATTCTTCCTAATGAAGGACCCTGTTGTTAGCGGTATTGAGGAGAGAATTGCAGCTTGGACCCTGCTTCCGCAAGGTAAACTTCTTCAGGTGTTTAATTTTTCTTTCAGTTATGAGCGTTGGTTAATGTCAGCTAACGAATCTGCATTTGTAACACTGCTTTGTCAGAGAATGCTGAGAACATTCAGATACTCCGATACGAGAACGGACAAAAATATGATCCTCATTTTGATTATTTTCAAGACAAAGTCAATCAACTGCAGGGCGGTCACCGTTATGCAACGGTGCTGACATATCTATCAACTGTTGAGAAAGGAGGTGAAACCGTCTTCCCAAATGCTGAGGTATCTGGGTTAATCTTTAATGTTAGAGGCATTTGTTGTCTTAGCTATTAAGGCTCTGAATTGTAATTCGGAATCCAAATCTGATGCAGGGGTGGGAATCTCAACCTAAAGATGATTCATTTTCAGACTGTGCAAAAAAGGGCTTGGCAGGTAATATTCCAACTTAACTGAGAATGTGTTAAACCCATTGAGGAAATGAATCTGACAATGTTGATTATGCAGTGAAAGCAGTGAAGGGTGATTCTGTGCTGTTCTTTAATCTTCAGCCTGATGGCACACCAGACCCGCTTAGCCTCCATGGAAGCTGCCCAGTTATAGAGGGCGAGAAATGGTCTGCGCCAAAGTGGATTCATGTGCGGTCTTACGACAATGCATCAAGCATGAAGCAAAGTGAAGAATGTTCTGATTTGAGCGAGAATTGCGCGGCTTGGGCTGCATCGGGTGAATGCAATAACAACGCAGTCTACATGATTGGAACGGAAGATGCACCCGGTCAGTGCCAGAAGAGTTGCAATGCTTGCAGTTTATAGAACATTTCGCATTTGGTAGACTCACCCGGTCTAGTTGGTTTGGATTTGACAAATTTGCAGACGGTGAGCTTAGATGGTTTTACAGTTCTTTTGTTTATTTTGGGTGAGGTGTGTGTTCCAAACTGCCAATAGCCATTAGTTGGATACATTTTGTTGTTACTGCAAATGCTGAAGACAGTGTTATGTAACTCACTGTTGTGCAGTTCAGAGTGTCATGCTGGCAGGCAACTACCTGTTCCCCCTTTATTTTTTTTGTTGTCTTGCTTCACAGTGGATTTCAGAACAGAAAACTGTGTCAGCTTGTCTCGATGATAACCAACTTGTTTGGCCCTTTCCACAATATAGAAGCCACTTTGTGCTCAGTGTCAAGCTTGCTCCTTCAAAGAAATTCCAGTCTCAGTCCTGCAGTGTAAAAGAGAGATGATTTGGCTACAGCAACAATGTTTGAGGCACTTCTTTTGCAAAATATTCTGAGATCAACCAGTCGTTTTCGCCCAAAAAGCATCTCCAACATTTCAGACAAATATTTGAAATGAATGGACATCAGTGAGTATGCTCTAATGTCATTTCAAGGGGAATTTAAACATAGATTCAGAATCATTACAGATTTTGAGAAGAGAATTACTTTGTTATCTCTCCCTCAGTGAAAAAGGATTGTGACACATCACCTGAAAGTAGAGTTTATTTCTTCAGGATGCTGCTCACTTTGGACCTGGCTTTTGGACCTCACTTTGCCAGGGCAAATCTCTCATGTGTCATTCTTCCCCTCTCTTCCTCCTCCTAGAGTTACTCAAAGATGAAAAAAAATTTCCCCACATACATCTTTCTTATATGTGACCTGAATCATCTTCCAATACGAATGTACTTGATGGAGAACAGTGGCAGCCTTAAGGATCAGATACAGATAGCAATGCCTCCTTCCTACTAAAACTTTTCTTTTCTTTTCTCACTGTCTTTTCTCCCCCTCTCCATCCACAAGAACAAACAAACCAAGAAATTGAAAAGAAAAAGGGAAGAAAACAACATAACTCAAAAAGCAAAGTGCAGAAAAGCAAGCATGGCTCCCTCACTTCACTTGCCTTTGATTCTACTCTCCTCTCCTCACCTCCATTTAGGTCCTTGAAAAGCACAGCAGAATCAGCTAAAGCAAAAGAAACCCCAGAACAAAACAAGAAGCAAGGATGCCACAACAGCGACTGACACAAATCCCTGCTGCTACTTGCCCACATTATAATATGCAGCAGCCACATTGCTGCATCCATCGTTCAGCTGCAACAACACCACTACCACCTCCCCCATAAGCAGAAGCAACTCGTAGAGCCACAGCAGCAGCAGCAGCAGCAGCAGCAAGTGTAAGTGCAGGAGAGTGAGAGCAAGAAGAAGAAGAAGAAGAAGAAGAAGAGAGTGAGAAAACCAAGAAGGCCACCGGTTGCTGCTATGAGACGGCCGGCCGGGTCATCATCGGCGGCGGCGTTGGCAATGGCCATCTTGTTGGGGGTTCTTGTGTTGATGGCACTGGTCATGGACGGCGGCGAGAAGACCGGTGCGCCGGCGATCGCCGCCGGGAGGAGGATGCTGGTCGGAGCAGCAGACGCAGGGCAGATGAGGACTCTGGAGGATTTCAAGGCCGATGATCCTTTCCAGGACAGCAAGAGGAGGGTGCCTAATGGCCCTGATCCTATTCACAACAGGTACTGCAAAGCATGTTTCATTCTTTCTTTGCTTATTTTGATTTGTGTCTCCAACTTCTGTTCAAAATACTAGTCCAAGTTTTCTGTGTCACTATGTCATTTGCGTTTGAAAGCACCAGAAAAGAAGTTTGTTTTTTTTTTGAAAAAGAAAACAAAGAACAGAAGTTTCCATATTCATGTCCATGCATAGGTTTCTTGAAGTTTGGAGCTGCTGCCTTGTTGGAGACGGAGTAACAAAATGCTGCAGCTCCTCATCAATTTTAAAATAAATGAAACTTCTATTGTGTTGTTCTTGACCAGAAATATGAAGCTTTTCTGTTAAGGCTAAACTACCTGCATGTTTTTCTTCTTTTTTGGTTTCTTTCTTACCAACTTGTGATTAAGGTGTATGTTTCTGAGTTCTGACTCAGCTGTGATGTGAGCGATGTGCTGGTACCTAACAAAACATCTGTCTTTTTCAAATTTGTTATCAAACTACAACTTCATAACACTCCAAACAAAAATTTAACAAAACAAAAAAAAAACAACTTGTAGAGTAGGCTGGGGAAAAGGAGGATAAGGTGATTTGGTGCCCAAATTATGTCTGGGCATAAAAGGTTGAGAAGAATAAAGAGAATAGAATATATAAATATATATGCCATGCATCTCTTTTCTCATTGCACTCACATTCCCCTATGATGATATGCAAATATTTTAGCAAAAGCAAGTAGATTAGTCCTAGTCTCGTAATGGGCAACATATATAGATACACAGATCATACTTGAAGTGATTGCATTGCATGCAAATGTAGTAATGCAGGTAATCAAACAAAGTACACCTGAAAGTCTAACGTTTTTCAGTGTAGGGTCACCTGAAATGCAAACTTGCATGCAGTTTCAAATCCTTCCTCAAAAAAATTGATCATGTTTCACTTCTTGCATTCTGCAGGGGAACCGGCAAGTCAGGAAGATCTCCGGGCCGAGCGTAGCGGCACGCATCCCGAGGCATGGAAGGTTCCGATTCAAGGAAGGCAGGCATATCTGTGGAGCAAAGAGATGGTTGCATTGCAAGGAGGAACAAAACAAGAACAACATTATGATGGGGTCTGGCTGTGGATGTTGGTGTAACTAGGGGGAGGTGGCCTATATCTTCTGTAAGCACTGCTATTTAAGACAGTTTTAAGCATAAAAACTTTAGCTTTTTGCAAACAAAGGCTGTTCTAGTGGTGGGGAAGGTTTTTTTGTAAAGAGAGCAGTGAGTATTAAGCTTCCCTCTCACAACAAAACAAGCATCAAAGATTCTTGGCAAAGGGATGTGGGCAAGAGCTCCCTTCTTTTTTGGCACTAGTAACTTTAGACATCTAAGTAGTACTTTGTTTCTTTTCTTTTTTTTTTTTTTTGTTCCAGGCATTCATTCTTTTCCCTTGTCACTGTGTATCACTTACAACATCATATCATAAGTTTGCAACAGAGAAAAAACAGGTCAGGAAAGGACCAGCATTTTTTTTAGGCTCTGGCTCTTACCTTCTGATTAGATGCTGATAAAATCAATTGCGGCCAAAACTGACTAATTTATGCTGTAAAAACTTCAAAACTGATCTGGTATCTTTTGTCTTGTTTCTGTCTGAATTACTGTACTTTAAATCCCCCCCCCCCCAAAAAAAAAAGAAAAACAAATTCTGCACACTGAACATGCCACAAGAAAACAAAGAAGAGAAAAGAGAAGAGGGTGAGGGAGGGAGAGGATAAAGACTGAAGAGAAAAGAAAGAAACGGCAGCCAGGCAGACAGCCAGAGCTGCAAGAATGCTTTTTTCTCCTCCTTTTGTTTCCTCCTTCCCTCTCTCCTTCCATTGTCCCTCACCTCTTTTAACTTCTTTTGTTGTAAGTTAGTAGCTTTGAAATTTGAACAGGCATACTCGTAGTAGCTAAAGTGGCCTTGGTTGAGCTCTCTAAAGCAAGGACTGATGAGAAGCTGTGGTAAAATAGGTGCTTGTGTGTCCAAAAGATGTGAACTTCTGAAGGACTAATCTATTCTTTTCTTGACCAGTCATCTTGTGTCCTGGAAGAACTGAGTTATATGTACTACATGCATGGACCAGTGTATGCTTGGACTGCTTTGTTCACTGGAAGAGATGCAGGGCTAAGTGGGGACAAAGATATTTCCTATTTATACATGAACCCACACAGATGCTCCAGGGTCCCAGCATAGACCCTTTGTTTGTATTCTTCTCATCTCAAGCATAGAACTATACTACTGTACTGCATACTACAAGCTATAGAGTTGCATTGCATCAATGTAATCTTCAGTATCACTTGGTCTGTTTTAATCCCAGACAAAATGAGAAGAAAGTTTAGTCCACATTAGTCAATACTTAATACTCCCTCCGTCCCAGAATATAGACTACGATGTACTAGGTGATGTCCTATCTAATCTTAGGTTGCTATATTCTAGTACGGATGGAGTATCATTTATCTGATCTGGTGATCTACAATACTCCATTTCCAAATGTAGTACTTTATCATCAAATACTATTCGTTTTTAAATTTTGACCATTTGTCATTTTTGCCAAAAAAAATGTAAATATTTAAAAAGACTTAGTATTATTGAAGTGGGATACACCATAAACATTAGCATTAAGCTTTATTCATCGTAATTTGAAAAAATATTAGTGGTGAAAGTTGAAACGGTGGCGGCCAACGGTGCTAAGTATTATTCGGGGAACCTAAGTTAAGCAACAGTTTCAACAATAATATATACCACTTGTTTGGACGATTCAAGAAGAGACATAAGATGATACATGCATGCAAGCTCTCACAAATTCAAGATGCATTGAGACGGTGAGACGTGAGACCTGAGGCGTTTTATTGAATTTTCATAGAGAATTCGTTCGTTAGTACAAACAGGAAAGTTCAGATGCGTTGGGTTTTCAAGAAGGCCATTGAGTAGAGTGTTCGTCTACCTCTGAATTTTCAGGAAACTTTACCAGGCCTGGCAGGTGTACCCAAGCCAGGCAGAGGATCTCGTCGCGTGATCTTCTCTTCTGGTTGGGCTCCTGGACCCCTGGTTCTTACACCGAGCTGTTAGCCATCACAGCTTCTTCTCCTCGGGTTCTGAAAAGGTTTTGGTTATCTATATTTATAATATCTCTATATATTGCCAATTGGCGTACTGGTAGAATACAACTTGTAGAAGCCTCTGTGTTCTGAAGTCTGAAGCAGACCTGTACTGGAGCATCTGACCAGTTTAGGGGAGGTGAGATGCACACAAGACGACAGTTCATGTCTCAGCATGCAATGCAATGCATGATTTGTTTGTTTAATGGCCTCTTATTTACATCTTTCCAGCAGTTCGCAAGCAAATTAAACTTCCTAAGCACACCCTTACTGAATGAACAGGAGGATTGTAGGTTCCCTGCCTGAAGGTCTGAAACTGACGGTTTGCACAACGGGAGGGTGAAAATGGGATGGCTACCCGCCCATCTGTTAAGCTGTGTGTGCAATTTACCCTTATCAAATATATATGAAAATATATTTTAAATCCACCTACAAACGTGATGAAAGATTGGTTAATCGTTATTTTACAAGCTCATAAGTAATATTACATTTTTTTCCTCGATGTATATTTTTTAATGCCTAATCGCTTCTCTAGATTTGTTATCTATGAATTAGAGATACAAATAAATATCCATTTCCGAATCCGATTCCGAAGAAAAAATATGAGATATAATACGAGTTATATGCTATCCGATACTATCCGTACCTAATTCTAACTTTGAAGGAATATGCGTATCGGGATGCTGGGATCTAACCATACTTGGACTAATTTCACCTCTATGCACAATTACGAATTTTTCAAGTTGTTTAAGAATTTATAAGAACCATTAACATACTTGTACGTTGTAATAGACCAAATTCATATAATTGTGAATAAGCTAGAAGGGTGATTGGAGATAAAGTATTGGATTCGATGGTTACTCACGTGAACCTTACGGACACACTCATATATTGCACGAACTGTCCAAGTTGAATGTTCTATTACTTGATCCAGCAATTCAGAACACGAATATGTGATTATTACAAAAAAAAATAAAAGAGATAAGGTTTTTGTTATGAAGCGCTTGATTTATACAGCCTCGTAGTAAAACTGTTACCAAAATTTTGGCACACGGTAGACAACTCGTATCTAGATCCGGCTCCTCTGCCTTTAGACTCAAAAGGTAGAGAGGTACACAGCAAAAATATGTCTTGTTCTACAGTAGTTCGTTCGTTTGTTGTGAATCGAACGGCTAAAAATACTTCCAAAGTCAGAGCAGTAGAGCTCTCAGATGATCCAAATCCCTCGCATACCACCCCCGGCACGTCCATAGACTTTTGAGACATATTTGTACTTCCTAGGCCGAGTTGCTGAGTTATGATCTGCTCCCAACCGGAAGCGGCCCATCTGGCGGCCCAACCCGCTCCGCATTACGCATTTGCACTCAACGCAGCGCGACGCGGCGTGTCGCGCACAACACAACGACAGCGCGCGCATTCCACCTCCTCCACGCCTGCACGAACGTACTGTACTCCACTACTGCTGCGTCGCACTGTGCATTCCACCGATACGGAGGCCACGTCGCCGTCCACCTCCGAAAGCTAGTAGTATTACTGTTACTGCGCGCGCATTTACACCCACCACTTGCTCTCATTTACTCCCCTTCACCTGCCCACCCTCTCCCTCCTCTCCTCCCTCTATTTAACCCGCAAACGACGCCGGCCACCATTGCACCACCTCAGCTCGCGCCGCGGAACACGAGACACAGAGAGAGTAGAGATCGAGATCGAGTGCTAAGCTAGCTAGAGTCGACGATGGCGAAGTGGTGCAGCTTCGGCGTCGCGTCGTCCCTCCTGCTCTGCCTCGCCATGGCGCACGCCGCGGCGGCGGCCAGGGCCGTGCCCGGCGGCGACGGCTCGACGACGGCGGCGTCGCTCCCGGCGGCGGCGGCGGCGGGCACCGGCGCGGGCGTGGAGGACAAGAAGAACCTCTTCGTGGGCGTCGGCGGCATGGGGGACCTCCCGGGCTTCCCGGCCGTCGGCGGCGGCTACGGCGGGGGCTTCGGCAACAACGGCGGCGCCGTCTTCAGCGGCGTCACCGGCCCGCTCGGCGGCGTCGGGGGCGGCATGGGCAGCGTCGGCCCGGTCGGCGGGTTCGGCGGCGCCGGCGGCGGCACCCCGTTCGGCGGGTTCGGCGGTGGCGGCGCCGGCGGCGTCACGCCATGAACCGTAGTATTACTGAGAGCTACGTACGATCTCATGCATCTACGTGCGCCGCGTGCGTATATACGCACGCGTGGTGCACGTGTAGTAGCTAGTGTCATCTTTTGCTTTTGAGTGTCGATCTCAGGTGAGTTGCATGCATGGTTGGGCAGGGAGGTTGGAGTTTGTAAAAGTTTGGGTTTGTGGCCTGATGGCAAGAGTCGAGTTTACTAGTAGCTTCTAGTAGTTGTGTGCTAAGTTAATTGTGTGTTGTTAAGTGCACGTGATGCATGCGAGATATGATGACTATCTTTAGTTAATGACTAAATGGTATTCATGTCGTGCGTGTAAATGTTCTCTAGTGGGAATGTGGGATGGCGACTCTTACCTGTTTCATGGCACAGCACTGGAACTGGATGTATCCCCCACAAACGATGTGGGCTCAGGCTCAGAGCCTCAGACACCATATGCATGACGACGCATGGCATAGCAAAGCAATATGCCAATATCTATCGAGCATGTACAGCCTGAGCAAAAGCGCCATGAAGCAGCTGTGTTCTTCCCCATCTTTTGCAACTCATCTCTTTACTTTTTCCCGCGTGCACACTTTTTAAATTGTTAAATAATGTTTTTTTTAAAAAAATCTATACTAAAGTTGTTTTAGAAAAATATGTTAATCCATTTTTAAGAAAACTAATACTTAATTAATTATGTACTAATATAATAAAGATTCGTTTTAGTGCGCGTAGGATTAGTTCCAAACACCACATACCAAACACCCGATTCACTCATTCACAGCTACAGTGCTCATTTGCACAAGCATGATACTATGTACTAGTAGGCCAACTTAATTAATTACACCCAATCCGTAAATAAAGCATACTCTATATTGCTGTGTTCACTACAGTACTCCGGCAACTAGCAGAGTACTGTACAGTCTACATCGAGATGGGAGTAGGAGTTTGTAGGTAACGTGGCGATCTCGCGATGAAATTAGGGTGTGTTCAGTTCCACGTCAAAATTAAAAGTTTAAAGAAAAAAGTTAAAAGTTTATGTGTGTAGAAAAATTTTGATGTGATAGAAAAGTTGAAAGTTTGAAGAAAAAGTTAGAAACTAAACCAGACCTTAATCGCGAATCCACGATGCTGTTTTTGGTACGAGGGGGTAGTGGACTAGTGGTACGTGGTTGCTCACTTGAGCCTGCTAGACCTAGAGGAGTACTACTCAACTTCAATTCTGATGACAGTTGACAGCACGGCCGTGCTGCGTGTGCTGCATCTCTCGTTGCCTCCACATCATGCTGCAGCGGATGAGTGGAGCGATCCTTGGACCTTGGGATCTCGAAGGCAAGGTCAGTAGTCGCATCGCACCGTACGGTCCCGGAGATATGGTACTACAGTACATTTGTAAATTATTGGTCGCTTTGACTTTTTCTTATAGTGTTTAACCATTTATCTTATTTAGAAAATTAGTATAAATATAAAACAGATAAGCCATACTTATAGAACTTTTAATAATAAAGCAAATCACAAACAAAATAAATAATAATTCTATGATTTTTTTTTGAATAAGACGAATGATCAAACGCTACAAACAAAAACTCAAAACGATAAGTATTTTGGGACAGAGGTAGTACATTAGAGTTGCTTTCGAGGAGATCTCTCTAGTACTCCTATCCCACAGCGCCAAGCTAGCCAAGTACTTTCTCCATCCCAAAATGTAGCTGCTCAGTACGGGATGTGACACTACCTAGTACCTGTCCAGATTCATGGTATTAGTAGTGTCACATCTCATACTAGGCAGCTCCAGGCATGACCTCAACTTGGGCTATGGAGATTCGATATGGCTGCATTGATTGATCGAATCCCGCCTCGAGATCTATTCCTATCTCATCTCATACTCCTACGCATAGACGTATCACGTAGGTGAACCGGTCAAGGGATCAGGGCCACTCCACTCCCCTCGCTCTCACGCCGCCGCTGCTTGGAGATGTTGGAGGTGGAGCAAGCCCGAGCGAAGTAGCGAAGTGGTGTGCCTTGACATGGATCACGGTCTCACGGACGCCATTGGTCCACCCGTCGGTCGAGCTGGTGGTACATGTGGCTGTAGCGCAGTGGCTCCGGATAAAGCTTGGGCGTACGCCACGGCGGCTGGCACCGCAAGAGGCGCCATTTATGACTTGGCAGCACAGAGCGGGCAGCTGAGCCGAGAGTCCGCAGATGAGAGCAGGCAGCTGAGACGCAGCGTACGCGGGTGGCCTTAAATTTGCGGCAGAGCTGAAGAGCTTGCGATAAGATGAAGGTAGAATCAATGCACTGCACTCATCAGGATTGGCCAAGACCAAGGTTGGACTCGGCAGTGCGTGCGGATTGGCCCTGGCAGCAACGGACCCATCGGGATCCATCAGGATTTCTCCCAGTGTTTGCCTCCGCGTGCCCTGCATGTGCCGAGGTGCAGCTGCAGCCATTGATGGAGGGAGGCCTAGAACAAGCCTCTGGGCTCTGCCTGTTCCGGGACGCACCGAGCAATGCGCGGTGCACACGCACTAATGCACTGCACCAGCTCAACTTGGAATGGTCTTGCATTCGCTGCAGCAACACACCTCGTCGGTCCTTATCTACTCCTTGCCAACTCTTCATCCAAAACTTGGGTAGCTATACGAATCATCACGGAAAAATCAGATGTTACTCTGTTTCTACAACCACGACGTTCAAGAATCAAGACTGAACCATACAAAACATGCTGACGAAAACAGAAACGAGCTTTTATGTTTCATTGAGGCCTCTGCTTCCATATAAGATGCTGAAAAATAGTAGAAACGTGAATTTTCTGTTTCATTACTACCGGTAACTTCTTATATTAGCAAGCAGACCAGGAGGAACGGAGGCATTCCGGGGGCAATTAAGTGAATCTAATCATCATATAATAATAATAATAGAACAAGGAGGTTAAAATCCAAGCTATACACACATAGCATCCAAAAATACACGACACTTCAACCCACAACCCACTGACCGAGTCACCAACCAGCATTCAACAGACACGACAGCGTAAACACTCAGGCGCCGTAACCAGCCAGAGCACAAACTAGAAAGAACCAAACACCTCTCCAATTTCCCCCCCTTTTTGCCCCAAGCAAGCAGTACTGTAAGTGCAGTTGAATGAGTCAATTTATGCCTACTTGCATTTGAATCCATGGCACACGGACAGGATTATGATAAGGATGAGCGCAATTATTATGCCAAGAACAATCAGCTTGATCTTCATGTTTTGCAGCCACATCTTTCTCCTTACCTGTGTTCCTGCCTGCCTGAAATCTTGGGCCTGCATATGCCCAGAAGCAAAAAGCTTAGATATATTGTTATTTCAGACATACAGAATTGCAGCATAATTTCATAAAATCTTTTGTTACGGAAATTCCGGCTCATGCTTAGTAAATTACAACATCAAGTTAATCTTTCTTAGAGCCCCAAACTTAGCAACATTCAGGTTAGCCAGAACTAATACAAGACTGTTAAGATACACATAAATTTAGCCCAGATGGCACAAAAGCCAAAAACTTCAATATCCGACGTGGAACACCACTCCATAAACTATCAATAATTATGCATCAATATTCAAGTTTGTTCCATTCCTTTCACAAGCTCAAGAACTCTTTCAGAAATGATCGTAAACACCTCTCAGTAAAAACTGATACTAATTCATGACCAATTTTTAGTGGCAAGAAATAATAATTTGAACAAATCACCACGTTTAAAGTGAAAAAAGTAGCACCTAGACACCACCTAATAATAACCAAAGGCAGCCAGTCTGCCATCAAGTTAGCACCTCGGTGAACACTGGAACACCTAATACCTTGACTTGTGTTTTACCAATAGAACTATGCATCCCTAATACCATGACTTGTGTTTTTACACATTCAACAATAACAAGAGTAATCTACCCCACTAGTTACCACCAGGGTGCTAGTGACTAGTCAAAAATGAAGCACACACCCAACGTAAATTTGCATCCACTTAATTGTGTCATTTTAGCGGTATTTAGAAATATTTGGCATCTAGTAAGGAAAACCAACTGCATAAGTGGGTCTCTACTCTCTAAAAGACAGTATTGAGTAGCACTAACAATAAAAGCTCCAAAAGAAACTTGAAGTGCAATAACAGGTACAGTGCAGGCTGAAGGAACATGTCAGGACCTGTGAACGCAGATTCTCGGTCTTGTCAACGAGCAGTTCAATTTTCTCTCCACGATCAAGAACCTGCAAAGAGAAAGCAAGATCAGAAGCATTCTTCAAAGGAAATCCTCAATGTTCTGAGCATAAAAACTGTAGAACGAATACACAAACACAAAGAAAACAAATACCTTCTCAATATTTTCCATCATAACTCCTTTGACTTCTGAAACTTGTGCCTTCACTTTCGCAAGCTTGCTAATCTCTTCAGGATGATCCACACAGTACTGCATGTGTTCTTTAAGTTTCGATCTACAAATAGTAAATAGAGAAGTATTAGTCGAAGGGACCACCATAACTTTATCGACTCTATCCCTGGCAACAATACGTACCCAAAATCTCGGTTGAGGCTGTTCGCAGCAGCAGTAGCAGCTTTTCCACCAGCATATCTTTTTGTGAAATCATCCTTAACTCTATCCAAGAATGCAATGGGAATCTGCCGCCCTACTGATTCAACAGCTACGACACAGTATGCTGCAGAAGAAGTGTGGTATTAGAAAATCAACGTCACAGGCTTTCAAGTGATAAATGGTTAAAGTAAATCGTAAAACGGGTGCTCTCATATGAGATGTTAACAGAAGATACAAGCACGTGTGCCAAATTTTAGAAATGTGGTAACTGTGCCAAATTTGCAAAGCTAAGATCATATGGGTATAAAAATCAGCTACTTAATAAATTTTCCCTGCTCCTTATTGGAAAGTTTTTCAAGCACTATAATCATTGATAGTTGGCAACATGATACCTCATAACTAACATATTACTACTTTTAGTCATCACCAAATCGTGGAATTTCTAGCATTAATCACCATGGCAACTCCAGGTCTTATTCTGACCAAAGAAATTATAATAAGACATTTCAGCACTGAAACTAAACTATAAATTGCGTGCATAATAGAATAACAAGGTAGCAGCCGATTTCATTCAACGCGCTATCTGCATGCATAAATATGAGCTGAAACTTGACAGGAGCAGCATGCAAAGCTCACAAACAGCTGTCTACTAAAAATAGCATGCATATCTAGAGGGCTCGCCATTGACTAAATACTCTAAGGCACTGGCTTACGGCTTTGCGAATAATCGGGGCAGACCTAAAATCCAAGCTCTTACACCATAGCTCTCCTATGCATACAGTCAGTCCAGGGACTAAAAAACCGGATAAAGGTGAAAAAAACAATGGATAATCATATCCACTTCGATACGGCGGAACTATTGAAAGGTCCTAATCCCAACCAACATCTGCATCTAATCTAACCAACAAGTGCGATGACCAAACTTCTCGCACGAACTCCACAGCGCATCACGATCTCAACCAACATCCCGATCGCCGATGCTAACCAAAACGAAAACGACCTAACCGCGTCTCCAACAAATCAGCGAGATCTACACCCACCATCCCAAATCGAGCACGCGCGGTATCAGATCCACGCAGATCAGATGCACTCCGCGGGGAATCGATCGGGAGGAAGCAAAAAGGATCGGACGGGGGATGGGCGAGAGGGGAAGGGAACTCACTGAAGCCGTCCTCCACGAGGTAGTTGAACGTGTGGCCGTCGCAGTTGTAGGTGAACTTGTTGTTGCTCGCCGGGAGCTTCATGAGGCACTGGGAGGCGATGGTGGTGAAGTTGCCGGTGAACTCCGTGTACTCGGCCAGGATGACCGTGCCGCGGGCCACGAACGCGTAGATCAGCGACTGCTGCCCCATGTCCTCCTCCCTCTCTCTCTCCCCTCGCCCTCCGCCTGTGCTCGCCGCCGGTGACGTGCTCCTCGCCGCCGGTGAAGTTGGCGAACCCTAGGGCTAGATCTCGGCGAGGTAGGAGAGGGGAGAAGAAGGGGGAAAGGTCGGTTTCGCTTTGGGTAGTGGGAGGGGAAATGATGGGGGTGGAAATGGGAAAAGAAATCAAATTTGGTTGGTGGAATTTTCAAAAAAGGCCCTTTGTTTCCTTTCTAGTTAAGTATAGGCCCCTGGCCGCCACCTGTTTTCTTTGCTGTTAAGCGATTGATATTAGCTGGCATTTTGGACTATTGTTTTTCAACTTTCAAGTTGATTATATGACCTCTACGTCTGGTATTATTTTTCTCTTTGTTGTGATGGAAATCATCGGTAGGTTACACCGTTATAGCTGCCTTGTAATTAATCAAACTAATTGATGGGCACCCTAATGACAATTTTGAAAAGGACAGATACAGTATTTCATTTTTAGCCACTTGTTCGTTATTTATGACTGATGCTCACATCCACAAAATTTTCTTTTGCTATGGTCAATGCTCTAGAAAATAGTATATGTGTTGTGAAGCTGTGATATGTCTTTGTAGCTATAATGGGAAACAGAGTTATAAAAACATAATTGGAACATAGGAAAGTTATCCGGGTTGATAACAGCAAAATATTAATTGCAAATATATGTATTATATTAAAACCTTATGATGTAGCACGTGTGTAAAGTTTAAAAAAACATTGTTCTATATATATTGTCACACTTTTTTTTAAAAGTTTTCATGCATCCTCGCTCCTCTTTTTTTGCTTGCCCTGTTCTCTATCTCTGGTGAATCATCAATCGTAGTAGTTGCCACTTTTTTTTAGCATGCGTATAAACAGATTCCTCTAAACTTTCAATATCATCCATCGATCCTCAAATTCTGGAAATAGATAGAATACAAAATATGTGCATTGAACCACGGTAATTGTTGGCTAACGCCGTGTTTAGTTCCAAAATATTTCTTCAAACTTTCAACTTTTCCATCACATCAAAACTTTTCTACACACATAAACTTTTAACTTTTCCGTCGCATCTTTCCAATTGCAACCAAACTTTTAATTTTAACTTGAACTAAACACAACCTAAATAAGGTGGTGCAGGTGCAGCTCTTACCCTCCTACATTGAACCACCAGCTCTCTATATTTGCTAAGTTGCACAAGTTTCAAGCAAAAGGAAGATTTGACAAAGAAGACATGGATGACACCGATCTGGTTTGCCCGTTTCTGTTTAGTAGTGTTGGTTGATCAAGTTAGTTTGGTGTTTTATTTATTTGCTTAGACTTAGCTGAGTTGACGTTTTGTTCTTAGCGTTTCTGTGTGCAGTACTATTTTGTGTTCACAAGCTGAGATCCCCAATATTTGAAGGACTAGATTATGTTAGACATGTAGTAAAGCTTGATGTATGTTTTTTTTATCTAAAAAACGATATTCTTAACGGTGAATTGCACCACTTCTATACAGTGATGTTTTTAATTCGAAAAAAAGAAAGCCACTACACATATGAAACTGTTGTCTTACTACCGTCCGACCGCGTTATGGTGAGTAGCGTTCATAAGCGCGTGTCAAAATTTATCACGACGCAAGCCATTTACTCTTGAGATGATTATTACTCCCTCCATTCCGTGATTTAGGGCGCAACTATATTTTTTTCCACGTACCAGAATATAGGGCGGCACCTCCTCAAATCCTATTCATGTGCACGGATGCATGTAGGCTTTGAAGACTTTAACTCTTGGTTGTCCTATGCATGGCCGCATGCGAGCATTGAAACATGTCGGGACAATGTTGTGATTGGTGCTGCATGCATGCGAAGCAAAGCTACGTGTTGGGACGAGCAAACTCTAATTGATTTAACGGATAATTACACCACTCTTTGGTCTATGCGTACAAGACAGTTACGCTCTAATGCTCTATATTTAGGAATGGAGGGAGTATATCTCTGACCATACATTATAGTAGCAGATTATATCATTTTGAAGAAAAATATTAATGCACTAGCAAAAATAGAAAAGTCTCAACCGGAGTTGTTCCCCTCACCAAACCGGTCGGTCGGACCGAATCTCCGATCCAACCGCACGGTCACACGGCCACAGCTCCCATTCCGAATCTCCGATCCGCACGGGGTAGAGGTAAGACTAGACGACCGCGTCCGCCAATCACCGCGTGGCCAAATCCCGAGCACCCCCCTCTTCTCTTCTCCCCACTGTTTTTAATTCTCCACGGCTCCCTTCCACTCCATCCACTCTTCTCTAAAGCGCTCTCTCCCTCTCGTCACCGCTACTACTAGTGTACAGTGCCACTGCGAGCTCTCCTCTCCGCCCCCGATCTGGTCGCCTCGCTCGCCTCAAACCCTAGAGCTCCATCCACCGGCGAGCCCTCTTGGGCGGAGGTGCTTCATTGCTGCTGCTGCTGCCATGGACCCCGCCCCCACGCTCGCCGCCGAGCTCTGGCGAACGCCGTACCTCGGTGGCGGTGGTGGTGGAGGAGGAGGAGGGCGTGGGTTGGAGGCGGCGGCGTCCGGGGTCACGGAGCAGAGCAATGGGAGCCGCGGGGGTGGCGGAGGAGGAGGCGCAGGGCGGAGGAGGCAGCGGGAGGCCCCCGCGCTCGAGGACGACTCGTCCAGGATCGTCTCCACTTCCGGAGGAGGAGGCGGCGGTCAGGATTTGGTAGGTTTTTTTATGCTCCGCATTGGTCGTGATCCGTGTGGCATTGGGTGAGTTTGGGGGTAATTTTGGTGTGTCAGCCTTCGGTGGTGGGAATCTGGAGGTTTACCAGGGAAAATGGCGGCTTTAGACTGAAGTAAATTTGCTTGTGCGATCTGGCCGTGTCTACTATTGGCGTGGTGCTGTTCATGCTTTCTTATAGCTCTAGCTGGGTTCCCCGTTGATGCTTGTTTTTGATTTGGTAATGTACAGTGGAACGAGCCAATCTGTAGTTCTGGCTGCAGATAGACAGTCACTGCTATGATACCAGTATGTAAGAAAAGGAATTCTCAGCATAATTTAGTCTCGAAAGTTCCGTAAATTGAAAAGAACACAGAATGTGCACACAAAGTGCAGTAAGGAAAAGCTAGCACTGTCAATAGTTTCGAATTCTATAATTAGCAAATACCTTTGGTAATTGAGAGTTGAGAAGACACTTTGTCAATGCTGAATGCAGTTAGGCGTAGGAACATGGGGTGTGTCCTCCTCACGTGGAAGGCTTCACCAGATGAGGTTTCAAGCCTTTTGATCGATATAGTTTCCTCTGGATTGCTTGTGGAATTACTTCTACATCGTAGTATAATATAGAACACAATTTATTGTTCACAGCTGGGCTGAGCTCAGTTGAGAGTGTCATGCTCTGTTACACAGGAAAACATGGAACAAGCTTATGTGCAATCGTTCATCCATGTGACTTTCATATTATAGAATTTCTCATTCAACCATAAGTAGTGTTTGACCTTTAGTATTTATAAAACCTGGAGTATTAGATTGTCGGTTTTCTATTGTTAACATAATGGTTTCACTATATCCAAGTTGATTCTGGGTGCTGTTTTTGACAAGGACTACTTCTATAGTGTTTGCACCTTTGTAATGTTCTCAACTTTTGTCAAAAGAAAGAACATTATAAGACATTCATATTATAGTACTAGTTGTTAGCACCCAGTAGTGCTGTAGTTTGCATCTATAGTGAATTTCCTATCATGACATTTTGATTTTTGTTGCTTGGTAATGCTTGTTATGTTTGATTCACTGGAGTGTTGGTAGCATATGAACTCAACTCTCAAGCTAACATACTACTATACTAGTTTATTTTTCCCACAAAAATCTAAAAAATTTTACCTCTAGAAGAAATGGAACTAGTTTTTTTTGAACTACCCATCGATGTGAATATGGCATAGAGCTTGATATTTTTCTTCTATACATAACTGTAGCCAACACTCAACACTCGACATTATGTTACTGCTGGAATCTTCTTGGAGCTGTTTATATTTGATCAAGCTATTGGCCAACACCCGTCTTAACTATCCTTGTCGAATGCCAAGTGCTTAGTAACTCTGGTGCAATGCAACAGCTTTTGGGTCTTTGACTAAATTGCAACAGTTGCTGCTATCTGTTCACGCTGGTTAAAAGCTGTTGTTAGACAGACTATTAAATTCTATTTATTATCTCCATTCTCCAGTACTAACTACTGAGTCAACAACCTGTTGGTCCACACAATGTTTTGGCTGGAGACAAGGATCCTGAGTGGTTCCATGGTCCACCGTATAATTGAGGCATTCTGCAGCACCATCAGATCTATAACCCTAGAAATTGCATGAGCTCAAATACAAGATGCAATCAGCATTTCTTTGCTTGCATTTAGTAGCCAAAGGTGCCTGTAATTTGAATTTGAACATGCACACTTAATATTAGTGGAGGTCATCATTGTCAGGCATTCTAGTTCTTTGATTCTATTGGTGCATTTCTATGATTTTTGCCTCATATATTCACCAATTATTGATCATGTTGATAACTTGAGTGGTTGTTTTAACTTTTGAGGTCAGAAGGCAATATACAGTGCCTTTTCCCCTTTAACCTTTAAAGAGAAAAAAAAAAGCATGGATCATGTTTTGATATGCACGGATTATGTGGAATTTTTATGAGCAGACTGATTCAGAAGCAAAGCGTTTCAAGGCAAGTAAATCAAGTGGAGATAATAGCAGTTTAAGAACAGAGGCTGAAACTGATTCAAGAAATGCTAGCAAGTCTGGTGATCAAAATCCGCCACCACCAGAACCACCAAAGCAAGACTACATCCATGTGAGGGCAAGAAGGGGTCAAGCTACTGACAGCCATAGCCTTGCCGAAAGGGTCAGTTAGTGTACTTGTTTTTGTTACCGTTCTTGTCAATCACAGTCCCATTACAGGAGTGGAAAATCTGGTTACAAATCGAACCTCTGAAGATCTTTCTTTTTTTTGGGGGGCAAACGGTCAATTTCATGTTTATACTATGATATGACCACTGAAAATTCTGTTCATTTTTGGCAGGCACGTCGTGAGAAAATAAGTGAGCGGATGAAAATTCTCCAGGATCTTGTCCCTGGATGCAACAAGGTCTCAACATATTTTCCTCATTTTGTCCCATAAGTTGGGGTTTAAATATTATATTTTTGTAACATGACCTCTAAAACATCCCCAGTTCTGTTTCTGTAATTGATTTTCATTGGAAAACTTTTGCTTGCTTGGCCAGGTTATTGGGAAAGCATCAGTACTTGATGAGATAATTAATTATATCCAGGCTTTGCAACGGCAAGTTGAGGTATGCTGTTTCACCATTGGCGCTTTATGAAATTTCTTTACCCTCCATATCTCAGCTAATCGCTCTATAATTTGCTGTTATCTGCAGTTTTTGTCCATGAAGCTTGAGGCTGTTAATGCTCATGTGAATAATGGAATCGAAGCATTTCCACCCAAAGATGTAAGTCAAGTAGTAAAATTAACAGTTTAAATAGCATGATCATTATTACAATAAAAGGTCTCAAGATATATTTGAAAGATTCTGTGGCATACTATGCGCTACTGGCACTTTATCTTAGCTCCAATCTTTGACTTTGAACACTGTGTTAATATGTTGTTTTTTTCAACAAGTCCCATACTCTACAGGCAAGCCAGCTATATGCTACTACCATATGTTTTAGTTTTTGAAGGCGTTATCCATTGCTCCCTTCTGAAAATTATTACCATTTTATTGAAGCTATACTCCTGAATTTCAAAAACGTTTAGGCAGGGCAAGGCATTTAATATCTGCAGAGGATACACATCATTGAAACATTTTCCTGATTTTTACTCTTTATCTAACCATGGCATTTGTCTGTTTGTTTAGTTCAATGTGTTTATGTATTTACTAAGTACTAGTAGCTCTGTGGAGCTTTATGTAAACTTCCAAATTTGGTTTTTAGTATTAAAATTGTTTATTTTCTTTTGGGTCTTTTGGTTGCAGTTTGGTGCTCAGGTATACAACACGGCTCCTGGATTGACGTTTGATCCACAAACACCAAGAGAATACGCCCAGGGATCAACACCATCGGAATGGCTCCACATGCAGATTGGTGGCACCTATGAAAGAGTGACATGAACAGAACAAAGTCAGGATGGTGGCCCAAAATAAAGCATACCATGAGTTCAGTCAGAAACCACGGCTTTAGATTATTTTTCGAAACTCTCGTGCTCCAAATTCGATTTCATTCATAGCATGGAGCTCATGTATTTAGAGACTGCGAGCACAGTATTTTTACATCTGTACCGGGATACAATTCTCATCAGATTCATGTATTCCACGGAATTTCGGCAGGTCACGCTCATTCGTAGCATGAAAGAAAAGTAATAACCATCAATAATTCTCTTGCTATAAATCCTAAAGCCCTTCATTTTTTTTTGCCATCGTATGCTTATCTTTCTGAATCTTACCAGTAGTTTGTTGGTAATTTGATTACTCACATTTGCTACTTCGATCTTCGATTTGTGTTTGTACTCCCAAGTCAAAGCCATCAATCTGGCAAATTTTCACAGGATAGTTCCAACAATTTGCACAAAATTCATCTGAACTCGTTCTAAGCGAAAGAACAGGGTGGATGAATCTGGAGCAAAACTGCACAACCAGAACTGAACCTCCCGAAAACCCCGCAAACCGCACGCCACGAATTTACCATCCTACCCCTGTATCGCAGATGCGTCTCCGTTCCGTTTCGCAGTCTGTTTTGCCCCCACGCGAAATCTCCTTGTTGCCCTTTTCCCCCTTCTCTCTTCTCCCCTCTCCTCCTCCTCTCTCTCTCTCTCTCTCTACTCCTTTCCTCTCCTCTCTCCTTGCCCTCCTCGCCCCCAATGGTTGCCGCGGCCACGGCGCCACCTGCCCATTCCGCGGCGAGCCCTTGACCCACCCCTGATCTCGCGGCGGCGGCCGATCCGGCACCCGGCGACGTGTCCCGGCGGCGATGGCGGCCGCAACGGCGGCGATGGCGGCCGCAACGCCGCCGCGGGGGCGGCAGCAGCGACGGGGGGAGGAGGGGGAGGGGGAGGATGCGGTGGTGGAGCTGACACCGAGGAGGACGCGGCTCCCGCGGGCGTGCAACAGCCGGCCCAAGGTGCCTCCCCCTCCCCCGCCCCCGCCGCGGCAGGAGCGGGCGAGGCCGCCGGCGGGGGCGGCGGCGGGGGAGGAGGAGGAGACGACGCCGAAATGCCGCGTGGTGACGCCGCTGGTGGCGGAGCCCGAGGCGCCCGCGGAGCTGCCGCGGTGGAGGCTGCGCGGCATGTGGGAGCTCGCCTCCGTCATCAACTTCCTCCACGTGAGCGCCCTCTTGCTCCCCCTCCCCCCACTGGCTAGGATTCATGGGGTTTAAGGGTGTTTCGCTTGGGGTGTTCGGTATTTGGGCTTGACATGGCTGCTCTTTCTCCGGTGCCGCAGGTGTTCCGGCCATTGCTGAACATTACGGTGGAGTTCACGGCGGAGGAGCTGGAGGAGGCGATCCTATCGCCCAACAATACATTGGATGACGTTCATATGCCTCTGCTGAAGGTGATCGTGTAGTTTCTGAGTTCGTTTGATTAGGCCGCTGCGTCTTAGCCTCTTATGGAATGGGGTTTCTGAGAACAGAGTGTTTTTTGCCTGTTATAAATGCAAAAAAGATGTGCTTTTGTTGTTCACATGAGTATTGAAACTCACAACCAAGGAATTTTGGCTATTTGAATCCAAAGGTGCATGTAGTACAATGCTACTATGATAGTCAAACGTATTGTTATGATACATACTGCACATTTACTACAACATACTACTAACATCATGTTACTCTGGCAATTTGCTAAGGATATCTTTGTAAGAAAGTGTCCTTGATAGCTAGAGACGGATATAAGAACATCACTTTGTAGAATAATGCACAACATAATGCCGCAAAATCTGTTTGAGTCGCCCATCATGTATCTAGTATGAGTATCTACTAACTACACATTCTATAAACAGTTTTGGAGTTATCTTATTTTTTTCATACTTAATTGCATCTTGCAGTCGATTCCTCCAGTAACTCGAATGGCTATGGGACGTGGAACATGGATAACAGTGTTATGCAGGAAATTGAAGTACTGGTGGAATTGGGTATATGATTTTGTCCTTTCTAAGAACATTTTGTGTGGAACAGTACTGCATTCAGTTGTTTAGCTAATAAAGCTAGTACTGCAGGTTGCAGAAGGTGATCTTCCAATTGTTGCCTCACACGGGTGAGTTCCATACCCAAGCGATTCTTGATTGAATCGATGTTTAGTGTTGTATCTTGAATGACTTAAACCGATTTTCCTTGCTCAGTGCGGAAATTGAAATGTACAAGGCACTTGAGCCAGCAACACGATTAGTGATCCTTAAAGCAATATGTGATATACGTGTTGAGGTATGTGCCCTATGATTCCAGCTATCTTTTTGAAATGGTAGAATTGAATCTCATAGCTAATGTCCTATATCAATGTGTAGTAACTATCGAGACCTACTATCTTGCCCTAGCTGCTTGTCTTGTATTACGTGTTACATATAATTCCCTCACACCCAGCTTCTTAGTGGATTCTGCTAGGTATTCCATTCTACAAAGGATTAGTACATAAGCTATGCTGTATTTCCAGACACAAGCTCTTTTTGTAAAGTATTTTGGTCTTGATCTTTACACTCAAATATATTATGTTTACTGATGATGCTTTGTTATATGAAAGTTGAAAACAGTCTCGGTGCTAAAAAGAAAAGGTGAAGCCTAATCGATATTCCAAAAATGGCTGGCCGTGTTAGCAATTATAAAATTTTATAATTTATAGTGGATCCTTGTGTAAAAGGAATATTAATTGAGCATGGGGCAGGGGCAAACTCAACACTTATTCCTTAAGATTGGATTGAGCACAAACATAGCTGCAAGTCTTATTGTTATGTTTTCAAGGCACATGGTTTATTTATGTATTCTTGCAAGTTTGGTGACAAAATGTCTGATCTGTAAGCATCTAATTTTGCAGCAAGAGGATATTCGGAACTTCATAGATAGTTCTTTAAAGCGTGGTTATGAGCTTCCTGTGTTCCGTAAAGAACGTATTGGAGGAGATTCATATGGAATCTCATACTGGTGTGCAACAGCCAACTTTTGATATAATTATGCAATTAAATTTAAGAACATTTTTTTGTGGCCAGGAGCATCTCTAATCAATTGATGTGCTACAGGTATGACGAGGATCCCGTCCTTGGACATCGGTTATATCGTGAGATTAGGCAAGTGGAGTATGAGAAGGACCCAACCAAAAAAGCTAAAGGGAAGGGAATCTCAAATGCCCCAGTTGTATCCTATCAATGGGAGACTGTTGCATGCAACTTTATTGAATTTGAATTAGCAGCAGTAAGTTTTGAGTGAACCATTACCATATGTATTTCTTTATTATGCAATCTATGATTGAAGTTCTTGAATAGTTATAGTTCTTCTGTTCTCCATTGACTCACACATTATAAGGCACAGTGTTGATTAGGTCATACAAATGAGAATTTCTTTGGATATCCTTAGTTACCGTTGGTACATGGTATTACCATGCCATCTCTGTAAAATATATCCAGCAGACTGTAAAATATATCCAACCTCCATACCTCTGTACCATAACTAAACAGTACTCCCTCGGTTTCATATTATTAGTCGTTTGACTTTTTTCTTAGTCAAAGTTCTTTAGATTTGACCAAGTTTATAGAAAAAAAATAGCAACATTTACGACACAATTAATTTCTATTAAATTTAACATTGAATATATTTTAATACAATGTTTGTTTTGTATTGAAAATGTTACTTTATTTTGCTATAAACTTGGTCAAACTTAACTAAGAAAAAAGTCAAACGACTTATAATATGAAACGGAGGGAGTACTTAGTATTGTTGATTCCAACTTGGGTATATGTATAACATGTGTTTCATGCTTATGTAGCAATTGTGCTTACAATAAAATTGAATTCGTGGGTAGTAGCAGGTTGTTTAGTATAGCAAATGGCCTTGTTAGAATAGAACTTAGATTGCACTAACATTTAGTATTAACAATTTATTGGTGCATGTTCTGCAAGTTAGCAGAGGGAAAACTGTCATGTATTTATCACCACAAATGGCATATATGCTCCTACCAACCTACCAAACTTAAACAGGCAACTGCACGTGCATGGGTCCTTTTTAGAACCGATTACCTACAATTCACCACAGGATGCTATGTCATCTACAGTGATCTAACTTGAGATAGAGAATTTACCAAGGCGACAAATTTTACTCCCAATTGATGTTTTAGAACCCATGAAGTCAACTTTTTTCGAAAACAACTCGAGATATTTTTTACAACTTTTATGTTGTATATACAACAACTTAAGTCCTATATATATATTGTAAAAGTACTGTTGTATGCTTATGGTTTTGTTATTTTGAGGGCTGTGGTTGTTTGAAATTATAACCTTGAAGATCTTGAATAATGAGTGACACCACCCTAAAAGATTGGTGGATCGTATATTTGTCCATGCTTTAACATCTTGCTGTGGAGATTGATTTGGAGAAAAAAAGTTCTTCTCACACATGTAAAAATGGTTCCAAGATTTGCTATTCCATAGTGTGGCTGGCGGCTGCTGTATATTGCATTGGACTTTTGTTAGAAAAAGGCAGAGCCTATACAGATGGTAACACAACATTGTCATTGGATATAGTTTATAAGAACATTTACAAAACAATTGTGTATATTGTACCCTGACGATCGAATATATGGAAATTTAGTGATAGTAGTTCTTTTCTGCCTATCTTATGTAGGAAAAACTCTTTTCAAGTAGGAACAGGACTGAGGTCTCGCTTGGCAAGAAGTTGAAGAACAATTATCTTCCAGAGATGGAAAAGATTCACAAGGTATCTAACCGTAGGTCTCAGAGAGTTAAAATTGCTGGTCGTAGAATATAATAGAATGTTATTTTATCTCAATGTTTTGCTCCTCTTGTAGAAGAAGGAGAGGCTGCTCAAAAAGCAACAAAGAGAAGCACTCCTCCTTGACAACCGCTTGACAGTGAATGGGTTCACCTCTGTCCGCTCTCGTCGTGAAAGAAAGCGTGTCACCTATACTTTTGGTAAGCTTGAACCTGACGCGTTTGAGGGAAAAACTGACATAGGAAGAATATTGGACCATATCTGCTCCGTGCCATGGTTCTTCTGTCTGGAAAGACAGTACTATACTTCTTTTACCTGTTTCATTGAAATAATTGCCCTTAATAGTTCCTTCTGGTTCAGTGGCATTACCCAATGATGTTTTTGGCCAGTTCTTAGTCTTACATCTTCACGTAGTTGTTCCTTCATTTTAGACGTTCAATCAACTTTTGAATTCTACTGTAATGTCAGTTAACATGTAATATAATTTACTAAGCTTCTATCGGTTTTCATTGAGGAAGCTATATATACCCTGATTACCTCGTAATTTGATAAATGCCAGCAAATTACTCTCCGTAACCTGTTAATATGTTCTCAAGTTTGCTACATGTAATTTTTATTTAAGTTGCATAGTCTGGTCATTTTATGCACTGAATGGTCTCAATTGGAGCAAAATCATATCATATACATAAGTTACCAATTCTCTTAACTCTGAACATGTTTACTTATCATGCAGATGATTATGAGCGTTCAATAAATGAAGCCATAAAACCAACAAAGTAGGTGGATTATCTCTGCTTGATAGTTTTCATTTAATAATTTACAAGTTTGGAAACATGATGCTTGTCTGTACTATGTCATGATGCAAATGTCTGAATTATCATTGACAGGAAAAGTGAGAACTCTTCTGAGTTCATTACTACTTCTAACAGAAGAGTACACCCAAAACGAGAGACAGCGACCAATGGTAGGTTAGCTGGTCCTTCGCCATTATGCAATGGATTCTATGGAGAATATCCACTAAGGTCACATGGCTACCAAGGAAGTGAGTGGGAGAAAAAACCTGAGACTCTCGATCGCAGGTAACTTCCTAAATGCTTGTTATTTAGTTGGTTCCCTGCTGATGCTTACCATTGACCTATAGACATATTTATCCCATTATATCTACAGGCAAAGAAAAAGATCTCGAAGGTACACGCAAGATTTTGTTGAGGCTATCTCGGACGTCGACCCAAACTTCGACAGTGATGATGATATCATTGGTGAAGCAGTCTATGATGAGGAATATCTTAGAAGTCGAAAGCAATATAAGGCCAGACTTTTAGAACTCGATAAAGAGTTCCAATTGGAACAAGTTGCCGATGATGGTAATGATGAAGTGGAATATCCTTCGAGTACCAGTGAAGATGAAAAGGAGCCCCAACGGTACAAAAGATTGGCTACTTGCAATCCTCGAGGGACCAACTTGAGAACTATCGATGGATTCCAAACATGCATCACACGAAGTAAGCGTTCCACCCGCCCACACATGAAGTATCATCAGTATGATCTTTCTGGCACAGATACAGAATTGGGAAAGCCAGGTAAAATAAAGGTACCAGATCCAGATGCTGGTTCTGATGCACTAAATGACATGGAGCTCTCGACAACTAGTCAAGACCAGGAGGAAGAAGGTGCTGAAGTAAATAAAGAGCGGCCACCCCTGCTTTCTCCTAGCAGGAATAATGGAAGCGATGGGAGAAGATTTCTTGACTTAAACGAGGTTGCGCCTGTAGGCGGTTTTGATGAAACACAGAGTCGCAACGGCGAAAGGCGACCACCTGGATAACAACTGAGGATCATGCCCTTGGGTTTAGATACTGAGTAACATTGTTGATCCATCAGAGGCCAATGAGCACCCATGAGAGAGCGATACAACATCATTCATGCGTCAACCTGATTGGAGGTGCTTTTGTCAACTTGGAAGAACCAAGTGAAGAAACGATATGGTCCATCATAAGTGCAGCTGTAGAATTACCATTAGCTGATCCAGTCTGATGATTGTAGACCATGGTGAGATGTGTGCACTGATGTCTGGCACGCGTCAACTGATAGCGTATTAGCGTATGCGTGTTAGATTGCCATTTTTCTTCTTCTTTTTGAGTCATTGTCACATTGTTGTTTCACCCCGGCTACATATGCTTGCGAAATCGCGAGGCCTAAATGAGTAACATTGTTGGTGTGGCTTGGCCGCTTCAGGATGCATTCTCTGCATGTTGTCATCAGTCTCAAACTGTGATTCTTGCCCTCCCGTATTTCCAATTTTCCATGGCTTGTGTAGTTGTGTTGTGTATGTAATTGTAGCTTGGAACTTCGGCAAACGAAAGCTATTCTTTTCTTCCCCCCATCTGTGCTTATTTGAACCATTCTCCGTACAAGTTCTGAAGTTCATCATGGAACTAATTCAAACCAAAATTTGATTTATCATGTTACTATCTTTTACTATCTCCGTTTCAAGTTTCAAGTTATATAAGACTTTCTAGCATTGCCTATATTTATATAGATGTTAATGAATCTAGGCACACATATATGTTTAGATTCATTAACACATATATAAATATAGACAATGCTAGAAAGTCTTATAATTATAATATGAAAAAGTATTATACTTACAATTTACACCTGTTTCAAGATAAGAAACACCGTGAATCAAAAAGGAAAATTTCAAAAGCAAATGGCAACAAGAGCAGTTGGGCCGTAGTTGGGCTGGGCCAACTGGCCCAGATTGACAAGCACGATAATGTGGGGGTGGGTCCGTGTCGCGCGGCTACAAGAGTAACAAGACCACGTCCGTCTCCACCGGCGTCGCGGAGGGATCCTAAACCCTAACCCCCACCCCCCCCCCCCCCCCCCTCACTTCTTCCCGCCGCCGCCGCCGCCGCCGCAGCCATGGCTCCAGCACCAGCAACCACGAGCTCCAGCAAGCGCTCGAAGAAGCGGAAGCAGCCCGTCGCTCCCCCGCCGGAGTCGGATTCCGAGTCGGAGGAGTTGTCCTACGACACCGCCGCGGCTGACGAGGAGGAGGGGGAAGAGGAGGCGCCGAACCAGATGGAGGAGCTGGAAGAGGAGCAGGAGGAAGAGAAAAAGGAGAAGAAGCAGAAGAAGGAGATGAGCAAGGAGAAGAAGAGGAAGAAGGAGAAGGGGAATGAGGGGGGATCGGGGATTCTGACCAACATGCTCTTCTCCGAGCTCGGCGTCTCCGAGCCTACTGCCAGAGCCATCAGGGAGATGAACTACACCTACCTCACCCAGGTTCGCCTTGCCTCCGTTTGAACCTATAAATTGCTAACTACCTCATTCGCTGCACGATTCCTTAGTTGCGTTGAAAATTGATAGCTGTTTATACTATGCCTAGTGTTCTCAATTGGATAGATATAATGTAGTTTGATGCGGTGCTCAATTGGAAATCTATAATGTAGTTTGAAGCGCGTGCTTAATTGGATGCCTATAGTGAGTTGGGTTTGGTAGAGATATGCTCACATGAAATTGTTCTTGTTTCTTGTGCTTGCAGATTCAAGCTAGGTCCATACCACACCTGTTGAATGGAAAGGATGTGATGGGCGCGGCCAAGACTGGTTCAGGGAAGACTCTTGCCTTCCTCATACCAGCAATCGAGATGCTCCACCACGCACATTTCATGCCGAGGAATGGGACTGGAGTTGTTGTGGTTTGCCCAACAAGAGAGCTTGCCATCCAGGTATGGTTTTGCATTTTTGGTTTACCAAACGAAATCATGGTACAACTAATAGAATCAATCATGCTACAGCCTGTTTGAGGAAACTATGTAATCAGTCATGCTGGAAGTTGATTTTTGCAATACTAAGTACTTGAATTTGTTAAACATGGGAAATATAGTTTCTGTAGTCCGTTCTAGGCTTGTGAGCAAAATATATGCCTTGCTTATTGCATTTATGGATTTTTTTTTGAGGTTCTTATTCATGTATTGCCATTGATATATTTTTTTCAGACACACAATGTTGCCAAGGAATTGATGAAGTATCACTCACAAACTCTTGGATATATTATTGGCGGTAATGGCCGGAGAGGTGAAGCAGATCAGCTTGCAAAGGGAGTCAATTTATTAGTTGCTACACCAGGCAGGCTTTTGGACCATCTGCAGAATACCAAGGGATTCATATATAGACGGCTAAAGGTAAAAGAAACCCATATTTAATTCTATCAGTTGAAAGGGTGCATATGATTTCTCTGGAAACAGTGTAGGTATTTAGACCATCCATGAACTAACTGAAGAGAAAGCACAAAATTCATAGTTCTACTGCACTATAAACCTGATCACATAACCAGTCTTTGTTCTCATGTCTACACTATACTGCTCATTCTGTGCTTTTGGGTCAACCTTTTTCTTTCAGGACTAAAAGAATCACTTTTTTTTTGTAGTGCCTTATAATCGATGAAGCTGATCGTCTATTGGAGCAGAACTTTGAAGAAGATATGAAACAGATATTTAAACGCCTTCCTCTGGTATATTTCATCTGGCCGTCTGACATTTATCATTTTACATATGCAGACCATAACTTGTAACTCTTTGCTTACATAATGTCTCATTTCTTTTTTTGGTAAATCGCTACTTATGCTATGCAGAATAGACAGACAGTTCTTTTTTCTGCTACACAGACAGAGCAGGTTAGTGAATTTATTATTCAGTTTGTTGAAACTTTTCATTCATTTTTTCTCTGGGTGATGTACTGATTCATTGATGAATTCCACACAGGTTAAAGAATTTGCCAAGTTGTCATTTGAGAAAAACGAAGAAAGTACCTCAAAACCTGTTTATGTTGGTGTTGATGATGCTGAAACTAATGTAAGGAAATTGTCAGCCAAGTTGTTTTTTCTCTTTTCATAATGTTTGTAGGATAATAACCATAATGCTCCTACAGGCTACTGTTGAGGGCTTACAGCAGGGATATTGTGTCATTGATAGCGCAAGAAGGTTTTTGGTTCTTTATGCTTTCCTAAAAAAGAAACAGAATAAAAAGGTCATGGTGTTCTTCTCATCATGTAATTCAGTCAAGTTCCATGCAGAACTTCTGAATTTTCTCCAGATAGAATGTTCTGATATCCATGGAAAACAAAAGCAGCAGAAGCGTACCACAACATTCTTTAACTTCTGCAAAGCAGAAAAGGGTATCTTACTATGCACTAATGTGGCAGCACGTGGACTTGATATTCCTGATGTGGTGAGTTTTTAATGGTGATTTTTTAAAAATCTCTTATATGGAGTCCCCCTTTTCTGATATAAGGATGTTTGGCAATGTTTTAGGATTTCATTGTGCAATATGATCCTCCAGATGAACCAAAGGTGGGTTATTCTGAATGTGCCAAGTTAGTTTTCTGTTATTTTCACTTATTTGCTCATTTCAATGTACTGAGTAATCTGTTTACTTTCAGGATTATATTCACAGAGTTGGACGTACTGCACGTGGTGAAAAAGGCAAAGGAGAAGCACTGTTGTTTTTACTGCCACAAGAACTGAAGTTTCTTATCTACCTGAAGGTAGTACTTTACAAAGTAATATGTTTTCTATTTTCTGAAGTTAAGAGAAATTATAACATATTATATTGGTGCCTGCAGGCTGCTAAGATTTCGCTGACAGAATTAGTGTTCAATGAAAACAAAGTGCCAAATTTGCAATCGCACCTTGTAAGTGTTTTTTCACAGTTAGTGAGTTGTTTTAACACTGTTTGTCAAATGTGTCTAGTAGTAATAACTCAAGTTGTTGGACAGGAGAATATCGTTGGCGAGAATTATTTCCTGAATCAGTCAGCTAAAGAGGCATACAGATCCTACATCTTGGCATACGACTCACACTCCATGAAAGACATTTTTGATGTTCATAATCTCAATCTGAAGGTACACTGCTTATTGAATTTCTTTCTGAAGGATTTTTGGTTCCCCTGTGCATGACCAATTGTTACCCATTATATGCTTTGTTGTATTGGACATTCAATTCACAACAAATGCTCTTCATTTTGGCATGTTCCAAATCTTTTAAGTGTCAAGTGGAGTGTCTGTTGTTTTTTCTTCAATTTTAGTAGTATTTAGCTCTCTTGAGAGAAAATGGTATGTGCTAGGTAAGTGATGATAATTTATCATCTTTAACTTTTATATAAAGTATGTGCTAGGTAAGTGATGGTAATTTATCATCTTTAACTTTTATATAAACTAACTGAATTTCTTCTGCACTTTTTTACTGAGCTAGATTAAAGTTTATTTTTCTAGTATATAATTTGTTTTATGTGCTTATGGTAGTGAATCTTTGTTGTATTTTTATCTTTCTGTTTTACAAACCCACCATTAATAAATCTTGATTCAGACAGATGGGTCTAAATCCTTTCTATCTGGCAGGATGTGGCAGCGTCTTTCTGTTTTAAGAACCCACCAAAGGTAAACATCGATTTGGAGAGCTCTGCATCCAAACATCGGAGGAAGATGAGGAAAGTGGACGGTGGAAGGAGGCATGGCATCAGCGCTGCAAATCCCTACGGAAGAAAAGGCGGTGATGACAAAAGGCAGTTTGCAAGATTCTAGAGATGTTCAATACATGGAGTCTCAAAAGACCCTTGGCCCTATGAAATTTTGATAGATAACTTATATTATCGCATCATGCTATAACACAATTATTCTGTCCAATGTATCCACTTAGTCTAGCACTCGAGATTGTTGAGAAATGAGAATGAAATCGTGTGCCAAATTCATTGCTGGTATCCTGAATCCTGATGTTTGCAATTGACAGCGTTCTACAAAATGTATAAAGACGGGTGGGCTATTTATGTCAGACTACCACTCCATTGTCTTCATCTTGTCGTTCAGCTGCATCCTTCTTGGCCTTGGCCTCCTGCAACGCGTTCACCAGCCTCGCGAGGCAGGCGCCGGCGTCGTCCCGGGGGTTCTTGGCCGTGAGGTGCTCGCCGACGTCGGCCGGCACCAGGTCCACCTCCGGCAGCAGCCTCTCGACGGCGGCGAACATCTCGTGGTCGTCGACGTCGAGGTGGATCTTGGCCATGGACTTGAACGTCTCGAAGTCGCAGTAGGACATCTCGATCTTCTTGTCCATCCTCCCCGTCCTGATCAGCGCCGGGTCCAGGTCCTCGACGTGGTTCGTCGTCAGCACGATCAGCCGCTCCTCCCCGAACGCCGACCACAGCCCGTCGATGAAGTTTAGCAGCCCGGACAGCGTCACCTTGCTGTCGCCGCCGACGCCGCCGCCGCCGCCGCCGCGATCGATCACTTTCTTGGTGGTCGTCTTGGCGTCGTCGTCGTCGTCTTCCCCGTCGCCGGTGGCCTTGCGCCGGCCGGTGAGGTTGCTGGAGCAGTCGACGTCCTCGATGACGATGATGGACTTGCTGGTGGTCTGGATGAGCAGCTTGCGGAGGTCGGTGTTGGTGTGCACCGACGTGAGCTCCATGTCGTAGACGTCGTAGCCGAGGTAGTTGGCCATGGCGGCCACCATCGTCGACTTCCCCGTCCCCGGCGGCCCGTGCAGCAGGTAACCCCGCTTCCACGCCTTCCCGACTCGCCGGTGCTGCTCCTTGCCGTTCTTGAACATGTCGAGGTCGTCGATTATCTCCCTCTTCTTCTCCGGATCCATCGCCAGCGTCTCGAACGTCTTGGGGTGCTTGAACACCACCTCCGTCCACAACGAACACATGTAACTCCTAAAATGAGAACGAACACATGTCACCTCCGTCTTGGCGTGACTAAGTGCGGTAATTAATCAAGAATTAGGTCTTCATTCACTGAATTTGAAGTTTGTATGCTAAATTATGATGGTACAAAAGTTTTATATTTCATCCAAAATAAATAAATAATGATTCAGTCGAATGTTATCAACGTTTTATGGATTTGTAGAGTTAGAAATATCTTAGTTGGTGCGTGTGTTAATTAGTGTGAGCGATTAAGCTAATTGGTTTACCCGTCGTCGCCCCAACGAGAGCTGGGGATGTTGGTGTAGAGCTTGCGCTGGCGGCTCATGGCCATGAAGGCGCGGCCCTGGTCGCGGACATGGGGGAGGTAGGCGGAGCGGACGAGGTCGCGGTGGCACTCGTGGAAGACGAGGCGGTAGGAGCGGCGCTGCGACGCGCGCCCGCCGCCGCCGCGCCGCCCCTTGTCGTCGTCCTGCTCGCAGTGCGCCGACCACCACAGCGTCGCGCCGCGGAAGTGGTCCTCCACCTCCTCGCCGTCCGCCATGCTGAGCACCAGCCCCTTGCTGCTACTGCTGCCAGCGCCACCACCACCCCCTTCGCCTGCGCCGCCGCCGCCGCCGCCGCCGCGCGCGTCCTCGGCGTTGAGGTGGCGCACGTCGTCGCGCGTGCCGACGGCGCCGTCGAGGTACGCCTTGGTCTCGGCGAACACGTCGCTGCGCGTCATCCGGCCGGCGTCGTACTCGTGGATGGTGATCGACAGGTAGGGGTCGATGAGCGCCGCCAGCCGCCGCGCCCGCCGGTTCAGCTGCCGCGCCACGAACGTCTGCATCAGCTGGAAATTCTGCAGGTTTCGCAGCAGCATTGTCAGTATCAGCAGCACCAGCCCCGAATTCACCGGCCCAAACCACGCCGCCAAATCCATCGCCGATCGATCTATCGATCTCTTCACTACAATTCTACAGCTTCAACAAACAAATTCCTTCTGATTTGATGAACCGAATTTTATGTTCTTGCATTGCTAGCATCGTAGCAACAGAGCAATATTTATAGAGTGCAAAAATATCAGTGATATCGATCACTCACAAAGTAGTGAGGTACACGCGTAAAGTTGCTGAATTGGAGACCAAATTGTGAGCACTTTGGTGCATAATGGGTTCACGTGCATTTCAGATTTTCAGACTTTCAGAGGGCAAAAACTCTACCAAAAACTCATAAAAGCATCGTTTTTGTTAGTGCCAAACTTTCGCATTTATGTTCGTCAAGCTTTTTGGCAGTGCACCATCGATCTTACCTTTCCAGAGGTAAGAGACAGGGAAAATCGTAACCGTTGATCGCACTGATGCGATCGGATCATGTCGTGTTCGTAGGAAAAAGATGTGTGCGCACAAAAGCGTTCTTGTCATCACTGACGAAATTGGAGACTGAAACATCATCTGATTAGCTGTCCGTTGTCGTTTTTATATCTGAGCTGTAAGGCCATCATCTTTCGTAGAAAACTTAAAGCAATTCTCGACGGCTCGAGTGTATTTAATCGAGTGGTGGCGCCATGGCGGCCAAGCTCCTGAACTGAAGAGGAGTGGATCGCTTTCTGAAGGAGAAAGGGACACTTTGCTGACAGCGACCAATTGATGGTGGAAAGAAGAAAAGGCCGGGAGATCCAGTCATCCATGGGCCATAGCTAGATATATAGCATTGCACTAATTGATATAACTAGTTAATTTCTTTTTGTTTATTTTTTTTGACACACCAAAAGTATCCTTAGATATTTAGTACTCCCTCCGTACTCGTAAAGGAAGTCGTTTAAGACAGCGACACGGTCTCCAAAACACAACTTTGACTTCTTATTTCTATAAAAATATTTATTGAAATGTGATATATGTATATTTTTATGAAAGTATTTTTCAAGACAAATCTATTCATATAATTTTTACATTTTTAAACTCAACAACTCGAGAGTTATTCATGATTTATATTCCCAAGGTTTAACTTAAACATTGTCCTAAACGACTTTATTTACGAGTACGGAGGGAGTACTAAAGAACACACCTAAGGACACTTGTATATTTGATATCGACGTTAAAAGCTTTTGCACATTTGCAAAAAAGTTACACCATAAGTACCTTTAAATATTGAGAAATTTTACAGTCCTCGAGACCAAAATTGGTACATCACTCTTAGAGGAGTATTTGATATCGACATGCTTTGCATGTTTGTGAAAAAAAAAACTTTGTTGCTTTGTTTTGTCTTTCCTTGTAGCATAGATTGTATTTTTTTAATAAAGTAAAATGCACCATCGGTCCTTAAACTTGTCAGGAGGTTTCACTTAGGTCCACGAACTTGCAAAGTACACTTCGAGGTTCCTAAACTTGGTTTATTGTATCATCCCAGTCCAAAACCGCGTTTGACCGTGGTCTTGCCTACGTGGCACGCCACGTGGACGATGACATGAAATTTTTTCTCCCTTGTTTTTTGGACCCGTCGACCGTCTCCACGTGCCCCAGCCTAGCCCCCCCACCCCCGCCACCTCCACCGCCGCCACCGCCAACGACGACGACGAAGCCCGAGAGCCTACCTGTGGAGATGGACTCTGAGCCTGATCTCAAGACGCCGCCTCCGCCTCCACATCTCGCCCTACCACAGCCGCAAGTGGACGGTGCAGTGAGGCCGTGGAACCTGCGACAGCGGACGCGACGGCGCCCAGCCGCCTCCATGTCATGGGTGGCAGCGGTGCCCATGCCGTCCTTGTCCCGACGCCGGAAGCGCGCGCCGTTCTTGGTGGAGCTCACCCCGGAGGAGATCGAGTAGGACATATATGCGCTGCTGTCCCCCTCCCTCCCGTCAGCGCCACTGTCCTCCCTCCCGTCGCGTGCGCGCCTCCAGCACGACGGCTCGGCAAGTGGAGCGGAGGCTGATGGAGAAGGAGATGAAGGCGTGGCTGTGGAGCTCGCGGTGCAGCGGCCGCCAGAGAGGAAAAAAAGGAAGAAGGGAGGAAAAAAAAGGAGAAGGGAGAAAAAAAATAAAAAATTCTATGTCATCGTCCACGTGGCGTGCCACGTAGACAAGACCACGATCAAACGAGACTTTGGACCGGGATGATACAATAAACAAGTTTAGGGATCTCGACGTGCGTTTTACAAGTTCGTGTACCTAAGTAAAATCTCAAGATAAGTTTTAAGGACTGATGGCGTATTTTACTCTCTATTGCCGACTACTCCTACTTTATATACTTCTGGAGATATTTGTGAAAGTTTTTTAGGTGTCTTTGGGCATTGGGGTGTGCAAAGGCACCACCTATCGTCGTCATCTGGCTAAGATCAATCGTCGAAGTCTTTGACCGGAAATGCTACGTAGGTATGCGCATTAACAAGACACTTACCAGACATACCTACGAACTTGATTAGCTTAATTATACCATGTGGTTGTGTCATGCACCAATGTTCCTTTTGTTTTTTCATCGCCCTTTTAGTGTCACCACTGTGTTGGTTAATAACTTAATATACACGCACATGATATGATCTGATTGAAGCATTAATTTATAGCCATTTTCAATATAGAGCTTCATACTGGTAGATCATGAACAGGTGATGTTTTGGACGTTGACCTGAATTCTCCAAATTCCGAAATACAATGTAAGCTAATTAATCGAATCATGTCGCGCAGTATCGCTCTAAATTATTTTTTTTTGAGGGAAACTAAGGCGGGACTCGTCGACACCAGCCTGAACTTTTATTGAATTAAAGAAACATATAGGGGGAAGAGTTACAATGAGGGATAAGAGAGAACTAAATTAAGAACTAATTACAGGTTTGAGACCCAATTACGAAGCTGCTTCATAAGTCAATGTCGCTAGCACAGCGCCGGAGAACTGACGGAGTGGAGTCGTCTAAGGAATTGAAGACCTTATTGTTGCGCCGTTTTCAAATATTCCATATTGCAGCTAGTAGGATGGTACATGCGCCAGATTCGTGGAGGGACGGCGTGCTTGGGTGGGGGGATGTCCCAGACATCTTCCAGACGTGGTAGGGAGGCGATCTGTTGTCCGTCAAGGCCAAAGGCGTGCCAGACAGCTGCTACACCGGAGCAACGTAGGAAGAGGTGCTCCACATCTTCATCGAGGGGGCAGAAAGGGCAGCATGCGGATGTTGCTAATCCGCGTCGAGCTCGCCTTTCATTGGTGAAGATGCGCCCCTTATGTGCAGTTCAAAGGAAATTTTGCATTTGACTTAAGCGTGGTTGTCCCAGATTGGCCCGGCAAAATGATCATTTGTGAGCTCCGAGTAGCTTAAGTCGTAAGTTGTTCTTGTTGTGAGGGGGTGGTCCGAGGACGAGATGCGCCGGTCGTTCGTCGCAGAGTCTAGCACATGGTGGCAAACCACCGGTTGGACGGTGGCTAGCTCGAGCGTGGCCGCCGCCGACAGCCTGGGCCGGAGGTGGAGGAGCAAATCAGGAGCAGCGAGGGCGTCTGCAACAGAGATGTACACGCTCTAAATTGTTGTCGGCGTTCTTCACTTGAGAGAATTTAACATTCAAATTAAGCAGATTGTCAGTTCACTAAGAAAATCGAGTCAAATTATTTAGCACAACATGTGGTCAAATTATTCCACAATGAAAATAATTTTCTTAAAAAAACTTAGTCTATTACTGTGATCATAAGCTACGTGGACTAGAAAAAACGAGAAGCTAGCAACCACTCCAGCAAGGCGCCAATGGCGGCTAGCTACTTATCCTTCCCGACCACTTCTACATCGTCATCTTCTTCGTCTTCGTCTTCGTCTTTGTCTTCGCCATGAGCATTTTTTCCTTTTGATTTATTCTCCTTGGCCTTCTCGAGCTCCTTCACTAATGCTGCGAGGCACGTGTCGGCATTGTCGTCCAAGCTCTTGGGCGTCAGGTTCTCGGCGACGTCCGCCGGCGTCATGTCCACCTCCGACAGGAGCTCGTCGACGGCGGCGAACAGGCGGTGGGAGTCGACGTCGAGGTATGTCTTGGCCAAGAACTTGAAGGCCTCGAAGCAGCAGTAGGACATCTCGATGTGCTTGTCCATCCGGCCTCGCCGGATCAGCGCCGGGTCCAGCTTCTTGACGTGGTTGGTGGTGAACACGATGAGCCGCTCGCCGCCGCACGCCGACCAGAGGCCGTCGATGAAGTTGAGGAGGCCGGAGAGGGTGACCTTGCTGCTTGCGTCCTTCTTCATGTCCGGCTTGGGCGGCGCGCCGCCGTCCTTGCTGCCGCCGTCGTCGTCGTCGGCCGCCTCCTTCTTCTTCTTGCGCGCGCCGGTGAGGTCGAGCGAGCAGTCGATGTCCTCGATGACGATGATGGACTTGCTCGTCGTCTCGATGAAGAGCTTGCGGAGGTCGGTGTTGGAGTGGACGGAGGTGAGCTCGATGTCGTAGATGTCGTAGTCGAGGTAGTTGGCCATGGCGGCGATCATGGCGGATTTGCCGGTGCCCGGCGGGCCGTGCAGGAGGTAGCCGCGCTTCCACGCCTTCCCGACGCGGGCGTAGTAGTCCTTGCCGTTCTTGAACATGTCGAGGTCGTCCATGATCTCCTTCTTCTTGGCCGGGTCCATGGCGAGCGTGTCGAACGTCTTGGGGTGCTCGAACACGACGTGGCTCCACGCCGACCGGACGAGGCCGTCGACGTCGCTCCAGTTGTGCGTGGAGATGTTGGTGAAGAGCTTCCGCTGCCGGTTCTGCACCATGACGGCGCGGCCCTGGCGGCGGATGCTCGGGAGGTAGGTGTTGATGACGAGCTCGCGGTGGCGGTCGAGGAAGAAGAGGCGGTAGTACCGGCGATTCTCCTGCGCGCGGCCGCCGCCGCCCCAGCCGTAGTACCCGCCTCCATCGGTGCGCGGCGGCGGCGTGGAGTACGCGCACCACCAGACGGTGACGTCGGTGCTGTCGTCGGCGGCGACGACGTCGGAGACCTCCTCGCCGTCGACCATGCTGAGGACGAGCTTGTCGGCGTCCTTGGCGCCCTCGGCGCGGAGGTGGCGCACGTCGCGCGCCGACGACGCGCTGAGGTAGGCCTTGACCTCCTCGTACGCCGCGCTCCGCTTCATCCTGCCGCCCTCGTACTCGTGGATGGTGACCGACAGGTACGGGTCGACGAGCGCCGCCAGCCGCCGCGCGTGCCGGTTCATGTGCCGCCCCACCAGCGTCTGCAGCTGCAGCCGCTGCAGATTCTGCCACACCACCGTCCACAGCACCGCGATCAGGCTCAGCACCACGCCGGAGTTCAGCCCGTTCAACAACGACGACGACGACGACGTCGCCTCCATTTGTCTCAAAACCAAATTAATTTCCCAATTCACGAACACGCAGAAGGATTGATCAGAGATGTGATATGGGTGGATATGGATATGGAAAGATGTGGAGGCTTTGGCACTTGGCGCGCCGTGGATTTATAGGGGCGCGGCGGCGGGCGGAATGTGCTTGGAAAGGGGGTAAGGAATGGTGGTGGTGTGGTGGTCGAGTCGTCGTTGTCGTCGCATCTCTCGCATGTGCAGCTGCTGCTCAAGCCGACATGAACGTTTTTGTTCTCTTGTGATGTGGTGGTAGTGGACTGGATAGACTAGTACTCCACTGTTGTTTACTTTTGGGCGAAGGATCAAATGCTAGGCGTTTCTTAATCTCGCGCTCTGCTTGAATTGGTGACGTTGTGGGGTGTGTCGTAATGCCGACGACGACGAGGTATGGGGCGGGTTTTCTTTTTCTGTTTTTTTTCCAGCTTTTGAAATGCATACGGTTTTTCTTTCTTGGCCGCGAAGGGTAGACTGACGAGCAGGCTGCACGACGACGACGTTTTTGGGCGTTTCTACCTGGAATATGGCGCGGTGGGCGGTGGCGTTCAACGAGACGTGTTTTGGACTTTTGGTAGTAGCTCTTACTACTACTACTTTAAAAGCAGCAAGGGATGGGCAGTAATCCCTTCCGCACGGTAAATCGGTAAATCGAGTGGTCCATTAGTATGTGATTAATTAAGTATTAGCTAATTTTTTTTAAAAAAAGATCAATATGATTATTTTAGTAACTTCTGTATAATTTTTTTTCAAAAAATATACTATTTAATGGTTTGAAAAACATGAGCGCAGAAAAAGAGAGAAATAGGTTCCGAACGCGCAGACACACCATTTGAAAGGTGAGAAAGTTTACCTATATAGATATATAGGATTTTGTTATATGGAGGCAGCATTTGATTAATTGTAGGGGTAATTAGCCCTTTGCTCACGTTTTTTTTTTCTCAAAACTACTATTATTGAATTAAGTTGATTACTGAAACTTTGCCATTGAAAGTTTGTGCTTATCTATATATGTCTTGGATGGATATATGTGGTAGTGTGGTGACAATATATGTGTGTGTAACAGGAGACGTCGTGCGTCGTTGATTAGGCCATTAGGGGCGTAATCCTCTGTTTTAAGCTTGGGAATTAGTTTGTTAATTAGGAGCCCACTACCTACCAAACCAGCTATTTCCCACTAAAATCTACAACAGTAGGTCAAACCGATTTCAGATAGAGATCGCGCACGCTGACGGATGGATCCACGTAATATTTGCAACGTTGGCAACAGATGACATCATTTCACGATAGAGATGCAAAAAGAAAGAGCGAATGCGAAGAGATATAGAATGCAGGTAAACGAAGTCGATATGTACTGGTACGGCTACCAAATTGCAAGTGGTACAATATACTAGTACCTTTTTTTCTTAAATATTTGACCTTAGGAGCAAGCTTTAAGTTAAACTTTTTAAACTTTGTTCAATAATTTTATATTAGGGTAACTTAATAAAGTTTAACAATATTATAATATTATGGTGATACATTTTAAGACAAATCTATGCATACTATTTCTTTTTCTAAAACCAAGCATTTGAGAAGTTATTGATCTTTGAAATTTTTATTTAAAGTTTGGTCGAATCTTATTCTATATGTTAAATATTTATAATGGGGTAAAAGGGAAAAAACTTATACTAGGTAGTAGGTCCATATCATAACAAATCATAATCTAAAACAATCATATAGTCAAAATTACTTTTCTAATGTGATAGACTGATAGTGCTACTCATACTCCCCTGTTCTATGGTGTTGTGATTTGTGAATACTAAAACTAACTTCTCCATCCATCACAAAGTTGGACTTGGCATTATCTTATTTATTTATTCATTTATTTTGGCTAAGTGCGCATGTAGGTTCATAGAACCAACGTATAACTGGTCTATTATTTTCTCTTTTAATTGCACTAGATCAATACTAATACTACTGTAGCTCACAAATTTTATTTGCTGCTCTGCAGAATTTTCATGCTAGCACAAAATTCTTGCATCGAAGAAAATCCACGTCAGGACTCATGAGTGGGCCTTGGGCCGAGACATTTGTGATGTTGGGCCAGGCTCGAGCTCCTCCTCCTCCGCGTCGTCTGTCTCACCTGTGTGCTATGACCACCAACCTGTCTGTCTCGTACTCTCGCTTCCGCTTCGCCCTGTTCCGACTAGGCGGTGTCAGAAACTCCGGCGGCGAGACCGACGAGATCCCGCCGGCGGCGGCGGCGGCGGCGCTCGCTCCACGCCGCACCACACGCGGGGCCTCCGGTGTGCGCCCCCGCCCCCTCGCGCGGATGGCGGCGGCGCAGCTGCTGCTGGGCGAGGACGGGAGGGGGTACGACCTCGCGCGGCGGCTGGAGGCGTGCGGCGCGTGGCGGGCGTGGCTCGGGGACGCCGCCCATGCCGCGCTCGCGCAGCACCTCCAGACCCCCTCCACCTGGGACGCCTTCCTCTTCCCCTCCTCCGGCGGCGGCTCCGCGGCCCCACCCCCTCGCCCGCTCCTGCTCCTCCAGCTCCGCGTCCGCGCGCTCCTCTTCGACAAGGCCTCCGCCGCGCTCCTCCCCCGTGCCCCCCCCCCGGCGGGCCTCAACTCTGTCAACGCCAACTGTGAGCCCCTTCGACTTCGCTGATCGGTTGATTGACTCTAGGGATCTGATGCTGGAATCGCTTGGGTTTGGGTTTTTACTGTAGCTACAAGTCGGGAGAAAGTAGCTTCATGGTGTTCTAGGTTTCGTGGCATCTTGGGGCGGATGAGGTTTATGTTTAGTGACTCCGGGAGTGAGATATTGTTCAGAAAACAGCATTGAGCGTGTTCAGAAAATAGCATTACTGCATAACTGGTGCTGCCTACTTTTAACTGATCTGTGATTTAGCGCGAAAACGTTATAATTGCGCAGCGCCACTTCCCCGTTGTCATGGCAGGTGAAAAATGTTAATTTGGAACGTTTTATTGTTAACTGGTAAGTAATGATTGCGCTGGACCTTAAGTAGTTTTCTAATGTTCTAGCTGGACGGGATATTTAGTCTAACAATTAGTAGTTAGTGTTAGTTAGCTCTTAACTAATATAGATCATATCTTGTTGTACACAGCCAATGGCCTATATATGTTGGGGGCATTTGCCTCAATGAAGATTATCGCGTGAGGTCTATCATGCCTTCATTTATTACTTGCGAATTTCACCAGTAAGTGCGATCAAGGTTTATATGTGAGGACAACTGAGATTTCTGCCCCATATGCAAAGGAAAGTCAATAATCCTGCTAAACTAAGTTGGGTTATTAAGATGGGAGCTAATAGGAAATGGAACCATTAAAGTTGGTAATGATGGAATGGGATTTTTTTTATTCACATCTGCCTGTTGTTGCAATCTAATATAGAGTTATATGTGAGAGAAAAATGGCTCGTTTTTTTGTAGGGGTTATATCTTTAATTTATTGGGACTTTTGATTCTTTTTAGGTGGATGTAAAGTTATATAGTTGTTGAAGCAACTGACCAGAATTTTAGTTCCGCTGGTTTGTGTTTCACTTCATGGAGGCTAAATGATGCCACCTAAATCCTACATTACTGTAAAATCAGCTAATATGTTGAACTAATTTAATGCCGCCATAAAAATGTTGGCTATCAGGTCAAACTTGATAAAAATATCAACCTTTATATGCTAGTATACTAGTAAGCTGACATCGCAAAGGAGGAGCTTTGCTTGATGTTTTACTTGGTTAAATTTGAGCTATAAGATCAAGGAATGGTTTGTCTAGTATTATGGATCTCATTCAAATAAAATTTGATTGAAGTATTTTTCTTCTTCAATATTTCTAACTTTATTTTGGGGTTTTGATTAAAATAAGATGATATTTTGGTTTATTACATATCCTTTTGCACCTTTGTGAAAGCCATATCAAAGAAATTAACCACATGCAAATGCGACAATGTATTGCGGTTGTCAACCAAGAAGCCTTTTAATATTCAAGTTCAACTAGTTATTTCTTCAATGTAATTACTTGGTATAAGAATTCATTTTTTTATTTGCCTATTCATAGTGTTATTCTTATCTGTTTATCTCAGATCTTCAGCTCCATGCAGATGATATTTATTTTTCATTGGAAGATGAGCAGGAAGATATCAATCAACACCATGTATGTTATCTCTAATGTTTTTTTTAAAAAAACTTTTTGGGAATATCAGCATTGTGTGACTCTTTCTAGAAAACCCCTTTCTCTTTCTTGATCTGTTGAGTGATATGCTATTCTATGCAACAATGCCAGCTACCATGTATGAAGTAAGATTCAAGTTGTACGTTACAGTTGGATTTCACGCACTATCTCTTTCCAGTTGAGCACCATTGTCGCAGTTTTGTCTTTTATGTATTATGTACTATTGTATAATCATTGTTATGTGAAGCATCCTTTTAGGTATTGCTAGTGTTCTCTTTCTAGATCGGGGACTTGTTCACCGTCTGAAAACTTCACACATACAGCTGTTAGGGTTTACGGTATACTTTTAATGATAACCACATGATTAGTTCCTTTTTAAGAGATGTGTTGACTGTTGACCTCAATTTTGTGTTAATTGTCATTCTGTAGTCTGCTTAAAGACCAGCATATGCTACTCATTGGTCCAAAAATAAATCTAACTTCTTTGGACCGTTCACATAGGTGATAGGTCAAGCTATGTAACTGCTGGCCATGCCATGCATCATTGGATAATCTTTCTAGTTCACTGTATTAAATGTGCACTAATTATGTATAGCATTCAGCTGCAGTTGGTGCATACTAACTAATGTTGATGTGATTCATATGCTATGCTGATGGTTATATTTGTCCTTGCTGCTGCAGATGCAATCTAGAACCTCATTTAGTCCAAGCAGGGAGAACACTATGTTATCTCAAAGACATAATCGATACGAAGAGTTACCTGACACATGGTACAAACAATATGCTGAAAAATTCAGGACATGGCATGGCAAGTTCCGTTCAGGTGACAAAGATATACCAAAAAGAACATCAGAGGGAATGTCCAATTACCTGAAGGTTTGCAGTGTGCATAAAAGGAAGAGGGCTGTGTTTATGGATGATCAGGGTCACAACATCTCAGTCCCAATGTCGGAAAATGGCCCTTCCTCAAAGAATGCTGGGGACTATAGTAATTTAACAGATGATACTTTCATTCCAGAAATTAGGTTTCCAGCTGACTGTGTCCCGGAAAGCGCAATTCCTAGAACAAGTGAGACGTCTAGGATCTACAAAATAGAAGTTCATGGGGTTCTTGATAATTTACCGGCGCCTGTTAGTCGCAACACTGCAATGCTTGAAAGATTTGGAATGATGCCTGAGTATTATAAGAAAGGGAACAAATATCGAGGGAAAGATGGATCCAGAGTAGAAGGAAAATCTCTAAGCCAAGAACAAGCAATGCTTATGACAAGGAAGTTGGTTGCTCGCTACTTGGCAAATGCAGGATTTGAAAGTGGAACTGCAGTGTGTATTGATGTTCTTTCAGAAATAATAATTAAGCACATCTCTAAGCTGGGGCGTAACTTGAAGCTTCTAACTGACAGCTACAGGAAGCAATTTTCATCCATTGAACTCCTTAAGATGTTCCTACAGACTGTTGGCTACAGGTACTTTAACCTATTTTATATACGCGCCTCTTTACTTTTTTCCCTTTTGTTTTCCCTGTGTTCTTTTTGGTATTAGGTGCAGGGAGATGCCTTCTGTGTTACTATATATACTAACACATCAGTTCTTGCCTAAAGGAGCTAGTAATAAAATTGAGTCATGTTGATGGCAGAGCATGTGTATTTAATGCATTTTTTTTTCTATAAAATTACATGCCAAAGTTCTGATAGTGATTTTCTGCTGTAACATTTAGTAACATTGGCCCCTTGATGGAAATCACTAAAACGACAAATAGAGGGGCCAACTACCCTATGCAGCAAGATGCACAAGTGCAAAATCAAAATGCTCTTCTTCATGCACAACAGGTAGGAAACTGCTGCTGGCTCACCATACTTGTATTATGTATATCTTAATATTTCTATATTCTAAAGCATATATGCTTCCTTGCTGAGGAAATGGTTTAGTTAGACTCTTAAGAATTTCTACCCATCAACTGTGCAAGGAGGGGTGGTTTTAGCCAACTAAAAGAGGCATAAGGCTGTTTGATTCAGAATAATTTATACACTTAGCCATCCAAGGATAGATCACTGATTAAACAAGCCTTCGGTGTCTTCCACTTGATTTGGTTTATGGGAGTGAATATTGCCTGATGATCACTGATTAATATTAGAATCTGGCCGGTTGTCTGTGATGACTGTAAAGTCCTGTCTGATGTTGCTTTCTCTTGTAGTGAAACTCTTCAATCAATCTATCAGTGGCGTAGCTAATATTCTGTCTGGTTTTGTTAAGTTCCTAGGAATGCGGTGGTATCAGATAGTTCCTTTGAACTTCTTCTGATGTGAAATTAACCAGTAACAGTTAGCCCATGAACCATATGAACTTTGGATAGTATTGGAGCAAACTAATGCCCATCGCATAGAAACGACTCCTAAAATCAGTGTCCACAATTCATGAATCACATCATAGATCACTGATTGGCCACCTGATTGAGCTTCAGATAGAGAATTGGGTTGGTAGTAAAATGATTTGTGAAGCAGGGCGTTTAATATCTGGTTTTCAGCAGTGAACATTAATGAATACCTATATGTGTACAACTTTTTATTAGCCAGACCGTTCAAAGCAAATGGTTGCTGGATTTCATTTTTGTCAAGCATGATATAGCCACTGCCTACATATGTATGCTCAGTCGAGTTGCTGAAATATTTTTCTTCATTTGATTATTGAATTGATTCATAATTACATATGCACCACTGGCAGCTTTCGAGGCAATTTGCACCCCAAATGGGAATTAATACACAGAATTTGACACCACAGCAGCAGCAGCAACTGCTGCAGCAACAGTGGTTGAGGCGCAATCAACTGGCCAGCCCCCGTGGTCCTCTTACGATGGCGGACAAAAACCAGGCTATGGTAAATGTGAAGATTGAGAATACGGTGGACTCACAGATTGATAGCCCCTACGGATCACTTACCAGACAACAATTGCAGCAGCTAAGGCACCATCAGCTTCTACAGCAGCAGCAGCAGCAGTTTCAGCAGCAACAGCAAGTTCAACAGCAGCAGCAACAACAACAACAACAATTTCAACACCAGCAGCAACAACAGCAGCAGCAATTTCAACAACAGCATCAGCAGCAGCAACAATCACAGCAATTGCAACAACAGCATCAGCAGCAGCAACAACCACAACAATTGCAGCAGCAGCATCAGCAGCAATTGGCCATGTCAGGAGGCCAGAATGCCCAACTAGCGCAGCAGCTAGCAATGTCAGGAGGCCAGAATGCACAACTAGCGCAGCAATTAGCCATGTCAGGAGGCCAGAATGCGCAACTAGCTCAGCAATTAGCCATGTCAGGAGGCCAGAACCCCCAATTAGCACAGCAATACAAACAAATGCCATCGATGTAAGTACCTGTACCTCCTCAACTCTATTGATCTGTTTAAAATCTATGCTTCCATCTTGTTAACCCCTCTGATCTGATTGCAGGAGTGCGTACGGCATGAGGATGCCGCCGGTGAAAGTGGAAGCGTTCCACGAGCTGGTGAGTGGAGATTCGTCTCTGAAACCCGATAGCGACTCAAACAAACTCATGTCTCCCAAGTAGGTCAGTCTTACACCGAGGGAAAATCGCGTAGCCAGCGGTTAGCTGTAGTGTACAAAGGACTACATTTGTGATCTCTCACTGTTGTTTCCGAAGAACTGAAGCCTTTGTAGTTTTCATCAAATCCAGCAAGGCAAGCAGTGTATTGTAATTGTAGATGTATAAGTGGTTACTAACTGAGGTGATAAGATCGATGTGGTAATTTATCAGAAACTTGAGATTCCTTCATCTGCCTGTCCTGCTAGTTCGATTATCTTCAAGAAAATCTGAGCTCCTTGTTTCTGTGAAATCAGCTGGTTTTGATTTACCAATCCATTAGCGAACTAATACCGTATAAGCAAAGCTTAAGACTCAGACTGAAGGGTATTTTGGTTAGTTACCCCACCCCACTTTACCATGCATGCTTTAATCATGCCATGGTTTTCTAAGAGCAAGTTTAATAATATAGCTTATTACTAAATCCAAAATTTAAATCATCATCTATAATCGATCTAATAGCTTACTCGTACAATAGTTAGCTATAGAACTACATCATTAATGAATAATCCACCCATCTCCCTCACATAGTTTATTGGAGCTCGTGCTATAGCTGGCTATAAATTTGTAGCCTGCATTTGTTCTATCTTCTCTTATCTCTCCTCCACACAAACACAAATCTGATGTGGCAACTTATATAGCCCGTTTATATCATCTTATTGTACTTGCTCTAAAACACTTGTTTGCTTTGATGTCGTGATTAACTTATACCATAGAGTCTCATCGATCGATCATATTTCCTAATAAGTTAAAGTGGCGAAATAAAAATTAGCTTATTGGTAGAACTTTATATATTTATATATTTGTTCGTAGCGATTTAAAAGCCAGGGCTAAAAAGAAATTACGTTGAAAATATTTTAAAATCAACTTTAAAATCAAGTTTGAAAGTTTAATTTTAACTTTTGCTTTGATAATTTTTCAACTTTTGCTTTGACTTATTAGAACAACCAATGGCTCGTACTTTTTTAGCCTTGAAACCCCGACATCAAAATCTTAAATCTGAAGCCAACTGTGTCACAGTTGTGGCTAATTATTTCTTAGGGCCGTTCACTTTAATGCTATTTTCAATCTTACCAAGTTTTAGTAAAGTTGCCAAAAAAGTGGCTATATTTAATTCGTTGCCAAATTTTGGTAACTATATAAGAAATTCTGTCAAAATTTTGGCAAGTTACCAAAATTTTAGCAACTATACCAAAATTTTGGTAAGGTTTTTTTTGGCATCAAAGTGAACAGGCCCTTAGCCACGGTTTTGGCTAGTTATTTCTTTGCCACGGTTTTAGCTTTCAACTCAATTTTTTTTGTTTGAAGGAAGCTTTCAACTCATTCGCTCATATCACAACTTGCCTAAGGCTCTGTTTTTTTCAGTTTGGGATTATTATAATCCAGATTATTGGGAGTAAGCTGAAAGAAACAGACAACTTATTAAAGTAGTTTATTATAATCTGGAGCCCAGCTTATTATAATCTAATAAGCTCATTTAGGTAAGCTTTTTCTAGATTATTGGGTGAAAAATTACCCACCATGCCACCCTACTCCCTTTTTAGACTTGCAAACCCAATAATCTAGACTCTAATAATCTAGAAAAGAAACAACTAATCGCTTATTCTACTACAAATTATAACAATCTAGTTTATAATAATCTAACACAATAATCTAGATTATAACAATCTTAAGCTGAAAGAAAAACAGAGCCTAAGCTAGTTGTGGGAAGCTTAGGCATCAACAAACAGCCCGTCTCTGCAGCATTTAAAGGCAAGGTACACAACCAGGTCTGGTCTGGCGCCGCCAACGCGATTCGGCTCCCTTTTTTTCTCTTGGAAGTTGGAAATGAGCAGGACTTCCTCCGGTTCTAGACCGTCTCCCTCTGTCGCTAGACAATGACGCACCGAAAGAAGGTTACCGTGGCTTGTCGAGTCGAGCCACCCATTTTTCTCCAGAATGCACGTGTCGGTGTCGCCCTTTCTAGAAGAAGAGTTTTATGCAGCTCGTAGGGGCTCTCTTTTCTTTGGCCTCTGATTCGTTGTTAATTTAATCCGCCGCAACGCAAGCGTAAGAAAGCACAACGCATCAGAGACTTCTTGCCCGAATCATATGCTTTTAACCACTTGACCTCAGCCGTAGAAAAACTAGTCCGGATGCCTAGTGATTTCTTGTTCTTGTGCACTCAATTATATGATTAATTAATACAGATGAGAAACAAATGCTTTAATAGTTGCTAATATTTCAATCGATCCAAATGAACATGATGCTAAACACAAGGGCAAACAAACGCGAACAAGCTGCATACACAAAGGATAAGTAATTAAAGGAGGACACAGTCGTTTATTAATCACACTGATAGGACACAGTACATATATATATAGGAAGCAGCAGCAGCTGTAAGCAATAAGCTGGCATAAAACAATTCGAGAAGCAGATTAATACTGCATCCTTGATGAGGACTTGAGGATCAAGCCGTGCTGCCGTGTCTGTACAATAGATGCGACCTGAGGCCAAGCCAGGTCGATCGATGGATGCATCCTTAGCTGACGAATATAATCGACGGGTCGCAGCAGCACTCGTCGATCAAGCAGCAGCAACAAAGCGCAGCCAAACTGCAGCAAAATCAAATTAACCAGACAGTTCGAAACGATGGCACAAGTTGAGGTGAATTTGATTGGCATATAGTAGTAATTCGAAAGGAAGAAGGAACAGTGAATGCTTACCAGCCTTCGAGGAAACTAGGCTGCCGCCTGGGCGGCGGCGCGGCGTACTGCGGCGGCGCCATCACCGGAGGCCCCTGGTACGGGCCCTGGTAGTAGCCCTGCGCCGGGTAAGGGTACGCGTACTTGGGATCGCTCATCTTCAGCTTCCTCCTCTTACTACGAACACCAACTCAAAAGAAAGCAGATGCGAGTTGCGAACTAGAGGAGGTGACGCGATGAGGAAGAAGAAGAGAAAGAAAGCAGCGTGTGGTAATGGAGCAGGTGGTATTCGGAGAGCGAAAAGCTTAACAAGAAGAGAGGCGTCACGGCGCGGCTCGTTATTATAGGCGGGATGTAGGAGAGCCGTGTCGCGCGGCGATGGGTGGGCGAGCCGACGCGGCGCGGTGCGGATGGAGGGAGGCATCTGGAAAGCGCGCGAGAGAGGGAGATGAGATGGGGGTTTGCTTCCGCGGGAGGCATCGGATCGCACCGGTTTTCCTTTCCTTGCGGTTGGACTGGCCACATTCGTTTCGTCGTCGCGTTTTCTCTGACTTTTTTTGGGTCGGTTTCCGTGGCGGCTGCGATGGCGGCAGTTTGGCCTGGAGTACGTACGTGCGCGTAGTGTGAGGCGACATTGAACGTGAGCAGCCGCCATCGTCCGTCGTCGCACGTACGGCGGCGCGTCGGCAACGAATGCTTTGGAAGAACAGTGAACACGATAGGACGTCGACCCTCCTGGACCTTGGTACACGAAATTCAAAGAGAGAAAAGCTGCTGGACCTTTTGCGTTTTTTCCCAAGAAAATGTTCGCCAAAATCTTGCTGTATTGCCGTGTTGGCCCGTGTTCAACTATTTCCAGATTCGACCAATAAACCCTATCTGAGTTGTAATTTTTGCTTGTTCCGACTGCCTCACAACATACCCTCAAAGAAAATCCACCCACCGGAGTGGCAGTTGGTATTTGAGGTACCATACAGGTTGATGTATACTTACAAACTATCAATACGAAACACCTCCGCTCAAAAAAGAAAAACGAAACACCTGAATTTTATTGTTGGAAGAGCATATGTCCGCAGTAAAATTCCCTCAAGATTTATTACTCCCTACTAGTCCGTAGTACAATCCTTTTAGCGTCCATATGATCTGGCATTCTGGCTCGTGGTTCTGGCTGCCGCCGACGTGATCCCTTCACCGGTTGTGACAGTCACCGTTAGCTCGGAACTTGGGCGAATTCCGTAATCGGATTCCAGTTTCCATTGACTGCTGAAGAGAAGAATGAAAAAACCTGTCCAAGGAAGCAAGCTTCAAGATCACTTTCAAAATGCAAATTGAATAGAAGAAGAAGGAACTGCTCAAGCTGCTGCCGCGGATGATGAATCTTCCAAGCTGTCATGAGTGTCTTCTGAACAAGGAGGAGCAGTTGATTCCTTCTCGCAAGCTTAGGTTTCAAAAAAAGAATCACAAGCTAGCAAGCGGTGACGGCAGCCACTGAAAGTGGCCAATGCATTTTGAACACACAGCGAATTTGTTTCATGCCATCGCAATTCGTAAATGTGTTACAAGGTAATCTTATGGGACATAAGTAAAAGCTTCCGTCACCCGACCTTTGGACTTCAGTTGATCACTCTCAACAAAATGTAAATTTTGTCATGCACGAATTCTCCTCTGGAAGGGTCTCTTGCTGAAATTCTGTCATGCACGAATTCTACTAGTACTGTATACAGTACTACTGTGGAGCAATGGGCATGCGAACTGACCACTGAACTGCTTCCCAATTCAGAGTTTCAGACTTGGAATGGCTTCCTGGTGCCGTCAGTTTGTTTGTTTGGTCCGATTCTTTGTTTAGTCCCATAGTACTTGCCCTTATATGATAAAATATGATTAATACTCTATGCGTGACTTATCTTTTTAATTTTTTTCATAATTTTGTCAAATAAGACGAACGGTCAAACATTGGACACGGAAACCAGGGTTTGTCTTTTTTTGGGACGGAGGGAGTATATGTCATCAGTAAGCTCATCTGAATTCAAATACGAATAAACACATGGTACAAACAATATAGAACTGGAAATCAGTCAGACTAATTGAACTGCATTTGCCCCCAACACCAAAACAACAAGCTTGCTTAGATCACCTAAGAAAGGCTAACAATAAGCTTCAGTATGACCAGTTCACTACAATCGGCATAAAACTCTACAAAAATACATCGGAAGGCCATGCTCCAACGTGTGCCCCATGACATAAAGCAAAACAGGCTGATATTGAGCAAATCTTCACTATTGCACCCATCGTTTTCAGTTGATAGATCGATGTGGGGGTACCTGAATTCTGTTAGCTGTTGCCTGTTCGGTTGCCAATGAGATGATAAAAATCCTTTTTTAGTTCTCAACCTCATCACGTAAACTCCTAGTCCTACAAACATAACGCACACGAGCTATAAACGAAATTAAGGGGGTGTTTGAGAAACACCCCCTAAGCCTTACATGGATTGCATGAGCAGAGAAGACTCAAGAATGAGTACAGCCATATTCATATAAACTAGCATGGTGGCTCGCGCAGATTGCGCGGCTAGCATCATTATATTTTCTCTCATATAATAGCATATATGTTTTCTCATTATATTATTCAAATATATTAAAATGACAACATAATTTTAAATTTTGCAATAACTTTACAAAACTACTAATATGTAATATTCATATTGTATTTTATATATACGTGTTAGTTATTAATTATTTTTAATATCAAATTTTAGTTATTTGTAAATTATAATATTTCTATATGGACTCTAGAATCGTCTTTTAATATTTCTTTTTTTAATTCCGAATTTTCTGTAAATTGTATTTTTATATAGACTCTATGCTCTTCTTCCAATATTATTTATTTTTATTCTGAATTTTTATTATTTCTAATTGTATTTCTATGTGGACTCTAAACTCATCTTTCAATATTCTTTAATTTTTAATTTCGAATTTCAGTTACTTCTAAATTGTATTCCTATATTGACTTTAAACTCTTCTTCCCATGTTTTTCTTAATTCCGAATTTTATTTATTTGTGAATTGTATTTTTATACAGACTCTAAAAACTCTAATTTTAATTTTATTATGTTTATTCTAAATTTTAGTTAGTTTTAAATTCCTATATGGACTCTATACTCTACTTCTAATATTCCTTATTTTTTAATTCCGAATTTCTATTTTTGCTTAATTGTATTTCTATATAGACTCTATACTCTACTTCTAATATTCCTTATTTTTAATTCCAAATTTCTATTATTTCCTAATTGTATTTCTATATGGAGTCTATACTCTACTTCTAATATTCCTTATTTTTTAATTCCGAATTTCAACTATTTCTAAATTGTATTTCTATATGGACTCTAGTCTCCTCATCTAATATTTCTTATTTTTAAATTTCGAATTTCAGTTATTTCTAAATTGTATTTCTATATGGACTCTGCTTTTTCTTTTTCTCTGATTAATGTGAGAATTTCTAGGCCATGAGAGCGAACGTGGAGGCTCCTTTTTCTATTCCTTTAATAATATAATAGATACTAGCATTTGGTCCATTACATCAGCGGTGTTACTCAAACTTATCAAAAACAAGAAACGTTTTTATCACTAGAAATGCACTCAATAATACCTAGGAAATATACCATTTACATTAGTTCCAAGAAAAAGTATCTTTTGCATTTGACTTTAAACTCAACTATTGGGGAGAGACATCCCACAAATCTTTGAACTTAGATCGAGAAAGACCCAAACGCTGGCTGCCAAGGACGCTTTTCGCATATAACTCTGAAAGCAGTTATCTCATCAAGGACCTTTTTTTTGGTGAGACCCAGAGACTGAACCCTGGTCAGCAACCCCACAACTAGGTGGGTTACCACCGTGCTGCCATTCACGCGTTCTCAAATTGGCATTAGACTTGCATATAAGATACACACAAAAAATGGTAAAAGCAGGAATATCTATAACAATATTTAAAAAAAAAACAGCTACATATCCAATATCAAATTCAATTTTGCAAGACTGGGTGTAATCCAAACCGGACTGGGCCAGTTGGACCAAAGCTGAGGAGACCCAAGTTCATCCCTGCTGTTATCTTCCAAGTTGAATACTCCAATATCACGTCTATTATTCTTGAATTCTGTTATCCAATTCTGGCTGTCATCGGTGAAGTAGGCATGATTTGCCTTGAGAGACGGAAATTCTTCAGCGCGGAGGCAAAGTGTCTGGTTATGCCCAACAAACAGGACATGGTCTTGCAAGCGATTGATCTTCACAAGCTTTTCTTCCACCAAGTCAGACTTATATACTTCGATACTTGCAGTATTCTTCAAAATGGCATCATAATCATCTTCTGACGGATGAATGTAGTCGTCCTCTTCTGTTTTCCAGATTTGCAGCACATCACCCCATGGCGCGTGAAGTATGTATGTATTTCTGTCACCATCCCCTATATCCATGACCTTTCCCATAACAACCTTCACCATGGCAATAGGGCCACTGAGGTCAATTGCATGAATTTCTCCCAACGTAGTGACTGCATATAGCAGGCCATCCTTGTAGGTGCAGTCTTCATATCGGCCGTACTCTGGCAGGTAGTCCCATTCATCATCCCCTACTCTTGCAAATGAGAGCTGACCGAATGGATTGCGTATAAGCACCACAAGGAGCTTTCCTGTCGATGTTTCAGAGAATACAAAAGCCCTCCCAGTGAGGAACAACTGCTGCCATCTAGGAGAAATGATGGATCCCATTGACCTTGAGGAAAACATCACTCCGTCGTGCCAGAACTGGCTCCGATTCTCATACTTGACAATAGCGCCCGACTCGTCGTAGGTGGGATTAACCTGCTCCATGGTGATCACTGGCGGGAGGGCCATCTGCTCCCTAGTGACTGGGTTGAGGAGGTGCATCTCACACTTATCATCAATGGTTACCAGCCAACCATCTGATGACCCAATCAGGTATCTATCACGGATGGGTGGATCCGGGAGAGTAATCTTGTAGGTTCTCTGCTCTGCAAGGCTGTAGATACACCCTACATTCTTACCGGCAGATTCAGAGGTGTAGAAGAGGCAAGGTGTCTGGTGCCGTTTATATTGTCCAAGGCTGTGTAGTGTGGTGTATGCAGAGTGCCAAGAGGAGCAGACGGAGCTCGCACGCAGCAAGTCAGGGATCTCCAAGCGGGAAAGTATTTGTACCAGCAAATCCTCCGGCAGATGCGGCAATTCAGCCTCCACCATCGATGGCAGCACGCCAACATGTTCTTCTTCGATGTGAGGAAGAGCTGAGAGCTTATGCAAAGCTCCCAAGATTGCAGAGCACAAAGCCGTAGCTAGCCTGCCTATGCTCATTATGCTGGCTACGATGCAGGTCGCCATCAGATCACTGCTTCTACTTGCAAGATGAAAAAAAAAAAGTTGAGTTGGGCTTGGCCCTGGATAGTGTATACACTTATAGGCAACAAGGCAAGGACGGCTTCGAATCCGAAATTGAACGGGAATCTGAATCCAAGAAGGAAACTGCTCCTGTCATGCCTGCCTGCGGAATTCTGGTATTAGTGCACGGGCGAGCTAAAGCACTTAAATAGATTCGGAATCGGGAGTTTGGGACCAAACCTGAAACCTGTTGCCGCAGAGAGTCCGAATCCGACGAGTGTTGAGTTCCTCTCTCCCTGTGTCGTCGGAAGCAACAGTAGTAGCAAAACTGGGCCATTCCACTCGCCAGGAGGAGCCAGCCGACGAGGGCGCAGCGGCGGCGCAGTTGGTTGGGTCGTGCGGCTACTTGGCTTGGTTGGGTTGGCCATGGCCGCCACCCCGCCCGCATTTCCTCTCTCTCCGTCGCCGCTGCGCCACCCACCCCGATCCTCCCTCCGCCGCCGGCCGCCGGCCTCGGCTTATCGTCGTCGCCGACACGAGTTGGGCTCCGGGCCCAATACATACTTGGGCTTAGGCCGGCCTGCGCGTTGGCCTGCTTGATGTGTCGGCCCAAAATGGTGGCCGGCGACGCTGAACGGGGTGGGGTAGTCTGCTATTTAACCTTTCTCTCGCCAACCTGCCCACCGCGCTCTCGCTCTGCCACCGCCATTGCGCCACCGCTCGCCGGAGAAGCCACCACCAATTATCGCTTTCAAGGATAATAAGGTGCATCCTGTTCCTCCCTTCTTCAGTTCTTCCCCATCCCGTTACAGAGTCTTTCTTTGCAGACACGTACGCCAAGAAGCGTTCTTGGTTTCTTGGCCGCGCTTGCGCCACCGCTCGCCGGAGAAGAAGACACCACCGCCATTTCTGGTTTCTTGGCCGCCCTCTGCCACCACTCGCCGGAGAAGAAGCCAACACCAGTTTCTTGGCCGCTCTCTGCCACTGCGCTTGCGCCACCGCTCGCCTGAGAAGAAACCTTCACCATTTTTGGTTTCTTGGCCGCTCTCTGCCACTGCGTTTGCGCCACCACCAAGCACCGCGCCGCGTCCAAAGATAATAAGGTGCATCCTTTCTTCCATAACGAGCTCTTCTTCTCTTCTCTTTCTCTCTTCTTCCCCTTCCTCTCTTCTCTTTCTCTCTTCTTCCCCATCCCGTTACAGAGCTCATCTTTGCAGACACGCAGGGCAAGAAGCGTTCTTGGTTTATTGCAGACAAGAATCGTCTCTCCACGACTGTATCCGGCGCAAGAGACAGATGGGTCCCGACTCAGGTAGCGTCATCTCATGGTGGGCTGAGGCGCCATGTTGTCGTTGGTTGGCCGCGCTGTTCGGCTGTCCTTCGCAGTCGCGAGGATCTTCTCCAAGGCTGCAGCCTTCTTCTTCTTCTACGCGATCACAGGTATTTTGATGTGTTTTTACTGTTTGCTGGAGTGATGGCGCCAGAAATTGTGGATTCGCATTTTCGTTTTCTTTTGCTCTGTATACAAACTGCTGCATCTCTTTTAACAAAACTAGCTGGGCGGCTGGCGCAATTACGCGGCTAGCACCTATACAAAAATTATATATTTTTAATATGATTTTAATTAAAATTTATTAAATAGTTATCTCGTTGTCTTAAAACTTTAAAAGACTAAACCTTATCATCATTGTGTTTCTAATTTTATAGTTTTTAAAAGTCACACCAATTGCTACTCCTTACTTCTGTCATATCATTTTTTTTATTTGCTTGCTCAATCTACCAATGTTTCTATCCATTCTCCTTGGAACCTTTAAAAATTAGATCTTATAGTTTTTAAAGTTTATTGTCCCGTTGGGATTTGTTTTTATAATTTTTAGAAGTCCCATCAAACATTACCATTATAATCCTCTATGGTCGTCCACTGCCTCTTCTTTTTATTGTCATTTGTATTTTAAAAATCGAACATAACTATTGTTTAGGTTTATTTTTTTACATTCTAGAAGTTTCACCAAAACGTCAGCGACCTTGTCACTGTACTCCTCTACGACTCGCCCGCCGCCTCCCTTCTCTGTTGTCATTGAGATTTTAAAATCAAATATGAGTATCATGGGGGTTTATTTTTTTTATTTTTTAGAAGCCCAAACCTTTAAAAATTGGACTTATAGTTTTTAGAGTTTATTGTCTCGTTGGGTTTCATTTTTTATAATTTTTAGAAATTCCGTCAAACGTTGCCAATGCACTCCTCTACAACCCGTCCGCCGCCTACTCTTTATTGTCATCGAATAGTAAAAATCGAACATAACTATTTGTTAGAATTCATTTTTCTTTTACTTTCTAGAAGTTCCACCAACCATCGGCGGCTCTGCCATTGTACTCCTATACGACCCGTCCGCTGCCTCTCATTTTTATTGTCATTTAGATTTTAAAAATCAAATATAATTATCATTAGGGTTTATTTTTTACTTTCTAGAAGTCCCGCTAACCGTCTTGACCGATTGCTTCACGACCTACCCGTTGTGTTTCCTTTTAATCGTCATTAGGATTCTATTTGGTGTTTTATTAATAGTTTTAAAATGTTCCATCAACTGCCACCACTCCACTCCTTTATAGGCTTGTTACTTAATTAATCTCGTCATGTATTTTAGTTGGTATTTTCTTTCAATAGTCTTTATTTTTTTATCACCAATTTTAGTTATTTATAAATTGTATTCCTAGTTGAAATCTTATTTTTCTTTTTCTAATTTCAGAATTTATTTTTTTTTTGAATTTTAACTAATATTGTATTGTGTTCTTTTAATATTTTTATTTTTTATGTTCATTTTAAGTTGTTTCAAAATTGTATTCCTACTTGAACCCTCTTTTTAATTTATCTAATTTCAGATTTTATTTTATTTTTTATTTTAAATTTTAATTAATCTTGTATTGGGTTCTTATATGTTTCTTATTTCAATATTGCTTATATTTAATTCCGAATTTCAGTTAATTTTAAATTGTATTCCTAACTGAACTCTTATTTTCTTTTCTTTTTACTAATTTCGATTTTTTATTTTTTTTATTTCGAATTTTAATAATCTCGTACTGTGTTTTTATATGGACTCTTATTTCAATATTGCTTAATTTAATTCCGAAATTTAGTTATTTTAAACTTGTATTTCTACTTGAACTCTTATTTTCCTTTTTTGCTAATTTTGGATTTTATTTTAATTTTTATCCAAATATGTATTAATCTTGTATTGGGTTCTTATATGAATTGTTATTTCAATAATGCTTTTTCATTTCTTGCAATGTTAAACTAAATTGTAGGGGGTTCAGTCTCGAAAGGGAAAGCATCATAATGCTTTGCTTTATGGCAAATATTCTAATAGCAGGACCTCTCGTTCTACCGCTAGGGCTATCAACCTTCCTACCAGTGCAGAGTCTTCGAACAAGGAAGTGGTACGAACGATGACTTCTCAAATTATAACCTGTTAGTTTTTTTTTTCATTTTTTGAGTTAATGGTTAATTTGATTTTCTTTTATTTGTATATAAAAAGGGAAAGAGAAATATCTCATATAAGTTTAAAATCTATTTGAATTAAATATGTACAAATTATATATAGTGGTCACAATCAGACAAATATGATTTTAATCATAGACACATTGAACTTTCAGATCATATTGAATCATTTAAACATGACGCAATAGGATGGTGTGCATGGTGATGCTATGGTGCTTTAATGATTGCCAACTTAATTAGTATATGGCATGTTCTTATATGATTTTTCTTTTCCTGAAATTCGTAGACCGTGGGTGAGAGAAAATTTCCAAAGGAAGTGGTAGTTGCTTATGTTGATTACTGTAAACGTGCATCAGTCTGTGAGGAGAATCAGCGTGTGTGCCATATGTGTGTGTTCATCGAGCAAAGATGTCAGAACTACATAGTCAAACAATCTAAGGTGAGTAATCTAAATGCGCATTGTAGGTATTACGTAGAGACATTTGTATTCTTGTCCCTATTTTTGGATTTAATTGTGATTTTCTCTGTTTTTTTCCTTAAAAAAAATGAAGCAACTGTTTGCCCTGTTTTTGAGATGCATTGCCCTTGTTATGTATGTAATGTTGTATTTCAGCAAGTCTAATTTCCATGTCGTATATAGTTGATAATCCACTGCATAAATTTGCACGGCGACATCGGTGTGGAGTGTGAAGCGCCAGGTTGCAGTGTAAGGGCAATGACACATGAAGATCTTGAGGTTCACTCCTACTTCTGTCACATTCAGGCTCAAGGTGATCTACCATTCTGTTGCAAACATGGATGTTAACTGTGGATTAACATTAAATATTAGCGCTTAACTTAATTCTCTTTTGTCTTTTTAGGATGGTGGAGGCAATACGAAAATCTCGAGACTAGCCAGTGACCACAGAATGCCAAGGTGTACCGAGACATCTTGGTGTAGAGCGAGTAGTATAGCAGTATGAACTTTGAACAAGAGTTTCCGCTGGTGGTTGTTTTGGCATGCACTTGTACATATGCTTCTTACTACTTTTGGAGCTGTTCTTTACTGGATTTATAATGCGCTTACACTCTTGTCATAAGTTGTAAATGAATGTTTGCCGAAAAAGATTGTTACAAAACTATATGGGATTTGCATCTACTTCCTTCACTTCACAGTGTAAAACTTTCTAATATTGCCCACGCGGTACGAGCACAGGCTGGTTTGTTCTTCTTCTTCGTGTCGTGCGGCTACCTGGCTGAGTGTGAGTGAGTTGGTTCGGGTTTGGCTTGCACCAGAATTGTGTTTGCATTCAGACACTTTCAGAATGCCAACAGCGACTTCTTTTCACGTTATTTACCGATTATTTTTTTTCAAAAAAAAAATCTTCTATTGTAGTGATTACAACACATGTTTTAATTTATTTGTTAAGTCTATTTATCAAAATATTTAAATTATTCTACAATTAATCTGTTTTAAACTAAAAGCTAGATAGTTCTGGTGGAAATTAAGCCTAGTCCGCTCAATAATATGTTTTAAATCCAGCCTAACATGGCTTTTTGTCGTCCTCTTTGTTTAGAAATTACCCTGGCCCTACATTTTATATCTTTTGTTCATAAATTACAACTTCCATTAACTACACATAGTTCAGGTGGAAACCAAAAAATTACATCAAATTGGTCTCACACTACAGCAACTATATATGCTAGTATATATTCAGTTCACTGAAAGCTTGAGACTGAAGGACGCAGAAAAAATGCTGAAACATGTATTGTTTGGGGGTAAAGAACTAATCAATGAATCAATGGATTCCCTGAGAGTAGTCCATCGATCCTTTGTTAGAGTACTTCAATTTATAGTACCTGTTTAACTATCACATTAGTAATCTCTTACTTACTCCTTTGGATTCATCCACTAAGTGGTAGACTATCAAAGCCAATTTAGTCTGTACAAAAAACAAAAACCTAATAAACTCGATTGTAACATACTCATTTTTCCTTCAACTCATAGGCCAACCCCGGGTAATGATCTCAACTCAATCAAAATGATTCAATATACCCGATTCGAACTTGAATTTCACATACATAAGGATACACCCTATTTGTATCAGAAGCCAGGTAAACTATATGCAACAAATTACTTTGGTTCTTCCATTATCACATTGGCATTTGACATTGTACACCTCTTACCAATTCTTGATGAGGCGACAGGTTAGCACTGGAACCACCACACAGCCATAGCCATGGAGGATCAGAATTGAGAAGCTTCAGAAGCTTCCAATTCAAGATCCCTTGAGGCCGGACACCTCGGGAAGCATGCCCTGGATCCTCCTCAGCTCGGCCAGCGCCTCCCGGGCGTCGGGCCGGTCGTCCTTGTCCGGCGCCACGCACCGGAACGCCAGCTCCGCCACCGCCTCCACGCTGGCCATCACGCCGGCGCCCTCGCCGAGCACCGGCTGGTCCACCACCTCCCGCAGCTCGCCCACCTGAATCTTGGCCACCACCCAGTCCGCCAGCGTCACGTCCCTCCGCTCCCTGCCCACGTCCACCGGCCGCAGCCCGGTGACGAGCTCCAGCACCACCACGCCGAAGCTGTACACGTCGCTCTTCTCCGTCAGCTGGAACGACCGGTGGTAGTCCGGGTCGAGGTACCCCGGCGTGCCCTGCGGCGCCGTGCAGCACACCAGCTCCCTCCCGGCCCCCGTGGCGCATGCGTCCGGCGGGGACAGGAGGCGCGAGAGCCCGAAGTCGCCGAGGCGGGCGCGCATGTCGGCCTCCACGAAGATGTTCGACGAGGTGACGTCGCGGTGCACGACGGCGGGCTTCACCCCGAAATGGAGGTACTCGAGCGCCGACGCGATCTGGACCGCCATGGCGAGGCGCGTCCGCCAGGGGAGCGGTGGCGGCGGGGGCGCCGCCGCGGTGACGCCGCATCGGCGGTGGAGGTGGTGGGAGAGGGTCCCGTTGGGGACGAAGTCGTAGACGAGGAGCAGAGCGCGCGGGTCGGCGCAGAAGCCGTGGAGGCGGACGAGGTGCGGGTGGCGCAGCGCCGAGAGGATGAGCACCTCGTTGCAGAACGACTTGGTGATGGTGGCGGATGCGGAGGGGAACGACGGCGACGGCGACGGCGGGACGTGGAGGCGCTTGACGGCGGCGGGGCGGCCGCCGGGCGGGAGGTAGGCGAGGAACACCGTCCCAAACCCGCCATCCCCGAGCTTGCGGCTTGGATCGAACCCAGCGGTGGCGGCGCGGAGCTGCTCGTAGGTGAACGAGGGGCGATGCTGGTGGAGCCCGTTCCGGCGAAGGAACGCCGCGGCGCGGGCGGCCGCGTTGGTCGGCCCCGCGGCCGGGGCCGGGCCCCGCCCGCGGTAGCGGCGGACGGCGATGGCGACGCAGAGGTAGAGCAGGAGCACCACGAGCAGCACCGCGGCGGCGACGAGCGCGGTGGTGAGCACGCCGTTGCCGCCGCCGGCCTTGTCCGGATGCTGCGGCTGCGGCGGCGGGGGCGAGGCGTGGCGTCTCGCCGCGGCCGGCGGGGGCAGCGCCGCGGCGGCGACGGCGGCGGCGAGGAGGAGAGGCGGTGGGGGCATCTGGGCTCGCGATCCACGGGCTGGACAAAAGTTGGGATGCGCTGCGCGGTGGAGGAGAAGGTCACAACTACTATGCAGTAGACTCCACAACTCACGTCAGCACATGCCGCGCCTGGCAGGTGGGGCCGGATTCCTTTTTCATTAAACATAGTATAAACGTAGACGCTAACAACGCGTGTGTACTCACCCTTATAAAAACACACGTGCACTATATCACTATAAACATCTCCAAAAGATTAGATTGACATATCTTGATATTGACGAAGTTATCTCGAATATCTTATTGTCGATAGGTACGTCGCCTATCACTGAAAAAATAATTAGTTGTAAATGGAGTACATGTGTCAAAGTATAGAATTTTAATCTAGTGTATTGGTTCCATTATAGGAGATCTAACTAGTTGATCTATGCTCACTTCATAAGTCGGATTCCTTTTACTTAAACTCCCATATCAAATGGTTCAAAGCGACAAATTTGAACGAATTTTGTTCGTTTTCACTTTGACGTTGGCGTGTTTAGTCACTCAACACGAAGTTTTGACTCCGATGATCCAATCTATCTCCGGGGGTGTGATAGCGTACGTCGTTTTCACCCGGCGGAGCGAAGTTTCTTTTCTCTTTTCGGCGTCGGTTTCATGAATTCCAAGAGAGAAGTGGTGGGCATCACACCTGATTTGGACTCTTAACAGAAAAGTTTAAGGGGAGAGATTAGGCGAGTCAACCCAACTCAAAGCCATGGGCCATCCATCGTAGTGGAGAGCGCAATAGATAGATATATATACTCCATTTCTAGATATACCACACACTATTGACTATTGGACATTAATCGATCATTCACCTTATTTATTTATTTTACAAATATATAAAAATACGAGGTATGCCACCTTTAATAACAAAATAAGTAATAGATAGATATACTCCATTTCTAGATATACCACGCTATTGATTATTGGACATTGATTGATTATTTATCTTCTTTTTACAAATATATAAAAATACGAGGTATGCAATCTTTTATAATAAAATTAATTATAGAAAAATAAGTAAAATTTATATTATTTTTTAAAATAAGATGAATGGTGATGGAGAATGGCAGTGGATAGACATGAATCACACAAGGAGATCGGCGATGATGCTGTTTTGCAGCAGCGTCTCGCTGTGGCTGTGGCGGTAGGTTTTGGTCGCCGGTGGTCTCGGCTACTTTTAATGGCGCTCATCATGTTGGGCGATGCCGACGTGAGATATGGATTTAGTAGTAACAGCGACCTGGCGAGATGGGAATGGAACGGAATGCGGCTCTTGTTAATTACTTGTGCCGTGTGTCTCGACGCGATTTCGATTAGTTTAGTGAGGGTGATTAGCTGTTTATGTTAGGACGGTCGTCGCGATTACAAGTCGTTGTACTGTGGTAGGAGTACTAAAATACAGTAGTTGGAGCGCGGCCACTGTAGTAGAAAGGGATGGACAGTATATATAGATAGATGACAGTCACAGGCTCGCCACCAGACAACCAGCTTCATCAATGGGGGTTATTCATGGTGTTCCGTGCCAAATTTCATCCAACGATAGCTTTGGCATGTTGCATTGACCGACTCGGATAATCGGCACGAGTCAATGGGCCAGTTTGGAGAGCATTAAATTCTGAGAAGCAGCTGTTTGGTAACTAGTTTCTGAGAATCTGTAAAAGTTCTGAAACTCAGCTTCTCCAACTTCTGGTTTCTTAGTTCATTTTTCAGAATCTGTAACTACAGATTATCAGAAGTTGTGAACTGTTTGAGGCAGCTTCTAACAGAAGCAGCTTTTGGGAAAAGCTGCAGCTGGGACAAACTCCCCTAAACAGGGCCAATGAGCAGGAGCAAAATTTACTGCCCAAACCGTTGTGGTCTTGTGGATGAGTTCGATTGTGCTGCACAAAGCAGGGTTTTCTTTACCATTTTGATAATCGTTTTTGGTGAGAGTTACCGCAGCCACGATATTACGGCTACAGCTAAAAATTATGAGTTCTAAAAACAACATATTGATGAGTTCTAAAAAATTATTTGGCTACAGCAAGAAGTAACCGCAAGATATTGCAAACGACGCTAGCACACAGCACACATATGTCCGGCAATGCAAGATCAACTTTAAGCTGTGTGGCAGGTGTTCGATTCAATCTCTGTTTGTGTGTACTCTACCGTTGAGTATTCTGTCCCGGCACTCTTTTGAGATGGAAAGAAAAAGAGGAGAAAACAAAAAGAAATCGAAAGGAAAAGGAAAAGGGGAAAGGAGAAGACGGCACGCACTTTGCGACGACACGGATTCAGTTATCCATCCCAGTCGCAGGCTCGCAACTCGCAAAGCAGCGGCAAGAAGATGCGAATGCGATAGTAGTATCAGTGTTTGAGCTTTTCTTCATGTATGCACGCCTATTGTCTACTTGATCAGAAGTTCATTGTCCACTACTTGATCAGAAGTTCAGAACATGATAAAGCGTAATAGCTTAAATCGCCTAGAACCGCTGATACAGGCAGATTCAGATTCATTACCCCCAGGCTGAATTCTGCCGAGTCTTCAGAAATAGGGTATCCATGGATATCAGAAATAAACTTCTGAAAACCTCTTTCCCCCAAAAAAGATCATCAATAAATGAAGGGTATAGCCGTATAGATGGTTTGAGGTCTCAAAACTCAACTATGAACTATAAATATCTCCTCTTCTTTTCTTTTTCTTTTTTTGCATGCGAATACCTCAGCTAATTTAATTTAGGCTAGGCTATATACACACGACAATTAGATCCTACCAAGTACTCCACTGGTACAGGGAAAAAAATGAATGGAGTAAATGTACAACCAATCATTCCACCCAATTCGCTACCTTCTCTCCATAGATTATGGACCGTATGGCCATGGAAATGTTTTTGCCACTGAAATGCACAACAAAAAGGGAAGATCATTAGACGAAGAAAAGAAATATCAAGATCATCCGGTTGAGAGCACTCAGCAAGCAGCTGAGTACACTCAACAAAAATAATGTTAGGAGAGTACTCCCTTCGTTCCAAAATAAACAAACCTAGAATGATGTAACATTATACAATGAATCTGGATACACTGTTACGTCACATCACATCCTAGATTTGTTTATTTTAGAACGAAAGGAGTACATGCAAATGGACTTGTCCATATTCTGACTGTAATAGCAAGATGGGGCAACAAACTCTTACAAAATTCTTACTAACAAAACTCTCAACATTTGATTCAAGTAATTGGAAGTTATAGAAAAGCTAGATTAAAACATGGTATGCCACATCAGCGTCGGTAAGAAATTTGTAACATTTTTTTGGTAAGTGTAGCTTTTTCCTAGTAATTGGGTTCTTTGGTTGAAATACCAAAAGATGCTGCGCATGCGCATGTCATATAGACCACAAAACCATTACCAAGTTATGTTCACTGTTTAAGGAAAACCCACGACCTGAATTGTACTATGTTTGCTGCTAACAGAATGATACCACCATCTTCAGTACGGTAGCTCTCTATCAGAAGAGATGTGGCACTAGATTTTGTGTATGCACCATCTAACATGAACAGCTCATGGTAACACTGAACCTTGTCATGCTATTCGTGTTCTGCAAAATCCAAGGATGCACTAATACATTTCTTCACTCTTCTAAATAAAAAGTTTAGTCTGAAACATAATCTAGGACAGAAACCGTTGGTAGATGCAAGGACTTCACATACAATTTGCAACAATATTGTAAAAGGTCAACTGGATCTAAATAACAAAAACGGTTGGTTGAGCTGTAATGGATGTGTAGTGCAACCTCATTAACAGCTAAATCCATCTTCTTTTTACTGCTTACTCTCTGAAATCTCGGCTTTGTGTTTTTTATGTTCTCTATCGACGAAATAAGGCAACCTTCGTTAAAAAAAAGTTACTACTACTTACTCTCTGAACCAAAATCTGAAGAGGACATAGTACGGAAAGGAACCTTTCCTACAACTTCATTATAAAGACATCCTACTATCCTAAACTTGCTGAAAAGGGGGTGCCTTAGCATTGTAAAAGTTGGTTATGTGGATATCCATTCTTTGATTCCCAGCTGGTTGAAAAACTTAAAATTAGTGGCTGCCTGGCTGGTATCATCATATCATAAACAAATTATATTATGTTCTCATAAAAAAATATATTAGGCTCTAGTACTCCAGTTAACAAGAGGTAAAGTACTCTAGGACTGGAAGCATGAGAGGGAACAATGGCAACCATTGATCCTCTGGCTCTACTTTCCAGCTATAAAACTAAGCAACACACTGAACTAACTTTACCTAATACCCACGTTATGCTCTGCAAGACCTAAGTCAAATGCGCCATTGAGCTAGTCCATCCTCAAATCATCTAATCTTAGACTAATCAGACAGATTCAGGGCATATCATTAGCCTAAATAAAATTTAGTTTCTTTTACTTTTACAATAGCATCCAATAGAAGCAGGAGTAGTTAGGATGGTGAAAACAACAAGGAATGACAAAATTCACCTTTTGAGGACTCCTGGACAAGCACAATATGCATTGCTGCATTGTTTGGTGGCAGCTGCAAGCGGAGAGGAGCGAGTTTGCCAGTGATAGGGCTGCGTGTGCAGATGATTATGTCATGGAGGCCCGTCTCTTCCTGCAACTTGTGTGTGAGCTCCTCCAAGTTGGAGCCATTGAATGTGAATGAGCGTGTCTCGTCGTCTTCGTCCACATCGCCCTTATCATCTGCAATGTGGTAGTAGATTGCACGGCCCTCCACCTTGTGCAATGGCGCAGAGAAAGAAAGGGAGGACTGACAGCACAAGGAAGTCTCAGTGTTAATTTTCTGAATCATTGCAAAAGTTTCAGAAGTAATTGGGAAATTGGAGAAATCAACTATAATAGTTCCAAATTTCTTGGCACACATAATGATTAAAAGTTCCAAATGATTGCTAATTGCATTTGAGCATCTCTATTTGTTGATTCTAGAAGCAGCTTTATGAAATGATTGGTTAGTTCATCCAAAGGACGACATATTAGCCTACGCAATTAAAGAGTGCTCCAAATCTGAAGTCAATGATGGCTTTCTTTGCTCCAAATCTGAAGTCAATGATCTCAGGATGAGATGGAGACCAATTCGACGAACATGCACTGGTCAATTCAATGGAGAGCAAGGGAAATGTTCGAACAAATGACAAACCTCGAGTCTAGAGGGCGCGGGCTTCGGCGGTGGAGGCTGCGGCGACGCGTCTTTCTCCAGCGGCTGCGGCGGGTTCCCGGTGTACGATTTGGTGGGCCGGTGGTGGACCTCCTGCGGTCGCGGCGGCTGCGGCGGCGCGTCTTTCTCCAGCGGCGGCGGCGGCGGGTGCCCGGTGTAGGACTTGGTGGGCCGGTGGTGCGCCTCCGGCGGCGGCGGCGGCTTCTTAAGCTCGGGCGCGTGGGCCGGCGACGGCGGCGCGGCGGAGGTGGGGGCGCGGTCGTGGCCGGGGGTGAGCACCTGCACGATCTCGACGTCCCAGAGCACCCAGTCCTGCGTGGCGGTGCGGTGCGGCACGTCGTGCGTGACCGAGTTCCGCCACGGCGGGAGGCCGCCGTTGGCGCGGAGGTAGTGGCCGTACCGCGTCTTGAGCTTCGCCTGGAAGCCGTCCTTGACGGGCTCCCACTCCAGCGACGAGTCGGTGGCGCGGCCGCCGGGCGGCGGCGCCTGCAGCACCTTGCGGCCCGTCATCCCGAGCAGGAAGGGCTCGTTGGAGGCGGAGAGGTAGCGGCCGTATCGGCTGCGGAGGCGCACGACGCCGGGTGAGTGCGGCACCCGCTCCACCGTCCACCGCGCGTTCGTGGCGGCGCCGTTCCTGTCCTGCGTGACGTGCACCTCGTCCTCGTCGGCGTAGAGGAACTTGTCGTGGTGGCTCTTCAGCCTCACCACCTGCGCCCTCGCGAACAGCTCCATCGCCGCCGGATCTCCTCCTCCTCCTCCTCTCTCCGAGGCGAGAGAGATTTTCTTCTTCTTCTTCTTCTTCTCCAAGCGGCGGAGGCGACGAGGTGGAGTTGAGTTGAGTTGGCCGGTGACGAGGAGGAGGGGGATTAATGGGATTAATTAATGAGGGGGGACGACGCGTCGCTGCCGGTGGGGGCCACGGTTGGGGGAGAGCCCACCTGTCGGTCAGTTGCGGGGGTTTCGACTTTGACTGGCTCGCGGTTGCGGGTGTCCGGCACGTTGGGATGGGTCGCGCGGCGAGAAGGCAACGCGCGGAAATGGCGGGACGATGGATTCCGTTTACCTCGCTTGATTACTGCCTCTCTCATCATGTAAACTGGAGTAGTTACTGCTTTGGTAGCCAACCTTGTACGACGATTTCGTTGTGCCTCACGTGATGATGATGATGATGATGATGCCTTGATCGCAAACCAGATCGTTCATCGAATGACAACTTGCATTGTTGTTTTTAGTTCATGTAGTACAATGCAAACATTGGTTTTTTTTTAATTACGAGCTCAATTACTACTATGAGGTCAAGTAAACATGAAGGCAGAGCAGAGCAGAGCACACGCGTTTGAAGTTGTACTTGGGAGGATTTAAGCGCCGACGGGGAAAGGTGTGGATGGCCATCAATTCAAGCGGCCTTCGTAGCATCTTCTGCTGATAAGTTTGGTTTGACCTGGAGTCTCGCCTACTAGTTCCAAATAGAGCTCCCTTCCAAATACGGCGGCGCGTCATCAACTGCCGACCACAACATGGCCGCCCCCAAATACTCCTACGAGATCTCCATCGGATTCAGTGTTGCTTGCACCCGTGCAATCCAATACTCACGTGATGAGCGAGCATCGTTCGTACCGGTCTACCGGACAGCTTGAGTTCCGATCTCGCAGCGACAATAAGATCCTGCTTCGTAAATCTCTAACTTTAAAATTTAGCTTTAGGAGGTAGGTCTGGAGTAGAATTGTGGAATAGCCAAAACCTAGCTGCACATCACTTATTCATTCTGTGAGATTACTCCATCTAGCTCCGCTCCTAATTTTAGATGGAGCTAAAACTGTTTGGCTGAGCTCCATCTCCAGGAGAGGTGGAGCTGGAGCTGTGTCAAACATAACCTAAACCCACCAATAAACTTAGTGATTAAGTAACATGAGGATAGAACAACGCTGCACTTGCTCACTCTTTCCGTCTTTCGTGTGGCGATGAACAACTAAATTCTCAGTGTACCAGCAAGAATAATCAGGTTAGGAGTTAGGAGCATCTACTTTTGCCATACGAGAACAAAAAAAGAAAGTAATAGAAACTTTGATCAGTATAGCTGATTAATCCTAGTATGTCACCAGTCTGGTAGTGCCGTAGTGGTAGCGAATAGCCCGTGTTTGTACATATGACCATATGATAGGATAAATTTGGAGAAAAGTCTTGGAGATGTCACTGTCTTCCAGACTAAAGTTTGCGTATTGACAGTGTCAAGCCATGGCGCCCTGCTATGCATCCCTGTATCATTAAGGCCTTAAACAATTAGCAAGAGAAAGCAGTCCAACCAGAAATATAGTGTTTAGAAAATTAGGACAAGACAAACAGCTCAGCCTTTCCACGTTTGCATGCCCTTCTTTAAAGTCACTACATACATAGAAGTTTTTTTTTTAAAAAAAAAAGTGTGCGTCCATGAACTCCAAATGTATGGAAAATTTCCTAATTATATACAAACTTTTAAGGATAAATATATTGTTATGCAAACTTTCTTTGAATAGAGTTATTATCTTGAAAGGTTATTGGCACATCCGGTTCGATGTAGATGCTGGTTTTTACCCATTTTGAAGAGAAGAAAATCACAAAAAATCGTTGTACGAACGTACATCTGTTGGTTCGGTAAGATAGTACTACTAGTGGTGAATTCCATCACGCAGGTGACATTCTGGACGTGGTAACAACCCATCAAAACTTGAATCACAAATACTCCTATGTGGTTTCTGAAACGTATTGGAGTCATCAACCAAGCACCGGCGTTGAATGCGGTCCACGTCAAAAGACACAGAAACTTGGCCAAATTTAGACAAGGGAGAACATGGTGCTTGAAAAGTTTGTCAAATGCACATAACCATTCGTTGTCTCAACCATTGTTGTTACCCCTTCCATAGCTTAGATCACAAGGAGAAGAAACGGTATTGATGGCGAGAATAGCATAAAAGGTTAGGCAAATACCAGAAAAACATCCTAATCTACAATATCCAATGAGGCAAACACCAATTCCACAAGAAACATACAAACTGAGGGCATTAAGACACCAGTCTCAACGCGAAAAGAATACCCAGGAAAACCACGTCACGTCCATAACACGCAACCACGCAATCAATCCAACTGTGTCAGTGCACCTCGCAGTAATCAAATGGGTAAATGACCATTCACCATCATGGACAGGCCAATCACAGGAAGCAGCACATATCGTACCTGTTAGATGGATCTCCCTCCCCTTGAGCCCAACGGCTCAAGGGGGCCTTGACCCGCGTCCTGATCGGGGGCGCCCAGCCCAATGGCTGGTGGGCCCCCGTCACACTGTGCCATATAAAGAGGGGTGGAGGACGGGACGGCAAGAGACACAAGGAACGAGGTTCGTCGCCGCCGCCGCCACTCCACCCCATAAACCCTAACCGATCGAGGGGGCGCAGCCAGTGACGGGAAGACTCCACCGCCGCGCCACCACCTCGCCGGGATCCCCTACGACCACCACTGCCGCGCAGCACCGTCGCCGTCACGACCACCATCGCCGCCGCCGCCAACGTCAAGCAGAGCACGACAACGACGATGGCTGGGACTTCCTCTTCATCCAACGCGTCAACCGGTCACATCCCTAAACCCTTTCCCTTATTCTCTATTGTTGTTCAATCATCCATCGCAAATAGAACCACCCGACTAGATCTAAACCTAGGTGATCCAATAGACAACTCTAACAATGGTATCAGAGCCATCCTAGCGTTTATTTTTGGTTCGGGGATAGACATCCACAGAGAAGAAAGAAATCCAAAGCAAAGAAAAGCAAACGATCCAACGGATCGAAAAGATCGAAACCCTAACCCTAATCTTACCTCGTCGCCGGCCACGGAGGGGGAGAGGGGCAAAGAGGCACCGCCGAGGAGCCACTCGACAGCCGCGCGCGCACCCGCGGGTGCACGCGCGCGCCGGCGAGGGGGCCCGCGGCGGCGCCACCATCTCCGTCGTCGCCGGTCTCTCACTCTTCACTCGCGTGGAGGGGTGAGACGGTGGGGGGGAGAAGAGAAAAGAATAGAGGGCGTGGCGGCGCGAGAGCGTCTGCCATGGCGCGACGGCGCGAAGGCTGCCGGCGTCGGCGACGCCGCTCGGCACGGCGCACGCCCGCAAGAGAAAGGAGAGGGCGCCGCGGCACAACCGCTCGACGGCGGCGCACTCACCCTTGAGTGAGTGCGCGCATCGGCGAAGGGGAGTGCGACGGCGCCGCCGTGTCGCCATGCCGCCGCCGGCGCTGTGCTAGGGTTCCGGCGACGGCGTCGCCGCTCCGTGCACCCGCAAGAGAGAAGAGAAGGAGAAGCTAGGGTTTCGGCGGCCGGTCGGGGCGAGAGGGGGTTTTGATCCCCGTTTTCGGCGCCCGACCGTCCGATCATAAACCCTAAGATCGGACGGCCGGTGGCGGCCGGGCCAAAAATGGCCCAAGAAGGGAGCGCGCGGCGGCGGTTTTCCCGGCCCAGGCCCAAGTTGCGGCCTGGGAAAGGGGAGGGGCCGCTCGCCCGCGCGCAAGGCGGCCGTGGGCCGACCGGCAAAGGCCGAAAAAAAAAATTCAATTTAGGTCCCTCGGGGCCGAAAGAAAAAGAAAAGAAGTTTAATAAAAGTCCCTCGGCCGAAGGAAGCATTTTCAATATGTTTAATGATTGTGTTTATTTCTAAGCAATTTGAACCAACGTGAAAATTGTTTAGATAACAGATAAATGTGAGAAATGCTTCTGAACATGTATTTTGTATATTTTCATGCAAATTACAATAGAATTTTGAATTGTTCTTACATGTTTTACCTCTGTTTAAATTTGAACCAACGGGAGAATTTTTACAGAGAGTAAACAACAGAGTTTTGTTATTGTTTATATGAATTGTATATAGATCTTCCGCTGCAAACAGATGAAATTGATGAAAATTAGTGTTTCTAAAATTAAATTTCGAACCAACGGGAGATTTTAATTTTAGGAACATTAATTATGTGCTATGATGTTGTAATTTTTCTGACCAACGTTGATAATTGCAATGTTATAGTTATGGCTTTATGTGTTATGTCTATTTTCTGCCCAACGGTGATGTAGACTTAATACATAATAATTTTAATGTTAATTTTGTTCTCACAATACATGATTATCTCAGATGGCTACTCCTTGATGGGTTACATTAAAGATATTCCGACCCTGAAAGGAGATAACTACGAAGAATGGAAAAGAGAACTCGACCTTGCTTTTATCTTGGGAGAGGTGGACTGGGTGTTGACTACCCCATGTCCTATAGAACCTGCTGAAATTTTCAGAGGTGAAAAAGAGTCAGATGCTGAATGGCAAAAGAGAGAGAGGGACAATGCTTCCCTCATCATGTCGTATGACATTGAGCATGCGAAATGGTCTTCAGCCAACAAGAATTGTTTGGCTGCGGTAAAGAACACGATTGAGCCAACCATATTGGGCTCAATCCCAGAGTATGACACTGTCTCTAAGTACCTCGAAAGTATAAAGAGCCGGTTTACTGGTTCTTCAAAGTTTTATGCGACACAGCTGATAAAGCAGCTTGTTACAGAGAGGTACCATGGAGGTGGTGTAAAAGACCACATTCTTAGGATGAGCAACATGGCTTCCAAATTGAAGCAAAAAGATTTGGGCATCTCAGATGACTTTCTGGTCCATCTGGTTTTGTCCTCATTGCCAAAGAACTTTGACAACCTTGTTGTCAACTACAAAATAAGTACAGAGAATTGGAATATTGAAGAGCTCATCTCTAATTGTGTGCAAGAGGAGGAAAGACACAAAGAGACCAATGGTGACTCCATTAACCTTGTCAAAGATAACAAGGAAAAGAGCCACAGGTCACCCTCCTCAAAAGAAAAACAGCCTCAGCATCTGCCTCAGAAGCAACAGTTTACAGTTGAGACAAGATCAGTGTCTACATTGCAAGAAGACAAGACATTCCAAGAAAGATCATCCTGACTTCCTGACAGTGATCATGGCAAAGAAAGGTGAGAACATTATTACATTTGTAAAGAATCTCATTATGATTGGTTATTCTAGATCCACATGGTGGATTGATTCTGGAGCAACTATTCATGTGTGTAATTGTTTAAAGGGATTCCGTTCAATGAGGACTACGCAAAGAAGTGAAAGATCCATTAGAGTTGCCAATAGAGTTGAAGCAAAAGTTGAGGCTGTTGGAGATCTTCGCCTAGAACTCGCGAATGGCTTCACACTTTTACTTCCAGACGTTTTTATGTCCCTTCTTTGCAAAGAAACTTGATAATAAGTGTATCCAAATTGGATTTTGATAGATATGATTGCCATTTTGGAAATGGCAAATGTGAACTATGGTATAATAATGAATGTATTGGTCTTATGTTGCAAGATCAGCTTTATTTGTTATCTCTTTCTGAGAATGTGAATGTTGTGTCCTCGTTGACAAAAGAAAAGAAAGCGAACTCCTGATGTCTCATCGAAATTATGGCACTGTTGTTTAGGCCATATTTCGAGGGGGAGAATTGAGAGACTGTTAAGAATGTAGTTCTTCCTCCATTGGAGTTCTCAGTTTTAGAACGATGCATACAATGTATAGAATGCATCGGTGCCCAAAACACCGTATGAGCTATGGATCCTCCGTGTGTGGGGGAGTCCTGCAAAGGATAAAGTATTTAACCCAAAACAGTAAGCTGCCATTTTATTGGCTATTCTGAAAGATCAAAGGGTCATCGTTTCTACTGTCCAAACAGTTATACAAAGTTTGTAGAAACGAGACACGCCGTCTTCTTGGAAGACGAAATGATTAGGGGGAGCTCGGTAATTCGAGAAATTGATCTTGAGGAGAGGCGGGTGTCTGTACCCGCTCCGTCGACTCAGGAACCTTTCTTCTCTCTACCTGCTAATGTTGTGCCAGCAATGCATGCCGTTGCGGTACCAACACCTGTTGTTATCTCTCCTGTGGCAACAATGAATGAAAGTGAGGAACCTGTTCTACAGGATTCAACAGAAATTATTGCCACATCAGAGGAGGAGCTGCAACAGCCTCAAACAGATAATGTGCCAGAATAGGAGGCCCCTAGAAGGCCTGAAAGAGTCGCATATGGAGGATGATCCCATCTCATACGAAGAGGCCATGAGAAGCCATGAAAGATGAAATGAAATCAATGAAATTAAATGATGTCTGGGATTTAGAAGAAATTCCTAAAGGAGCCAAAACAGTAGGCTGTAAATGGGTCTACAAAACCAAATATGACTCCAGAGGGAATATAGAAAAGTTTAAAGTGCGACTCGTGGCAAAAGGCTTCACGCAATGAGAAGGGATTGATTACAATGAGACTTTTTCTCCAGTCTCTTGTAAAGTTTCCTTCAGGATTATAATGGCACTAGTGGCACATTATGATTTGGAATTACATCAGATGGATGTAAAAACGGCATTTCTAAATGGAGATTTGGAGGAAAAAGTATACATGGCGCAACCGAAAGGTTTTGTCATGAAAGGAAACGAAAATATGGGATGCCGTATAAAGAGATCCATTTATGGGTTAAAGCAAAGCTTCGAGACAATGCTACTTGAAGTTTGATGGAACAATAAAGAAATTTGGGTTTTCAAGAGAATGTAGAGGACAACTGTATTGATTCAAAGTTAAGAATGGGAGACTCATTTTCCTAATTCTGTATGTAGATGACGTTCTACTGGCTAGTAGTGATGTCAATCTACTGCAGGAAATAGAGAAATTCTTGTCCTCAAACTTTGACATGAAAGCCCTCGGTGAGGCTTCATATGTTTTTGGGCATAGAGATTCACCGAAATAGAACAAAGTGTGCATTGGGATTTTCTCAAAAGGCATATATATAGAAAAGGTGTTGAAGAAATTCAACATGTACAGATGCAGTGCTACACCTGCTCCTATAATGAAAGGCGAAAAGTATGGGGCATCGCAATGTCCCAGAAATTCAGTATGAGCTCAATAAAATGAAAACAAAGCCATATGCGTCAGCTGTAGGAAGCCTACAGTACGCGCAAGTGTGCACACGACCTGACTTGGCATTTGTTACCGGGTTATTTGGCAGATTTCAAAAGTAATCCAGGCCTAGAGCACTGGAAATTGGTATAGAAAGTCTTGCGTGATTGCAAGGAACAAAAGGCCTCATGATGTCTTACAGAAAAGCAGAATCGCTCCAGATAGTGGGGTATTCGGATTCTGACTTTGCAAAAGATAATATAAAGTTAACATCGGGATACATGTTTACCCTGGCAGTAGGAGCTATTTCATGGAAAAGCTCAAAACAGACTACCACTGCAGGGTCTACCATGTATGCCGAGTTTATAGCATGCCATGAGGCTACGGGGCAGGTGAACTGGCTAATGAAGTTCATACCCGGTTTTAAAGGTGGTTGATAGTATTGAGAAACCACTAAAGTTATACTGCGATAAAGAACCCACAGTAATGTACTCTCACAACAATTAGTCAAGTGGTGCTGCCAAACACATTGACATAAAGTACTATGTTGTGAAAGACAAAGTCCAGGATCAAACAATCAGTCTCGAGCACATAAGAACAGAAAGGATGCTCGCGGATCCGCTCATGAAAGGCCTACCTCCCAACATGTTCAAGGAACATGTAGCATGCATGGGTTGTAAGGGAAGCCTTATGAATCCTGGACTATAGGGCCCAAAAGTTAAAATATCTGTTTCTGAATAGAGATGTGTATAGTGGCTGTCGAATCCATCGGTAATCAACCGTGACGATGAAACATGCTCTATATGTAAATCTGTGATGGAATAGAAAAAGCTAAAGGAAATAGTGAGATCAAGGGGGAGAATGTTAGATGGATCTCCCTCCCCTTGAGCCCAACGGCTCAAGGGGGCCTTGACCCGCGCCCTGATCGGGGGCGCCCAGCCCAATGGCTGGTGGGCCCCCGTCACACTGTGCCATATAAAGAGGGGTGGAGGACGGGACGGCAAGAGACACAAGGAACGAGGTTCGTCGCCGCCGCCGCCACTCCACCCCATAAACCCTAACCGATCGAGGGGGCGCAGCCAGTGACGAGAAGACTCCACCGCCGCGCCACCACCTCGCCGGGATCCCCTACGACCACCACTGCCGCGCAGCACCGTCGCCGTCACGACCACCATCGCCGCCACCGCCAACGTCAAGCAGAGCACGACAACGACGATGGCTGGGACTTCCTCTTCATCCAACGCGTCAACCGGTCACATCCCTAAACCCTTTCCCTTATTCTCTATTGTTGTTCAATCATCCATCGCAAATAGAACCACCCGACTAGATCTAAACCTAGGTGATCCAATAGACAACTCTAACAGTACCATTTTAAACTAGCGCGTTTCTGTAGACATAAGCATTCCCATTCAAATGGTCATAATAGATGGCTCCAACGACCATCAGCCACTGTCATCAAGGGTCAAGATCGACAAGAGTGGGACAAAACAACCAAAATGTAGCAAGCAAAATTTTGGCAGACCAATGGTGGGGCTGCAAAGTTTGTGGAAAGTTCTCTGGAAACATTTTAGCCTTTTGACAAGCTGGTCCGGGTCACCATGTTGTTCTCCCCACGATGATCACACTCAATTATCCTTTGGTTTTGTTCAGACCATGTTGCAAAAATTTGGAACGATATTGCTCCACCAGCGATTTATCCACGCTTCCTTCCCCAGCCAGCTCTTTCTTGGTCTTTCTTTGAGCCCTTCCTCTCTTTTGCTCCGAATGACTATCATTTCTGTTTTTCCTCTTTGCCAGGGCATCTGCCGGATTATGTTTACTCGACAGAGTTCGCTGCAAAACGGAGACTATGTTAAACTACTTCGCTTCATCGAGATCGATAATTTTGTGGTGCCGAAAAACAAAAGGTCCAATATTACTTACATTCCTATCAGCGGTTGGTGTTGCATCTTGTCTATCTCCATCCAACGCGGTGGTTCCCTTGTTTGACTTTCGTGCTCTTTTTGCAGGCCTTTGATCCTTTCTTTTATCTTCAACCATACTTTCCACAGTGCCACCATCTCCAGCTGCCGAAAGATCCTCTGCAGGCCCTTCACCAGCGTAGGGTAACTTAGATGATCTATCGTGTGATTTTCTCTTGTTCCCTTTGTTGAAAGCCCTTCTGTTATTTGCATCAGGGCCATCAGTTGCAGACTGATCTCCCAGAGGCCTCGCCTTATCTTGCGCAGCTTCTCGCAACTTATCACGGCGGTCCTTCCAAATTTTCTGGAGTCTCACTTTCTCAACGTTCTCAAGTGCAAACTCCACAATTGGACGACGTTCTGCACCAAAAGTTTCTGCAAATGACAAAAAACAACAATGTAACTGGAGATAAACAGACAACACTAAAAAAAAATGCAGCAGCAAACAAGCAAATGCTAGTTACTACTAGAAAGGAAGGGAAGACATTAAGGGTATAGTATGTCTCTGATGATCTGCATACTGAGGAAAAGTGAAAACTGCAGCTAGAGCTAACAGCAGCTCAAAGACACAGAAAGCTCATGATTGGACAAGAAACAGCACAGATAGGTAGCGCGAAGCCATGAACAAGTGATACAGTGATTCCATGCAATCCAAGGATGCAGCATTATGCAATAGGCAAGATTAACACATCACATTCTTCTCAGAGAAAGACATATTGCACATTAGAAAGTAAGTGAGACGATGAGGCAGTTAGACAGCATGGCTGCAACAAAACAATACTTAGAAGCATTTGGTATAGAAAAGAGTACCAGGGTTATTGTTTAGGACTCTTAGAGCCACAAGAGCATGCTCATGTTCTTGAAAATCTACGAAGGCTACACCACGGGAATGTTTCTGTGCAGTACTGCTGCTCTTCTTTTCATTTTTCAGAATATTTACCTGTTCAAGACAAATGCACATGCATAAGCATTATAAAGATACCTAGAAATAGAATAAAACAGAGGTTGAATAAAGAAAACCCAACAAACCTTTCGGATGACGGGATTTTGCTTGTGAGCACGAGAAATAACTGCTTCTCTACAAAGCTTCTTTACATCATTAATGGTCATAGTCTTTGGCAGGTTGTAGATGATAAGCCTTGTTTTGGACACATGAAATTTTGGAGACTGGAGCATTTCCGCTTTTCTTCTAGCTAACCTACATGACAAAATCAAAGATTTCGTGAGCATTGTTCACATGATCCTTTGGCCATGAGCCCATGATTGAGAGCATAATAAAACTCCATCTTAAGAAAGATTACTGGACATTCAATAAAAAAACTAAATACATATTATAGAAGAAACAATTGAAAAATACTTGACAAAATAAAATTAATGGAAAAAGACTATGATTCAATAGTTTCATCTGCCGTACAGAGACACCTTTTTATTATAGAAAAGGTTGAGACACCACATGCTGCCAATGAATTATAAAAATTGCATCTATCATAGCTGTTTATTCCCAGAGAAATATTAACACACATGTACAGTGGACATTTACCAATATAATAGAACCAACACTTTGCCTATATTTCTTGTCAAAAGACATTGGCTATATTGGTACTAGCTGTAGGGTGATCTAATGGTGCACAGAAAGAAGGAAAAGATCAACTCTTACCAACTACGTTTATTCATGTCAGCATCGGATACGCCTTCTGCAGCTGGCGTCCCAGCAAGTATTTCACCTTCCTGCCGCAACAATGAATTTGAGATAGGAAAATTGATTTAAGAGATGATGAGAGAGTGAGAGAGGGGGGAAGGGAGGGGGGAGGGGGGAGGCTCTAGTAAAAAGGTTACCTTAGTCAAGTATAGGTTACGTCGATCCTCCACCTCATTCTTTGCCTTCTCAAGTTCCTTTTTGTGAGCTGACTCCTTGTCCAGTGCTTTCATTATCTTAAGAGCCCTGCTCTTTATAAAAATTCCCAATCCAGGAGCAGCATTGGCAGCAGAAACTGCTGCATCAGCTGCCTCTGGTGTAGAGAACTTCAGAAAACCAGTTCCTCTAGGTCTCCTGTATAGATAGCACAAAAACATGCATTAATGAGTGTACATGCAAACGACCTCTGGTTGATACAACAGCAGGAAATAAAGGAAATATGATGTTCTAACAGATGGTGAAACATACTTTGTGAGTTTGTGAAGAACTGGGAAGAAAGATTCAACCTTCCCAAATGCTGAGAAGCGCTCTGTTACCTCCTCATTACTTAGATCAAAAGGAAGGTTGCTTATGAATAATGTCCTATCCAGCCCAGCGTCTTGTTTCTTGAATTTTGTGGCAGGAAGGGTGTTTTCCTCCTGTGCCACACGTTTAGAATTTTCTAACTTGTCAGCTGCAGGTACAGATGTAGGTAAATGGGTCTGCTTCTGTTTCTTTTCTGATGTATCTTGTTCTGTTTCTGTGTCTGTATCAATATCAGAACCCTCATTGCCAGATGGTTCAGCCCTCTCAGATGACTTGATCAAATTTTCAAGAACCTTTCTTGAAATATCCATTTCAGTTTTGAAATCATCAGCAGGACAATTGGAAGTCTCCTGCTCAAGTTCATAGCTATCATCTTCTCCAACAAGATTATCTTCAGACTCCTCGTCACTGCCTCTGTCTGATACATTTGCCAGCTCTGTAGGTACAGCAAGTTCATGATATTTCAGCTTCCAAAGTAGTAGTTCAGAAAGCACAAAGAATTGACAGGATTTAAGAGGGCACACGGTGTATTAAAACAAATATTTAGTTTTTAAACAAGAAGCCAGCTGGTCATTTTGAACAACATGAACCACCGTTTATCTGTTGCCTGAGAAACCATACCAACGAAATGACATGGTACCTTTGCCAAAAGCCAAATGTCCATGTTAAAATAGCTGTTAAGAATATCGTTGAAGTACATAAAGATATTGCAGGTCACAGGATGAACGAAGGCAATAATTAAAATAATTGATACAAAAGTCTATATATTTACCATCATCCTTAGTGCTGGATTTTGCAGCAACAGTGTATACTTTCTTTGGAACAGCCCAATCAACAGCTACAGTTCTCTTTGCAACTACTTTTCCATTAACATTTTTTATAGCCTGTTAAAGAGAAAAAAATATAAAATATTAGGACTTCCAAAGATTTTTTTTTTTTTTGCTCTTACTGAATAGGGCACTGACATTTTCTGCATCTTGTTTACGTGTGAAAGACACAAAAGCAAAGCCTTTTGATGCCCTGTAGAAGAATGAATGCAACAGAGTTATCATATCTTGCAATTTGCTTAAACCGCTGAAGAAATAAAGGATTCAACGCGAAACATACCCGTCATCAGACTTCTGTGGAATGGACACATCCCATATAAATCCTGCTAAACTGAATATATCCATGATCTCCTTTACTGTAATCTGCAACAATGAAACAAAAACATATAGCCTCTGTTTTATCTCTTCTAGGAAACAAAGCTTGGAACAAGTGAACTTTTGCATTCAATCAAGCACCTTAAATGGTAGATTCCGGACTATCACTCTCCATTTCCTGATCTTTGAGCCCTGTATAGCAAGCAAGTTAGAAACAACTGCAGGTAACTGGGGAAATAGCTGAAGAGAAACATATGATAGTGGTTCCAGAGTACAGATAAACACCATGCAACTCTTGTGAAGAAGGGGGACACACAACAACTGAAAATTAGGATTTTAAGTAATCTCATTCTATCTCCTACCCACCTATTCTCACAGCTGCAATTGTAGCCATGCAAGATAGTAGTAGTAGATTATAAGTGGAGACAAAGCGGTAGCATATCTATTGTGTCATTCACGGAATAATATTAGGATCTTTCTAACTGAAAGTGAGAAAAGCTTGATTAACTCACTGACTAATCAATCTCTAGAGGCTTGTACATCTTTTACAGATACAAAAATGGAGTTAGCGGTGGTGATGGTAGTATCTTATGATGAATAATATAGTAGTGCCTTTTGTGAACGATTGCATGTCACCATCTGATCTAATGTGAACTATGTATGCAATATTTAAAATTTGGGGATACTAACTTTTTTCTAGTTTAGAACTTATAATATTTAGTTTAGATCCATTGCAATGAACAGGCACTATGTTGGTTCTGGTAAAATATCTAGTTTACTTATTGCAGGTCTTACAGGACACTGTAACTAACTATATTTGAAACTGTAGTCAGGAGATCTGTAATATATGTGGTATTCAGGACGTTGCCAGGAGACACAGCAGCAGAAAGTTATTGTTAGTTTGAGACTCCAGAATTTGAAGTTCCAACCCATTTTTAATTAGCACATACCCATCCGTTTTAAATTACCGTACTAATTCATGATAGCCACCTTAGGTTAGAACATAAGGATAATTATATGTAGCTTTGAGGAGAAACTAAATGTGTGCACATGCACTACTACACTGGTAAACAAAAAGTGGAAGAAAAACGGAAGTATTTGAAGTTTGTTTAATTGTAGAATAGAACAAGTCTATCAAGCTAAAATAATGAAGTAATGGCAGCACATCAAGGTAAATATAATGCAAGAAGATACCTCTCCACCAAGCTGACGAGCCCAAACAACTGCTCCCTTGACCTCCTTACGATGCAAGTGAACAACCGAATCCCAAGCTGATTTGACACTGGCAAAAAGTACAGCTGCTGCATCTGTTGTGCATCCATCTCGTTCAAGCCCTGTTGAGAATGACAGCCATTCCATAAATTATACTGTTTCAAGAACCACATGCTAGTGGTATTAAAGGAGAATAATTGTGTGTACAGCAGGAACTGGGAAAATGAGATAAAACTTAATAAGTCATACCATGGAGCTCCATTTCCTCTTTTGGAAGTGGATAGCTAACAGATACAACTGTGCCAATCTCTCCAGCTAGACGAAATACTTCACTCGCCATAGCAAAGTCTCGAAGACCACCGAATATCACAGTTTTTGCAACCCTTCATCACAAGCAATTACAAATGTCATGCTGGATGAAAAATAAACAATTACAGCATATATCCATGAAAAAACTAAGAATTTTGTGAGGTTATGGAAACCAAACTAGAATGGGATGGGGGAAAAAATCAGCATAATTACTTAAATTGTTTTTAGGTAATGTTATGGCTTGATGGTATAGAATATTTGAGTCCACACCTTTGCTTTTCTGAGCTTTTCACCTTAGCAGTATTGGAAATGCTGACTTCCTTTGATAGTGTAGTTTCCTTTTTCAACAACTGTAGTGGTTCTGGTTCAGTAATACACCATGAATCAGAAAATTAAAGCATTGATAAAATTTAGGAATGGAAACAGTGTTGGAATCGAACAATTTTCCTTTCAAACCTGTATCTGTTTTATGAGATGTCTCCTTGTGTTTTGCAGTAGAAGTAGCATATGCTTCATTTGTTGCATTGGCATCCTTGGCTTCATTTGTTGCATCAGCATCCTTGGCTTCATTTGTTGCATCGGCATCCTTGGCTTGCACGGCTTACAAGCAAAAACAGCCAGGCAATCAAAATCTCAATCAATTGAAATTCAGAACCAAATACCAGAAATAGAAATTTACCATTCTCCTTCTTCTGTAAACGTTCCTTCAGTGGAGCACGATGCGTTGCTAGCTTAACTCTAATTTTTCTACCAGCAACAGAGAATCCATCCTTTTGCTGAATAGATCGCTCAGCATCTTGAACAGTTGCACTGTATCAATGTAAATATGTCAAAAATGTATAACAGATTACGCGTCAGTTTTATGCCTTATGCCTATATATTTTCTGCAGAAAGATATTCCTACATGAATAATCACACGACACATCTGTAAGAGAAACAAAAAGATCGAGCTAAACCAACCTCTTGTGATTTGGTTTGTGCATTAGTACAGTACATAACATATGGTGAAAGCTTCGTGCAGTAACATACTTGTAATAAGAACTATCGGTGTGGGGCTAACTTCTGTGAGGGACCTGATAGGCTGGTATTAACCAGACACCATCACTAGAGACACTGAATAAATGTATTTCCGCTTAGCATTAAACAATTTGCTCACTAGAGCATTACACTACTCACGATCAAAATCACTTCTCGAATTCTGGAATTGTGGCAGGAAAGGGAAACACATTTCCATCGGAAAACAACCAGAAAAGCAAGCAATGAAACTTACAATTGCACGAACCCAAAGCCTCTGCTCGTCTCTGACCCTGCATTAGAAACAAACACAACCAAATTACTCCCTGCTAAACAGCCATTGAACTCACTGTCACTGAATTCTCATACCTTTCGGCGCGACCATGAAGCATCGCCTCACCGGCCCGACCTCGCTGAACACCGCCTCGAGCTAAAAAAAAACAGCAATACACACCGCGTATCACAGCCTCGCAGACCGAAACAGCAAAAAAATGCTAGCCGCATAGCTTCGCAGGGGATAAGGCTTTGGGATTGGGGCTCGGCTTGCGCTTACATCGGAGGACTTGAAGGTGTACGGCAGGTTGGAGACGAACACGGTGGAGGGGCTGTGGCCTCCGGCGCCGCCGCCGGTGGCCGCGCCGCCTTCCGTGGCTGCTCCCCCGCCACCGCCGCCGCCGCCGCGCTGCTTCCGCTTACCCATCGCCGGCGTCGTAGGGGAGGAGGCGTGTGAACAAGCTCCCGTACTCGACGAGGCGAGAGGTTTTGTTGGGCTAGGCCGCTAGGGTTTATAGCTTAGAATGGGCCATTGTTTTTGTCGGACCGGATGTCCTAGCGGTGTATGCTTGGTTTGGGCCTGTTTGCGTTAAGTGCAAAAAGGTCCACTTTACGTCCCTCAACTAATGGTCGAGTGCTCGAGTTTCATTTACATACAACTATATACTCCATATAAAAAACTACGATGGTGATGGGAGTAAATCTGTTATTCTACTTGTGCTTCTTCGGTTTTTATAAATTGCCGCTTGATATTTTCTGATACTGTAGAATATTCTAATATTTGATTCAAGTAAATACCATATATGCAAATAAGCAAACAATTACATGCTTGATAAAATAATATTATGCTATGATATTATAATATATTTTTTATCTATAACAAAACATAGACATTTTCTAGTCAACTATAAAATTAAGTATAGATTGTCCTAACTTCTAAAACTAGTGTTAATCGAGCCATCAATATTAAGAGTAGTTTCAACTGACATGATGCTTATCAAACTTCTAGGCACCATTTAAAAAAAAAATGAAACTTCATCAACATTTCTTAATAATACCTTTTCATTAAATCTTCAACTTTCTAATATCTTATCCATCATCTCTACTTTCGAAATAAAAACTTGGTTCTGCATATCATTTTTCAGCAACTTTATTTTTTTTCCGTAACTTTATAACACAACAGCCTTGAGACATGTTTAAGGGAGCTTTTGGTAGCTGAAAATTTTTCCAGAACAAGAACCCCGCGCACACACACCAAACGGTCTAGATTTTTGTTCGGATTCTGATAAGTTGTAGTTGTAAAATTCAGAAAATAAATTAGAAACCATAAACTAAAAAATCGCTCCGCTGTATTATTAGAAGTAACAACTTCTCGTAATTTTAAGTTCCCTGAACAGATCCAGACCCTTGGATTATGAAATAACCAAGGTCACTAAACACACCCTCATCTAACGGGCAGGCAGCTCGCCCGTGACGCGTGCCGCGTGCGTGACTGCCAGCAGCAGCAGCAAGCGGAGGAGAGGAGAGACGCGCCGCCGCCGCCGCCGCCTGCGAAGCAAAGCGGCGAGCGAGAAGCCAACGGCGCATCAAAGTGAGGATATGGAGAGGGGCGCCGCCGCCGCAGGAGCGCTCTCATGCACCTTCCGCTCCCCTTCCCCTTCCCCGACGTCCCCGGCCGCGCCCCATTGGCGGCCTCTCCTCGGCTTCCGCTCCCGCTCCCGCTCGCGTGGCCGGGGCTGGGGCCAGCGCGCGGTGGTCGCCGGGGCACCGCGGTTATTCCTGCCGCCACCATGCCGGCGCTTCAGGTAGCGAGCTCCCTGCTGTCTCTTGTTCCCTTTTCCTTGTCCTCCTTGTCTCGGTTGGGATTGGGAGTATTGCTCCTGCGCTCGCAAGCTGTTCGATGAAACGCCTGTGCTTTTTGGGGGTAAGTGATGATGCCGTCATCTTAGGAATGGGATTAATCGATTAGGACACTTTATATAGTATGGATTAGGACTGGCAACTTTGGATCGTTGAGCCTGTTCAATCTCGTGCCAGTGAAATGTTAACTTTGACAGCTAGTAGCTTTGCTATGGTTGGTTGGAGGCTTGGAGCATTCGGACAGTTCTTTGTGCTTGTCTTACCACCTTTCCGGGTTTGACAATGTACATTAATTCTAATTTTGGATATTTCAGTCTAGATACTTTGAGCTTCTAGCAGATGATGGGCAAAAGCTAGAATTTCGAATTAGCTGCGAGGATGAAAGGGGTTAAATTAGCATGTCTCCATGTCAAGTACTTTCATGGCTCAAAGTTGCGGGTGGCTTGTTGCATTTTACTGGTTTAGTAAGTGTAACGTTAAACTTGTGCGGAACTTTCTAACGTCAGGCAAGAAGTATATCTTGCCCAAGTCTAGCCTGTTGGCAGGTGAAGCCAATTAAAATTAAAGAGATTATGTGGAACAACTGTGCCCATTGGATATTTGCAAACGAAAAATAATTTGTGAATAAAACTTTTATATTACGTGTTCTTAGCGATCTAAAAGCAAAGACTGAAAAATAAACTTTGATGAAAAAACCTCAAAATCAACTCCAAATTTAAGGTTGAAAATTCAAATTTTGGTTGATAAGCATAAGCGAAAAGATGAGGCCGTATATTTGACGTGTTCCCCATGTAAGGCTCACTATTGCGGTATTGCCATATGATTTTTCCCACTGGTAATCCTAAGATTTCAGGATTTTATTTCTCTCTTACAGACCTCGCATAAAGCTATGGTTTATAATCACATCAATAAGAGTCGATCTTTTATGTTTACTGCTGTAAATGCTTAATAATGTGAACTTGGTTTCTCATTTAAAACTTTAAAATTTCTCTTACACACTTGTAGATACTGCAGTCAAAGCAAGCTTCTAGGCACGAACAAAGGGCAAAACAGATGCTCGTTGGCAACTTTCAGCTCATTTGGACAGTCAGGGATCAGTCTGAACAATGAAGATTTAGTGAAAGATAAGCTCCTAATAGATTGTGGGGAAGATCAAGATTGTGTGATTGGTATGCACTATGTTTTTTTTTCTTCAGATTATTTAAGTTTCATACTTGTGTGCTTATTTTGCATGTAAAACCTATACCATGCACCTCCAGTAAGTGATAATTGCATGCCAAATCTATTATGGGCAGCTCATGTCCTTTTCTAAGGCTGCACATATACTTTCTTAGAAAACTCTGCACAAATCTTGCATGAGGCTAGGATTAAACCAGATTTTCATTGGGTATTCAATGCATGTTTCAGATGGGATAGTTGCCTTGGGAAAGTTTGATGCCCTTCACATTGGCCATCGAGAATTGGCAATGTATGCTTCTAAGGCAGGAACTCCCTTTCTTCTTTCTTTTGTGGGAATTGCTGAGGTTCTTGGCTGGGAGTATAGGTGAGTGTAAAAGAGGCTATTCATAATTTCCCTTGGTAATCATTAGCCCCAAATAACTGAGTGCCTTGCTTGTGGCAATTCATGACTGCTTTCCTTTCATGCAGGCCTCCTATAGTTGCTCAGTGTGATCGGAAGCGAGTGCTCACCTCTTGGGCTCCATACTGTAAGAATGTAGTGCCTATTGAATATCAAGTTGAGTTTTCAAAGGTCAGGTACCTAACTCCGCGGCAATTCGTTGAGAGGTTATCAAGGGATCTTAAAATACAAGGTGTTGTAGCAGGTAGAAACATGTTGTCTTCTCTTGTAGGTGCACTATCTTACTGTATTGTCATAACCTTTTACAATATAGCTTTGTTTGTTATTATGACAGGTGAAAACTACAGATTTGGCTACAGGGCATCTGGCGATGCAGCTGAGCTAGTGAAACTATGTGAAGAATTTGGTTTAAGTGCATTTATTGTACGGTCAGTCATGGACACAGCTAGATCTTATAATGGAGTTACAACCTCCGTAAATTCAAGCGACAAGGGGCAGGTTTCTTCTAGTCGTGTTCGCCATGCTTTGGCTATGGGTGATATGGAATATGTTTCTGAATTACTAGGGAGGAAACACCGCCTTGTGCTGACAGTTAAGGAAAACCACCTTCAGGAAAGGAAAAGGATCATGCTGCCAAAATCTTGCATGTTGAACATGCCACCAGCTGATGGTTTGTATGAGAATTGTGACCTTCTTAATGGAGGCCATCTTGGACTATGCAGGGTGATCATAAACTCAGAGACCATTGTAATTGAGATGAAAGATGAGAACAGTTTATTACCAAATACTATTCAAGAAAATCAGCAATTAGGTATTGAATTTGGATGATATGGTACAGCTCAATTCATGATTGGTGACATGGCAGGTCATATTTTGTACTATATCTTCATTATATCTGGCACCTTGCGGATTAGTTTGTGTTGATGCTAAATAGTGCTGATTTTATCTGGAGGGGATATAGAGCAAGAAAGAAAAAAACTGAGAACTTTGTATTCAAGGGTGTATACCTCATCGTGATCAAGCCAAAGAGCATCTTATAGATGAACAGAGATTTTGTGCAAATTTGCATTTCATGCAACGAGAAGACATGGTAGTCAGAGAGGACATTGTCCTTTTTCTCCCTGGGAATTGGCAACGATAGAACTGACTAGCTTCTAGCTAGCTGTATCAGCAAAGCTGAAGCACAAGGAAACATACAAGGGAACTCATTTCCCAAATCCCACCTAGTACGTTTTTCCAGCTTATGAAATTGTGATTTGTACAAATAGGTTTCATTTACACAGCAACTTCCCATTGTTAGATAGCAGCTTGTTCCATCAACAGTTAATGAAATATGTTGCTTGATCTTCGAACATCTGGAGAGGTCTGGTCCCTAACAACGTTGAGTTTAGCCTAATCTAGCTTATGAAATTGTGATTTGCACAAATAGGTTTCATTTACACAGCAACTTTCCATTATTAGATTGCTGCCTGTTCTATCAACAGTTAATGAAATGTGTTGCTTGATCTTCGAATATCTGGTCCCTAACAATGTTGAGCTTAGCCTAATCGATCGCTGGCGTGTATTGGAGCTCTGAAAAGGCTACCGGACAAGGTAAAACTCTGTAACCTTAATCGTCTGTGTAGGTCCGTCAGCTCACAAGGTCTCAGACAAACAGTTCATACTTTCGGAACATAGTTCAAATTCAACGCCTTCATTGCTATGAATTAAGCAAAAGGTCCAGCCAGATAAATAGAAATATGTACCTCCAAAGTTAAAAAAGTTAGAACCCTAAAATTGTTCTTTGACAAAAAAAGAAAAGAAAGAAAAAGGATATACAACAATGATACTCTGGTACACAAGTTGCGCTGTACAGATCTGAGCTTCCCAAGGGTAAAGCTTATTGCCACCTGACTAACCCAAACATGTCACAAAATGGAGGGGAGGCCCCGCTTTGAGCGTAAGATGCACAAATAACAACAGATGCAAAGATCCTTTAGGCCAGAGGCAGCTGAGACCAATGGCTTGTATTTCACTGAACTTCCGCAAATATGACTCGAGACAAAAACAACACGTCGTGACGCTGTTCTTGTTTTGACTTAGTGCACAATCAGGTAGTTTTTATTTGCTCATATTTTTCACCTATGCTCCCACCTTTCTGCTTCTGGAATTCAATGTAACGTAAAGTGCTTGCAAAGAAGGCCTCTGTCGATGGATCAGCTACAGTGTTCTCACTTTGCTTCTCTGTCCTAATCAATTCAATCAAATCCTGGATTACAGTGTTCGTGATCTCTGGAATTCCTTTCTCGAAGAAGTACAAATACCTGGAAATAATAGAAGCATGTGGATTACAACAATAGCAATCATATGCACAAGAGAATATATCAGACTAGGTCTTGAGATTACTTGTTCAAAATTTCGATAAATAGCGCGACAGATCCGCTACTTCCCCTTGTTACATTAGCCATCTGTTGAGCGGCATTTGCAATTCTTAAGGCACGCTTTAAACAAAGGAGGACCCTGGAACAACAATTCAAAGAAGCAACAAATAAAAACTTGTCAGTTTTCATAGATACAAGAATATAATTCAAGGATAATGAATATATAGTAGTGCCTTTTGTTCCCATGAATAATTGACATAACCATGGGAAACTCAAAAGGATATTGCAAGTTTGCTGTGTACTTGCGTGTGCACCTGCTGTTGCTGACAGCTGCAGCTGTGTTTTATCTACCTTGTGATCTTTTAAAACAGTTTGACTCACCACAAAATTATAATAGACTTGTTTCCGTATCATTAGGAAGGTCCTAACATTTCATTTGCAAGAACGAACTAAAAGTTGAAAATTACGGATGGCATAACTAGTCTACAAGTTTCAACAAATCAGTATGCTTAGAAGTTTACCTTTCACCATCCATTATTCCGTCTTGGTCGTCAGTCCAGAAAAGGTGTGAACATGCATAAACCGCTCGGCATTGGTCAGGTTTCTTTAGAAGTTTTGCTGAGTACTGCACAATTATTCAGCAGGATGTTATTATGTGCATAGAAGAGACTGATTTGAGAGAGAGAGAGAGAGAGAGAGAAGAGAAAAACATAATTCAATAAGGAAACAGCATAGTAATTGTTACCCCTGTTGTCTTGTGAGTCAGGGTATCTCTATTTTCAACCCCGAATATATTCATCCGTTGAAGGGTTCCAATTATAAGATGAATTGCAGTGATTTGAGCCTTTGAATCCTGCATGTAGCATGCAAACATTGTAGGTCGAAAATCGTATAGAGTTATAAAATGAGCTATTGACCCTAGTGTTGGAATGCATATTGCATGTGTTTATGATATGATCCAGGGGTTATATCAAATAACTCAATTGAAGTAATGTGACAAAATGGATGTGCACAAGGAAGGGCAACGCAGGGCTTATACCGCAATTTCTTCTTCATATAAGATGAATGCTTGAGTAAAGAACTCATAAGCAACCGGTTCCAGATCACAATCATTGGCCGCCTGTAATATGAAAGGTAGTTACATGATATGCAGAGTTATGGAAAGCATAAATCAATTGTTACAGCAATACCTCTGCACACTGCAGATATAATCTGAGAGCCAGTTCAGGAGAAGGAACACATGAGAGAGCTTCAATGGTCTGCGGATGAAAAAAATGATGAGAACATTGATGAGGGAGAACAATATCCCCATCAACAGATTTATAGCCCTCATCCTTATGCAAGCAAGTAAATCAAGCCAGGGAGAGTTTCTGTGCTAGAGGAAGTTGGATAAAACAGTTCACACTTATGTATCCAGCATACAATTATTAACAATATTATATCTTTTTCCAACAGTTTCAAAGTTGATAGTGTGTAAAAAATTGTGATATTTTATCAGAGTTTTTAAGTGAAACTCCAAAACACATCTAAAAAGAAATTAGCCAGGGGAAGGGGGTGGGGACCTGATGCAAGATCTGAAATATTTTCTTAGGCGTTGCAGGAACTTCCTCCCCTATTACATCACCATCTTGACCTTGTAATCTTCGGACCAACTGCAGGCAGGACAGATTCTCCACAGATTAGAAGCCTAAAATTAGAATAACTATTATACCAGAATTAAGCAGAGTACATAGCCAATATCTGGCTAACATATGTCAGTGGTTAGCAAAGGCCACGATTTCCCATTATATCTAAAAACAGATGTCAGATACGGTAAATTATTGGTTTATCAAAACGGCCCCTACAAAGAATCTTGATCAACTAGATATTTTTTTTAGAAGCATTATCTATAATAGAAATACGAAATGAGAAGATTACTTAGTTTATCGTACTGTCCAAATGTAGTTGTAAGACAAACCTTGAGAGCAGAGAATACTAAGGATGGCACAGTGAAAGGTAGCCGCTTGGGACCTCCCTGAAGTATATGCTTCTGAACGGTGCATAATATCTGAAAGATCAACAAGTATTTGCCATTAGCATTTTCAAAATGATCAAGTGTTCAGACATTCAACCTGATCAGTAAGTTCTGTCCAGTTCCAGAAACATAAATACAAAAGTTAATGCCCGGTTTTGTATTTTTAGCATTGGATAGACTATTGCTGCGACTTATCCATTTTGCAACCAGCATGAACATGATATGGACTTTTTACTTAGGTTCTAAAGACATGACCTAATAAAATATTCTTCTTAACCTTTTTATTGGGGGCAAACACTAGCTTCATATTCTGTCAGCACGTTGCTATCGCTGGATACCAACAGCATAGATGTGAAAAATGGACATAAAAATATTCCTAACAGTGAGTATGTAACCATCACGAAACGAAGTTACTAAAATGTGAGAACATAATGAGCACAAAATAATTCTGCATCATTTAATCAACTTCAGTAGAATACAAGTGTACCTTCAACATCTCTTCATGGTCATCATTGTGCAACATGTGAATAAGACGCGCCACAGAATTCTGTTCCTCCTTAAAATCCTCATCATCAAGCTAAGCAATATAACAGGTAAACTTGATAAGAAAATAGAATATTGTGTGCGCTGATTCAGTTGAACAGCAGCAGAAACAATATAACAAGCCAAAGAAAATTGTAGAATGAAGCGTGTATATTACCTCATCATTTTGAGCCCCATCCATATCTTTTATAAGACCTTTAATTAAATCAAAAAGAGCTTCAATCTGCAAAATAATGATGTCCAGAATTACATGATGATTCCCATAGTAGTTGACAAGACAATAAGCAAAAATATGATGTCAAAAAGTTACCTTGTCAGAAGTAGATATGCAAGTCGTGTTCTTCATTATGCTTTGAATTATTACAAGAGCCATAACTTTTGTTGTAGAATTATCAAGGTAATCCATAACCCGAGGATAGTTTGAGAGCTCTAATGCAGTAACAATATTGCTATATTTCTCCAGGGGGGCACTGAGAAGTGCAACAATTTGCTTTGTTGCCCTGCTATCTTCAAGTTTTGCATTCCCTGAAAGTTTCTTTACGCATGCACCCTGTCCAACATTAAACTTAACATGAGCTAAAAAGCGCAATAATACATGACATAAGAGGCATCACCAAGGGAGTGGCTGTGGCGCATACTCCATGAAGACTATTTAGACATCCTAATATATATTACTTCATATATTTTCATTCCTCTACTCTTCACCACTTCCACTCAAGGATCATTTGTAGATTGTGGAGAAAGTATATATAAAGTACAGAAATTACATGCACATATACTATAGAGTTAGGAGATTTTTTTTCCCCTACACAAGAAGGCTTACCAACACTTGATCAACATAATCAAGCCGATCCGGATGCACACGGAGAGTAAATGTCAAAAGTGATACATATAAAGTTACTGCACCAACAACTGGCATGTCAACTTGGGCCTCTATCACCTGCCAAATGAATTATAGATCACTAGTTTCAGTTTTGACAGTAATACCATAATACAGCACGCAACAACTGTATAATTTGAGCAAGGAGCAAGAAAAAAAAGACAAAGTTATACTCTAAGGATCCTTTCCACCTCATAAATGTGCACAGAGTTGTTTTCAGATGAAATGCCAACTCATAGTATTGCAAGAAAATACGAAATAGAAAGAGTGATAAAAATTGCGGAATAAATTTTACCTTTCCAATAGCATTGCTGAACTTTGCAAAAGCTTCAACTTGCAAGAATTCTGGCAATACCTGTACAATTCATGATTGTCAATAGTATACGCAAATTTTACCATGATGAAGTGGTTTAGTGAGTGCTTACTTCAGGACTTGCGGCAGCATAGCTTGATAACCTGTCCATGAGTTGAGACAGCACGGTTTTGATATCAACATTTGGCTGCCACAAAATAGTAATGAGTGAGTAACAATCGCAGTGAAAATTGGACAGAAAATTACATCCCGATTCTTATATATCAAAATATACACTGAGTTGTATTAATTTATTCTACGGTTGTGGATTTTTGTGTTAAATGCAGCTTAAACTACAGATCATGACAGAACAAAATGTACTACATGTACATGATAAAGCCTTTTGCAAAATTATGTGTCAAGTTCACTAGTCGCATTTTACAACAAAGTAGCAAGTGAACAACTGACACGGTCAAAGACCCTATGTAAAGCTACTAGCATGCGCAGATTAAAAGTGAATCTGACTCGCTTGAGTTGATTCCCTGATTGAGTTGTATTTTGAGACAGATGGAGTAGTTAATAGAACATCAGGCAGTGCAAATCAAATTGATCAAGCAGACAAAGACATAAGGATGACTTGGTAGTTAACTCATTTGGTTGACACAATCAACTAAATATGTCACATTATAATCATCCACATCAGTGTTTAATTTCTAACATGCAACGATATGCAGAGAACAATCAAGTTAAAATAACATAAACATGCCAACCTGTAGTTGCGGAAATGCGCTCAACAATGTTTCCAATGTCTGTAAATGGTATTCGTCTGGAAAGACTTGTATTATGCAGTCCATCAGGTAGAATTGTGCAAGTTCATCCTTACAATTAACCACCTGCCAATATATTTCTTCTTCAGCTTCCAGTAGAATCATGGATCATTTTATAATTTGTCAACAAATCTAATTGCAGACCTGTTCTAATATCCTTGGAAGGACAGTTTCTTTGTACATGTCAAGGTCAACACCCTCAATCTGGCTTAGAACGTGAAGGTTTTTGCCTACCTAGAAAAAAGAAAGAACAGTAGCAATGTCATTGAAATGACACCAAAGAACATGTAGTGTAGGGAATACATGTAATTGATGATTACCAAATCACGCAGTTCATTTCTTTCTTTTCCCCGCTTCTCCTTCTCTCGAACAGGGCCCTGCAAACCATAATCATCAAGGCCGGTTTAAGTTATTATCTGGTTAGATAATCTTGAGCTTCCTAGAGGTGACATCTGTGATAAAAGCTTGTATTCATGAACAGCATGGGAAACAATGTATGCATGCGCAGAAACCTAAGGCGGTAAATGCATGGTAGGGGAAAGTATCGCAGCACTTGTACTCAGACTTCAGCTTGAAAAGAAAAAAAAAAGCTTCAAGTTGCAAGCTGAATCAAACCTGATGTTGCATTCGGACCCAGAGTTTGTTCATTTCTATGAAATTCTGAAGAACAAACTCAACTGCGACGTTAATGCTGTCAGCATCCCTGTGTGATGAAAGTTGCAAAAGGCAGGTATAAAGAAACAATTAGGTACTGTAAAAGAGAAGAACATAAATGTGAAGTAGCATATACTTTCAGGACAAAACACTTTTGCGCTCTGCATGTCCTAACTCCCAGATATAATAAAGTGAATTGAACTTCATGTTGCCTCTAGTGTACTGATACATGATCAAGCAGCGCTACTGGCAAAGTGGCAATAGTTAAGACTTCCAATATACAGTTGGTCCTAAATAAGGATTGGTAAATTATATATGAGATAGATAGAGCAGCGATGACAAATAAATGAATTAATGCACAGGAAGTCACAGAATCAATGCCTACACCATAGCATGCACGATTCAAAACGAAGAGCAAGGGAACTACGTACTTAACATTAATTTGTCTATCAGTTCCCTTTCATTTGGATTTTGTGATTACAGCCTGTTCAAAAGGTACTATATGAATGCCAAATTAATGTTGTAGAATAAGACAACATTTTACATACATATGAAACATTAGTTTATCTTCAGTTACTGAACATTTAAACAGCATGGCATGGAGTGCATTACCCTTCATACTCGGAACCAATATCTGGCAGTTTGTCTCGGCTTATCTGAGATAGGTAGCTTCTTAGGAAAAGCCCACGAAGAGGATGTTGGATGCCTCGACACATTTCAACAAGGTCTTTAAGAACGTCTTTCGCAGGAGCCTCTTTTGATTTAATGTACACAGATCCTACTGTGCAGAGGAGATAGCTAGGACATGAACAACACCAAATCAGGTTCATACCATAACAGTTCTTCAGCAATTTCAAATGAGTCAAAATCACATCCCATTGTACATGCAAGCATGATTAACCGTTGGCCTCACATTCAGGTGTGACAAGTGTATTCAAGTTGGTCACAGTAAAATCACCAGGGATCAGTGTTCTAAAGTCAGTGCTAGGCACCGGGTAGTCATCGTGATTAGGCATTAGATGGTGCATTTAGGTGGCTAACCTACCTTGGGTGGTGTTTTGTTGCTATTTTAGTGTTATATTGTCTGAATTTAAGTAATATACTTACTAATTTCTTGGGTTTGACTAGTTGGTTTGACCTAGGCGCCAGCCCTTCCAACTCTCTAGCACCTTCTTGAACCATGTCGGCAATTGAATGATATGGCTTATATAATGTCTACTGGTATGAGCACTGATAGTCAAGCAATAAGACTAATTAAGTTCAGTTGTACCAAGTAAATATACAGTAGTTCAAACTTCAAACTAGTCTTTTCAACAAAGTTAAAGTTACTCGAAAGTTAAACTATCGAAGTACCAAGTTCTGCCATTGATCTAGTAGCTACAAGTTATTACTAGATCGTATAGAGTTGTAATGATCTACAGGACTGCAATACCCACCACAAATTCGGCTCCAGAAACCTCACAGAGCAAGTAAAACAGAGCTAACAGCACATAATTACACAAAGTTAACAGCTGTTTATGCCTGACAAGGGGTGCATTAGTCTTACAGTCTGGGCAGTACGTTGCCAGCATGCTGCACAAGCTCATACAAATCAACAACGGAGCAGCTGCCACGACGGGTCTCCTCCCTGAAGAACATCTCCAGCTTCCGCATCTCATCAAACGCCCTCATATCTGCAGCAAAATCAATAAACCCCCATCAAATCCCAGCTGAAACCACAGCCAAAATTGGGCGCACTGAGGAATCCTGACACATAAGAAACACTCACATAGATCATAATACTTGTGCGGCGAGAGCCGCGAGGTCCGCAGCTCGGAGAGCATCTGCGCCGAGTACTTGAGCGCATCCTTGAGGTTGTTCGAATCCTGCGCACGAATTGCCGATCGGGGCAGATGATAAGCGAGAGGGGGCAGTCACAGACCGAGGGAGCTAGGGTTTGGCGGGCCTTACGAGGGCGCGGTGCATGTAGAAGGCGTTCTGCTGGACGCCGGCGATGCCCTCGGCGAGCCACCGCTCCTCGTCGTCGGCGCCGCCATCCGGCAGCATCCTGACCGCCGCCGTGGCCGCCGTCTTCGCTGGCTGCGGGGGTGGATCTGGTCGGCCTCTGGTGGCTCGGGTTGGGGTTGGGGTTGGATCTCGCCTCTCGCGCGTGGGCTTGTCCCCTCTCGGGTTTGGATCGGGGCGAGTGTTTGTGTTCTTCGAGTGTTTTTTTATGATCGGTTTTTTCCTCTTTTTTTTCTGTTTTCCGAAGTGGTTCGATGATTCGATCTGGATCAGATGAGTTGACGGCCGAACTGGGTCTGGGGTGGGCTGACTTGTCGGTAAAGGCCCTGTTAGTTTCAAAAACTTTTTCCCAAAATATCACATCGAATCTTTGGACACATGTATAAAGTATTAAATATAGATACATTAAAAAACTAATTACACAATTAGGGGGGAAATCGTGAGACGAATCTTTTGAGCCTAATTAGTCCATGATTAGCTATAAGTGCTATAGTAACTCACATCGTCTCGCGGTTTCCAGGCGAGTTATGCAATAGGCTTTTCATTCGTGTCTGAAAACTCGTTCCGACATCCGGTCAAACGTCCGATGTGACACTCAAAAATTTTTCTTTTCACGAACTAAACAGGCCCAAAAACGAATTTAGGCCTCTTTAGTTCCCAAATAAAATTTTTCACGCTGTCACATCGAAATGTTTGGACATATGCATGGACTATTAAATATAGAGAAAAACCAATTATATAATTCGCTGGGAAATTGCGAGACGAATCTTTTAAGCCTAATGACGCCATGATTTGACAATGTGGTGCTACATTAAACATTTGCTAATGACGGATTAATTAGGCTTGATAAATTCGTCTCAGATTCCTAGCGGAATCTGTAATTTATTTTGTTATTAGACTACGTTTAATACTTTAAATGTATGTCTGTATATCCGATGTGATATGCAGGGGCAAAAATTTTTGCCAACTAAACAGGCCCTTACTATCTAAGTGGGTTTAAAAATATGAATTTACTCCATCTGAAACCTGCTCTATTTTTTTTCTTCTAAAAAAGTTAGCTATAGCCTTTTATCTCTACTATTATAAAAGTTGAAGATGTTTTTATCAATACTTTGGTACGTCCTCCGTGTATGAGTCGGTTTTTAAGTTCGTTTACTTTTGGAAATTCAAATATGTATTTGAGTCGAGTTTTAAGTTTGTTCGCTTTTGGAAATACAGGAGGAGTCGTATAAGAAATATCTTTTTAGAAAAACTTGCATGTTAACTTAGATTTATCGGACTCCTAATTGTAGCTTATGATTTTCTACAAAATAATATATCCAAGCGATGATCGAACTCCTAATTGCAGTTCATGATTTTCTAGAAAATAATATATCAAAGCAAATTCTCACAGTAAATTTCACCTTAACTAGACCGTATAACAATAATAAAATTAAAATAGCCTTCACCCGTTGCAACGATAGGCAATTTTTCTAGTAACACCAAAACTTAATACGATCCTTTAGCCGATGAGAGATTTATTCTTAAGAGACGGAGTTCAAAAATAATTTAATAACTTTTTTTTATCTTTAGAAAGTTTTGTCTAATATTCAATCAGGACTAGTATTTTTTTCTTTTATTTCTATAAAACTTGTATGGTATTCGATTAGGACTAGTCTCAACCCGAGAGTATAAATATATACACCCAGATTACACCCGGAGTCTTTGTAATCTATCTCCACATATCAATACAATTGCTTTTGGCCCATCGTCACGGACTAGTCTCAACCCAAGAGTATAAATATGTACACCCAGATTACACCCCGAGAGTATAAATATGTACACCCAGATTACACCCCGAGAGTATAAATATGTACACCCAGATTACACCCGGAGTCTTTGTAATCTATTTCCACATATCAATGCAATTGCTTTCGGCGCATCGTCACCTTTATTCCGACGGGACTAGTATCAACCCGATGAGTTCTTAGTTTTAAGTTTGGGTTGTATCGGTTAAATTCGATCTCCGGCAAGAAAATAAATTCTGTCATGCAAGGAAGTAAATTCATCATCTTCGCTTGTATCAGCGTAGTTAAAAGCCCAGAACTTTCTCGGTTAAGTCCAATATTCTATAGTTTTGCCTATCAGAGAAGACAAAACTAGTCATTTAATACAAATTATGCCTAACTCATCTTTGAACTGAACCAGTAGTAGGGGCAAGACACTGGGATAACACATCAGAATACCATCAATGATTTTGTCACACGATTTCATTCTCATTTCTTAACAATCTCGAGTGCTAAAATACACCGCCATCTGGAGTAGTCCCAAAGGGACCATCCAAGAGAATTCATGCGTGAAATCGCGTTGTTGAGAGAATTCATGCGTGAAATCGCGCTGTTGAGACATCACGCATGACTACGTAGTAGTAGATAAATAACCACAGGACGAGTGTTCAAATAACGGAATATATAGAACACCTAATTATTACACTTAGTGCCCATACGGATCTTATTACATCAGTGCATCGGAAAAAAAAATCTTACTCCATCAATAGTATGTCTGAGACAGTCCAGACAAGTAACATGGCCATCGAGGAAATCACGAGCTTCATAGTTATATCAAACCTAAATGTGAGAAAATATATATATAAGAATTAATATGGTTAGTTAACAAGTACTAGTAAAGATTAATGGATAGGATTCAAGTAATATATGCTAAGGGTTATCGCAATCATCGACAAGTTGCAAAATACCACTGCGAAATAGAATTTAGCAATGGTATCTATGAATATGATTGCGGTAATACTTTGTATTGTCCCACTTACAATGGGTCCTCTCGCTTGATAGCTTCCGATTCTTTAAGATTCTTTATCAACGAGAGTAGCTTAAGCTTCTCTTCATCTTGCATTCTAAACAGCTCCTCTCCCTCCTCAGTTTGCCTTGGTGCTCTTGAAGATTCTTGCTTAGGCGAGGGACTCTGGGCAATAAAAAAATATATTTGAATTAAGGTACAACTTACAAGCAAGCAGTTTCTTTTTTACTTTTATGAGAACAAGTAATTTCCCACGAATAAGGATCATACTCCGTGCTAGCAATAAGAATCGTAAGAAGAGCTCCTGTCTAATTATGTCAAGATAACACAGGAAAACAAGATGGCTAGATAGACAAGAAAATGAACTGATTATCATAATTTAACCTATCGTGAGTACAGATGGGAGCACTAATTTTGGTTAATCTAAAAAAGAATCATTTATTTAGATCCAGTAAGAGAGAGAAGCATTTACCGTGCCACGTGACTCGGAAACACTGGAAGAGAAGAAACGATACGGGGTGAGCGGCGGCGGCGGCGGCGGCGTCAGGTGTTTCCGGCGGAGAAGGCCGCCATGGCTAAGCAACCTTGGCGGGATAACCGTGGCCGCCGGCTGGGGCTGAATCTTGGGTAGAGCGCGGAGGCCCATCCTACTCTTGCTCGCCAGAGACCGAAGAGCCGCTGCCGCCATGGTCGCTGGCGAAATCGATCTCCTCTGTCTATCGATCCCTAATCCCCCCTTTGTACTTCTGTGTTAACCGGAATAAGACTATGAGACATCTTAGAGTTGGACTTGGACTTGGGAGTCTTGGACACGAACATGTGGGCTGTGGCTGAGGCCTTCACCTCACCGTACAAAGGAATATAAGTTCACTTTGACTCCCAGTAACTGAATCGGATTCATATCCCTCTCCCTCTCTCTTTCTCTCCCCTTCGGCCTTCTGCAAGAGGCAGTCAGTAGTGACGGCGGGAGGGTGGGCACCGGAGCGGCGGCGGCGGCTTGGGTGGGGAATCTTGGATTGCTCCGCCTAGAAATTTCCCCAGCAAAAATCAAAGCAACAGAGTCAAAATCGAAGCAGTACAAGCAAACAGATGAAGCAGAGAAGGGTCACGTCCTCACGTCGGTGAGCCCTGGAATTGAAGAGCAAGCAAATCAAGGCAGAAGGAGGCACACCTTGAGCTCAACGTTGAGGACACAGCAGAGCAGATGGCAGATCGTAGAGGCGCATCTGGTTGTCGCAACTTGGTTCATGGACCCCTCGACCTGGAACCCAGCACAATCAAGCAAAGCAAGCCAAAATCAGAGCGTTGGCCCTCGCCGCACGCCGCAGGAGAGAGAGAGGGAGGGGGGAGGGGCTCTGCCGCTCGCTGCCGTCTCCGCTTGCCCACCGCCGCTCTGGCCCTTGCCGCCGCTCGCCGCCGTCTTCGCTTGCCCGCGCCGCTCCGGCCCTCGTCGCACGCCGCGGGAGAAAGAGAGGGAGGGGCTCCACCGCTCGCCGCCATCTCCGGTTGCCCACGCCGCTCTGGCCCTCGCCGCCACCTGCGGGAGAAGGGACCGGAGGGAGGGGGAGAGAGATAAGAGAGAGACGGCGCCACAATATGCGAATGACATTGGGGTCCCACACATATTTTTTTTATCCACCTAGGCGTCACGGCAACGCCATGTGAAACGAAGACCAGGTCAATAACACCAGTAAACGCCACATCAGCGAAACCATTCTCCAAAATCACCAATGGAGTCAAATTGCATCGGTATTAATATTTGGGGATCGAGATATCTGATATTGTGGTTGAGGGATATGAATCAAATTTGATCAGGGAGTTAAAGTGAACTTAGGGCCTGTTCACTTTGATGCCATTTTCAACCTTACAAAATTTTGGTAAAGTTATCAAAAAAGTGGCTACATTTAGTTTGCTGCCAAATTTTGGTAACTATATAAGAAATCCTGCCAAAATTTTGGTAAGTTGCCAAAATTGTGGTAAGGTTTTTTTGGCATCAAAGTGAACAGGCCCTTAGACTGTGTTCGGATGTCTGAGTTCCCAACTCTAACAGTGTGCACGGAAAACGGAGCGGTCTATTAGCGCGTGATTAATTAAGTATTAGCTATTTTTTTCAAAAATAGATCAATATGATTTTTTAAGCAACTTACCTATAGAAACTTTTTATAAAAAATGCATCGTTTAACAGTTTGAAAAGCGTGCGCGCGAAAAACGAGAGGAGAGTGTTGGGAACTTGGAGTTTTAACACAACCTTATTCCGCCGTACAAAAGTGGAGAGGGAGAGAAAGAAGGTACGCAGTAGCAGCTCGCTTCCTCCCCTCTGGTTGATCTTCTACCCTTCGGTCGGCCGAATCAGCAAGCGGGAAGGCTGGGGCTTGCTCGATCCCAAAGCCCTAGCCTCCTCGTCGGCAGATGCAAAGGTTTCTGGGTGGATTCGTCGGCGGCGATGCGCGTGAGGAGGCAGTGAGGTGGATGGTGGAGGCGGGGGATAGATGAGCGGATGTGGGGGATTGAGACTCTGATGAGCAGAACTGAGGTGTGGCAACGGGCAATCGGATCCAGAACAAAACGGGTCCAAACCCAAATCAAGTTGCGGGCCCGATAATAGTTGCACGAATCATGGAGCGATCTACTTCCTCCGTTTCACAATGTAAGTCATTCTAGCATTTTACACATTCATATTGATTTTAGTGAATCTAGATAAATATATATGTCTAGATTCATTAATATCAATATAAATATGGGAAATGCTAGAATAACTTACATTGTGAAACGGAGGGAGTAGTGGTTAGGAATTCAGCTGAAAAAACAAAAAAAAATCAGCAAGGTGTTACGTAGCAAATCCTTAAAATTTTTATTAATAAATTACTTTTCGTTTGCAAATATGTTAAGCCAAACGATTGGGTCCACGAAGCGTACATTTTTTCCTCCCCAACATACTAGGAAGGAGCTTTGGTTTGGTTCGGTTTGTTATTAGGAAGGAGATATTTTTATTATTATATATACTTCCGTCATTCCATATTGAAAAAAAAAAAGAGGGAGCGATGATGTGGACACACTGACATACTCCATTGTTAACGACCAAATCCCTCCTCTTCCCATCTCTCCTCCTCCTCTCTTCTCCCTTACTCGGTTACTCTCTCTCATTCTTCTTTGGGCAGGCCGGCCCACGGGCACGAGGCGGGAGAAAGGGAGGGCGGCCGGCCGGCGATGGCCGACGCGGGAGAAGGCGAGACGATGGCTCCTCCTACCGCGGGCGCGAGGCGGGAGAGAGGGAGGGTGGCCGGTGGCGGCCGATGCTGGGGCGACGGCGGCCGGTGATGGCCGACGCGGGAGAAGGGGAGACGATGGGTCCTCCTACCGCGGGCGCGAGGCGGGAGAGAGGGAGGGCGGCCGGTGGCGGCGCCGGCCGACGCTGGGCCGGCGATGGCGGCCGACGCTGGGGCGAACTTCGCAAGCAGACGCACGGCCCCACACAGGCACGACTCCTCCCTTGTCGCGAACTTCGCAAGCAGACGCAGGCACTAGCGAGCGGCAGCGGCGAGTGAGCCCTTGTTGGCCTGTTCTGCTGCCCCCATCCTCTGCAACCTGCAGCTTTTCTTGAGCGGCACTTGTTTAAGGGAGTGTTTGGGAACTAGGGACTAAATTTAGGCCTCTCATAAAAATATAAATCCCTACCATAAAGACTTATTCTTTTATAAGAGGGACTAAAATTTAGCCCCACTTTAGTCCCTCTAACCAAACACCGCCTCAATATTGTTTATGCATCGGGTGTCATGTGCTAAAACAAGCTAGACTGCTGTTGTGCTTCTGCAAACAAGGAATCGCCCAACAGTAGCAAGAAAGAATGGTTGGAGATGCTTTGCTACTGGGTTTCCTTCCGACACTGTAGCGGAGCTCAATAATGTCAGGGATTTGAGCTGATGAGCTTTATCTCTGCCCTGAATGTTTCCTTTTGCAGCTATGGTTTTGGACTTTTGGTGTTACTGACGTGAACATGTTAAATGTATGTTTGTGGCTTGGTGAACCTGCTTAATGGCTGCTATAAAACCGTTTTGTTCTTTTCATTTGGTGTTACTGATATGAAGCTAACTGTAACTGAGTATGATGTACAAATACAAGCTAGCAGCCTAGCAAAGCTTGATCGATAGCAATGGCGGCGAAGGCGATCGACTGCCCGCCAGCGCCGAGGCCGACGCCGGCGTCGACGCCCAGCACCGGGTTGTCGTCGTGCCCACGCGACGCGCTGAAGCTGCGTGTGTGCGCCAACGTGCTTGGCCTCGTCAAGGCCAAGGTCGGCGCGGTGGCGCCGTACGAGCCCTGCTGCTCGCTGCTCGACGGCCTCGTCGACCTCGACGCCGTCGTCTGCCTCTGCACCCGGCCCTGCCTCCTCCTCCGCGCCCAGCACCGCGGCGCCCGCCCGCGCTGGGCCGCTTCGCCGCCGGCGGCGACTCAGCGCCGTCGACGCCATTCGAGACCGGCCGCCGCCCTCGCCTTCTCCCGCGTCACAGCCGCCGCCGCCGCCGCCTCCTCCTCTCCCGCCTCGCCCCGACAGCCTCTTCCCAGCCGCCAGCCGGCTTTGCCCAGAGAAGATAAGAGAAGAGAAGAGTGAGAGAGAGAAAGAGGAGGAAGGGAGAGGAGGGGAGAGAGAGAGAGGAGGTGATGATGTGGCATCCTGACACATGGGGTCATGTGTTCTACGCTGACTTAGCTGTCACGCAGGATAAAACCGGGTCAAAACCACCGAATAAGATATTATGATCGGTTTTGATTAGTTAAGTGACATCGGATATTTGGTTTTGCTGTTTGGGGATGAATTTGTAACTCGATGATAAGTTGAGGGATCTTCTGTGTACTTTTTCCTTCCATATCATTATCTAAGCAAATAGTGTATAGAGATAAAAAAAAACAATTAAATCTTAGTCGTTCTGAAATAATCCTCGTCGGTCCATACTGCATGATGATCGGAGTGCCAATGGAGTCGCGAATGAACGATGTCGTGATAGAGGAAACTACATGCCACGGACAGGTAGGACTCCATCGTTTAGGTTATCGAGGGAATAAGCGTAATGACATATTTATAACTAGAAAATAATTTACTCTTCCATATACACCTTCTATACACCTACACCTAGGTGTATGTATTCCATTTATTAGTGGATGATCCATTAGCATTAAATTAGCCATGAAAAAGAATAAAATTATTAATTTCCAAATCACCGCATGCATATGGCCTAGCTGCCCAGCGGATTTGGTGCAAATTTGAACAAGGGCGTTGGCATGCATTTGCTTTCAAATTTGATAACGTACCATAGTTATACCCGTTTTTTTGACAAATTGACCCTTTTGGAAAACTTATTTCGAAACTAACCCCTGCCAAAAACTTCAACCAAAAATAGGCCGTCGCCTCAGCGCCAAACACATTGGCGCTGACGTTGGCCGTGTCAGCGCCAACGGGACTGGCGCTGACATTGTGCCACCGTGGCGGCCGGGCCGATCCCCAGCTGACGTGGCAGCTACCTCAGCGCCAACCGGACTGGCGCTGAGGTGGGACTTGGCCGCAACCCCCAAGGCCTAGACCAGCAAGGCTTCTGGATGGCTTGCGGGCTTGGACCTCAGCGCCAGCCATAATGGCGCTGACCGTGGGACACTCAGCGCCAGCCCACAAGGCCCAGACCAGCAAGCCTGCTGGATGGCTTGCGGGCTGGGACCTCAGCGCCAGCCATAATGGCGCTGACCGTGGGACACTCAGCGCCAGGTGGGCCTTGGCCGTTTCGAGCCTTCTGGATGGCTTGCGGGCTGGGACCTCAGCGCCATCCATAATGGCGCTGACTGTGGGAAACTCAGCGCCAGCCCACCTGGCGTTGAGGTTGGACTTGGCCGTTTCGGCCGTGGCCCAGCTCAGCAAGCCTTCTGGATGGCTGGGCTGGGACCTCAGCGCCAGGTGCACTGGCGCTGAGTTTGGACATGTCAGCGCCATTTAGCATGGCGCTGACGTCCCAGCCCTGCTAAACTTTAGCAAAACTTTGCACACAACATAGGCAAACATCAAATCACAGAAATTTACAGGCAGTAATATATCCAGAGAACCATACAAAACATACATCCATCCATCAATCCCAACATCATTCCATACATCCATAGAATCCATCAATACATCCATGTCGGTGACATGGGACCGGGAGTATCATGACTAGAGGCTTGAGGCAGACACAATCGCCCACGTGGCCTGGCACCCTCGGGGGACGTCGGGCCCGAGGGTGATGTGTGCGCCCACCTCTTGGTCTCCCCGAGGGGGGGTCGGACCACTCCTTCCTCGCCCCCGAGGGCCGAGGCGCCCCGACCCCTCGCGTTTCTACTCCACGTGTATGAGTTAGGTGAGCACAGCGGGGCTCACCTAACCGCATTTATTGCGCCGCGGCTAAGCGTGTCACGCCACACGAAGTGCAGTGCAGTGCACTCGATTATCCGGTCTGTGACCAGTCACAGACCGGTCAAATCGCGGGTTAGGTGGCGACAGGCGGTCTGACGCACGCTTCGCCCCGTCCCGTCAAGACGAGAGCTTCTAGGCACTCGTCCCCGGCTGGAGCTAGCGTGTTACATCCCAGAGATGACACGTTAGCCCCGATCAATATATGCCAGGCTTCATCCTAACCATTACAAGCAAGATGTTGTTTGAAGAAGGGCGAACATGCATGTTGCTAAGCCAACGCGTGGTGGACAAGAATGACCGATTTGTGACTGGTCTGACACTGCTCATGTCGTCAGCACACGGCCACCTTCCCACGATGTGCCTGTCTCAGGCAGAAGTGGAGGTAGGTGTGTGCCGTCCCGTCAGGAGGATGTTCGGAGGACGACCGTGCAAATCTCCGTCCATTTATGAAGAGAAGAAAAGTCCAGTTTGGAAAGGGAAAGGGGCATGTGGTATCCCCTTGAAATATAAAAGGAGGACCTGGCCCATAGAGAAGGGGGATGATCTTTTTCTAGATTGAGAACCTAGAACGAGGGTTGGATCTTTTACAGATTCGGGACCTAGAACAAGGGAGAGGTTGGCTCACACTTTGTAACTCCTTCATACACAAATCCACCAAAACACAGGAGTAGGGTATTACGCTTCTCAGCGGCCCGAACCTGTATACATCGTTCGTGTTTCGTGCTCTTTCGATAGCTGGCAATCTTTCCACATACAGAGAGAGCTTGGGATCATCACCCTGAGCCCCCGGCCGAACCGGCAAAGGGGGGCCCGTGCGGTCTCCCGGTGAGGAGCCCCGCGCTCCGTCAATCCATATATGAAGTCCATATATATAAGAAATAAAAACATCCCATCGATCCTCGTCTATACATCCAGTCGAGTCCATACATCCAGTCCATACATCCATCGAACCATGCATCAAGTCCATCCATCTATCCATCCATCCATTGAACCATGCACTCACCTCCTCCTACCTCTAGTGCGAGGACGAGGCACGTCGGGGGTGTACCTCCAGTCCTGCGAAGGAGCCCGCCGGCGTCGTGGTCGAGACGGGCCGGGCTGCGAGATATCCGGCTGTGACGACTCTGGTGCGTCCTCTAGCTGCGAGGGACCGAGCTCATCCGCCTCCTCTTCTCTGTCCTCATCCCCTTCTTCCTCCTCATCTCCTTCCTCCGCCTCTTTGTCTTGCTCGCCCTCCTCGTCACCCACCTCCCCTTCTTCATCCCCCTCTTGGTGGGCATGAGCATGTTCGACCACATCAGTCGACCTGCAGCCGAGCCTTGCTGCCAACTTCCGACATCGCTGCCGTAGTCTCTGCATAAAAAATAATCCATGTTAAGTTATCGCTTTTGGAAGAAAACACCGTAGTTTCATCTCTTTCCAACGATTACCTGTAGGGCGTTGCGGAGGGTGCCGCCCTCTCCTTCGGAGCCAGGAGCCGTGCCTAGCACCACTCCCGCGTCGTTGACGGTCCGCAAGAGCTCTCGAGCCTGTAGGATTGAAATGAAGTAAGTCACAACATATATGGCATTGAAATGAAATAATATACAACATTAATGCTAGAAACTAACCACTCTGTCGCGAACAGGTCCCGTCTCGACCGTGGTACCTAGACGGGTACGAGTATCGTACTCGTTCTGCTCCTCAACATCCTCGGGGTCATCCGCTATGTCGGCTAGTGTCCAAGCCGGACGTAGGACAAGACAAGACGGTAGGTCCTGTGGAGCCACGCCAAGTACAACTCGAACTCCGTCCCGTTGTGCTGACCCTGGTCTGGTACTCCATTCTCCTCGAACTTCTCCCATTGCGTGATATGATCCTGATGGTAGTAAGCCCAATCAGTCACCTTCTTGTTCTTCCGACGGTCCACCCTGCACGTATGCAAAATGTCCAACTCAAATATGTAGTAAATGTTGAAGTGACTGATTGGGCAAGCAAAATAAATTGTTAAGTGAAATTACTAACTTGTGTAGGTCGATACTCGTGGAGAAACGGTGCGGGATTGTTTGAAGCCTCCCGAATTGCCGCATCACGCGGTGGCACATCTGGAACTCCACTGCATAGAAGCAGATCAGTGGGCACCGTAGGGTCTTCAACGCATCCTCTATATGGCACATGGGATTCAGTTCTAGCTCGAGCACTTCCTGTGCCTGATATGGCATCCACACCACCTGCAGCAACAAAAATAAAACACATTGAAGCACATTTAGTACTATATAGTAAGAAACCATCTTCATGTGTGATAGAACCCCGAATAGCTTACATGTTCTGGCTGTAGGTAGTCCATCTCGTTTGTGTAGTGGTAGTACGCCAAATTCCTGCGGCCTACTACTGGAGATGGGACCGATTCCCACAGGTGAGCTACAGTGGGACATCGGTCTGCATCCTGGTGCGGCCAAGCCTGATGGGTCCTCCACATGGGCCGACCAACTGGAAGCCTCATCCACATCCAAACCTGCGTCACATACGTTAGCTTCCAACATGTTAGCAAGAAATTGAAATGTTATGAAACATAACATGCGTGAACTTACCTGTAGCAACCAAACACAGCCTGCTAGGTTCGCGTCCCCGCCTTGCCTTCGGCAAGCATCACAGAGTTGCCGGTACAACCAGGCTAGGGCAGCCGACCCCCAGCTGAAGGTACCCGCCTCGTCCCAGTCCGCGAGCAACGGCAGCCACATCCAAGAAGCCATGTCTCCACCAGAGTCAGGGAACAGAATACTGCCGAAGATGTACAGCACGTACGCCCTGCAGTATCGCTGTACTGTAGCCTCGTCTGCCTCAGCGGGACACTGACCGAAGTTGGCTCGCAACCAACTCAAAGGAACCCCTGATGTCTTCGTCTGCCTCTGACCATCAGGTGCCACTGGAGGCTCCAGACCAAGGTACTCCTCGACCCTCTCCCTCCAGTTCCCGACGCTGTGTCACCTGTAACCGGAAATTAAATGGAATCATTAGTAATTGCAAAAAAATTAACAAATGAATACGAAGACTCGTTAGTAATTCCCTGACGCTGTGTCACCTGTGACCGCCTGACCCCGGATAGGAAGACCCAGGATCATGGCGACGTCCTCCAGAGTGACCGTCAGCTCCCCGCACGGTAGGTGGAAGGTGTGTGTCTCTGGACGCCACCGGTCCACTAGGGCCGTCAGAGCAGCGGCGTTGTACAGAGGCACCGGTCGCTGCGCCATGGTCACGAACGCCAAGAGCTTCGCCCGCCGTAGGTACGGGACGTACCGGTCGTCGAACAGTATGTGCGCCGTGTGACCTCTGACTCGAAGGGTCTTCAAGCGCTGCATCAATAGACAAACATAATAACATAAAGTTAGCGACAATATATCATATACAAGGGTTGTGGAAAATACATCATGCAACTAGGAACTTTAATTTTGGGATTGAGCAAGAAAACTGAAAAGAAGATCTGTGTGTTTACATGCTCTGCTTTGAGGCTCCTGAACTTTGATTTGAGATATCTCTATGATGGATGATCTATCTGTACAAACTAAAATCAAAGAAGAAAAAATAAATTCGATCATAAAAAAAATGGAATATTGTTGATGCTAACCTCTCCGCTGGCAATCTGTGGGGCCCGGTGCTTCTCCTCGTAGAAATCCTCCAACCCCGGAAAGTGCTCCATCCTGCAAATGAAAATGGAATCATTAGTAATTGAAAAAATATTAAATGGAAAAATCACAATGAGAACGGAAAGGAGGACAACAGAAAGTAAACATTGAAGCAACAATATGAACTTAGCAAATGAATGTCATCCAATCCCACCTGTGTGCTACCCTCACCACCTCCCCCCGTCCTACGGCGCTTTTTCGGTCGATCCTTAGACTTGTCTCGCTTCGGGCACCTAGTTTTCTTATGGCCTAGTTCGTGGCATAGCGAGCATCTATTTTGCATGACCGGCTCTGAATTTGTATTGTTCGGCTTTTGTGACCGTCGGTTGGCTGAGCCTTTGTATGCTTTGTCCATATCGTTCTTGAACCTTCTTGTCCTTCTTCTTCCTCGTGTGTTGTTCTTTAACGACAAGTCGGGCACGAAGAACTCTCCATCATAACTTGGCCACTGCGATGGATCTAGGTAAGGTTCAAACCTAGGGGAGTACGAGTCCTGCACAGCCTTATTGGAAGCTTCATAACACATTCGGGGGGCCACCTCCACATCCAAACCTCGCAACTTACAAACGGTTATCATGTGGGAGCATGGCAAGTGATGGAGCTGAGGGAACTGACAACTACATGTGTTATCTCTCGCAACCACGACGTAGTGACGTCCACCCCATTGAACCCCAGCCGCCGTGACTCCGCCTTGCTCGCTGACCTCATATCTTCATCGAAGGGAAATCAAAACATGCTGCTCTTTGCCCCAAGGTTCGTCTTTGCTGCTCCTCCAACATGTCCTTAACTTTTGTGGGCCACTTCTTTCCACACAGGATATCTACAGTTGCCTCTTTGTGTCTATCGACAAACCAACTATTGCACTTCGAAAATGTGTATGCCACAATAGCTGTAACCGGCAGTTTCCGAATGCCTCTCAATACATTATTGAAACTCTCGGCCATATTACTAGTCATGATGCTATGACGACGCCCGTTGGTATCAAATGCTCTTGCCCATTTGACCTTAAGTGGCATATGGTCTTCTAGCCACTTCTTTGGCCTCTCTCCGACCACACCCATGAGGCGTTTTATCTCATCTAGGAACAATGCTTTCTCATCTATTTGACATATGCGCTCAAGATCTTTCATCTGATCAGTCGTAGCTCCAGCTGTGTAGAAGTTAGCACAGAAGTGCCTCATGCACCACCTGTGGTGAATGGTTAGGTGATGAGGCATGATGTGGATGATGGAGTTCAAAATGCCAGGGTGTCTATCAGAAATTATACACACTTCTCTATTAGGACCGATCAACTTGTTTCTCAACATGTTGATGAACCACTCCCAGTTGGATGTATTCTCCTTCTCTACCAGAGCAAACGCCAAGGGAACAAGATGTAACCCGGCGTCGACCCCTATTGCCGTGAGCAATGTACCTTGGTATTTACCGGTTAAGAAAGTGCCATCAATTGCTAGCACCGGCCTCAAGTGCTTGAATGCTTCTATGGACTGGCCAAATATCCAATATGCACGTCCAAATACTCGCCTCTGTACTCCATCCACCATCCTGGACTTCTCGGGATGAGCCTCAACACGGAAATGCATGGTAGGGTTCTTTGCTTTGATGGCACGCATCAGTGTAGGCAAGCGAACATACGCCTCGTCCCAATCTCCCCAAATGACCTTCATAGCAACTTGCTTAGCACGCCATGCTTTGCCATACGTAGGCCAATAGTGCCATATTTGCTCAACTGCCTCGACAATCGCTGCTGGAGATAAAGTTGGTTCAGCTCGCACAAATGCCTGTAACCTGTTTCCAATAAACCTTGAAGTAAGTTGCAAATGCTTGCCGGTTACTTCCGCACTACAGCATGTGTGGTCTTCGCCCACCCTAGTCACCCGCCACCTATCTCCTCCACTCTTCCTTGCATTAATCTGCCATTTGCAATGGCGATCGAGACAAGCCACAGTATACTTTACTGACGCGTTAGATTCCTTCACATGGTACGGCCGGTGGACACGGATAGAATAACTCTGTAGCCATATTTTCAGATCATCCATCGATCGAAACTCCAACCCCTTCCTTGGTTCATCACACATTGGTTCGAAGGCACCGTCATATTGTGGATCCCCATCAGCAATTGCTAGCCCAGATCTGGTAAGATCCTCGAATTGTGTTATTTCCGGGTTTCTACCCACCAGTTTCGCAAACACAGTCCTTTCATGCTCTGACATCTTACGCACTGGACGATCATCATCGGAGTCGGAAGCGGACTCATCCAATTCATCCTCTGTATCATACTCCAACCAGCCTGGGTTCAATCCACTGCGTATCATAGCCTCCTCACACTCCTCTCGGGTATAGAATTTCAGCCTAGCCAACTCCCTTAGGCCCATACTTACATTCTTAGCATTCGCTTCTTCCTCAGGCAACTCCACATCATCTCCTACCTCCCGACCATCCTCAACATCTCCTTCCTCTCTTACCGGCACATTCTCCTCCACATTAACTTCCTCCCTTAACGGCACATTGTCCTCTGCATGTACTTCTTCCCTTAACGGCACATTCTCCTCTGCATGTACTTCCTCCCTTACCGGGTCATTCTCTTCCCTGACCTCCACATCCGCCATATCATTTACTCCCTCGCCCCCCTCCACGTCTTCCTCAATCAATTCTTCCTTCCTACTACACCTCTCCGACAGTTCGTGACAGCTAATGGGTGATTCTATGAGTGGACTTTCATTAAGGTCTATAAGTTCTTTCTTCCCTATCCTACCATCTTTCTTCCATGCAAACACCTCAAGAGATTTGAAATGTGACCCCAATACTATATCTATATATGTTTGCCATTCGATCTCTCCATTCAAGTCTAACATAAATTTATGTGACATGACACCGCCGCCCACATCGTATCTCCCTTGCATACCAACCGACTCATCATTCCAATCCAATTCATGCTTGATGCGAGACATTAACTCCTCAAAGGTAGGCTTCGCAAAAAACACTAATTGTCTAACTGTCATTCCCTCAAATTGGCTTCCATGTGTACTTTCATCTACCACACAACCACCATAATGAAGCCGGACCAATCTATCCATCTACAATTTTTAACCCATGCATAAACATTAATTACTTGAAAATAATATGTAATTACCATTGCAATACCAATACTTCAAAAGCTAACAACATGTCTAATTTTTCCAATAAATAAGTACATTACTCAAATACTACACATTATTGATAAAAAAAAACTCTACTCCTACAAATTACCTACCCTTCACCACACATCAACCCCTTTCAAACCCTCTCAATCACCACAAATCCATCCCACATCCTAGGCCATCACCACACATCCATCTCCCATCAAACCCTAGTGCATCACCAAACATCCATCCCAAATATATTTTGTCAAATGTATCAATAACAACCAAATGGATAAAGATATGCCACCTCCACATTTCATCCCCACCCATATTATCCATCTAATAATCCATCCTTAGCCAACTATTATCAAACCACGTCTACAACCAAAACAATGCAAAATATCCAATAAAACTTTGGGGAACTTAGGGTTTATAGAGGGGTTTACCTTCTCTTCCGATCCCAAACTCAATGCCGCACAAATCACCTTCGATTAGAGAGGTTTTTGGGGGAGATTGGGCGAGGAGAACGTGGTGGCGACCGAACCCTAGGCGGGCGGCTGGGGAAAAAACGGAGGAAGAACTGGCTGGGGCGGCCTCGGCCGGGCTCTAAGTAGCCAAGGTCAGCGCCAACTTACTTGGCGCTGAGGTTGGGCACCTCAGCGCCGAAGCGGTTGGCGCTGAGGTAGCTGCCACGTCAGCTAGGGGATCGGCCCGGCCGCCACGGTGGCACAATGTCAGCGCCAGTCCCGTTGGCGCTGACACGGCCAACCTCAGCGCCAATGCGCTTGGCGCTGAGCCGACGGCCTAGTTTTGGTTGAAGTTTTTGGCAGGGGTTAGTTTCAAATTAAGTTTTTGAAAAGGGTCAATTTGTCAAAAAAACGGTAGTTATACTCTCTTTTCTAGTAAGCAACAGTATATACTGTTTTTTAGGCCAGTATATACACTCTTTGTAGTGATGAGCAGTAATATATATATACTAGTTTTTTTTTGTGTATTAGCAGTACATGGTAAGGATTACCTTATATTTTTGTTGTAGCAGTGTATACTTATTTTTGTTAGCAGTCGTATATACTTACTTCAGAATTAACTAGTATATATACTGATTATTTCTTTTTTTAATGGTACGTGCAGTATATACTGTTAGAACGACTGAATGAGTAGTATATACTGATTTTTCTTGGAATGAGTATATCCTGATTTTTTTGGAACGAGTGAGTATATACTGAATTTTTTTTGGGAATGATTAGAGAAATCCGATTATAAACATTGTAGTATATACTTTTCCCCACTTAGTAGTAGTAGTATAAACTTTACTCGTTTTACTTAATTAGAGCAGCACATACTAATTTTCTTTTGGTTCAGTATATACTGATTTATTCTCCGAAAGAGTATGTACTGGTTTCTTTCCCAAAGTATATATATGAATGTACATATGTACTGCTTTCTGCATACTCTAGTAGCAATGTAGTATATATAGTATGTTCACATACTCTTATAAGTATATACTGTTTACTGTTTATTGGAACAGTATGTACTGTTTTGTTACCAGTATATGCTACTTATTCCTTTGAACAGTAACTGTTTTCTTGAATTTTCTGGCCAGTATATACTACATTAGTATTGACGGAGCATATACTAGTGTTTTCTTAATTTGGTCAGTATATGCTGCTATACTTTTGTTCGGTCACTATATACTGCATCTCATCGCTAAAGGAGATAATACTGCTTTCTTGTTTGCTCAGTATCTGCATATACTACTCTTTTTTTCTTCAGTATATATATGATGCATATACTGCTTAAATAAGTATATACACTATTTCTTAGATTTAGTAGTATGTACCACTATTACTTAGATAAACCATATATAGCTTTTCATGTGTGCAGTATTATATGCTTTTTCACGAGAAAAATTTAGAAGTATGATACAAAATTCATCTACAAATACAAAAAACAAGAGGTATATATGAGCTCATGCTCACATGATTCAAAATCAACTAGTCGATCGAAAAATAAAGAAAAAAGAAATAAGAGGTAGATATATATATTGCTAAAAAATTCAGAATCTATTCAGTTCTCTGGGAGGTTGGAACAAATGCCTTAGGTGTCGCCTCTGATTTTTGGCAGATCGATATTAGCTCTGAACCTGAAATCAAATAACCATAGGACATGGTGCAGTACGCGTTTCTACCGGGCGTTGCGGCCGTGATTCATTGACTAGACACCATCGTCGATCGAGGATCCGTGTGAGCAGCTGCCATCGTTGGACGGTTTGCCTCCAGGTTACGGCCGGAAGCCCGGAAACCTCTGCCATGATTGATACGGTTCTTGTACGCCTGGCTCACTGCAAAAGGGGGAAAGGATAGCAGAGATTTAGAAGCGATCATGAATCAGAATATCTGGAATCAGAATATATATCTAGCAGTCAAACTTCAAGGATTGGTACCAACAATGAGGAGGACGATCGGCCGATGAACCACCACGCCGTCGTCGCCGGATTGCCAGTAGCCACCGCGCCTCGCGTCGTGGCCGAATCGCCGATGGATCGTGCCGGCGTTGCGGCCGAATCGCCGATGGATCGCGCCATGGCCGCACGCCGCCGCGTCTGTATCGCGAGAGATATGTGTCACTTTAGTGAGAAAAAAATCGGCGATGGTTAGTTAAATTATCCCTGAATAATTATGGATTAAATCTTATTCAAAATATTAACGGGCCAGTGCAGCTATACCCGTTAGGGGGAGGTTCGATCGGGTAGATCGCTGGTTGAATGGATGGACGGTAGATGGGAGCAGGTGTACTTACTCCCAGATTCATTTTCTCTCACTCTCTCTCTCTCTCTCTATATATATATATATATATATATATATATGTTCATGTGTGTGTATGATGAAAACTCCAATATTAACTCTAAATTTAAAGTTAAAAATTTAAATTTTGGCTTATACGTGTTAGTACAAGCCAAAAAGATAAGGCTAGTAAGCACACCATAATCTACACAGAGATCTCGTCCGTGTCGTCAACGGTTTGTTACTTGAGCTGTAATAAATAAATATATTCTACGGGAGACTTTTATGTGCTTGGAATATATGAGATCCGTTGATCACTTCTATGTGCGTCCGAATGACTCACACAACTGACATCAATGAAAATTAATCTTTGAGAAAAAAAAGATCAAAACAGTAATTATTTGTAGGTTTAAATGTTTAATCCCTGTAAATTGGCGCACCTATATACTCCGACTGCAGATCTAATAGAAAATCATATACTCCCTCCATATCATATTATAAAAGTCTTTTTGACTTTTGTTCCTAGTCAAAATTATTTAGATTTGACTAAATTTATAAAAAAATTTAGCAACATCTACAATACCAAATTAGTTTTATTAAATATAATATTGAATATATTTTGATAGTATGTTTGTTTCGTATTGAAAATGTTGCTATATGTTTCTCTAAATTTTAAGTTTTAAGTTTTAACCAAATTTAGAGAAACATATAGCAACATTTTCAACATTTTCGAACTTAAAAAAAGTTTAACTGAAAGAAAAAATTAAAGTGACACATGGTATGAAACCGAGGGAGTACATTCTAATTAAGTTCGAAAGAGGGGAAAAAAAACTCATTGTCGACATATTGAAGAAAAAAAAAGCAGCTGAAATATCGTTTTTGACAAATATAAATGCAGCAGCAGTAGATGCAAATAGCAAAAGTATACGGATGTACTGAATAAGAAGATGAATTGAGCTGGGAAAATTGATGAGTATAGCCACTCGTAAAAATCCTTCCTTACATGCAGATCGTGTACCCCATCGATCTAAATCCCTTTATGACCACACACAAACTGTCATAGAAACTAACCAAACAACGAGATTTGACAACCACCAAGGCACCAAGTGACCAGACAATCTGCTCCGAGTGACGATCATCGTTTTCTCAGTTCGAGTGATAATCCAGAGTCTGCGGAGAAGAGTAAGATCAAGCTTCAATAAGCACTCCAGCAAGAAAATTAAGAACCAGAACAAAAGTTTAACACAATGATCTACCAGTATGAAGATCTATTTGAAATAGAATGGCTATAGAGCTTCAATCATATTAAATCGAATGCATGTATATTAAGCTATTAACCAACAAAATGGTGGCATAAAAAGACAAGGAACTACTTTTTCCCATCCTATCTAGTACTTCCATAGTAGCTGTTGCAATGGACTCATAAACAAAATCACCATATTTAACAGAATAATATGGACTTCTTACCGCCCGTACCTATTTGCCATCGATTCTGGACCTCATGAGGGCCTCCAGCAATGTTAGGCAGTAATACTCCGACCACACATCAGGACGAGCCTTGCATTTCTGGAATGCAACCACTGAATCTGCCCTAAATTGAGCAGACTTAGCAAGCTCTGAGGCGATCTCCTTCTGCATCGCGTTGGCTGCTGCTTCAATCTCCAGCTTTACTTCAGCACGAAACTTGATCATATCCTGCTTGAGGTTAGTCTCCATCTTCTTCATCTTGTAATGAAGAGCAAGGTGGAGAGTCAAGCAAGCAAGTCCTAGGAGCATAACATACTTTTTCCTGTTCCAAAAAATCCAGTCACATGAACTATCTACGACTAAAGTTCAAAAGGAAGAAGGGGGAAAGAGTTGCGGACTTACATAGGTGGGATGTCCTGGAACTTCGTCTTCCAGCCTTTGAAAGCTGCATGGAGAACCAAAGCCATATCCTGCATTTAACAGAACATTAATGCGCATAAACAGACCTTTGTGGAAAAATAAAGCATGTAGAGCTTTTCTTTTACCTTGAGAATCCCCATGTCCTCGAAGGAGTTTGTAAAGAAGGCCCTTCGATATCCCCTTGGCGCAGACGTAGAGAAACTACAGATTCCAGCCCCAATCGCCTACCACGGTAGAAAATAAAAGCATTTTAGATGCATGCGGGATGCACGGCCCTCAGCTTGAAGAGGCAGAGAAAGAAGAGATAATTACCCTAGCATTGCTGAGACTAGAGCATATGTTTCCGGCAACCTTCTTGGTAATAGTGTCTTCGACCTAAAAACACAGCAGTTAGAAAGAGTTAACATTAGGAGAAGAGGAGACAAAAGGACAAGTTGCGGCACCCCCAGCTAGTTCAAAAGCAATAATGTGTTACCATAGTCATCAGCAGAAGCTTATGCGGATTAATACATATGGTCTTTTCCTTCATGAGAGAGTGATAGTACTGCAAAAAAAAAAAAAACATAACAGTGCAATGTCATGAATACAGACAACTATTCTTTCAAACCTCACAAGACAGTGAAAAACCAGATTTACTGGATGAGTTGAAATCCCTAAAACCACCACCACCAACACATTGACGATTTTGGGGGATTTCAACCTAATCTATGAGAGAGGAGCCAAAAAGGAAGCCAAATTTCATTTCTGGATCAAGGTAAATGGTTTCAAGCAAGTAATACAGGAAGCATGGAACAAGGCTGTACAAACTGATCATCCAGTAAACAAGATGCTCAACAGCACTGCAAAGGCCCTGAGAATTTGAAGCACAACACAATTTGGCCAACTACAAGCTTCGGTTCATATAGAGGCTAGCTAGGCCTTGCACAACAAACAAGATTGCTGAGTCCTGAAGAAAAGGTATATATACAGGAAATATTTAAAAGCCAGGACCCTAGTACTAGTAGCAGTGCCCAGGGCAATGAAAAAGCAATCAACAAGAATTTCATGGCTCAAACAGGGGACGCAAACACATAGATTTTCCACACAAGAGCTACAGCCAGGCCTAGGAAGAACCACATAAAGCACAATGGGAGACAGTATTAGTATACACATGGCAAGACACAGCAAGACAAGTCAAAAAGCTATTGACGATCACTTTCAACAGATTTTGGGGAGAAGGTTTACAGATCATGCACAATAAACGATCACTTTCAATAGATTTTGGGGAGAAGGTTTACAGATCATGCACAATAAATAAGTTGGGACCTGATTCACATGAGATGAGCAGACTCCAAACAACAGACAACAAACATGGATGAGGTTTTCGGCGATATTGTGACAATGTGACCAAACAATCAAATGATTTCATATTAGGTTCTCACCCTCGTGGATCCAGGAAGAAGGAAGCGGTGGAACATGGCAAAGTTCAAAGGCGGAGAAGGGCAGAACAGCTGCACAAACAAGAGAAACTCGTAAAGTGAGAGAAACCGAGATGGGGAAGACGGATCGAGACATGCAACGCGAGATCCGGCGCCACGCGTGCACCTCGGAACCCCTCCTCTTCCCGGCTGTCGCGATCACCTTCACAAACACAAGAGGAGGAACAGAATAAGTGAGAAGAGACCGAGACGGGGGCGGCGGTCGTGATCAGCTTCACAAACACAAGAGGAGGAACAAAATAAGTGAGAGAGACCGAGACGGGGAGAGATAATAAACCTCGGAGCCCGCAGCCATCTTGAGCACCTTCTTCGCCGCCGCCGCCGCCGCCTTCGCCATGGTGAGCTCTCACGACGGAATCGAGGCCTTGGACTTGGGAGAGAGAGACGAAGTGTGGACTTGGGCGAGAGAGAGAGACGAAGTGGAGGGGTGTTTGGTGATGCGGATTAAACCCCAGTTCTACTTGAGTCACCCGAACCCAAGTACCCAACCCAACCCCATCGCGGCGTCTGGATTTTTTTTACTTTTAGGTCCCTTTTGAAAACCTATTTTATAAATAAACCTTTTAAAAAACTTATCCTAAGAATGTTACCCTTTTCGCGGCCCAACGGGAAGGGTCAATTCTTGAAATAAGTATTTTAGGGATCTATTTGAAAAATAATTTTTCAGAAAGGTCTAAAATGTAAAAAAATCCGGTCTCCTCGCCTCTCTTTCCAACCCACTCACTCTCCTTCTTCCTCCTCTAAACCCTAAAACCACACGGTTCCTGCTCCCTCACCCATCGGAAGCGGCGGCGGCGGCGGTGGTGGGCATGGGCGCCTTGGCGGCGGCGACGTCGTCGGCGATCTGGCTCGTCGAGGACGACATCCTCCTCAAGAACGCCGTCGAGGTAGACGATCCCCCCCTCCCCTCTCTCGCCCCGGTCCCTTACAATTCGGGGCGGCTCGAAGTCTGTTCGTCTCGCCGCGTCGCTTAGGTTAGGCTTCGATTGGAGAGTTCGGGCTTCGTTCTTAAGTTGTTTATGGCGGAGGTCGACGGAGCCATTTTTCTTTCTTTAAATTTTTTGTCATGATAGTCAGGTCGTCAGGGTTTAACACTTTAACCCTCGGCCTTGCGAAATTGCTCAGCTGTTAGTCCGTATCTAATTTGGGTGGTTATTCCCTGTGCGGAGTCCTGAACACCGTTGTACTGAATCGCTTTGTTGGGGAATCAAAATCTTGAAGCAGCATAGGGATTTGTTTTCATAGCAGTTCAGTGGCTCTGCTATCATCTAGCCAAGAATTTAATGTGGCGCGTGTGCAACCGGGTCAGGTTTGCAGGACACACACCACCGGGTGCAATTTCTATTGACCCCACACAGAGACCAGTCGCTTGACATTTTGCTTGGGAGAAATTTGCATACTCAGTGTCTGCAGGTAGATCCTATGTGGTGGAGGAAATAATAATGAGTGTTATATTCCTCTGCAAGAGTTTTTGACCGTTTTATTTGAATTTATTTTCAATAAATAAAGCAAATTGTTTAGGTCTTGTATGCACCTACCATGGTGTGATTGATCTATAGTTTTTGTACAAGACTGCCCTGATTAATCTATTTAATCCCATGCGTTGGTACCTGTAATTATATGAACACATTCCATATAGTGCCATGCCAAATTCTGTGATTAACTAGCTTTGCAACTCAAGACAATGAATACTGTTTTATCTTACATGGCAACTTGACCTTGTAATCATAGTAAGTGGGCTTATCATATTAACATTATTATGCCTATCTATGAAGTATGCGAGATATTTAGTACTCCAATCCTGAGTTAGTCATGTTGAATACTAGGGATTTGTTCAGGAAAATTTGATCTGAAGTTAGTTAATCTCCAGTCTGCAGGGTCAGGCAAACCTTATCTGTGAGACATTCTTCATATAAGTTTTAAGTGTCTAGCTGCATATTCGTTCTGAATTCTGATGTTGTGAATGGTTCCCCATCTCTTCCTAACTGATTGTTATGATACTTGTAGACTGGTGCCTCATTGGAGGCCTTGGCAAAAGGAGCCGTATGTTTCTCCCGTAAATTCACTCTTAAAGAAATACAGGATCGTTGGAATTCTCTGCTATATGACCCAGAGATCTCAACACAAGCTTCTGCTCGTATGGTTGAGTATGAGAATGATCTTTCCACTTCCAATCCTCTGAAGGCTAAAGTTATCAACGCAAAGCAAAAGGATTTGTCATTCCAGAAACGGAAAATAGATAGTGTGAAGAATCAATATTATGCGATGAGAAAGAGAGTCCGCAATGAACCATGTAGTACTGTCGACCTTGGTTTTCTTATTGACCCTTGTTCATGTACAATGAATGGCGGGCAGTGTGTATGTGGAGGCCTAGATAAACATTCACAAGGTCACCATGTGGTTCATAATACAGAACCAGGGGTAAGTACAATGAACTGCTTTGGGCAACAGGATGGAAGTTACAATGGTGGACAAACTATGTTTGTTGGAATGAATGGACATTCTTTCCCTGCAAAGCATGCTGAGACTGATAGCATGGTTAAAGGTGGAGATATTGCTAATAGTGTCCCGTATGGCTATTCTGATGTAAGTCAAATATATGAGCAAGATGCATACACGCGAAAGGACCCTGATACTAATGAAGGGAACAATGTTTCTTTAAAGGGTATAACAGATTTTCAGGGTTCCATGCAGTTCCAGAATCTGGGCTCTAGCAATCAATGTGGCAGCAAAGTAACAGAATCAAAGACAATAGTGATTGCTGATCACTGTGGAGTTGAACATGTCCATTTCCCTGTGAACAGCAGTTCAAGAATGCAAGAACCTGGCTCACTCCAGGTGATTGGCCAACCAGAGGGTTCTCAAACACCAGTTGGTTCAATCTGGACTGAGGTTGACGAAAGAGGCACATTTACTCTTGACGATGATAAGAAAATAAAGACAGACAACAGTGACCCTCTAGCATTGCAACCAAATTTAGATGGTGGGATTTGTGCAGCTGGTTTAGATCATGCAGCCATAACAGAAGGTGATTTCATGGATTTTCCCTATTTCAGCAACAGTGAAGATTTAGATCTCCTGAATGGTGAAAACTTTTTGAATATTCCACATGAGACAAATCAGGAGGATTTAGATGATCCTGATCATGTGAAAAATCTGTTGCATCCTGATGAGGCCAACATTTGCTATGATCAGACAGATCCTGATCATGTGAAGCATAATGTAGATGTTTCTGGGATAATCTCGGTTCCTACTTCATTGGAAGTGCCTTATCCTGGTCGGTTTGTTGAATGTGTGTTGAACACAGAAGATCCTGAAATTCCTTGCAATGACGATGTTATTTTTCCTGGCGAGTCTCCTCTACAATGCTCTGCTACTGATTTTGGCCAGAACTCTGAGCACAATACCTGTTTGGTTTCCCCTGCAACTAGCCCTGCATCAAATGTCGAACATTCCAATGTGAGTGACAAAGCCCTAATAAAGAGGGAAGATATGACAAATACTGAACCTTCTTCACAACCAATGAATCTCAGCCCACCCACCTCAGAACAAAAAGAAGGTTCAACAGCACCTAGTAAAGGCTGTGTCCCACTAGGAGCTGAACCATCAGAAGGTCCTTCAACTGCTGGTACACTCGTGCATTGTCACGTTGACACTAATGATGCAAACTCATGTGCGTCAAATTTACCCTCTATCAGTGCTGCTGTATTTGCTGAAGGATCACCTTGCCATTTAGAACAGCAGAATAACTTTGATGACTCACTGAGTTTTCCTTTGCCCAATTCAGTTGAAGTGCCCGATCACATGAATTACAACTCACATGATAATCAACCAGAATTAGGAGATGGGGCTCCTCTACAGAACTGCATTCCACCACATGAATTGCCAGATTTGGGTCTTCAAGACCCCATTACAACTGTTCCTGTATCAAATCAAGTAGAAGAATGCTCTGACAATGAAAATGATGTTCCAAACTACTATGATCTAGAAGCTTTGGTATGTCCCTTAGCTTAGCTACTTAAAAGAATTGATTGTTCTTCTGATTTATCCCTTTTTGTTATTCATTGCAGATACTTGATCAAGATTTAATCCCATGGGTTCAGGACTCTGAGCAGCATCCAGGAGGTAAATATCTCCTTTTATCAAATCAGTGTGAAAATTTTTTTGGTATAAGACTCTACCAACACATGCAAATATTTGATATTAAAGATGTGTGTTTTAAGCTTAGCATGAGTAACGTACTAATATTATGATAGAGTTGTGGAAGGAAGTACTGTGCTCAATTGTTAGCGCCCTTATCACGATAATACTATGTGTGAAACTGAAATATTGACCACTTTATTGGAATAATTTACAGTCGAGTGGTAGTGCTTAGTGTTAGCCTCGAAGGAGACTGACCATGATAAGAGTATGGAGTATGAAATGTTGATTGGCTGTGAGGCTTAAGGGGTATATATTCTATTCAGAATAGCTGAATGCCCGTGCTTTGCTATGGATAAAATATATTTTTCATGAAGTGTGCTACCCATTGTTTGCTATAGGAAATATTCATCTTATTTTAATTTTATATGTTGCTATCCATTTTGATTTGATTGTTTTTAATGTTAAGAAGCTCAAGGAGTGATTTGCAAAATTTACAATGCGAGTACTTGAGGTGGCAGAATGGCAGATTCACTGCCACCATCACTAGAGCCTTTTAAAGTAGTACTCCCTCCGTATTTTAATGTATGACGCTGTTGACTTTTTAATTAACGTTTGACCATTCGTCTTATTCAAAAAATTTCTATAATTATCATTTATTTTATTGTGACTTAATTTATCATCGAAAAATCTTTAAGCATGACATAAATATTTTCATATTTGCACAAAAAAAAGACGAATGGTCAAATGTTGGTTAAAAAGTCAATGGCGTCATACATTAAAATACGGAGGGAGTATGATAATGGAACAAGGAAAATTGTTCTGATAATAGTGCATGCGCGTGTGCACGCATGCATGTCTAGCTTCATGGACACATGTTAGTTTTATTAAGGCAATCCACATCCAGGTTGTAAATGTAGCCGATAGATTTACTGAATTTAGTTTGCCATTAACTTGTTGGTACTTTAGTGTTTGCTTGGCAAATACTTTCTTTTTGCTGCGGCTTATAAGCTACTCCTCCATCCCAAAATATAGCATCTTCCAGCGTTCAAAATTTGTCCCAAAATATAACAACTTCTCCACCTACTCCCTCCTTTCAACTAATCACAATTGTTCGCCATTTAAGTTCTCGACCTACTTCCTCATCTCAACCAATCAAAACCATCCCCCATTTAGTTCCACCTACTTTCTTAATAGCTGTGCGATCCTCTAAAACTTCTTATATTTTGGGATGGAGGGAGTAGCTAGGCAACAAAAAATAATTTTAGGGCAAGCCTTTTATACTCCTACTCTCAGCGTTCCAAAAGCGAAAGCTAAAAATTAGAAAACACTGAAAAATACCCCAAATCAACTCAAAAATTAAGTTCTAAAATTCAAATTTGTCTGTGGCTTATAAGCCAACGAGCAGCCAAAGAAGCATTTTGTCCTGTTTTTGAAGCCACAAATGGGCATTTATCAATGTTTTTGCATGATCAGTTTCCAGGTTTCAGCATCCAGAAAGCAGGAAATCATTGATACGACTGGAGCAGAGTGCCAGGTCTTATATGAACAGAGCCATTGTGTCCAAAGGTGCCTTCGCAGTTATTTATGGACTGCACCTGAGATATTATATGAAGGACAGTGAGGTAAATTAAATCAATGTTTTTCAGCTGAGCTGGTGTTTACTATAATGAGATACACATTTTAAGTCATAATAGATGCCCAGACATACCATTTTGTCTGTGTTTTTCTTTTGGTCTTATAACAGTTGGATGCTGATTGAGTTGTTCTAATCCAATCTTTTAAGGATAGAGACACTACCCTTTTTTTGGTGTGTGTCTTCCATTTATCGTTTATCAGGGATTTAGTGTAATATATTGGTACCGTTTTCTGACATTCAAACTGCCTCCTTTTGTTGTTCATTTAGGTGACTCTTGGAAGAGAGACAGAAGACATAAAAGTTGATGTTGATTTGGGAAAAGAAGGGAGGGCAAACAAAATATCTCGTAGACAGGTATTTGCTCGTATCCTCCAGTTTACATTATGAGACTTAAACTACAACTTATTAAAAGCATCTAATGCCCAATAGTAGTTGACTTGACTACTTGAGTTACAAAAGGCAAGGACATATATGTCATGTACAATTGGAGGAGGTTAAATTTATATTTTCTTATTTTCCTCATGCGCGCTTTGATTGGATGCTCTTTGCTGTGGTGTGTTCTAAGGTGAATGTATTGTTAGTGCCTATGGTTGTTCCTACTCCAATTTCCAGCCTACTAGGTCTATGCAGCCTTGATGACAGTAAAAAAAGCATTGATCATGTATTAATGTTGTTCTCATGCTGGCCATAATGTTTGCTCGAATTGTGAAGTCAACTTTATCAAATTGGATATATTTGGGGTTCAAATATCTAGTGGTGGATGATTTATGTTCATCTAGGGCTTTTTTTTATGGGGCAGTTCCAGATATATATTAATCATGAATGTCATGATTTTGTGTTTTCAGTTAGAAACTGGTGTCTTTAATGTTTTGGTTAGTGAGTTGTTTTTTTACTGTAAAACAGTGAGGGAGGCCCACACGGTACATTAAAATATGGGACATTTATATGGTTTTTGTACAAGCAAGAAAATTACATAGCGTCGATCCATGATGAAAGGTAGGATTTATCACTAATTCTGAGCCTTAGGTTAGTGAGTTGTTATGACTAATTTAAAATACATTTTCCAGTCATTTATGTTAACTACAGGTCTGTAATCATGGAAATGGTCCTAAACAACATACAACTAGGCAGCATAACTTTTCTAGTGCTTGATCGGATTATGTCGTTCTGCTTAAACTAGCAACTGTTTTCATGTAATTAATAGTAGGCTTATCTGATTACATCCTAACCCCCATTGTTTGCTCGTGCAGTACCCTAAAAAAACTTATCCTGGGATTATGTTTTACCACATCTGCTTCTTTTTCTCTTTTTCTTTGGGCCTTTGTGTTTATATAAATCCATGTGTGCTATGAAAATTAGGCGGTTATCAAGATGGATGAAGCTGGTTCTTTTCATATCAAAAACATTGGGAAATGTTCAATTTTTGTTAATAGCAAGGAAGTACCAAGCTGCAAACGCATCATCTTAAGTTCAGATTCGTTAATTGAGGTACTGGTATTTCCTGTTTCCTTCATTTATCACTGATTGAACCAAAAGCAGTAAACTACCCAAACCTCATTGTTTACACAATTAATTTGTAACCTCATGATTAAGAAATGATCCCTGTAGTAATTGTTCTGGTCCTGTCTTTTGATAGTAGTGTGTTCATATGTTATAAAAATTTGCATATGTGCATTTATATTCTTTGAACTTTCAGTGTGATATATATGACGTATGGCTGTTCCTAGAACTTGGAATGAGTTGTACTGATAAACATGGTTGAAATCCTTCATTATCCATGTAATTACTATGGAAAATAGATATTTAAGAAAATCTTGACTATGCTTTGTTGTTAAGTGTTACCAGATCCTGGAGTCCATTAGTGAAAATTGTTATTATGAAAGGGCGGTTATTGAACTGTTCATATTCTTATTATGCCAGATAGCAAGAAGGATTGCCATTCCATACTTAACTTTGATGTGCTACACAATTTTAGTACTAGTGCTTAGAATAATTTGAACATGTATGATTTGTTTAGGGTACCACTGTACCACAGCTTGCACCGCTTACTGGCTGACTGGCATGTGGTGGTATACTCGATCCACGATGTATCATGAGACGTGCCTAGTGTTATGCTTGTTATATATAAAGACCAGACTGAAATGGCTAATGCTCAGGAATCAAAATAAAATTTTACTTGAGATAATCACATACATTTCAAATATATAATGGAATAAGTTAAAAATGTTCCCTTTGCCATTTTTATCTTGGCCTTATTCGTCAGACATGCCAAAATACTGATGTTAAACAGTTAATCTTATTGGGCCTTTCAGCGTAAGTACTCACCTTTAGCTCCTTTTACATTTATTTTAGCATTTGGTGTAGCACTCATAATAATCTTCAGAGATATAATGATGATTCATAGATTCATAAGCTGAGTTTCAATAATTAATTGTTGGAAAGGTTAGTACATATTGGTAGTTCACGTTGGCTTGTTTGAAAGATGTTTCACTGAAAATGTCATTAGTTTTCATCATCAAGTATACTCACGCTCACCTTACTGATCTGTCGATGTTTACTGCAGATAAAGGATATGAGGTTCATTTTTCATGTAAACCAGGATGCTGTAACGCAATTCGTCACACGCACCCCGAAGCCGGAGCACTAGATCCTAACTGGTTTTGTTCAGCAACCCCTTATGAGAAGCTCAATGCCACATTGTCACTGGTAACTAGTGGAGATCATTGAGTGAGCAGCGCTCACAGGGTGGGCTCGTTGTGCTGCTCTACTCCTTTTCAAGTAGGATGTGATACCACCATGGAAGCTCATCTCGCTCCGTGTGCCTAGATTGTAAATGTGTAACATGTAGTGTCAAGTAGTCTCTCTTCTGCTCGGTTCATGAAGCATGAATCCTTCATGTCCAGTAGCTAAGCTAGCACATTTGGTCTGCAGCCTCAGCCTGCAGCAACAAAAGCTTCTCCGTAGTATTTATTCATTCTTTCCTGTCATGTAAATTGTAGATGGCTGCCGACCAGTGGGGTTGGAAATGTAAAAAAGTGTGGTGGTTCTATCATCTATGCTACTACAGCAAGAGGATGCACCTTGGCAAGAAACCATTGGGTTCTTTAGCCTTTTTGGGTCTCCATTTCCTTGTGTCCTCGAAGCATATACCCGTGCAAGTCTGGAATCAACTTGGCTTTACACATCTGCAGAGTTCAGATGCTGGCACACCACAATCCACCCCTTGTCTGAGTCAGTGGTTGGTCATCGTTGTCCGCTTTGTTTGGACACGTGGACGGTCAAGATTGAACGAAACCTAAAAAGGCACGCGATAGGATGAAAACGGTCTATTTTTTATTTTATAAATTAACTATTTATTGTCGATTTCAATATGCAAATAGAAAACAGAAAACTAAATTTTATAAATGACTAAATAGAAATGCTAAAAACTATTACTTTTTTACTTTTTATTTTTTACAAAAATGATTGTCGGAAATTTTCATATCATTTTCATCCTTCGTTACTGACACGTGGCCTAGTTTTGCAAGATTAATCTGGACCGTTGATAGTAAAATTGGGCGTGAGATTTTCTGTGGCTAAGAGGAGTAGGTGACTCCACAAGACTACAAAGAGTCGTCTCTCCTCCCTCATCACAAGTCAAAAACCAACAAGAAGAGTTGTTGCTTGCGCTCACGCGAAGCGAAGAGGAGCAAGGCGAGAAAAGAGAGAGAGAGAGAGAGAGAACCAAACCAAGCACGCGACCGAGATGGGCTCCTTCTTCTCGACGATGTTCACGCCGCCGCCCGCCGCCGACGACGGCGGCGACTCGCGCGTGGTGGCCGTCCACTCCACGGCCACCTGGGACGAGCAGTGGGGCGCCCACAAGAGCAACCCCAACAAGCTGGTGAGCTCCGCTCTCGCTGTTTCCCCCCCAATCTGATCGACCTCGACCTCGAGTGCTGGTTTGGATCTGAGCGTGTGTTGGCTGTCTACTGCTCGCGCGGCAGATCGTGATCGACTTCTCCGCCACCTGGTGCGGGCCCTGCCGCTTCATCGAGCCGGCCTTCAAGGACATGGCCGGACGCTTCGCCGACGCCGTCTTCTTCAAGATCGATGTCGACGAACTTTCGGTACGGTTGCTACGACCCTGGCATGTCTTGCTTTTTTTTTTCTTCTTCTTTTGTTTTGCTTGACCTCGGTGCCAAATCGACAGATTCTGCAGAGTTAGAAGGGGGAAAGAATTTGAGTTATATTGGTTATTATGTTACTATCTACTCTACTAATTAGTACAGTACTTGTAGTTGACTCTCGCCTTAGTTCAAAGCTGGTTCAAAATCATAGAAATTTTGCATAATTTCTGAGAAATCGTGCTGGTTGCATACGGCTGGCATGCGCACTTGTATTGAGTGAGATGTTTGATTTCACATGAATTTGGTTCTTGCCGTAGTATTTAAGCAATATAGTTGCTTGGCCACTAGAAGTCTAGAACCAGATATGGACTATGGAGTTCAATGTGATGACATTCTTTGCTGTCTTGCATTGTCCTAGGATGCTTTATATGTACTGTAAACAGTATCTAGCTTTATGGGTCTGGATGAACTTGTCTTTGGTTTGAGTGATTCGACTTGATAATGTTCTAAGAATTCACCTAAGCAAGATCAAATCAAGAATAGATGGCTCAATTATGGTTTATAAAGCAAAGACCAAATCCGTTTAGAGCGCATTGTATATCTTTTGGGAAGATGTAGGATGGACTGAGATGATGACATAACAAGCATAAATATTCATGATTTATGGGGAATTGTAGAGTACTCCAAGATGATACCATAACAAGCATCATAAATATTCATGATTTATGGGGACTTGTTCAGGATAAGAAGAATTTGTTCAGTTACAGCCTAGAATCATGGAAGTATCGTTGTATTCATACCTAACAGAATATTTGTTTGGTTCCAGCATACCAGGACGAATTATCACTTCATCAGAGGTGGAGGTTCATCCACCACCACAAATAATTGTGCATTTTACATAGTTCAACTAGTAGAATTTAGAGCAAATTATTGATCAAGTTTCAGTTAGCCAGTCTGCATAAACAAATTCTTGCATCATTGAGTATTGGATCCTCTCATATTTATCTCAAACTCCACAACAAAATTATTGTGCAAGTTTGAATGCACTAATAAATAGCTGGGCGGGAATGATGGGTCTATGTGGCGCACTACTTGGATGCATCAAATGTGTACGTCCCGATTATGATTTATAAAGTTATAAAGTATGTAACTGCAGACCAATTATTGTACTTTGTTTGGTTTGTAGCAAAAGGTTCTTAAGAATTCCATTTGCAAGCCTGTCTGGCAATTCGAGCACACACCGCTAGTGTTTCGTCTTCTTTTATTCTTGTATAACAAGAACATGATGTTTTGTTAATGGTGGTGAACCTGAATTTTGCAGGAAGTGGCGAGGCAATGGAAAGTGGAGGCCATGCCGACCTTTGTGTTAATCAAGGGCGGGAAGGAGGTTAGTCGCGTGGTTGGTGCTAAGAAGGATGAACTGGAGAGGAAAGTCAACATGTTCATTTCATCCTCCTCATCCTAAATCCCAAACTTATGCCTGCATTCCTCATTTAGTACCAGGCTCTGGTTTCTCTCGGTGCTAGGAGTGAGAGACCCTGTGGTTGTCCTCTTAAAAATGCTGCAAAATTCGATGTGAAGTGGGAGTAAACGCGTTTAAGACAATAAACTTGTGATACTTGGGAATGGAAATGTAATTGCCTGTTGCTCTTGAGTCATCATCTGATCATATTCAATTCTTTATTGATATTTCCGCAATAGAAGCAATATTTGTTTTTTTTTTTGCCCGTTCAAGAACTGATAATTGAATCTCTGATTGTCTGTAGCGAGCAGTGGCCATCACCATCGAAAATTCTTTCATTTAGTCGTTAATTTTGACGGTTTACCTGCTGCATTCCTTCTGTTGATTTTGATTCGCTCAACCTGATAACGACTGGATCAACACACCACCAAAACCAGCAAAAAAAAAAAAAAAAAGCTATTACATCCGGATGCGGTGGGCCCACACCTTTCCGGCCCCACCTCTCAGTGTAACAAATCGCCACCCGTTTCCTCTTCCCTCCCATGGCGCGAGCGAGCAGCCGCAGGTAGCCTCGGGGTCTCCTCCTCCCGCATCACCACGAATCGTTGCCTCGTAACAACCGTCAAAATCAAATCGAGTCCAAAGTGGCAGGCTCAATCCGATCCGCGAGAGGCCTCCTCCTCCTCCTCCTCGATCCAGATGGCCATGGCGGCGGCGTCGGTTCTCGCCGCCTCGTCCTCCTCCTCCCCTCCTCCGCTCGCGCTCGCGTCGTGGAGATGGAGGCCTCCGCCGCCGCCGCCTCTTCTGGCAGTTGCAGGTGCAGCTCGCGGAGCGACAAATCCCAGGCTCGCTCTCCGCCTGAGCGCTGCGGCGTCTCCTCCGGTTACCGGCGAATCTCGCGCCATCGCGGGGACGGGGCGGTGTCTGGTGGCGCCGATGGGTGGGGACGAGACGGAGCGGGATGCGACGGCTGCGACGGCGCCAGACTGGGGCGCGCTCGCGAGGCGGCTGGCTCTGGGCGCGCTGGGGTGCGCCGTGCTCTGCTGCGGCGGTGCGGCGGTGGCGGCGGAGGACTCGATCAAGGCGTCCGGCTTCGGGCTGCGTGTGGCGGCGTCGCTGCGGAGGCTCGGGTGGGCGGACGAGGCCGTCGTGTTCACGCTCGCTACGCTACCGGTGATCGAGCTGCGCGGGGCCATTCCGGTTGGGTACTGGATGCGCCTCGACCCCATCCGCCTCACCGTCCTATCCGTTCTCGGGTTTGTCTCTCTTGCTTACCTTTTTCCTTTTGGCGAGCTTTGCCCATGAGGTGTTCGCTGAATTGCCTGTGACACTGGGATTGAACATAGTGATAATATTCATTGCTACAAAATGTTATGGAGCTAATTTGTATTGGAACCATCTAAAATTTGGGCTTCTGTTCACACGTCCGGCAAATCATTATCACATTTTTACAGGTCAACAAACTAGTGATGTAATGAGCTCACAATGTAGGATACCTGAAAATGATGACTGCGAGTTTGCGATTCCATGCCGATTTTACTTAAGTGTTTAATTCAGAGTACTACTTCTAGCAATTAGCCAACAGCACAAGTTTTAGTCAGGTTTTAACTGATCAGTTCTGATTTGTTCTGGATAACCATTCCAGCGACAAGAACCATGTTGTAATTTCTTTCTTTACTATATGTATAGTAACTGATTAGTACTGATTTAATCATTGTGACGGATTATGTGTGATTATTAATCTATGAATGAATTGTTGAGAATAGAGATGATGCTCACTTGTTTACAGTACAACTTTGCACTCCTACATGAGAAAAGCAGTTGAATGGCAGCAACTAAAGTTAATATCTGACTGAGTAGTCCTTGCATTGTGATAATTGATAGGATTGTGAACTTGTGATGGGTTGACAATAATACTAATAAACATTTTGGAAACTGCTAGTTATGACAAAGACTAACCTGGAACAGAAACTGCTAATAATGACAATAGTAGTAATAAACAATTTGGTTATGTCTCTTAGAAAATGTAGTGCTAATATACAGTGGTACAAAATGTTCTGGTGCTAATTTGCAGAACCATCTAAATTTTGGGCTTTGTTCACACAGTCCACAAATCAAAATCACAGTTTGATGAATAAACAAAGTAAGGGTCTACTGTAAAATAATAATATGGTATGAATAAATATGCTAGCCTGATTTACCTAGGTCCTGGGTAATGGAATATGTATACTGAAACTAATGATGGAATAAACTCACAATGTAGGATAACCTGGAAATGATAACTGCAAACCTGCAATTCCATGCTGATTTTAGTCACTGATGCTACTTCTAGGCTCTAGCAATTAAACAACAGCACATGTTTTAGTTAGATTTTACTATATGTATAGTGACTGATCAGTTCTGGATCACAATTCCAGCAGCAAGAACCTTTTGCAATTTCTTTCTTTATGCATAGTTCCTGATTGGTTCTGATTTGTTCTGGACAGCAGCAATTCCAGCAACAATACCTTTCTGCCATTTCTTCTTTATGCATAACTGATCAGTTACTATACATAAAGAAAGAAACTGCATATAGTAACTGATCAGTGCTGATTCGATCAACGTGACAGATTATGTGTAAATATCAATCTATGAATGAACATTTGGGATAAAAATATGATGCACGCTTGTTTACCGTTTAAATTTGGACCTCCTACATGGGAAGGTCAGTAATTTGAAGCATTGTCAGCATAAGAGAGCAAAGCAGTGAAATGGCAGCAACTAAATTTAATATTTGACTGAGTATTCCTTTGTATTGTGATATGATAGGGTTGTTAATTTGTGATGAGTCGACGACACATGAAGTTATTTCTCAGTGACACTGACACACCTAGAACAGAAACTGCTAGTTATAAGTTATAACAGTAGTACTAATAAACAATTTGGTTATATCTCTTGGAAAATGCCTCATCGTAAATATACAGAATATCCCCACAAAAACAATTCAGGATCTGATGCCATTATGTTATTATCCAGGAACATGGTGCCTGTGCCATTCATTATCCTCTACCTGAAAAAACTTGCAGCATTTCTCTCTCAAAGAAGCGCATCTGCAACTCGGATTATGGATCTTCTCTTTGAGCGGGCGCGGCAGAAGGCTGCACCTGTTGAGGAATTTCAATGGCTTGGTTTGATGCTGTTTGTGGCTGTACCATTTCCTGGAACTGGAGCATGGACTGGGGCAATAATTTCATCGGTTCTTGGCATGCCATTCTGGTCAGGTTTTTCAGCAAATTTCGTGGGCGTTGTCTTAGCAGGACTGTTGGTAAATTTGCTTATGAATCTTGGTTTGAAGTATGCCATTATCACTGGTTTAGTTCTGTTCTTTTTATCAACTGTCATGTGGGGTGTCCTTCGATCCCTCAAAAAATCACTGAATGCTAAATGATGTAATGAACATGCAACTATTTTTTCGTTGTAAAGAAGAATTCACCCTTGTGAGGGAATTCTAGCTGTAAACTTCTCCCTCTATTTTTCCTATTATACAAAATGAAAATGCTTACCTTTGAGGCCTTCACAGGATCACAGCTGGTAACCTTTTTGAAGTTTGAACATAAAAGCTTGTTAACCTTCAGAGTAGTGCTTATTGAACTCTGAAGTGCTTGAACCAACCTTTTACACAGAATAGGGTCATACTGTGATTGTTGGGAACCCCCCCCCCCACCCCCACCAATAGAAGTGCTTGTTATCCTTATACTGGATGAACTGTGAAGGTCTTAATGAATCCCCCATAGAAGTGCTTGTTGTGAAGTTTGAAAATAGAATGGTTAACATCATGAAAAATAATATTTTTCATGAAAAAAATTTAAGACGGTCAATTTGGGTTAAATGAGCAAACCTAAAAGAGTAGGGTTAATTTGGTAGTTAGGCTATAAACTAGGCTCAAATAAGTAATTGTCCCTTTAATTTTTAATTAAATTTGTCAATCTTCGTTCTAATAATGCCACATCAACATCACATGGGATAAGAACCAAATCAAACCATCCACGTTGGATGAAACCGTCATCAAAACTGTTTTTATCTTATTTGCAGTTTTTTTTTTAAGTTGAGGGATGCATTATATTTGGTATTTTGGTTGAGCTACAGATTTCAGACTTGTTGACAACCTGAGGGATCTGAAGTGAACTTATTTATCCTAAAGGCGGGCCAGGTTATATTGGCACCGGGGCCACCGAGCCTAGGGGCTTTGAAGCAGGCCCAGAAGACTCAATTATGGAGTGCGGCATGGTGCACCTAGTCCAGGTGTTGGTCACCCGTTGTGTTTGTTGGGGCTAGACACCAGCCGTTCGATGAAGCCACGATCCGCGTCGCCATGCATCTAACGGTCGGATCGATTCGATATGCGCTATGTCTGCCTGCCCCTGACCATATCGCGTTCCCTTCCCGGCTGTGGCTGTAAGTCGAGTTGAGATCGAACCTTTCCCCTCGTCCGACTGGTCTACCCAGAGAAACCCTAATACTCGCAGATCCCCTTCGCCTTCATACACCTCCATCCACAGCTGATGGCTACCATGGGGTCTGCACCTTCCTATGTCGTGCTGGACCGCGTGGTTCATCTGGACAAGGAAGCCGTCAAGGAAGAATCGGAGTGGGCGATCATGGAGTGTAGAGATCGGAAGACCTACCTGCGCAACGACCACGTCGGCGACGAGGTGGTGTATGGCTTGTCACTCCTAGTGCAGATCGCCGAGCCGCCGGATCTCTCCAAGCTGTCCATCCGCCTCAGCGAACCCCCCGTGCAAGTCGCCGCCCGACCAGAGGAGATCCTCGACGATGGCTCCTCCGTCTTGCAGCTCTTGGACTTGCCTAAACGGGCCCTCAACCTGCACACCTCCGTCCAGTCCGTCGCCGACGACCTCATCGTCTTCACCTCCTGCCTCCGCAATCGCACCCACCGCTACCTAGTCTACGACGCCATCGGCAAGTCACTCTCCATGATCCCTTGCCTGCCCAACCGCTGCGATCCCTCTGCCACGTTCCAGCCTCTCCCTCTTCGTGCCGGCGCCGGCGGCGACTACACCATTGCCCTCCTGGGAAGGGACATGCGGTCCGACCGGGAAACCACCAGGCGCTTCTTCCAGGATGTCCTCTGCCTGTGTCCGCCGCCGCCATCCTCGAGACCTCCACCGCCATCCTCCTTCTCCGCTGTCACCACGCCGTGGCAATTCAAGAACCCGCTCTTCCCTCCAGAGACGCCGAATCGCTTCAAGGCCCATATGGTGTTCTCGTCCGGAGGTCAGGCTTTCTGGGCCAACCTCGCGCAAGGTGTCCTCTACTGCAGCTGCCACGACGTGCTCACCGGTGGCTACGATGTGCCGTTCCGCTACATCCCGCTGCCGCCTGAGTGCCATCTTGACCCCATGAAGAATCAGCTGCGGTTATGCCGGACAATGAACTGCGTTAAGGACTCCATCAAGTTCGCTTCTATTGACATGGTGCCCCCTGATGAAGCTATGATGACGACTTGGACTCTGACCCTGGCCACCACGCAGTGGCACAAGGATGGGGAACTCCGTGTGGCAAGCCTGTGGGAGCTGGAGGGCTTCAAGAAGGCCGGGTTGCCTAAGGTCAAGCCGACTAGCCCCGTCCTGAGCATGGAGGAAAACGGTGTCATCTGTTTCATGCTCAATGCTGCTGAAGAAGGGGTGTACATGGTCAGCCTCAACATGCACACCAAGAACATCATGTCCTCCACCAGGCTCTCCTCCTGCCCAACACAGCCTTTGGGTGTAGAATTTCCCAAACACATTCAGAATCCAGTTCCACCCAAGAGGGATCGTGATGATTTGGAGGAGTGCTCGACTGCAATCAAGAGGAGGTTGTCAAGAACCTGACATCTTCGTCAGGTAACTCAAACCGCTAAACTTCTTCTGCATGCAATTAATTAATTAACTTCGTTTGCAATTTCATTCTGCACTTATTGGTTTGTGTTAATCACAGCTATACTTCTTAGCGGCTTGCCATTTAAATTACCCTGAGTTAAACATTATTTGGTAGTATTAATACTGTTGGTTTTGCCATTGATGTTGCCATCCTTCTAAGCTATACTATAATTAATATTTCTGTTTGACAGCACTGGAATGGAAGGATTGGAGGCAGACGTCTTGTGGTGCTGGAGCAGACCTCATCTAGTCATGCTGCTTATACTTACAGTATCAGGGATCGAAATCTGCATCGTCGTGCTTTGTTTTGCGAGCTGCTTCTACGTTTTCTATGGCTGCTGCTGCTATATATGGTTGTCTGTAGATCTGGATGTGCTTCAGAAATAGGAATTTAATCTGGCTGCTTATTTTGTTCCTAGCTTATGTATTGCAGCAGTAACTTCAGAAACAGGAATTTAATCTTACTATGACTTAGGAGTACATGTGATCTCCCATGCATATCTTTCTCATCTATGCTGGCTTGCTTGCTATTAGTGTTGATGCGTTGTACCATGTTTTTTTGCTTGGAATCGGCTGTAGCTTTATGGTCCTCTTTCGTTCAACTTGTCCAAAACCTGGAACATAATTGTCTGACTTATAGAGATTTATGGGCCCCTTTTCTAATTATGTTGTATCTGGTGCTTATGCCCAACTGATTCTTTTAACTCCTTCCTGCTCTACATTGTAGAAGGGTTTGGCTATAAGTACGAATACACACATATATAAACTTTGTATATACATATATAGATTAAAAACCAAACGATAAGTATATATACTGAAAAACCGAATGGAAAATGGATAAAACCGGGAATTAACCAAAAGAAAACCTAAAGAAAAGCGAAAAAACCGAAAAAAAAAAAAGAAAACCGCGCTCACGAGTCTCTCGGCGTGCGCCACGTGGCTGCGCCGCACGGGGGGAGGGCGCGCGATCAATGGCGCGCTGATTAGCGTTTTCGGTCTCGCTTTCCCTCCTCCGCGGTTTGGTCGTACTCCAAATCGAATGCGAGGTTGGACCATTGGAGTGGGAGGCAGCAGCTGCAGCCTGCAGGGTGGCAGAGATATTTGCACAGACAGAGGAGAACTGTGGTGCCAAAAGCGGCATGGGAAAGGAGCGCCTCGTGTGGACCTCGTCGTTTTACCCGTATACGTGTAAAAACGGAACGTAATATAATAGGGAGCGTAAAAGTTGCTGCATGTACATTATTGTTCATGGTCTAATTAATAGAACTGTTGTTACACGCAGGTTAATTACCGATCAGAAAAAAAAAAAGAACAGCTACTACTACAGAATAACTGCAGTTTAATCCGCACCCCCTACGTCTACGTGCATGGTTAAGTATTGGAGTGCACACGTACGTATGCCACCCGCCCACTCGCTTTCGCTAGTACTCTACTACTACCTTTTTCTTTTGCTTTTCGAGTGCATGCAGTCTGCGATGCAACGTATACGTGCAGCATGCATGAGGTGGGACGACCGCTTGGACGAATGCATGGCCGCGAAGCCTGCTGCGTGCGCAGGCGGCGCAGCGCGCCGTGCATGTTCCAGGTAGCTATAGCCAGGCATACAGGAGCTTCTTTCTTGGCTGCGAAGCCAACAAGAAGCATCTCTCTCCTCTCATCCAACATTCTGCCCCGGTGCGTGGGCCCACTCTGCCAGTCCACCAAGGGTGTAGACGTGTAGTAGCCCCACTCCACTAGTGCTGCATGTTTAATTTACCACACACGGGCACATCTTTTACCGCGGTTGTTTTTCCAACTCCAGTTCAAACTTGGGGGTGTTTAGATTTAGAGGGGTAAAGTTTTAGCGTGTCACATTGAATATTACATAGAGTGTTACATGGAGTGTTTAGACACTAATAAAAAAAGTAATTACATAATCCGTCAGTAACACACGAGACAAATTTAAGTCTAATTAATCCATCATTAGCAAATGTTTACTGTGACACCACATTGTCAAATTATGGAGATATTAGGCTTAAAAGATCTATCTCGCAAATTAGTCTTTATCCATGTAATTAGTTATTTTTTAACCTATGTTTAATACTTCATGCAGGTGTTTAAACGTTCGATGTTACATGATGTAAAATTTTGGGGTGTGAAATAAAGAGGGCCTGAGTTCAAATTGCTTCAAACTGCACGCAGAGATGAGTCCTCGTAGTGGAGTACTAGAGTATACAAATATACAATACTAGTAATATTTACAATAAGCAACGTTAACATAGTTAGGCCTTGTTTTGGTTGGGGAAAAATTTTAGGTTTGATTGTCACATCGGATATAAGGACACATATTTGAAGTATTAAATATAGTCTAATAATAAAATAAATTACAGATTCCGCCAGAAAATTACGAGATGAATTTATTAAGCCTAATTAATCCACCATTTATTAATGTTTACTATAGCACCATATTATCAAATCATGGCGCGATTAGGCTTAAAAGATTTGTCTCGAAATTTATACGTAAATGTGTAATTATTTTTTTTTCACATTTAATACCTCATAGATGTGTCCAAACATTTAGGTGGTGTTTGGATACAGGGACTTAACTTTAGTCCCTGTATTTAGACACTAATTTAGAGTATTAAATATAGACTACTTACAAAACTAATTATATAAATGAAAGCTAATTTGCGAGATAAATTTTTTAAGCCTAATTAATCCACAATTAGAGAATGTTTAATGTAGCATCACATAGGCTAATCATGGATTAATTAGGCTCAATAGATTTGTCTCGCGAATTAGTCCAAGATTATGAATGGGTTTTATTAATAATCTATGTTTAATATTTATAATTAGTGTCTAAACATTCGATATTATAGGGACTTAAAAGTTTTAGTCCCATCTAAACAGGGTCTTAGGGGTGTTTGGGAGAGAGGGGCTAAACTTTAGCCCCTCTCTCTAGCCCCTCTCTCAAAAACATAAGTCCCTCTCGTTTTGTAGAGAGGGGCTAAACTTTAGCCCCACTTTAGTCCCTCCAACCAAACACCACCTTAATATGATGGGTGAAAAGTTTTTATTTTGAGAACTAAGGCCTCAGTCTCATGCAATTCCATGGTAGGCAGTCACACACACCCACTCGCGGTGTCTCGTCTGATCGTCTCGCAAACAGAGAAGCATGGGTTTGGGTTACCCATTGTATGCATGGTCACAGCCTCACAGCTTGCCAGTATTGCCAACTTAGGCCAGCACGATCACCCACCCTTTTGCTTTTGGCCGCGGTGTACGCTGCTCCTGTCTCTGATACCTGCAGCCGCTGTCCCCTCCCCCCACGGTGCAGCGCATCGCAGCGCCAGAGATGCTTTGCCGTTTGCGGCTCGAACCGCTGCGTGCTTCGCTTGACCACCAGTCCACCACCAACCCCTCCCCTACACGCTCCTCGCCTCCGCGGTTTGGTCGTAGTCGAATGCGATATTGCGAGGTTGCGGCAGCAGCGGCAGCAGAGATTTGCACAGGGGAGGAGGGCGCGAGGATGCCAAAAGCGGCATGGGAAAAGGAGCGCATCGTGTACTGTACACACCTCGTCGTTTTTACCACCAGTCCACCACGCATGCACTGCGCAGCTCTTCTTCTATTTTGTTCTGCGCTATGATAAAAAACGGACCGGGATAGAGACAGTAAAATTTGCTGCATGCAATGTTCCTACTCGCAGGTTATATTAGTGATCAGAAAAACCGAGCCGCATGTCAGCAGCCACTACAGAATACAGAACATAATTTTAACCCGGGCTTGGAGATAATGTTAACTGCAGTTAAAATCACACAGTCCACACACACTTTTAACCCGGGTTTGGAGACGATCAAAAAATTTTGCTCTACCTTTTTCCTTTTGCTTTTCGACTACTGCATGCAGTCTGCGCCGCAACGTATACATGCATGGATGAGCTGGGCCGACCGCTTGGACGCATCTGCATGTTCCCATAGCCTCAGCTTTCACCGGAAGAACGGCTGCTACAGCCATCGACCGCCTCTGGCTCGATCGCTGGGTGGCTCTCGCAGCCAAGACGATCTGATACGATCTCTTTGCAGAGCGAGAGAGAGAGGGGCGAGCAGTGATCCAGTTTTTCAAACGTGACACGTATGCCGATCGAATCGCCGATAGACGATCACACCATATAGTATCGTTTTTCCAGTGTAAAGTTCTACTCGATCATGATTGATCGAGTTCCTCTCTCAGGAGTACAGAGTAGCTAGCTTAATAGTATATAGATTATTTATCTTACCCATGATTAAAACTACCTAGCCATTAATTAGGAGTGAAGATATTTTCACCTTGGGTACAATACAGTGTGAGAATGACAGGTGGGCCCAAGCCGTACGAGAGATAATTCCAAGGCGCATGAGAGAGAGACTGGCTACAGATGCATGCATGGGTCATTCGTTCCTCCAGAATCTTCTTCTTTCCGTCCGGTGTGATCGGGTTGTGACTTGTCTTGGAGGTGTGGACTCATCTCATCACTCACTGCATGCGTCCACGTGCTTTGCCTTGCACATGTATATTCACATCTCAATTCTCAAATATTTCTAACTGCAGTAAAAATCAATGTTGCCTATACGCTTCGTCTTGACCATCCCTTCATGAAGGTAATTAGAACACGACTTGATTTTAAATCAAACCTTTTCTACCCATAGCGATCAAAATGGTCCAAGATAGAGGCATTACGTGGCAGCAATTCGAGACTCGATCGCTGGGAAAATGAGAATACTAGGCAACAGTAATTTCAATCGGTAGGTTTTCAAAAAAGTAATTTCAGTCTGATCCTTCCAGCTGGTACGCATGCACTTCTAGCTAGTTTTTTTTATGCATTATTGATCTGTATAGTATTTAATTTGTCAAATTTTGGACAATGTATATCACAAAAACCACACCAAACATATATAACTTCAATATTAATTACGAGAAAACAAAACGGAAGGATGGTGTCAAATGGGATACTACACTAGACGTACGGCCTTTTTTGCCATTTGCAGTTTAACTTTAAACATTATGAATTGCTACACTCGTACACTTGACTATACATATGTATAACTTCACGTTCATAGCTTGGTTCTATACAATATCTTAACACCCAAATTAATAACAAAACAAACTCAGATTAATTAGTTCACCCCGATCGATGAACTTAATGACATATAATTTTCCTTCAAAAAACACAAAAAAAAACCGGACATAAATTCACTTTCTATAATGACACATAATTTGTCTTGGGTAGCAAGTTTGATTAACCGGCCGCCTAATTAATCACTCTTCCGTACGGACAAGCATACAGTCACCGCGCGGTAAGATCACCACCCCCTTCTCCCTCCCACCGCGTCTAGCTAGGGTTTCTCCTCGTCGATCACCCTCCGCCTATAAAATCCCCCTCCCCTTCCATTCCCGCAAGGCCGCAACATCACTCACCCACTCCCCACCCCTTCCCAAACCCTCACCTCCATCTCGTTGCCTTCCTCCACCTCTCTCTCTGCCATGGCCTACCGCGGCGGAGGCCGAGGTGGCCGCGGCGGCGAGCAGCGGCCGCCCTACTCCGGCCGCGGCGACGTCCCTGGCCGTGGTGGCGGTGGTGGTGGGGGTGGAGCCCCGCCGTACCGTCCCGCCTCGGGCTTCGTGTGGCCGCCGCCGGGGATGACGCCGCGGCCGGGGCCTCCTCAGCCGCAGTACCCGCGGCCGGGGCCGCCGGCCGTCGTCTACGGCGCGCCGATGCCGGCGGCGCACCACCAGGGCGCGTACCAGCCCGGGGGCGTGTACCGTGCGCCCTCCCCGGGGGTTCCGGTGATCGGTGGCTACGCGCGCAGCACGCCCGTCACCATCCGGGCGCCTCCGCCGTCGCACTCGTCGGCTCCGGCTCCGTACCAGCCGGCGGCGGCCGCGCCGGCTCCCTCGTCGTCCTCCACGGCGCCGTCCGCTACGGCTCTGGCCAAGGAGTTCGAGCAGAAGCTGTTCGTGTCGGAGACCGCGCTGGCGCCACCCGCGGCGGTGGCGTCGGCCGCGGCCGCGCCGGCTGGCGAGGCGTCGGTGGAGTCGGACAAGGATCTGGCACCGGTGTCGAAGAAGGGGCTCGCCCACCCTGCGCGGCCGGGGTTCGGAGCGGCCGGGAAGAAGGTGATGATCCGCGCGAACCACTTCCTCGTCAATGTCGCCGACAACAACCTCTTCCACTACGATGTGAGCTCACCCCTGACCCTCTTTCCCTTCCCTTCCCACCCCTAGATCTACGCATACTCCATGCATGCTGTCTACTACTGTACTCCTGTACGTGTGATGGTCAGATCTGTTAAATTTACCTTGCATGTTGTGTGTATGCATGGATTTTGCTTGCTTCTGGATGATTTTTTTTTGTTGTGTCGATGGCAAGTTCGTTTCTCTGCTGCCTTCGTTTGCAGTTTTGCATGGAGCGAGGGCTTCCGATCTCATCCTAGTTTGTGGGTGTTTGGTCGGAGAGTCGCGTCTCCTTTCTGGCATAAAGTTTCTTCTCCGTTTATTTGGCCTTCTCCACTTCGGTGCTCGCTGCTAGTTTGGTGCTAGAGATCTGGCCGATGTCGAGAGGGCCGCAGCACACGCAGCTCACCCGTTCGAAGCCTTTCGTTCTGTTTGTTTAATTTGGTGATATGCATGTACATATGTAGTACGCGTCTCACGTGCTCAACGCACCGGCGTACATGCATGTCGTTGTTTAGTTGGGAACGTTTTACGTTTCGTACAAGGGTAGGTTGCTCGGTTCAGTTTTGCTTCTTGATCCTTCTGTTTCGTTCTTTCGATTGCAAGTTCGTTTCTCTGCTGCTTTCGTTTAAAGTTTATCATCCAGTTCGTGGGTGTTGGTCGGAGCGTCGCGTTTCGTTTCTTGCATAAAGTTTCTTCTCCGATTTTTTGATCCCCTCCGTTTGTTTGGCCATTTACACCTTCGGTGCTCGCTGCTAGTTTGGTGCTAGAGATCTGGCCGATGTCGACAGAAATCTCATGGCCGCAGCACACGCAGCTCACCAATTCGAAGCGTTTCGTTGCGTTCGTTTTCGTGACATGCATCTCATCTGCTAAACGCACTGGCGTACATGCGCGCGCATCCCGTTTTCTTCAGAACGGTTGCTGTGTTTGGGGTTGCTGATTTCGTACAAGGGTAGTTCTGATCTCTCCCTCGTGGGAGCTGGTCGGGTTTTTCCCTCTGCAAGCAAAGGTTTTGCATCGTTTTGTTCTACTTTACAAGTTTGCTTTTTTTTGTGTGAGTTGGAAGACGACGAAACCTCTCTGTGCCCTGCCCGGTCGGTTCTACCTCTGGTTTTGACTGTTTCTTTTGTTGTCTTTTGGAGACTGCCATTTTTGTGTAAGCGGATACGTTCGCTTGCTATTTTCTTGCAAGGGACATGTTAAACTTGTTCTCCCTGTATGCGAAGCCTTCGCGTGAACTTTTGCATCCAAAGTGGTCAGATCGATTCTTGTTTTCTTGTAGCAGCGGACTAGTGACCGCTGTCCTTTCTCTGATCTTCTTGCAGCAACTCTCCAGCGGCCGGAAGCCTGTCGCTTGCAGAAGTAGAGTGGTGGATCCACGTTTAAAAACTCATGATACATGTGGCTTTTGGTTTTTGTGTTTTCTGCTCTTTTTTTTGGCAAAATATATGAAAATTTTATCGTTGTCTTCAGGATGTCGTTCTCATTCATGATCTTGTACGCCTAGCTTTTTTTTTATTCGTTCAAAAAACAATAACGTTTTTTCAGGTGGAATTCTTGCAAACTCGTTTCATATGTTTTGTTTTGCTTTGGGGCTTTTAGTAGTAGTTCCATTTCTTATTTTGTTTTTGGGCTTTGATGTTTGGTTTCTGATTCCTGAGCTGTACCGATATTCTTGGCCCTGTTCCTATGGGCTTTGGTGGGCTTTAAAGAACTCGTAGTATAGCTATTCTTCATGTTCGACCCGTAGTACAGCTATTCTTCAACTCTCCCCATGCTTCTCTCCCCATTCCTCGAACGCTTCGCCGGCGATTCCCTCCAGGCTCTAGCGTCCGCCATGGATGCCCGCCCCATGTAAGTGTCGTACCCGTAGTATTGCAAGTGTAGTTCTACCTCTATCGTGACCTCAATGGAGAGGATCAATCTTTACCACCTTCTTTGTTGTTTGATTTCTGTTGGTCCCTAGCTGATTTAGATTTCGTTACTTTGGGGCATTCTGTTTTTTTGTTCGGCCTGCATTCATTTCCCTAATCAATCGGCTCGGATAATGTGTGTACTACTCATAACTTGGTGCTGAATTACTCATTTAGGTCTAGACGAAATACACATTGAGTAGTTTGGTGTATTAGTGATGGTTAACTGCTCTGATCTAAACTACTTGTTACGTGATGTTTACTGTAGAGTTCTTGTTAAGTTGCTCTAAGATCTTCCTTTTTATAAAAAAAAAATCTGCCCCTCATGTCCAATAGAAAGGCCGTTGATCTTCTTTTTGGATTATGTTACAGGTTTCAATCAATCCTGAGTCAAAATCAAGAGCAACAAATAGGGAAGTACTCAATGAGCTCATCAAGTTGCACGGGAAGACATCTCTTGGTGGCAAATTGCCTGCCTATGATGGAAGAAAGAGTCTCTATACTGCTGGTTCACTCCCTTTTGAATCGGAGGAGTTTGTGGTTAAGCTAATTGATCCCGAAAAGAAGGATAAAGAAAGGTTTGTATGATGCAAACTAGAGATTTAAATTCTTATGAATTATGTGTTTTGCAGTCTCATATTATTTTTTCTTTCTTGTCTTCTGCAGGGCGGAGAGGGAGTACAAGATCACAATTCGGATTGCTGGCAGAACAGACTTGTACCACCTCCAGCAGTTTTTGCTTGGAAGACAGAGGGATATGCCCCAAGAAACCATTCAAGTTCTTGATGTTGTCCTTAGGGAGTCACCATCTTGGAAGTATGATTCTTTCTTGTCTTTGTTTTGACTTTTGCTTGATTATTTACTGACTAGGGTACAAATAATGCATTGATAACTACTTTTTCTGCAGTTATGTCACAGTGTCCAGATCCTTCTTCTCTACCCAGTTTGGTCACCGGGGTGACATTGGTGAGGGACTTGAGTGTTGGAGAGGTTACTATCAGAGCCTGCGCCCAACACAGATGGGCCTTTCGCTGAATATAGGTACTTCCCTGTCAGTTACTGTTTATCAGTTTTCTCTGAATGGAAGTGATCTTTTCAGATACTAACTACTGTTCGGTATGCTTCATTCAGATATATCTGCAACGTCCTTTTTTAAGCCTGTGACAGTGATCCAATTTGTGGAGGAGTTCCTGAACATACGTGACACCTCAAGACCTTTGTCAGACCGGGATCGTGTGAAGGTAATATTCCTACTGATGGAATTCATAAAATCATGCAATACTGATCCTAACTCATTTTTCATGATGTTTAGATAAAGAAAGCATTACGTGGGGTTCGCATTGAAACAAACCACCAAGAGGACCAAATCAGAAGATACAAGATAACAGGGATTACCCCCATTCCTATGAGCCAGCTGATGTACTTATCTTTCCTCTGCTTCTGCTATAACTCTCTTTTTGTTTACATTCTTTAAGATACAGAAAATCAATATAGATTGTTGATGGAATATTTGAAATGTCTTTGTTTATGGATCTTGGGCATGGTAAGTACATTAATTGTTTGTGGACATGTGATAGAAACATTTTAATCCTTTTCAAAGGTTTATTCCTTAGATATCAATGTATGTTCCTTTGATATCCATACTGTCAATGCTGTGAAATGTCCTTCAATGTTCAACAAAATTGATGTGTAAAGGTTGAAGTGCACATAATTTTACTGTCCTGAGAATAGTGCTTTGTCATCTTTTTTAGGACCTGCATTTTGTTATCATGCTTGTTCACTGTTTTATAGCATGAACATAACTTGTTTTTCACCAAACTGATGCCTGGTTTGATGTTGTTAGATTTCCTGTTGATGATAATGGGACAAGGAAGACTGTTGTTCAGTACTTCTGGGATAGGTACAATTACAGACTGAAGTACGCTTCTTGGCCCTGCCTACAGTCTGGCAGTGATTCTCGCCCTGTATACTTACCTATGGAGGTATTGATTCATCATCCATTTACCTCTACCTGAATTGTGCATGCTGTGTGCAGTTTGTTCATGCAAATGTGTTTGCAGGTGTGCAAGATTGTAGAAGGGCAGAGGTACTCCAAGAAGCTTAATGACAAACAAGTGACCAACATCCTTAGAGCAACCTGTCAACGCCCCCAGCAGAGGGAACAGAGCATTCATGAGGTACAATACCATGTAGATGCAGAGCCAAACTTTTTATGCTTTTGGATTTTTGCTCACATTTAATGGCCTTTTATTTCTGCACATTTTATTAGAATAACATTTCCGTAGAACATAAGGCTATATTTTTTTCTTGATGAGATAATGAAGACAATATCATGTATTTGTATTGACTTCCATTTCATCTTCTATCAGATGGTTCTCCACAACAAGTATACAGAGGATAGGTTTGCTCAGGAGTTCGGTATCAAGGTCTGCAATGACCTAGTCTCTGTTCCAGCCCGTGTGCTGCCTCCACCCATGGTACTATGCTTTATTCCATTTCTTTTGTTCGCATTGTTTAAACTGCTGGGAATTTCTAACAACCTTAATCTTTGCGCTTTTCAGTTGAAGTATCATGATTCTGGAAGGGAGAAAACTTGTGCACCCAGTGTTGGACAGTGGAACATGATTAACAAGGTGATGCCTTGCTTTATTATTACAACTCAATTTCTCTCTCAGGTTAATTTTGTATTGCCTTTGTTTGAAAGTGAATTCTAGGTACACTTGCTTAACTTCTTTATGAATTGACCATTAGCATTATTTTTTGTTGGAGAGTATCTGAAATTGACAACCTTGTACTGAAACATAATTGCAGAACCTGTAAAGATACAAACTACTGAGCCAACATAATTTACTTGCTGATGTGTTTAAAGGAAGACACTAATACTTGTTAATTTTTTCAGAAAATGATCAATGGAGGAACTGTGGATAACTGGACATGTCTGAGTTTTTCACGAATGCGTCCTGAGGAGGTACAAAGGTTCTGTGGTGACCTGATTCAGATGTGCAATGCCACTGGAATGGTAACTCTGGCATAGTTACAATGCTATTAAAGCAGTTTAATAATTATATGTGCTGCAATTAACTTTGACTTGACCCTGTAGTCTTTCAATCCAAGACCAGTCGTGGATGTCCGGTCAACAAATCCTAACAATATAGAGAATGCTCTGAGGGATGTTCACAGGAGAACATCAGAACTGCTAGCCAGAGAGGGAAAGGGAGGCCTGCAGCTTTTAATTGTAATTCTGCCTGAAGTTAGTGGTTCTTATGGTATGTATATTGTTGGTTGGGTAACTTTTCCATTCCCTGATTTATTTATTAAATGTCGTATATGCATGGTTTTTACAGGGAAAATTAAAAGGGTCTGTGAGACTGACCTTGGCATTGTATCTCAATGTTGTTTGCCAAGGCATGCCAGCAGGCCGAACAAGCAATATTTGGAAAATGTTGCACTCAAAATCAATGTCAAGGTCTGTAATTCTGCTGGGCTTGTATTTTTTTCCCTAGAACTATACCAATTCTGTGGACTATATCTTGTGTGCTTTTAGTATTCTCCCCCAGAAGTATGACAATTCTGTGCCATAACCAGGTCGGAGGGCGCAACACTGTTCTTGAGCGAGCCTTTATCCGCAATGGCATACCATTTGTGTCAGAAGTCCCAACAATCATCTTTGGCGCTGATGTCACACACCCTCCACCTGGAGAGGACTCTGCATCATCTATTGCTGCGGTTAGTACCCTCCTAGCTAATGGTTCTTCAATTCATTACTTGGTCTGTTTGATGTTGTCCTACAATACAAGATCATGGGCTATCCTGTGAATAACTTGATGCAATAGATGAACTATATTTTTCTTCCCAAAGTTTATTGCTTTGCATATACAAACTTTACTGGTATATTTTCTTTGTGTTCATGTAGGTTGTGGCATCTATGGATTGGCCTGAAATCACCAAATACCGAGGTCTGGTCTCTGCTCAACCACATAGACAGGAGATAATAGAAGATCTCTTTAGTGTTGGTAAAGATCCAGTGAAGGTTGTAAATGGTGGGATGATCAGGTAAATTTGTGGTCAATGTGGTATTGCAATTGTATATTATTGTAGGTTCAACTGGGAACTGACCATGCTCTTGTTTACAGGGAGTTGCTTATCGCATTCCGCAAGAAGACTGGCAGAAGGCCTGAGAGGATAATCTTCTATAGGTATGTCCTGGAAATTCTGTTCTGTTCAGTGGTGTGTCCAGTTAAATGAAATTTGTTGAGTGGTCATTCTCCTCTGCAGAGATGGTGTAAGTGAAGGTCAGTTCAGCCATGTGCTTCTTCATGAAATGGATGCCATCAGAAAGGTGAGCTTCGCATCATGATACATCTGTCTGTGTTATCTATTCTGGACAAGCCAATTTCATTGTTTTTTCTGAATTTAATCCTTTTACATTGCAAGGCTTGTGCATCTTTGGAGGAGGGATATCTACCACCTGTCACATTTGTAGTAGTTCAGAAAAGGCATCACACAAGGCTTTTCCCAGAGGTTCATGGGAGGCGAGACATGACTGACAAGAGCGGAAACATCCTTCCTGGTCAGTTTCTTGTTGGTTGCTACTGAGAACATACATCTGCTACTTCTTCAGGCATTTGATGATTGGATATATCGTTGTATTCCGTTTCTTTTTGGTCCTGCAGGAACTGTCGTGGACCGTCAGATTTGCCATCCTACAGAGTTCGATTTCTACCTGTGTAGCCATGCTGGCATACAGGTAAAACCCATGCTGGAAGCTGTTTGCAGATTGCACAAAATTTTCCAGCCAACAAAATTTTCAGTTAATGTGTGCTCTTGACATTCCTTTTCTCAGGGTACTAGCAGGCCAACTCATTACCATGTCCTTTACGATGAGAACCATTTTACAGCCGATGCACTTCAGTCCCTGACCAACAATCTTTGCTATACGTAAGTTCATTTCTCTGTTTCTGCTTAGTTGCTTAGCTCCCTTATTATTTCGGCTGCCCCAACTCTGATAATTCCTACTGTTGGCAAAATGCAGCTATGCGCGATGCACCCGGGCAGTGTCTGTGGGTGAGTCTTCTTTTCTTGCATCTTTGTTTCTCATTTCTGCATTAGTTTGCTTAGCTTTGTTTACCTCCTTCGATGAGCAAGCAAATGTGTACACCAAAATTTTTGGCATTGGTTTAACTGTGAACTGGAAAAGATAAGCGCTAGGAGTAGGCTGTTGTTCTCAACAGTAGAAATCCTTATTTAGCTTGTGTTAAAAATTGGACCTTTGTTTACTGTAATGCACCCAATTCATCATGTGGTAAGGGAACTGCACAGCTGTCATTGCTTGTTATGCACCACCAATGTCATCTTGTTAACTGTTCCACAACATCTGCTTTTCAAAATTGTCCTCAGCATTTTCTTTTCGAATGTGTTCCATTTGTATCTTATCATTTTGTATGTGATGCTCCCATGTTACTTTCTGGAACTAGCAATTGAACTACCGAAACATTTTCCTTTCTATTCACTGATGTAGTACTCATTTTCCTATCTGTGCAATTTAGCATGTTTTGAAATTGTGTTTTTGCCAGGTCGGCGAAGGAGCCGACCAAATTTCATTAAGATTGAAATTGTGTCTGTCTACTGTATGTAATGCACATCATGTGATCTTGCTTTTTGAAGTGAATCGAACCTAGTGTTATTTGCTTGTCAAGCACCATCAATGTCATCATGTTAACTGTTCCTAAACATGTGGTTTTCAAATCTGCTGAATCCTATCATTTCGCATGCGATGCTCTCATGCTACTTTCTAGGCACTAGCAATTGAACTACAGAGATTCTTTTCTACGTGGTGCTCCTTTTCAAATCTGTTGCATTTGTTCACTGATGTATTGCTCTTTTTCTTTCCTGTGCAGTCCCACCGGCCTACTATGCTCATCTTGCTGCATTCCGCGCTCGCTACTACGTGGAAGGAGAGAGTTCGGATGGTGGCTCGACCCCTGGCAGCAGCGGGCAGGCTGTGGCGCGAGAGGGCCCTGTGGAGGTGCGCCAGCTTCCCAAGATCAAGGAGAACGTCAAGGACGTCATGTTCTACTGCTGAGGAGATTGTTGGCAAGGAGAGCCCAATATTCTGGTAGTTTTTTGGTTGGTAGACTTGTTTGTGTCCTTGGTTTGGAGCTGGTTGCTTGTAGTTCCATTTGCTGTTTCCGAGTAGCCGGATTGTGACTGAGCTTTTGTGGTCTTTAAGGCCTTAACTCTGCTTGAGACAATGCAAGTCTTTTAAATTTCCCTGTGGCTTTTGTTATTTGCTCCTGTGCTCTACTAGTATATCATATTTGCCTTGCCATTTTCTCAACTCAAAATATTTTTTTTCTTTCTTCCTTGTTTTTTAAAAGCAACTCCTGAGTCTCTGACTTCATAGGAGTTGACCTGTTTTGTTCTGGAAATTGGACGGAGAAACCCGACCATTAGCCACCAAGTCCAAAGTGGCTAGTGGTTTTGGAGATATCCTGTCCTCAGAATCAATTCAATTTTGCCCATTGCACTATTTACCTTTGCTGCATTGGTAATTGTTTTAATATCCCTTCTGAAATTTACACACTGTCGTAGTTTGCCAGTGCGAAGGGAACTAAGTGAGCAAACCTCACTTGTGAAAAAGGGGACTCTGTTAATTTATTTTTTGTATGCGGTAACTTATTTAGAAGCAGTTTAGATTCTACCATCCAATGGCATCTAAACTTTGAGTGAATACTTGCCTTCCATTTTTAAAATCATCTCTTGTCCTTATAATCTTGTGTAGAAGATGGATGTAGAGGCCAATAGCTGCAAACTGATAGTGGTTCGGAGCTAGGAGCCTCGGACCAACTGCCACTTTGCATCTCTGATCCTGTTAATAGCACAAAGTTGTGTAGGAGCAAAACAAAAAAAACAAAAAAAAAACAGCTATTACATTTTTAGCTATAAGTCAATTGGTCATGCCTTCTGATGTTGTGCTAAGTACTCCACACTTTCGCTAGTTCCAGAAACAAGAAGTTTAATGATATACGCACTATTAGTTTGATTGCCACCAAAAAGATGTGTTGATTTTTGACATCTGAACTCAATTTCCAAAGCAGAAAAAAGGAAGTTACAATGTACACAGGAGACTTCGTTGCTATTTTCAAACCGCTAACAAAGAGCCTAATCAGCATAAGTACGGGATGCTAGTATGCTACCCTGTTCTCACTTAGTACATATGATCTCGGATGAGCATGTGTAGTCGACTCCAGAGTTGGTATCCGAGCAAACCTATTTGCATAGGGCTCTCAGGTAAGAAAAGCAAGACCAACTTCTAACAGCACAATGGAGATCAAAACGTCTTCCTTGCGTGGCATTTTATCGCCTGTAGCGGTAGCGCTTGAAGTTGAAATAGAGGTGGAGAATCCCACGTTCGAATGTGCACTTGAAGCCCTTCTTATGTGAGTATTCCCACTCCTTGTTGACAATACGGAAAGCCTGGTGAAGAAAACAGAGTAATTAAGTGAAGTGCCCATGAAACTCTACAGGATTAAATTTGAAGATATGGGAATAGAGGCTTACTATATCCTCATATGGAGGGCCCGCATGGAATCTTATGAGGCATGTCTCACCGGTGCTCCCGTCTTTCTCTATCGTGTATGTTGGCGCCTTTGATTTATCCACCAGGTCAGGGTAAAATATATTGAACTTGTAGCCCTGGACGATTTTCGGTGGGGGGTTGTCGTGGTCATAGTGAGTCTGGTTGTATTTGTTCCACTCATATCCAGTATGCACCCGATTGAAGTACTTCGGTTTTCTTGGTCGATACTTGTCGTGCCACCAATATACCTGTGAGCACATTAAACAGGCATATTTTCATCAGAAACAAAGTCAGCTTGCATTCAAGTTCACTGGAAGCAGATCAATGCACTTAAGTTGTTAAATAAATCTTCTAGCATGTAAAAGCAAGCCAGCCTCCACAATATTGCTTTGGGCTAATATTATGTGCACAATCCAGATCAAATGATCTTGGGGTTAAATGAGGAAATAACAAGTGCAGTGAAGGTCTTTGTGACAGACCATGTTGTAGAGGGTTGTTCAATGAACAAATTAGTGTAAAGCTATCCTGCATAAGGTTCATGATTCAACAGGACCACCTTTTACCAGACATGGGTGGTTATGAGCTCTGTAGGGGCTAAAAACTTGCCAAAGTATGCAGAGTTAGAGCTGGACTCTGGTAAAAGCATTCCAACCACAAAGTTTTTACAACACAGAATATTGCAATATGGGTATCAGATACTGTTCTGTTTAGAAGGCAAGGTGGTACAGTGATAGCATTGCTGTTTCTCTAGATATAAAAAAATTCATGTTACCTGTGAATCAAGGTTCACTTCAGCTCCTGAACCAAACACAGCATCTCCTTCCTCCATAGCTCCCATTGCTTTCATTGCTTTCATCTCCATCTCATCGGGTACTCTTGTCTTCACTGCGATGGCCTGCTGAACTTTCTTTTGATGCTCCATAACTACAGCTTCACGTTTTCGATCCTGGACATTAATTCAAAGTGCATAGGAATATTCTATGAATTGCCAACATTTAAAATCTGCAATCAACTCACGAATGTACCTAATGATGTAATCCTGAATTGAGATAAAAATTTCATGTATGTAAACTCCAATATATAAGCCAATAATAACACCTTACACTGACAAATGACCGTAAGTGTACTATGGTACACGATGAAACTAAAAGGCCTTTCTCAGGGTAAACATGAATGGGTCAATGGGAATCCAGTTGGTGCCTTAAGAAAAGATCTATATGATACCTAAACAATTGTACTGGCTTGTTCATCTTTTTGCACAATATAGTGTCTAATAAATAGTAAGTCTGCCAATTTGTAAAACAATTGCAGTTCACTTCACTACATAAAAACTACCACTATTTTCTTAGCATTTACTTCCTCCGTTTCATATTATAAGACTTTCTAGCATTGCCCACATTTATATATATATATTGATGAATCTAGACATATATGTGTGCCCAGATTCATTAACATCTATATGAATGTGGACAATACTAGAAAGTCTTATAACCTGAAACGGAGGCAGTATTAAAAGCTAAGTGTAGCAGGAGTGAGGACACTACCAGTTCTGCCTTGTCCTCCTCAGGATCAATTGCATCTTCATCTTCATTGCCATGCATTAGCTCAGGAGAAAAGGATCCGTCTTCTTCATCCAAATGACTCTCTGTTTGCTCCGCTATAGGTTCAGGCGAATATCGCTTATCATCTACACATAAAGTAGGTATAAGAACTCATAGTCGCTAGAGTTACAGCATGGAAGGGAGTATTTGAGTGACTGGAAATACAGAAATAAAACTAAACCTTCATCATCATCATCATCATCATCGTCAATATGTGTTGCATCCTTCTCTTTAGCATCGATTTCATCCTCAGATTCCTTATCCTGCTCAATGGAATCAGGATGCTCCAGACGATGTAGATGCTTCCGTAAGATCGAAGCATGGATTTCCCTCAGGCAAGCCTGCAATGCAGAAAAAGGTAAGCTTTCACCTATTATACACTATTTAAACCGGGCAACCATATAAACTGCAAATTCAGAAAGTTAGGCAAAGCAGTTTCACAAGTTCATATAAGAATCCAAACCAGGATCTGATTATGATGCAAGAACTAAGGTCAAATCAAGATACCAGAACACATTTTATTTGTGTAATGCAAATGAAACAACCAAGATAGTGTGATATGGATGGAATCACATTTGCTACAAGAAGAAAAGAAGAGTGTCTTTTAGTGTCTGCAAGCATGGCATACCTTTGCTTTGTAAATATGAAGGCGTTTCAGAATGGCCTCCCAGTATTCAACAACTTTTGCTGTTCCAGAGCGCATTTGGGACTCAATTTGACTTTGCATCTCTTCTAGTTCTGTGGAAGTCTTACCCTCCAAAAGATCCTTTACATCACCCTCAATACTTGCATGTAAGCCCCTCTCTTCCGCAAGAACATCAGGAGGTGGTTCCTCACCACGCACCCTAGCCCGATCCAAGGCATCTCTTTTCCGAGCCTCACCTAGCTCCCAGTCACATACCACCATGAGTGCCTGATGAATTTGAAATAAAGAGTGGACAATTGGTCAACAGCCCTGAGCATCCTTGCTAATTAGATCAAGAGAGCAACATGAAATCACAGAAATTATTAGTTCCTACTGTCATATTAGGAATAACTTGATTTAGTTTTTTTTTTGTGAAAACCTACGGCCTATAGGCAAACCATATATACAACAAGCTAAAAAATATGTTCTGACATACTACGGCACAATATTTTTGCCAAAGATCGATCCAACAAAACATAATTATCAAAATCTCAAAAATTTAGCATTACTGTTTTGGACTATATGCCATTTGGTACTAACCTCAATCAACAGGAATATACATTATGCAACATACACATCAGTCATATGAATTCATATGATTATTCAAGTAAAGGGTAATATTATAATGAATGTTGAGACAAAGACACACCTCCCAGTATTTGACATTTATTTGGCTTTCCCTGTCCAGATCAAGATGCATCTTAATGTCATCGCGCAGCTCTTCCATTTCCTTCACCGTTAATCCCTGCATTTAGCACATCACATATGTTTAAGTGTTAAAAGGAAAAGGGAACTCTTTCAGATCTGGGCTAGTTGTAAAGTAAGAACAGATGGAGTGATTAAATTTCAAACCCATTGAGAGATACATGTTTCCACCTCTCTAATTAGAATGTAGTTAATGATGAATCGTTAGAATGTTTAAGGCTATTTCTAAGATGTAAGGTATCTTAGGATATATTGAAACATTGAACCTTTTACTTTGAATACAAGGACACAGTATTCCTGCACGTTCTAAAAGGGTAACGCTTAAGGCGGATGAAGCTGGAGATTATAGAAGGATAAACAGTTGGTTATAGGGAGCCATTCTTTCAGAAGAGAATCCAGAATGTTAATGATGTATATCTGAAATTTATTGCATTTGTTTGATAGTATGAAAGAAAGCCTGGCACCAACATCAGCTAATGATTGAGTGAACATCATATGTGAGAACCAGATACATACAAAGTAACTTCTCGATAGGTGCATCCATATAGCGGCTCTTTGGTTAACTATAATCAAGTGGGTAAGAGAAGTTCAATTTACCTTGAATACCAAGTAGGGCTCGTTTAACTCAACATCAAATTCTTCTGAGAAATTGAGATTCTTCAGGAGAACATCAATAGGTTTTGTGCGCCCCTCGCGTAACCTGATCTCAGATCTAA